CACATGAGAAACTGTCACCACTACTGCAAGGCGCAATTCAACTCCAACTAGAGTTATTAGTCAGAAACCAAGCAATATAGTAGGAGCAATCCAATTCAACAAGAGGCATTTACCCAGGACCCAGATTCTTCAGATTTTCCACATAATTTTCTATACGACTTATTAAAGGTGCCACCTCCTTCTGTACAATATGAATTTTTGTGTTAGCACTGTCATTTATCAATTATTAGATTAAAGTTACAGAGGTTACCTTGTACACAGAGAGAATATTAAAGGCCACATCCGAGAAGTAATCCTCATGCTTCTCCAATTCGTCCCTGAGACATGCATCCAATGAATTATTTATTGTGGTCGTGCAGTAATGCAAGATGTATTGCAAGAAACAGCTGAGAGTAGATAGAAATACAAAGTCTGCTTATCCTTCGTTTCGATATATGAGCATTGAAGAAGCCATGTATCCTCAAGAAAATTAATCCACGTCTTGATAACTTCTGCTTCATTCTTACAAGCTACAACTGATTTGGACAGGTCATCCTCCTGCATGCAGAATCAACAGAAGCAATTTATTTCAGGTTGATATTATTAAGCATGAGAGCTACCCATCTAAAAGAAAATCCCACCTTTGTTTTCAGGTGAGCGATTATCTGATTGTTGGCTTCACCAAATTGATCCCTCTCCTCTGTCGCATTACGGAACCGAGCTTGAGCAGCAGCTAATGATATATTTACCTACATGGAAGAATATTCACTGCTATAACTTCCGTACCACAATAATCATAGCTACATACATAGAATCAATGAAATCATTATATTTCAGTTCAGCAGCATGATGAGCTAACATTTATATAATTACGTCAAGTGACGAAATTTTTGTCTGTTTTAAGTGTGTATGTAAACCTCCAGGATAAAGCAAGAAACCATATAAATAAAAAATTAGATTACCCTCTTCAGTTCGGCTTCCAGCTCTTCTCTTTGTTTCTCAAGCTGTGCAATTTCTGCACCCAATTCCTGTACATAACAAATCATCGGAAAGAAACTTAATACTGGCAGCTGATGAACATGCCAAAGAATGTTGCCACTCTTAGTGTTTTTTTTTTTTTCCTTTTTTCGCAGTCAATAATCAAAAGAACATATAAAAGCGGGAGATATATACCTTTTCCTTTTCACCGGTTTCATTTGCTTTCACCACACGAGCTTTTAGTGCCTCCTCTTTCTGAAGTCTGCGAAAAGACAAATGAACAATTGGTATCCATTGATGGTAGTTTTCCTTCCGTTGAATAATCATCCGCTCAATAGCACTAAGAGGTAAGTGGTAACAAGACAAGCTTTATTGAAAACCAGCATTGTCTTGCAGTCCCATAATTCAAATGTAATACGCATATACTAAAGTTAATCAGAAAATAGCAAGGAGTGAACTGCAAATTGTCTTAGCAGTATTTGCTGAACATGCATATAGTAACACAATGAGTAAGAAACTTCTTACCTATTCTTCCGGTCTGGTGAATTTATCATGTAATATCAAAATTGAACCATAAAAAAGTCTCAATTGTAGATAAAAAGGAAACTAAGTGGAGTCGATAATAAGTTTAACCTGTTTTCTGATATTCGTTTCTCGGCTTTGGAAGTTGAATTTGCTAAAGATTCTAATAACACCCTGAGCTTGTCGACCTATTCCAAAGACAAAATATCTATTATCTTCCATAATTCAAGTAACATTCTACTCCAGAAGTCAAGAAATGTATATGCTGTCATGGAATGCATGAAACTCTTAATATTCCATATCAGCACAACAAGTAGAGCACGATGATAATTAACACTACCAATCAACTTGTATAGTTTGAGACTAATAAAGCTCACAGACTTACTTTCTGAGCATGTATATCTGGTGAATCACCGTTGCTTAGTTGTCTCTTTCTAATTAGAAGACCTTCTAATCTGGAGCAAAGACGAATCTTTGCAAGCGTTTCTTTGAAAGCCTGTAAAACGAGAAGTCTATCACATGGAACTACCTAAATGAGCTTAGGGAGAAAAAAGAGGGGTTGGAGATACTACTCTCACCTCTATTGTTAAAGGAGCCTCTTTAAGTTCCTTGTCTTCACTCTCCTGTGGAATTTGAGAGGCATTCATCTTCTCGAGTTTCTTCCTCAGATCAGAAGCTTCAGCATCAATTCTGAAAACATGAATTCAATCAACAGTGATGCAAGATGAGCAATGCCTTGCGACTCATTCATTCCTTCATGAAGAGAAATGAAAGAAAAAGCAAATTAATATCTTCATATATCACCTCAGCATTTCAGCATTAATCTTCAACCCTGTGATAGCATTTTGGGCAAACTGAAGCAATTCGTCCTGCTTAACCTGTCCAAGAGCAGCCCAAGCAACATAATAGACAAGTTACGAGGAGATCCAAACGCCCATAAATTAACATAATGCTGACTTTTTACTGATTAAGCGCTTACCAAAACTTCATCCTTGTAACTCGAAAAGACTGTAGCAAGATCCTGCATACTGCTAACTATGGCATCATGAACTTCCTTTCCTCCATTCAGACAAAGCCTGAAAACAATGTTAAGTTCTATAAATAACCGCATCAGGTATGAATTGTGTCAGTTTTCCAAGAAACAGTTTAAGACACTTTTTGGAAGCCGAATTTGGCAATGCAATTTGGAATGCCAGCCGACTCACCCAAACATCTCCAGGAGTAGAGTAATTTCTTCGTCATGTGGTGGTTCAATAATCTGTAATAGAACAGTCAAACCTTTAACCCCCATAGACGGTACATATTTTTTCAAATCACCCAAATATATTTAGGTAAAGTAGTACTACATATTTGTTATCATTTAACAGATAGCCACCAAAGGACCAATATTAGGTTGCAAAAGAATACCATGGACAGAACGATCCCCTCCAGAGCTTGACTTTGCAGAAAAACATCACGGAAGTTAAGTGGCTCACCGCCTATATCTGGATCGTAATACAAAACCTACACATGCAAAGGGATATTCTGAAAGAATTCTGTTGGAAAAAGGTCATAAATACAACATATGAAATAAGACGCAGAATAGTACTCAAGAAAGTCACTATTAATAAAAACCGTTTAGCAGAAAAAGTTACCCTATATTACTAAAGATTAGCAATCTTATCTACTTAAGTAATATTCTAAAATGCAGGATGATATGATGACATCTTCATAAATTTCTTCCTCTTTCTCTTTGAAAAAACCAGTTCAGGAACATATAAGATTCTTAACGCAGCACCACTAAGGATCACAATCATCTCTACTTAAGTACTATTCTTGATATTTTACGATGCGAGAGAATTGTTAACTTCTTTGCAAACTTCTTCCTTTCCTTTTATCCAAAAAAACATGAACAAAAATAATACCCATTCACGTTTCTTTGCCTCATCAGAAGCAAGTTGTTCCTCTGAACTCATTTGCTTATCCTTTAGAGAACTGTCAGTAGCTCTATCAATCTCCTTAAGCACATTTAGCCATCTAGAAATCAGCAATGCCCTTTCATGACCTCTATATGAGACTGCAGCTTCTTCCAATCTCTGTATCGTCTGATTAACACTCTTATAGGCCCCAACACCCTGCAAAGTTACAGTCCAAATTATTATTCACGCTAGTCCTAAAGTAATGCATCTGTAATGTCATTAATCCAACTGTCATGTAATAATACCGGCTTGAAAGAAAATAACAGCCAAGTTCAAATTATGGTGAAATGTCAGACCAAACTTGGGACTTAAAAACCCTTAATACCAAAATCAAAACTGGAATCTGACAAATAAGACCTAGTTACTAATTAGAAAAGGAAAGGAGAAATTACAATGCGGTCTTGGAACAATTTGGCTCCTTCAGCGACGGCTTGGCCAGCCTGCTGGACGACGGAGTCGGCATAGTTCTTGACGGTTCGTGTGATGTTTTTGCGGTTTCCGACCTCCACCGCCTTATTCACGGCCGTTCGCAGCCACGACATATTATGCTCGTCGATCTTATGGTCTACTAGGGAAGAAATCTCCTCGGGGAACGAAAACCAATTTTAGAGACTAATTACTGAAATGAGAACTCGGCCACCGTCCATCAAAGTTTTTTTTACTCGGTTTTTGTTTGACGATTTGCAGGTGACTAAAATATTATTACTTTTCTTCTGAAATTGTGAATAGCTTTTTCACAATGTAACGTAACGTTTATATATCAAACCATTTAAACTGGGCAAAACCGATTTAAATAAATAATATTAATTTATGTATTTTGTTAAATAAAATTTAAAAGAAGTTAAGATATAAACAATTAATTATTTTTTGTGAATACTAGGAAACCTTAATTTTTTTAGAAGTCTGTTTCTTCTTTCACATATCCAAACAAAAATCCTAATATGAAGTTCATAGAAATTTGTATGAAAATCACAAAATTAGTGGCTAACAAATCAGAGTTGGAAAAAACAATGATCGTCTAAAAAATTTTCTAACCCATTTAAATTAACATCAAATTTTAATATTAGATTTGGCATGGTCAAGAATCTATCTTTTTATTGATGATCAAAAATCCATATTAGAAAGTTCGACGAGAGTATAATCTTCACGACATGAAAAATCGTCGATAAAAAATTCGACTTTATAATCAATTTTCCAGCATTTAACAAAACTATCCGATAAAAATTAGATTGTTTGGTTTGTCATAGTTGAAGAAATGAACACAATTTTTTTAATTATTATGAAGATATTATAGAAATAGTTAATATTTTAGAAAAGTACAATACAAGAGACATAAAAATATAATGCTGATTTTAATTTCTTGTATAGTTGATAAATTTAAAAACAAAATTTTGATATACTTTTTTTGGTAAAAAAATAAATAAATATGTCAAAAAAATTAATAAAAAGCACCCAATTGAAACTTCTCAATTTGGATCGGATCTCGGATATTTTTATCCACCCTAATAGACACGGCAGCTCATAACTCCATCAGCTATAAAGGCCAAAGAAGGGCCCACCTTTTAGATACACACAATCGTCGCACTCCCAGATTCTTCTCCGGAGCGATCAGATTTCACCGACGACGGTTCTTTTGCCTCCTCTTTCAATCGGAGGACGACAAAGCTTAGAGCAACAGTTATATATCTATATATAGAGAGGTAGAGAGAGATAGAGAGCTCCTCTCTTCCAGTATTAGGGTTTTAAAAGCAAGAAGAATTCACTACTAGAGAACAAAAAAATGTCGGGTCTCCATCGATCATCAAGTTCATCGAAGAACATCGGAAATTGCCTCCCCTCCAAAGAACTTCTTGATGATCTTTGCAGGTAATTTTATCAATCGAGTGTTTTTTTTTCTGTAGATAGTGAAGCGATTTGGCTCGAATTGATTTCGGTAACTGATGGGTTTTTGTTTCAGTCGATTTGTTTTGAATGTCCCTGAAGAAGATCAACAGTCATTCGAGAGAATTTTGTTTCTGGTGGAGTATGCTTATTGGTACTATGAAGATAATGCTGTAGAGAATGATCCCAAGCTTAAGTCCCTGTCCTTGAAAGAGTTTACTTCGCTCTGTATCCTTATTTTCTTGTATTTCATTGCTTTCTGATTCATGTTTCTTGTCTTCACTGTTAGTACAATGCTCGTTAACGACAGGACTATGATCCCATATGCTCGAAGAATCATTTCAAAGAAAGATGCTTTGTGTTTGCCACTTAGACTGACTTCTTTTTGTCTTCAATGTTAATTATTTTTTGTCTTCTCCATTGTTTTCTGTGGATCTCTTTCCTTGACGTGGCCTATAGTATTCAACAGCTGTGATGTGTTGAGACCTTATGTTACTCACATTGATGACATATTTAAAGACTTCACTTCTTACAAGTGTCGAGTTCCCGTCACTGGTGCAATCATCCTGGATGAGACATATGAAAGGGTTAGACCCCTTTGGGATGATTCCAGAAACTTTTTCTATTACTAACATTTTAGGTTTACTTGTTAGTTCATGCTTACCCTTTTTTGTTTCATTGTAATTTTCAGTGCCTGTTGGTGAAGGGATGGAAAGGATCGAGCTGGAGCTTTCCCCGCGGGAAGAAGAGCAAGGATGAAGAAGACCATGCTTGTGCCATACGTGAGGTTAGCATCAATTCTATCGTTTTCCTGTCTCTTGTGTGGTTCATTTATTTTGCACTTTTGTAGCAAAATTGATAGCTCCAACGACCGCCACTCTTTGATCATAAGTGCATATTAATAAAGAAAACTATGTAATTAGAAGAAGACTGCTTATTGGGTAAGATTAACCTCACTTAGTGAGTGCATTGGTTCTAGTTTATTGGCTGTTGACATATGAAGATGTGTCAACGTAATGTGCGCGTGAAAGAATAGCAAAGAGTTCCTCTCTTATATCTTCTGCTCTTGATAACAGGGTAACTTATTTTCACACTAATAAAACAGTTTGATCATAGCACATACACCTTAGCCACTGGAAATAGATTCTCCTACGTGAGCTTATATATTTGGGGACGGAAATGTTCTTATGTCACCAGTAGACAGGATCTTTTGCAAATGAGAATAGTGCTGCTGTCAATGGTCAACCATATAGGCTCTCTGTATCTTTTTACTATTTATTGGTATAGAAATGGTCAAAGCCCAAAAGGTTTACTTGTAGCTCTCTAGTGCTATTCTCCTGGTGCTGTAATTCTTCTGCTGATTGTCTGTATCGACTTGGATTATGGTTAATATTGAGAAAACTGAATATTTTGTCACACTTGTTTTGGCTGTTTATGTACTGTTATTCCATGCTAAACACAGGTCTTAGAGGAAACTGGATTTGATGTCTCAAAGCTACTCAAGAAAGAAGAATATATAGAGTTTGTTTTCAGGCAGCAAAGAGTACGACTATACATAGTTGCTGGGGTGAAAGAGGATACAGTTTTTGCACCACTCACAAAGAAGGAAATCAGTGTGTGTATTCAACAGTTAACCTTGTGGGTGTGATCTTGTCTGCGTATGTATGATGAGTCTCTTATGTTCTTTTGTTGTGGAATACTGTAGGAAATCACATGGCATCGGCTTGATCATCTTCAGCCAGCAAGTAATGAGGTGATAACTCATGGAGTTTCTGGTCTCAAATTGTACATGGTGGCACCATTTCTTTCGTGAGTAGTGGCTTTCTATTTATCCTCATAGATTTTTTGGTGATTTCGTTTTCTGGTGCATAACAATAGAGATTACAAACTTGTGCAGGTCGTTGAAGTCATGGATATTAAAGCATCCTTCACCTGTAGCACGGAGACATAACAAGCCCCTTAAAGGTTTGACTTCTTTTTCATCAAGCATTCACTAAAAGAGAGGTTTCTGGCAGAGATCTGACTTCATATGCTTTGTACAGCACTCTGCGTGTGGAATGCAAGGACTAGTCTTGGAGGGAACGGGACAGCAACAGTGGAAAGCAACAATAGAAAGCCTGAACTCAGGACAACCACAATGGAAAGCAACAATAGAAAGCCTGAACTCAGGACAACAACAATGGAAAGCCACAATACAAAGCCTGAACCCAGGAAAACAACAATGGAAAGCCACAATACAAAGCCTGAACTCGGGACTGCAACAGTAGAAAGCCACAATACAAAGCCTGAAGTCGACCATCCTCAGGACATAGAACCTGCAGACAGTTTCATAAACTTCAAGTTCGACAAGTCAATTATCTTACAGGCGATGGAATAGCTTGACTGGTTCAGTCAGGCAGTCATATATGGGTTGGATTGGTGTTGGGAGTTATGATGCGGTTGGATTGGTGGGTTTGTCTATAGCAAAACCGTTGGATATGTTCATACACGCTGGTACCTTTCTATATCTTTGCCATTTGGTTTATATCTCTCTCGTTTCTTCTAGAATGAAAGGGTTGTTGTAAATGATGGTTAGTAGGGAAGTGGTGAATCCTTTTGGATCATGGCTTTAGATGACAATGGTTGCGACCAGCTATAAAGGTTAAAAGAGTTTCTTATCCGAGTAGTGAATTGATGATCTTCCTTAATCGAAGCAGAAAGTGTTCTCTTTTTAAAATAAAAAATGAACTCACCTATAAAACAAAAAGTCGCACCTAAATAAGTTGTTTATGTAATACTATGATTACCTTGGAAACAAGATATATCTTGAAATTGTTTACTTTTTTTCACATTGCAACTTAATTTGTTGGTATAAAAGGTGGGTGGGGGAATGGTGGCCTAAATTCGGCAAGGGTAGCCTAAAAATATATATTTGAATGCTATACGAAAACATTTTATAGAAAGAGAAACGGACATGTGGCATTTTGTGTTTTTACACTTTTACTTGCTTGTGTTTAGGTTTGGAGGTTCATCTACATAAGCATCAGCATTTGTGACTTTGACTCGTCCATCAAATTTTAATCCTAAAAATCAAACCATGTTAATCAGCCCAACCACATTGAGAATTTATCTATAAATAGAAATAGAAATTAAATCGTTGGTTAAACCCATAACTCTTCTTTCCTCTTTTCTTCTCCTGCTAACGGTAGTTTTGACGCCGGTAGTTTTTCTCTCCGTCTATTGATTTTTCCCGCTTCACAATCACAACAAACCCAAAGAAGAATGTCTCGTGTGGTCGCAGCAGACGACAATATGGCGTTGCCGTTCTTCTCGCCGGAGTTTGGCAATGTCTCAGGCGCTTCGTCTTCTCCAACGACGTTCGCACAGCTCTTGCAAAACGTCGACGACACGACGCGTCGTAGTCATGACCAGCATCACGTTGATGTGGATCTCACCTCGCCGGACCAATCCGTACCGTTCGTTCTCTCGTTCACCGATCTCACTTACAGCGTCAAAGTTCGCCGGAAGTTCACATGGAGACGCAGCGTTTCTTCAGATCCCGGAGCTCCGTCTGAAGGGATCTTCTCTTCCAAAACGAAAACGCTCCTCAACGGAATCTCCGGGGAGGCTAGAGACGGAGAGATACTAGCTGTGCTCGGAGCAAGTGGCTCCGGAAAATCCACGCTGATCGATGCGTTAGCGAATCGAATTGCTAAAGGAAGCTTGAAAGGAAACGTAACTCTAAACGGAGAAGTTCTCAATTCGAAAATGCAGAAAGCTATCTCAGCTTATGTGATGCAAGACGATCTTCTTTTTCCGATGCTTACAGTTGAAGAAACCTTAATGTTCGCCGCTGAGTTTCGTCTCCCGCGAAGCCTGTCGAAATCAAAGAAGAGTCTCCGTGTTCAAGCCTTGATTGATCAATTAGGACTAAGAAACGCGGCGAATACCGTGATCGGAGATGAAGGCCACCGTGGAATCTCTGGAGGAGAGAGGCGGCGAGTTTCAATCGGAATTGATATCATCCATGATCCGATTCTGCTTTTCCTCGATGAACCAACCTCTGGTCTTGACTCTACAAGTGCTCTAAGTGTCATTAAGGTTCTTAAACGAATCGCTCAGAGTGGAAGTATGGTGATCATGACTCTTCATCAACCTAGTTACCGTCTTCTTCGATTGCTTGATCGTCTTCTCTTCTTGTCCCGTGGCCAAACTGTCTTCAGCGGATCGCCTGCGATGCTACCTCGCTTCTTTGCTGAGTTTGGCCACCCAATTCCCGAACACGAAAACCGCACTGAGTTCGCTTTGGATTTGATCCGTGAGCTGGAAGGATCAGCTGGTGGAACAAGAAGTTTAGTTGAATTCAACAAAAGTTTTAGACAGAGGAAAGCAGAGCCGAGAACTCAGACGGGTCTGTCCTTAAAAGAAGCCATTAGTGCAAGCATCTCCAAAGGGAAGCTCGTCTCTGGAGCAACGACAACTACAACTCCTGGCTCGAGCCCTGTTTCCACCATTCCAACATTTGCAAACCCGTTTTGGGTCGAACTCGCGGTTCTAGCCAAACGGTCCATGACTAATTCTCGCAGACAGCCTGAACTATTTGGGATACGTCTAGGAGCTGTTTTAGTCACTGGATTCATCTTAGCCACAATGTTTTGGCAGCTAGATAATTCCCCCAAAGGAGTCCAAGAACGCCTTGGATGCTTCGCCTTTGCAATGTCCACAACGTTCTACACTTGCGCAGATGCTCTCCCCGTTTTCCTCCAAGAACGTTTCATTTTTATGAGAGAAACCGCTTATAACGCTTACCGAAGATCCTCCTATGTACTCTCTCACTCACTCGTTGCCCTCCCTTCCTTGATCATCCTCTCGCTTGCTTTCGCAGCAATCACGTTTTGGGGTGTGGGCTTAGATGGAGGTCTCATGGGTTTCCTCTTCTACTTCCTAGTAATCTTAGCCTCTTTCTGGGCTGGAAGCTCATTCGTCACCTTCTTATCAGGTGTTGTCCCTCATGTCATGCTCGGTTACACCATTGTGGTAGCCATCTTAGCCTACTTCTTGCTTTTCAGTGGATTCTTCATCAACCGAGATAGAATCCCTGGCTACTGGATCTGGTTCCATTACATATCTTTAGTCAAGTACCCTTACGAAGCTGTGCTCCTAAACGAATTCGGTGACCCAACAAAGTGTTTTGTCAGAGGAGTTCAGATATTCGACAACACACCTCTCGTTGCGGTGCCTCAGGGGATGAAAGTTAGGCTTCTAGCAACTATGAGTAAATCACTTGGGATGAGGATCACAAGCTCTACTTGCTTGACCACAGGGTATGACATTTTGCAGCAGCAAGGCGTTACGGATCTCACAAAATGGAATTGCTTGTGGGTCACGGTCGCTTGGGGCTTCTTCTTTCGAATCTTGTTCTACTTTTCTCTGCTTTTGGGTAGCAAGAACAAGAGGAGGTAAAAACAAAACTCAGTTTTATCTTATGGAGGACTGATTTGAAACTTTGGTTTACCTTTGTTTGTTTTCTGTATTTTTCTTTTATTTCTTTGTTGTAAATTCTTATTTGTGGTTGATAAATTGTTGAAACTACTTGCTCTTTATATGAGTTATAATATGGAGAATTCTGAAAATACTATGATTATCAAAACTAGTAATCTTTTGGGTACACGTACCTGTAAATTTTATATGCAAAATATCCATGAGAATAATGTAGCTGCAAATTGCATCTCTTTTAGTTTCTGCCATGCTTCTAAAATTTGAGTTATTTACCTCGCAGATGAGACGTGTGTATATTTGACATGTTTGGTTTGATAAGTAAACAAATTCTACAACTATAAAATGCCAACTTTTTAGTACAATAGCACCTTACACATTCCGTAGAACATCATATGACGTATGTTGATGGATTTGCCAACCATTAGTCAAGAGGTAGCTTAGCTTATAGTCTCGTCACTCTTATAACACCAGCCTCTAAAAACTTTAGTCTCTTGCCTAGAAACATGAACCAAATACAAACTCATACACATGCCCCAATCAGATCTTATGGATTCTTCTTCCAGTTCCCAACACTTCAACCCCTCATTAACAACATCTACTGATTAGACCTGGTAAAATTCTGTGCCACGAATCTTTCACATGCCTACACTGGAAAAGCAACAAGATTAATCAGACTCCTTTCCCTCAATTTTCTCAAAGGGAGGGTGAGATAAAACATTAAAGTCCAAACTCACTTGGAATGAGGAAAAAGATAAGGAACCATCAAACAACCCATTGGGTTCAAATAGGTGGTGTACCTTAGGCCGTTTCCAGTTTGCTCTCGTCCATGGCCAGTAAATCCAGTTCTACCAAACTGTACATGCGTCAACTTGATAGGTGAAAAAGCTTATTATTGGGTCAAAACAATAATATCAAACTTACTAACCCTTATTTGTCTCGAGTGTTCTACTCCTTTTGTCTATATCAACTGATAAGTGGCTGTTTCAACATCTCAAGCAAGCTTGGTGTAGCACTTCAAGTTCCACCAAAATGTGTGTACTTTAATCATCTTTGGGTATACCTAACGCCAGATTGATGAGATCATGTTATGAGAATCCATCATCTGGTTCTTCGCTGATGAAACTGAATGTCCTAAACCAATAACAGTTACAACTCAACCATATATTAGGGTTGTTATGGTTCTGGCAAGTCCAACTTCAAGTAGAACACTCGAGTGCTACGGCAAAGATACTTGTTCATCTGTAGGACCAGTAACGTTCTACAAAAGCCGGCTGAGGATTACAATGTGTAGAGAAGCCTGAAAGTTCCCACATGTATTTAAACCATCTTGCTTCAATCATATACCCATTCCAACTTAAACACGGACAGTGCGGCAGTGCAGAGGAGAACACCGGAAACTGAATCACAGCAAGAAAGGCAACGAAATCTACATGATACCACAACAGAAGTGCTATATACACACACAGGCCACAGCCAAGCAATGACCAATTTCAAAACTTTTTTAGAACAATAGAGCAGAGTGTCCCTTTGCATCAGTTATTGGAATGTCCACAATAATCAGCCACTAACTGGTCTCGGCCGTGGAAAAACCACAGAAGTTCCGTTTGATACCTGATTCACTATCACTTATATCTTTCTGGTCTTAGAAGGTTCAAGCAAATTGAATACTAACCTTTATTCTAAAAACCATCACCACCGAGCTCATCCAGTTGCCAAATTTCACTGTTCTTTGAAGTTTCCTCCTCTTCCATATTCTTAGTTCTTCCAGATGCATTCTCAGTTGAGTTCTTATTTTCCCCATCAATTTCCATCAAACTCCCTTGTTCTTCAATTTTAATATGAGGTTCCTGTCGGAACCTCACAGCATCAGGGTCATTCTCTACATTAGTAGGTACACAACCATCATTGTTAAAAGATGGTCTAAAAGAGCTGCTGGTACCATCATGTCTATAACCAAATCGTCTTCTCTCAGCGTTAACATCAACACCAAATCGTTCAGAATGAATTGGACCTTCAAAGAAATCATCACTATAGTCGACCCTTTCTCGAGGATCCAAGTTATTCAAGTTTCCATGGTTTCTATGTACAACACGATCAGATGGTTTCCTAAATGAGTTGCCATCTCTTCCATAACCTCGACCCCTTGCATAACCTCGGCCCCTTGGATAACCCCGTCCCCTTCCAGCATGTGATGGTCTGTGCGAGAAAGGTGGAGAATTGTGTCTTCTGACAACCATTTCCCTTGAAAAACCAGAATGGTCAGGCGAGCTCATCCTCTCCATTTTGAAACCTGAGGGTGATCTTCGATGAGAAAAGTCTGTATGCCCACTGAACTCTTCTTGTGATCTGTTCCTGAAAGACGAGGATGAACCATCTGATCGTTCTCTTGATCTAACTGGAGATCGTGAACGAAATCCAGGAAAACCTCGTTTGGGGTTGTTTAAAAACTTTGTTCGTCCTCGAGTAAAACCACTCCGACCTTGATATGGACGTTGGGGATTCATAAACATTGGTTCTGTGTTGTTACATTGTAATCCCCTAGTGAATTTTTCACCATCTCTAAATCCGTGAAATGCAGATGCATCCTCTTTATTTGTTGGTCCTCTATTAAATGAAAAGCTAGAATTTCTTCTCGGAAAGGAGTGAGAATAAGGTGTTACTTCATCATTTGCAGGCCGTCTCCCTCTCTGAAAATTACTCATAAAAGCACCACCCCGACGAGTGTTTCCATGATTATCAAACTCAAAATCTGCATTCACAAGATGAGAGTCATATTGAATTTTAGAAACAATGAGCTTTGTTCTTCCATAAAAAAACTTAGATATGACTTTACTTTTTGTGTCCTGGTCATGCAGATTGCTTTCTGTGTTATCAGGTAATCTCCTTCTGTCAGGTATGAAATTTAACCTTGGGCTTCTCATGATTTTGCCATGGTACCTCTCACGCGAGAATTTGTAGGATTCATCACTAGCAAAAGAAACAATAATGGAAATTTAAATACACAAAGTTTTCAATAGGGAATGAAACCAAGAAAGGATGGAGGTAAGAAAAGGGCTCCGAAATATCACCTCCCTCTGAAAATATATTTCCGCGGTTCGAGTGGGAAATCATGAAATCTATCTCTTTCCATTCGGGGTGGCACAAAGCTGCCTGAAGCATCTAGTGCCTTAACTGGAGATTTATTAGAAACCTGAGTTAAGTTTATAATTCGACTCTGACTACCGTCACTGCACTCCGCAGGAGGATCATTGTCAATAGTAGACATTTCTGCCTTGTATGAAACTGGACTGCTGTTATCTACTATATCAGGGTTTTCAATGCCGCCTGACACTGTAGAGACACCTGACATTCCTTCACCATCCTGAACTATCCGGCCTTCGTTTTCACCTGATCCATCAAATATTCTACTTTGAAGTTCTGGAGTATGCCTCTTAATATGAACTTCAGTACTTGGCATTTCGACTAATTTCAAACATGATTCATCAACAGTATATTGCTTCAACTTATTAATTGATGATAAGGTAGAGCATTCTTTAAATATTTTATTACCTGTATTATCAAGAAGTGCAGGCTGACTCCCTTTTTCTTCCATATGGTTAGAATTTTGAAAATCGCCATGGCACGGAATATTAATGTTCCTTCGCTCAGTTTCAGAACCACCGTACTCGGCATGTGCAACCTCATTACTTTCCGTGAAAACAGCAGCTGGTCCTTGAACCTTCCCGTCATCGTACAAATTTGTTTTCTCAACTTGCTTCTTCATTACTCCAGATAGATCATGACCACAATCTGATTCAAACCCATAACTGTATAACTGTTCCTCTAGCTCCTTACCAGATAAAATAATCTTTTCTTCATCATTTATAGAAAGTTCATCAGTTCCACAAGAATTACGAGGGATTTCTTTCGATATACAGGTCTTGCAATCATCTACAATTTTCTCTTCAGTCAAGGAAGTAACATTCACACCTGAAGCATTGAGGTTATGATCACCATGACCAGAACATGAATAAGTCGTGTGAACTCCACCATGTTTCAGCACTTCGCATGATTTACCATTAGCTACACTGCTACTCTGGCCTGAATTTTCTTTTAATGTACAGTCAGGATCAATCTGAACGCCCGGAACTATTGTCATTCCATTTAAGGACATTGGTGCATTGATGATACCCTTAGAACAAGGTATATATGTATCCTTCTGATATGGCGTAGAACTTGTAGGTAAATCAGGGATCTCATTTGATTGCACAATTGGTGTATGAGGATGATTCAACATTCCATCTTTCCTATGGAAAACTTCCGATTGGGTGAAGGTATTTGGCTCAGCCTTTACTGATATAGGAACAACTGGCTTCAAAATGACAGATGAGGGACTATTTCCTTGGCTGAATCTGCCAACAACCTCATGTTTCACTCCTTTAATAGATAGCCCGATTGGACAAACTTGAGCACTCTCAGTTTCGTGTCTAACACTCTCTTCAATGATTTCTGACTTCACAGTCCTAAGGTTCACCGAATTCACATTCCCAGCAATCATTACTGGTCTGGTAAAACTTGTACAAGCAGCTCTTGCCTCTGATGTGCTAGCTGGTAGAGAAGGAGATTTCTCAATAGGAGGATATGAACTGAGGCCTAGACTAAGTGAGCATGTGGGATTAACCTGATTATCAAACTGCATCAAAGTCACCTTAGGAGAACTAAATCCTACTTTTTCCTTCTGTTTTACAGAAACAGACTTTGCAATAGCAGTCGTATCAAGACAACTTGATCTTTCTATGTCACGAAGACTTCTGTTACTGTTTAAGAATGTACCAGTTGTCTTAACTCTAGTCGTGCGATCCAGAGCACCTTCCCAAGCATCCATGGTAGTATTCAAATCCCAATTTTCTCTGTTCACACCACTGTTGCCAGATTTAGTACAAGTAGAAGTAGAATCTGTGTTATGAGCGGGACAAACTCCCTTGCTTAATGACAAATTCAGTTCTGTAGGCTCCTCATTCTTCCAATATGGAGAACTGTTTTTAGTGTTACAACCTAGCTGTAAGGAAACAGTATTAGCACCAGAAGATGCTTCTGTTAGACACTCTCCTCTGAGAGTTTCCTTGTCACACGTCTCCTTGACAATGTCATGAGTCTTAAGAACAGTTTTTTCTACTTTCATCCCAGTTTGTGCATCTGAGGTGACAACAACACCAGGGTGTTCAGAACCAACAGGAAGCTTTCCCAGAGAACAATGGAGAGAACTGCCAAGTATGTTGGAAGTAGAAGGGATATCAAACCCTGCCAAAGGACTGGAGCGAATTGGAGAACTTGGCTTCTCAACTTTCACTCTAATTTGGTCTAAAATAATGTTCCCAATGCTCTTCCCTTTACCAGCAATTCCCACAGAAACAGATGGACCAGTCATTTTCTGATTTTCATCAGGAAGAGATGAATCCAAAGCACTCCTAGCAACAACACTAGTATCACCTTGCTCACTAGGTTGTGGAATCTGTGAGGAGCCAGCTTCTTCCAGTTGCGGCTGCACAAGGTACTTCCTCTTCTTGATTGGAATATCACTGCAGCTCCAGGTAGATGGTCTGATCCTAGGCTGAACGAGACAGAGGAAAAGACACATGAATATGGGAATTTCAAAAAAATGTCGGAATAGTTTAAGTTGGAGTAAACACCTCTTGGCTTCCAGACATAGTAGAACTCGAGGGTCTTAATAAATATCCAAACTTCACTCTTGTACCTTTTACAGGATAACTCCAACTAACACACCTACAAGATCAACATCATTAGGTTCGTCTATAAAACCCAGCAAAAAGAAGAAGAAGAAATTCAAATGGATTTCAGATCAAACAAAGATATATCCGACAAGGTATCAATCTAAATAAACCCTAATCTACGCAAGTAAAAAAGTGAATCCAGACACCACCAAGTAAGTCCCTAAAGAATGGAAGAAGAACAATCAACCAAAAAAAAAATGAAGTCAACGATAAGATTACAAAAGTAAATCAGAAAGTTTTATTAGTGAAGAAAAATCTGAAAAACTATCCAAAAACCAATACGTAAAAACAAGATCGATGCTAGTATTTTTCCATACGTAAAAGACTCACAGAGCAGAGTAATCAAAGAATTGGAAGGTAAGCAAATCAACCGACAAACAAAATAAGTGTGAAACAGAAGAAGAATTCCAGATTTAGGGAAGAAAGAGAAACAAGGAATCTACCAAAAGAAGGAAGAGTGATGGAGAGGTCTAAGTGATGAATGATGATGCAGTTTCCAGGAAGAAAATAAACAAAAGTACTGTTAGCTATATGAGAGAAGAAGCTATAGAGAGAGAGAGAGAGAGAGAGAGAGAGAGAGAGAGAGAGGGATATGAGAGATGCTAAACTTGACAAGGGCCACACAACCCTGCAGCAGCAACTTTGCCTTTATAAGACAAGTTTGACTCATCCCCTTTTTTTCTTTTCTTTTTTTACACGACTATTACATATTTTTTTAATTAATATTCAGATTTATAAAATAGATCAGCGAATTTATAATAAAGATTTGTATAAGACTATAGTTTTTCAGAATTTTTTAAAATCATTATTACATGGTTAAAAGTCTTATGTTTAAACCCATTAATTTTTTTGCTAATTATGATGCTTAAGAATACTTTATTGCGCCGTTCGCCGAACAATGTATGCATTTTTTTGGGTGTGGTCATGCCGGCTTAATCCGATTACTATGCCTAGGTTTAATCTCACACTAATCCGGAATAAAATTACCTACCTTTTTTGGTCTGGTCCGATGGTCTCGATAATGGGCCTTATGAGTTATTTTCGTAATGGACAATTTTGACTAATAAAAAAATTGGTGAAACAGCTAGCAACTACTAAATTGACCAGTCAAATATCTTTTACATTTATTACTGTTGAATAATAAAATATAATCAAGAATTTACCAAAAGGGACCAGATATTTCACCATAAATAAGTTACAGAAAAATGAAGAAAGAGAGGAAGGCGTTACAGAAATTAAGGGAAAACGAAAGCTGCAAAATTTTAGTGTAACTTCTTGTAAAAAAGCTTCGTCTGTATCTATCTCTCCTTCAGACTCGGTCTCACCCCTACTTCTCCGAGATAACAAAACCCAAAATACAATTATAAACAATTCCCTTTATCAAATATGTTAATGAGGTTTTGATGATTAACCATTTTGCAACACTTTTAGATTTGCGGAAAAACCAAAGAGTGAAGTGCAAGAACAAAGATGGCTAGCTTGAAACTGGGTTCCAAATCTGAAGTGTTTCATCTAAGTGGTCACACATGGTCAGTCCTCTTCTTCTTCTTCAATGTTTACGAAATCTTACAATGACAAAACTATATGTATCATCTCTTTTTGTAATCTGATCAGGCTTTGCAAGACTGGTCTTAAACCCGATGTGATGATCCAAGTCGAAGACCAAAGCTTCCATCTCCATAAGGTACCAATTATAATGACTCAAATGTCTTTCGAGTTTTGAATTTCTAACTCATACGATCACTTTTAACTTGCCCTGTTTTCATCATCAGTTTCCTTTGTTGTCAAGAAGTGGATATCTAGAAACTCTGTTTAGCAAAGCCTCTGAGACAACTTGTGTTGCTCAGCTTCATGACATTCCCGGTGGTCCTGAAACCTTCTTGCTTGTGGCAAAGTTCTGCTACGGTGTAAGAATTGAGGTCACACCTGAAAACGTTGTGAGTCTCAGATGTGCTGCAGAGTATCTCCAAATGAGTGAAAACTATGGAGATGCAAATCTCATCTATCTCACTGAGTGTTTCCTCACCGATCACGTATTCGTTAACTGGGAAGATTCCATCAAAGCCTTGGAGAAATCATGCGAACCAAAAGTGTTACCTCTGGCTGAAGAGCTTCACATTGTTTCTAGGTGCATTGGTTCTTTAGCCATGAAGGCTTGTGCCGAGGACAACACAAGTTTTTTCAACTGGCCAATCTCACTACCAGAAGGAACCACTACTACTACTACGTTTTGGAACGGAATACAAACAAAGGCCACGAGCGAAAACTGGTGGTTCAACGATGTATCATCGTTCCTAGATTTACCAATGTACAAAAGGTTCATCAAAACCGTTGAATCCAGAGGCGTAAATGCGGGTATCATAGCAGCATCTGTCACACATTACGCCAAACGGAATCTTCCTTTACTTGGTTGTTCTAGGAAAACTGGTTCTTCTTCAGAGGAAGGGACTAACTATGGAGATGACATGTACTATTCACATGAAGATCAACGAAATCTCCTTGAGGACATCGTGGAACTACTCCCCGGCAAAAAGTGCGTTACACCGACAAAATTCTTGCTCAGGCTTCTAAGGACATCCATGGTTCTGCACGCGAGTCAGGTCACTCAGGAGACTCTGGAGAAGAGAATTGGTGTGCAGTTAGACGAAGCTGCTCTAGAGGATCTACTAATACCAAACATGAAATACTCAGGTGAAACACTCTATGATATCGACTCTGTCCAGAGGATTCTTGATCACTTCATGTTGACGTTTGATTCAAGTATCGTTGAGGAGAAGCAAATGATGGGAGATTCTCATCCTCTTAAGTCCATCAAAAAGGTTGCTAGTCTGATAGACGGCTACTTAGCAGAGGTGGCGTCTGATGAGAACTTGAAACTATCCAAATTTCAAGCTCTCGGTGCTCTAATCCCGGAAGATGTGAGGCCAATGGATGACGGTATCTACCGCGCAATAGATATTTTCATCAAGGTAAACTACCTTATAAGCTAAATCTTCAATTGTTTCAAACACTAGTTTTAAAGTTACTATGAGTTGCTTTCTAAGTATCTAATTGATGCATGTATGATGTATCTAATTTGGAGCTATACAGGCTCATCCATGGCTAACAGAGTCAGAGAGAGAACACTTGTGCCTGCTGATGAACTGCCAGAAACTATCATTGGAGGCATGCACACACGCAGCACAAAACGAGCGCCTACCATTGCGGGTCATAGTACAAGTCCTGTTCTTTGAACAGATGCGGCTGAGAACATCTATAGCAGGATGGTTATTCGGCTCGGAGGACAACAATGACCAAAGCGGCGCGTTAGAAGGACACAAGAACACAAACGCAAATATGGTGATGCATGGGATGAGAGACCGCGTATACGAGCTTGAAAAAGAATGTATGAGCATGAAGCAAGATCTTGACAAGCTTGTCAAGACGAAAGAAGGACGCAACTTCTTCTCTAAGATATTCGGATCGAGATCAAAGACTAAGACTTCACCATGCGGCAAAGGAGGTGAGGACGCTCTAATGATTCCTGAAACCAAAATCTGATATATGAAAGAGCAATAACTAAGTAATAACGACAGCTATATTATATGGTCTTAAGAAACTTTCGTCACTTTTGTTCTTGAAGTTTAATATGTTTTGGGCTTTTCTTTTATGCAATTCTTGCTTGCTATAGGATTATTGGAAACACTCTAATAAAAAGTCTGATAGTGAATAAAAAGTGGTCACTGTAACCATTGAAATCCTTCAATGCATCGAAGAATTTTCTAAAAATCTTGTTCATCTCACAAACTGTATATCAAAATTTTACTTTGTTCTAGTTCTTGGTCCAAGGAGACTATGGGCCTAAGACCCATAAATACTCAGTTACCCAATAAAAAAATCTACATCCTGAGTATTTATGGGTCTTAGACTATGGGCCTAAGACTATGATAGATTTTTCAATTAAACAGCAGTTTTCCAATTCTATCTTCAAAATGCTTGTCGTTTACACCTTCATTAAAACAGCACGTTGTTAGTCCGTAAAATAAACAAACGGCACGCATAAACCTCAATACTCAAACAAGTATTAATAATTCTGCTATGAGGCAGAGAGAGGGAGAGAGGCGGCTCTGTTGTTGATCTTCTTCTCCGGAGAGTCTTAACTCTGTGTAAAGCAAAATGATGCGTTCCGTTGACGTCTACGTGAAAACCCTAGGCCCTCCCGTCCGTTCAATTCTCTACTCGATCTTTAACTCTAAGCAGAAACCGCCGTCGCTTTCGCTTCCATTGCACTTGTCGCTGCGTTCGTCGTCGAATACTCCCACTCGTTGTTTCTCCAATGTCCAAGCGATATCCAATTCTCCGATTTACGGAATCCGAAATCTCTTCACTGCGACTGCCAGGGCTATCTCTTCGTCTACGACGGCGCCCGTCGCTTCTGTTCAGCAGCAGCAGCTTCAGAATCAGCATTCAGAGGAGGTTGATGATGAGATTTCTAAGGGCTTAGAGGACGAAGCCAAGCTTTCTATTCCTGTGCGAGCTTATTTCTTCTCCACTAGGTATGATTCCTTTCTTTTACCCCTTTTTTCCAAAATGTCATTTAACCTGCCATTGATGATGATGAGTGAATTTCAAGTGTATAACTTTTTTCACGTTTAAGCTTAAAAGTGGATGTATTTGCCAATGTATTTGATCAAGTGAAGTAGTTTTTGGATTGTAAATTGTGTGCAGCGTTGATTTGAGAAGCTTAATTGAGCAGAACAAGCAGAACTTCATCCCACCTACTTCGCGTATGACTAACTATGTTGTTCTTAAGTTCGGCAATCATTCTGATCCCACTGTAAGTTGATTCTTATAACTTTATTTTGAAGCTGAGGTACTACTAGTGTTTACATCAGAAACAAATTGCTGGACAATCTCATTGTCAAATGTTTGATTCTTCTATGGATTCATATCTGATTTTCCAGTCAAAATGTTTATGATTTGGCTATTATTTCGATTCGGTAATTCCTTATTCTGTTGTTTCAGGGTACTACTCATGGACGCATAAGTGGGAGTGAGTGTATCTACATGGTAGTATTTCATTATGGATCGATTGTCTTGTTTAATGTAAGGGAACATGAGGTTGATGAATATCTTAAAGTAGTGGAGAGGCATGCCTCTGGTTTGCTTCCAGAAATGAGAAAAGATGGTGAGTTGCACTTCTTTTGCTGTGTGCTGTTCGCAATGGTGCTTTGTTTCACATTCTTTGGTTCTGTAAAACTGCAGAATATGAAGTAAGAGAGGATCCAAATCTGGACACATGGATGAAGGGAGGACGGGATTTTATCAGGTTGCAGTCCTTGTATATTGATGGGATCAGAACCATAGGCAGTGTTCTGGGCCAGAGTATTGCTCTGGATTACTATGGCCGCCAGGTAACCATGTCAAATCCATACACATATTCTGGAATGTGAAAAACGAAAAGAAATAACTGTGGGTGAGCAATCTGTTTCTGTTAGGTTGATGGTATTGTAGCAGAATTTACTGACATAAACCGTCAGTTGGAGATAACAGGAACGTTTACAATGAAAACGAAAAAGCTGTTCCAGTTGGTTGGAAAGGCTAATTCTAATCAGGCTGATGTGATTCTGAAGCTTGGTCTTTTTGAGAGGTAAAGAAGTCGAGAGAAGATAGAAGAATCGATGTCTATCTCGACTAGCTTTGTGGGATAATTGCGACTGACTTGTGTATTTGGGAAAATTGTAGGTCAGATATAGCTTGGAAGGATGCGAAATATGGTCAGATATGGGAGTTTCTGAGAGATGAATTTGAACTGACAGAGAGTTTTGCAAACCTTGATTATAAGCTCAAGTTTGTTGAGGTATTTTCTTATCATCATCTACACAATCTTTGTCCTAGTCATTGTGTGGGAAAATAATAATACTTATTGGTGATTTTGCAGCACAACGTTCGTTTCCTTCAAGAAATACTTCAGAACAGGAAATCAGCTTCTCTGGAGTGGCTAATCATTATCCTGATTAGTGTTGAGATCGCGATTTCTTTGTATAATATGTCCACGACATCCTTGTGATCGATCATCCTCTGCCATTTCTAAAGCATATTCATATTCTTTATTATGGTTACCACTTTTCTTGACAATGTAAAGTGATAACAAAGCTCATAAATAATAACTTTAAGAATGAGTTTAGGAGTTAGGACTAAATTTGTTACAGGCTCTCTTTGCAGTGAAGCGTCTGCTTCTTTATTGCTTCTTTTCAGTCCAACAAGACTTGTTTATGCATATAAAATCATTTTTTTCACAGATTCAAGTCTTATTAAACTTATTAAATATTTTTTTGTTATTGCTTTGTTAAAATAAAACATTTCGAATTTACCAATAAAAATAAAAGATACTGAGAAATGTTTTCTAATGATTTTTGTTTTAACTATGAGAACTTTTAGAAATAAAATTAAAAGATATTGAGAGATGTTTTCTAATGAAATATTATAGATGCCAAGTAAACTAATGAAATATTATAGATGCCAAGTAAAATTGAAAGATATAGTCAAAAGCCAAAGGTGACGAAATAAAGTCCATGCAAAATAGAATTGTCACCGCTACAACAACATAATATCGAATACCACCAAATAAAGTTCCAAAAAAATAGATAAAGGTACACACAACTCCTCAAGATCAAACAAGAAGTATGATATAATAAAAACTAGAGCGAGACTCCATAGGATGGGGAAAGATTATTAATGGAGGATCTGGGAATGTATTTTCGAGCCCAAACATGTTTTCCATTAATGGTGTATTTGTTCCTTGTGATCCCATCACTTACAATCTCCGGTATCATGGCTGCAGAACGTAACACCATCTTTGCATACAGCGCCTGCTCATTCCCTTCTCCTCCAGGCATGATTATCGCTTCTATAATCTCCCCAAATCTCCTTCAACACCATAAAACACACTACCATTTAAACACTCCACTATGTATATGCATACAAAAAAGCTTATAAAGGATTTAGTAGTACCTGGTGAAGTAGGAATGCACTTCTGCTTCAGAAATCGGGTATCCTCTAGAAAATGTGAGGAAGACAGTCCTGTCGTCTTCCCTTGCTTGCTCATCCTCAGAGAATGCACCAACCTTGCTTGTTCTTGCTGTTACTTGTTGTCCACTTAAGAACTGGCTACTTGATTCAGCTTTATGAACAACCTTGCTAAACCCCAACTGCTTCATATCCTCCATCACCTTTTTCTCCTCAGCTTTCACGCATATATCCTCAAAAGCTGGGTGACATATACTGTTTAAATGTTTCTTCATCCAAAAAAGAATGCTTTCGCGGTTCTGGTGGATGACTGCGAGAGTAAGGTACTCTCCAGTCATCCGCGTGATCAATGGTATGGTTTTTTGCCCAAAGTTGGCAACAAACATTGAGAAATTTTCGTAGGACAAACAACTCAGACACATCACGACTTCGTCAGCCACTGCGTTGATGAAGAACTCGGGTAAAGAATTAAAGTTGACGATTAGGTTGCTTACGAGACCACTTTTCTCGAGATAGAGGAGAAAGCTCATGACCTGAAGAGACTGGCTAATGTCTCGCCTTAGACGCCCGACAAAACGGCTGAAAAGGTCTCTGTCACACTTGTGGAAAGCATTGAACTCGTCTCGCGTCACCGATACTGCAGATGAAGATGAAGACGAAGATGAAGATGATGCTGAGGAAGCCATTAGTTATTCTTCTCAACGCGGATATGAGTGTATTGGGTGATACTGATAAGTGATGAAGAAATAGGTAGAGTGATTAAAAGGAATCTACTGAAATGTTGAATACATATCTGGACACACATTATTTTCTTTATTAAGTGACCCAATTATTCATGAACCAAATGTATATTCTTTATTTTTTCTTTAATTTCCCTCTCCATTCCTATTTATACTCACTCTCATATTTAGTTATTTCATGTTTCCATTTTATTTTATTTTCTGTCTTCTCTTTACTAGTTTTAACATTCCTATGTATTAATTTTTAGAGTCTACAGTTACAACATTTTAATTTGTATACTATATGGTGTACATTGGCCCTACAAAATCAAGCAATTTCTTCTCTCATGTCATTTTCATTAACTTTTCCTTTCTTATTCAGTTATTCTACTAAAATAATAATTTTTTCATGGCCCTACTATGGACAATGCAATGAAAAGGGTGTTTTGTTCCATATGATAGAGAAAGGTGATGAATGAAGAAACTCCACAACATTCATATAAAGTCAGACAATGTCAGCCAAAACATTCTCTTATTCACAGAGAGATAATGTCGTTGGTAGAATACTGTAATACACAAAAAAAATAAAGTTTGAGTTCATTTACAAGAAGATAGGCTTAGTTTATCTATCAATCCCTTCGATCTTGTCTTCCACCTGCGAGTACAATTCCTTGAGCTTCTCGATGTTTTCAGCGGAAGTATCCCAGTAGCCGCGGCCATTGGCCTCCAAGAAAGTCTGGAGCATCTTCCTGAAGGAGTTGGGATTGGTGTTCATGAGACGGTTAAGCATCTCCTCATCTTGGATGAAAGTTGAGTTGGCCTCCTCGTAGACCCAATTGTCTACTTGACCGGACGTTGCACTCCATCCCACAGTGTTTGACAGTCTCTTCTCTATCTCACGAACTCCTTCATATCCACTTGACATCATTCCTTCGTACCACTTTGGATTCAGCAGCTTTGTTCTTGCGTCCAGCCTCACTGTCTCAGAAAGGGTCCTCACCTGCCATATTCAAGAAATACCTTAAGGAATGTGTTCTTGCAAGATAAAACCGATCCGATATAAACTGAACCGGAAAACTATAGTCCATAGACATTAATGCATGAAGAAAACAGAGGAGAAGCTTCACTAACCTGTGCGTTTGCAGTTGTTGTATCAGCAATGTAAGAGCTCGGTTTCTTCTTATCCTTCCTCAAACTCTGAACTAGATTTGTCGGGTCAGAGTCGAAGTAGTGGCTCACATCAGTCAAGGAAATCTCTGAAGAATCTAGGTTCTGGAAGGTGACTTCTGCAGTGCTAAGAGCCATCTCAAAGACCTGCTTCTTCTCAGCCATTCCTGCTCCAGGAGCATCACTATCAAACGCAAACGATTTGCGGCTCAAATACATGTCCTGAAGCTGTTTCTCATCGTTCCATGAAGAGTTTTCAACAGCAAGACTGATGTTGGCTGAGTATGACCCTGAAGCGTTTGAGAAAACTCTTGTCGCTGCCTCTCTAATATCAATGCCAAGCGCCTCTGCTTGTTCCAACGCGTGTTTTCTCACAAAGTTTTGCTCTACAGGCTCATCTAGCTCAGCCACCATCTTGATAGCTCGGTCAAGAAGGTTCATCTGTTAAGACAATTCAAGAAAGAAACACCATGAGAGACCAACCAACAAGAATCTAAATAAAAGAAGAGGGAGAGCTTTTATCTGTTTACCTGATTGATAAAGAGATCACGGAACACCCCTGAGCAGTTAACAACTACATCGATCCTTGGCCTTCCTAGTTCTTCTAAGCTCACAGGCTCGACACGGTTCACTCTTCCAAAGGTATCAGCAATTGGTCTCACACCAATCATCCAAAGAACCTGCCCAAGAGACTCCCCATATGTCTTGATGTTGTCAGTTCCCCAGAGAACAAGGGCGATTGTCTCGGGATATTTCCCTTCGTTTTCGAGCTTCTGTCTCTCTACCAACCTCTCGACCACAATCTTGGCACTAGCCATTGCTGCTGTTGTGGGAATAGCCTGAGGATCTAAGGCATGGATGTTTTTACCGGTTGGTAAGACCTTGGGGTTTCTGATGGGATCACCTCCGGGTCCTGGCTCGACGTACTTCCCTTCCAAAGCTTGCATTAGACTCCCTAGTTCGTTGTCCATGACCACCAACTTCAGGCACTCTCCAAGGAAACCAAACACTGTTCTGAGCTTATCTCTGTTTGCCCGGTAAAACTTGGTGTTGGACAAATACTCAACCCATGGCTCATTGATTCCAAACCCAAGAAGCGAGGTAAGCTTGTCAGACACATTCACCACCTGTCCTTTGCTATTTGTCGTTTTCTCCACAAAGGCGGAAACCGCGCCACGCGAGGCATCAGTGATCTCTTTGAGAAGCTCTACATCGCTCAAGATACCCTTGTCACTTCCTCTGTAAACATCCTCTATCTCCCTTCCAACACACTCAGCTAATATAGAAGGAAGAGCTGAAATCTCATCCTCCGGGCGATCTAGAGCAGCAATGTTGACCAATGTGGCCACAGCTTCCATGGCGGATGGAGGCTCTCCAATGACGTGAAGCCCGCACGGCAAAAGCCTTGATTCAATCTCCATAATCTTGGAATACACTTTTCCAACCACAGAGTCCCTGTCTTTAGGTGACAACTCTGCCCCTTCATCTGGAAGGTCCACATCCTTATCAAGATTACATTGCTTTGCTGTGCTGATGATGGAACTGACGATCTGTGGACCTCTCCCCGTGTCCTTCAGAGACTGGTACGACGATATCAGCTCGCTCAACTGCTTCAGCCCTTTGTATAGACCAGCATTCTCAGCAGGAGGAGTCAAATAACTGATGGTGTTGGCGTAACTTCTCCTCTTTGCGATGGTAGCTTCAGAGGGATTGTTAGCTGCGTAGTAGTACACATTGGGAATGTTCCCGATAAGACTGTCCGGAAAACAAGCATCGCTCATTCCCACTTGCTTCCCGGGCATAAACTCGAGCGAACCATGTGTTCCAAAATGAAGGACAGCATCAGCTTTGAAGATCTTTTCTACGTAAGAGTAGTAAGCAGCAAAACCGTGATGAGGACTTGCTGACTTGGAGAAAAGCAGCCTCATGGGATCACCTTCGTACCCAAATGTCGGTTGGACACCGATGAAAACATTACCATACTCTTTGCCATAGACCAGAAGATTCTCTCCGTCTGAGTTGAGGTTACCCGGCGGTTTTCCCCAGTTTTCTTCCAAGGCATTTGCATAAGGAGTGAGGTCTTGGTACTCGCGGACTCCCATTTTGTAAGCTACATTAAGGTTAGGACTGCTGAACTGAGCCTCCTTGTCATGAATGATTTCTTCAATAAGAGTCTCTGCATTCTCAGGAAGGCCCTCAACATTGTAGCCATCTCTCTTGAGGTCTTTTAGGACCGAGAAGATGGAAGCAAACACGTTGAGGTAAGCTGCAGTCCCTACATTACCTTTATCAGGTGGGAAACTGAAAACAGTGATTGCCAGCTTCTTCTCTGCCTGCAATGAGCCAGAGTTGATTCATGAGGACATACATTACATGCTTCAGAAAGTCATCAAGGAATGTGATTTCACTAAGGATGAGTGGTAATACAATACCTTAGTTTTTCTTTTGAGCTCACCCCATCGAATCGCCCTGATGCAGAGTTGCTCCACTCTCTTGTGGAGAGCATGTGACTTCCCTGCAACAATTGGTAAACCTCCTCAATAAGAAAACATTCCCACTCTTGTGTAATGAAAATTATGAAATATGCAATATAGTCATAAGTGGACTAACCTGTTCTAGGGTCACGACCAGCGAAAACGATTGGCTCCATGGCTCCATCAAGCTCAGGGAGGGCAACCTGCAGAGCCACCTGGATGGGATGCAGACCAAGTGTGCTGTTTAGCCATTCCTCTGTCGTCTGAAACACCAGTGGTACTGCCACAAGGTAAGGAACATCGAGCTTCTTCAGGGCTTCTATAGCCCTAGGATGATCCTGCCTTGCAGGTCCACCAACTAGAGCAAAGCCGGTCAAGGAGACAGCAGAGTTTATAATGGGCTGCTTCGACACCGGATCTACGAAATATTTCTCAACTGGACCAGAGAAATCCAACCCTCCAGCAAAAATAGGAACGACCTTAGCGCCTCTAGCCTCAAGCTCCATGATAACAGCCACATAGTGACTATCATCACCAGTCACAATGTGACTCCTCTGCAAGACCAACCCAACAACCGTTGCATCTTTCCTCTTGAGTGAGTCATTGGTGTCCCTTCTTGTGTCATACCAGTTCCAGTATTCCTTCACATCGTCGTACATGGTGGGAGCAAGTGGATGCCAAATTCCAGTGTCCAAGAACAAAACCGGATCCGAATACTCGATTTTGACACCTTTCAACGCCGGAACATAAGATCCAGAAATCATCTTAACAAAATTCTGAAGATTATCAGGAGACCCTCCAAGCCAAAACTGTAAACTCAAGATGTAGAGACGAGCATCTTGAGCCTTGTCACTAGGTAAGTACTTCAAAACCTTAGGCAATGTCCTAACAAGCTTCAACATACTATCGGCAAAACCAGCAGAGCCTTGTTTCTTCCTCTTGAAGAGTTGGAAAAACGGAGACTTTGACTGACCCAATTGAGACATACTGAAAGATCCGAGTTTGTTAAGTCTCATTACCTCAGGCATTGAAGGGAAGACAAGAACTGCGTCCATCCTGTCTCTCTCCTTCTCCACTGCATCCTTAACTTTAATCGCCAATTCCTCGACGAAGATCAGAGAACCAATGAAGATGTTGGCGTCTTTAAGGTCTTCGCAGAAGTTGTTGTACGTGTTCTTGTCTCGAAGCTCCTCTACCAAGTATCCAACCACTTCGTAGGATGCGAATCTCGAAGTCTTGTTGAGAGATTGCACGGCCTCAGTGAGAGAAGACTGGTACTGAGCCTCGAGGACGACGTAGACGATTTTCACCGTCGGAACATTGTCTCTCTTGATCGGAACTATACGCCGGACCTCCGGGTTCGTCTGTGTGAAGAGGCCGTTTCCAGATACCGCGGATTTCACCTTGAAGAAGGATTTGGCTGGTTTGGTTGATCTGTGTTTCTTCCGGAGGAAAGAATGTTTGGTACTGTTAGAGAGCGAAGAGAGATGCTCTGCTTTAGAAGTGGATAGAGTGAATGGAGAATACACAAGCGAAGCCATTTTCGCGGCTGATGATAGATTCTCCAAACGTTGAATCGAAGAGATTAATAATCGTTTATTGTTGTTGTCTCTTACACTTCTTCTTGTGCTCCAAGTGGGAGTTTATGATTCTCTCATCGTTAAACGCTTCGGAACAAGGAACTAAAAAAGAAGCGTTGGTTTTGAAGGTAAGTGGTGAGAGGGAAGGACACGTGGACGAATGGTTACGCAAGAGGGGGGAGTCTACTTGTGAGGTTGAGTTTTGTTGGATGTATATCCGCTTAGGACAATAAGATGGACTTTACTGGCCTCTGATTGGCTCATTGAGATTTCTATTCATATTTCATGGTTTGGGAGTGTGGATATTGAGTGCTTATTATTTTCTTGTGTTATTTGACTATTATTTTTTATGTTGCTGTCTTGAAGATCGTAAATGCGGTTTCAGCCAAGTAAAGGATTTTTTCCGATGACGACACTTTTACTAGGCATGTTCATCAGGGTAGCCGGTTCAATCCGGTCTCAAATTTGCCAAATTTTGTATAATTTTTGGTTCAGCTTGTCCGGTCTGATATTTTCCTACTAATTTCTTAAAATCTAGCTCTGATCTTATAAAAGATACACTCAGGCTTTATTACGTATTTTTCGAACAACATATCTTAGATAATGTAGTCAAAATCTCGATCACATAACAACATATCTTAGATTAACTAAAAGCTTAAGGCTATAATAACACCAAGCACACATCTCATTGATTCACGGTTCGGCATGGGGGTAGTGAGATCTGATCTCTTTGACTCTTTCTCCCTTCAAAGTTAAGTTTCTCTGTCAGGTTTTCAGGTTTCTTCCTCAACCTTTCTACACTCTTTCTTGTTTTCAATTTTCGTCGTTAGACCTGAGTTAATGATTCTTTATTATAATGGGGTAGAAAAGTATAGTTGAATTAAGCTCATCAACCTAATTCAACCCAAGGTAGGAAATTAGAATTGCTTCTTGAAATATGACCCAACACCAATTCATCCAGCTCTTTTTTCTTTTAGTCGAGTCTCCAACTCTTATATTTTTTAGTCATTCATTCAATTTCCAAATCTCCATTTTCGTGTCATCATTTTCAAACCAATTTGTTGTGCTTACCGTCAACCTACTACACCTTTAGTAATACTCCTCTTCTTACCATTTCCACCTAACTCATTCTATGTCTAAGTCATGACTTCTTTTTTTGAACTTCCCCTTTCATGGTTGCTTTGTTTTATGGTTATTTACTATTCTGGATTACATATATCACACAAACCCTCCAAGGACCTTAGCGACTGGAGAGAATTACCCCAAGACCCAATGGCAGTAAAAATGTAGGTGTAATATTGACAAAAAGTATCCTTTAAACTTATTTAGGCCATTCATTAATAAGAAGAAAACAAATTATTCTGTAGTCGGCATTTATAATCATAACTAAGAAAGATAAATAACTGATTAAATTTGTAAATACATGTAAAACGCAGGGACTTGTTAAATACAGGCGAGATAAATGTTAGGACTAATTAATGAAAGCAACGAAACGGATCGGACGGTCTAAAGTTGACCATGAACCGCAACCTGAATCAGGAGCAAAGTGGTCAAGTTTCGCCATTCGGTCCGAGTCCCTTGGAATATCATAAAAAAAAATACAAAACAGAAAAGTCGACAAAAAAACAGAAAGAAAGAGACAAATTTGATTTGATTGGTTCCAGAAATTCGCAGCGAAACAGCTCTTTGTCTCTCTCTCGACTGGTCTAAAAATCCCTAATCTGGGTTCTGAATTCCTGGAAGAGATTAGACAAAGTCCGTAGCTTTATTAATCTGGTTAATTTCAAGTGACAGAGATGCCCCTTATTCATCGGAAAAAGCCGACGGAGAAACCATCGTCGCCGCCATCTGAAGAGGTGGTGGTACCCGATGAGGATTCCCAAAAGAAACCACACGAATCTTCCAAATCCCACCATAAGAAATCCAACGGAGGAGGGAAGTGGTCGTGCATCGACTCTTGTTGTTGGTTCATTGGGTGTGTGTGCGTCACATGGTGGTTTCTTCTCTTCCTTTACAACGCAATGCCTGCGAGCTTCCCTCAGTATGTAACGGAGCGAATCACGGGTCCTTTGCCTGACCCGCCCGGTGTTAAGCTTAAGAAAGAAGGTCTTAAGGCGAAACATCCCGTTGTCTTCATTCCTGGGATTGTCACTGGTGGCCTTGAGCTTTGGGAAGGCAAACAATGCGCTGATGGTTTATTTAGAAAACGTTTGTGGGGTGGAACTTTTGGTGAAGTCTACAAAAGGTTAGCTCAATTCTCACTCTTCCTTTTATATGTCTTTATATTGGATCTGATGAGATCACGCACTTGTTGCTTCTTGAACATCACTCAAACTTTAATTCCATGTTTGTCTCAATCTCTAGTCGCTTTTTAGATGTGAAACGCTACTTTCTTTTAGAGACTATTTCTGTATGTGTAAGGTAAGCGTTCCAAGGAAGTAATTGGCAGCTTTGAATTGGACTATTTCTGTTTGATTGTTAACTTTAGGATCTGAAATAGCTGCCTTGGAATTTCAAGTCATTTTATTGCCAAATCTGTTGCTAGACATGCCCTAGAGGAGTTCGTTCATAACAAGTTACTTCCTTTACTGTTGTTGAATGTAGAGTTAGTTGTGTGTAGCGTATAATGAACTAGTGTTTTATGTTCTGTTAGGAATAGAGAAGTTCTAAATATATTTGTGAAAAGTGTGTTTAGGCTGTGATAGAGCCTAGAGGACTGTTGCTTAATTTATTCAATTATGTACATGTGCAATTAAAGATTTAAAGCTAGTTTCATTTTGTCTTTCAGCTCAATGTGCTTTTCTCAAATTATTTCTGAGAACTGAATATGTGATTTTCAAAGTTTCCACATCAAGTTTAGTTATATGTCTTGAATTTCCTCCATCCTCGTTCTGTTAACCAGCTATGAACTCCTCCTGAGTCTGCTATAGATATGTAAGAAAAACTGTTTTATGGGCTGCATCTTTGTTACAATCTGCATCTTCTTCTTTCGGCTCAATGTTCATTTTTTGCTATGTTAGAGATGAGACAGTGTCATTGTTGATAGTATCTTAACTAATTGATTATCTCTTTGATTCAGGCCTCTATGTTGGGTGGAACACATGTCACTTGACAATGTAACTGGGTTGGATCCTGCTGGTATTAGAGTTAGAGCTGTATCGGGACTCGTGGCTGCCGACTACTTTGCTCCTGGCTACTTTGTCTGGGCAGTGCTGATTGCTAACCTTGCACATATTGGATATGAAGAGAAAAACATGTACATGGCTGCATATGACTGGAGGCTTTCGTTTCAGAACACAGAGGTTCTTTTCTCATATTTCTTTCTATTATCCTGTTCCATGTTACGTTTCTTTCTTCATTGCTTACGGCTTAAATATGTTTCATGTTGAATTAATAGGTACGTGATCAGACGCTTAGCCGTATGAAAAGTAATATAGAGTTGATGGTTTCTACCAACGGTGGAAAAAAAGCAGTTATAGTTCCGCATTCCATGGGGGTCTTGTATTTTCTACATTTTATGAAGTGGGTTGAGGCACCAGCTCCTATGGGTGGCGGGGGTGGGCCAGATTGGTGTGCAAAGTATATAAAGGCGGTGATGAACATTGGTGGACCATTTCTTGGTGTTCCAAAAGCTGTTGCAGGGCTTTTCTCTGCTGAAGCAAAGGATGTTGCAGTTGCCAGGTATTGAATATCTGACTCTGCTTTTGATAATTAGAACCTTGGCCCTGGAACTCAAACTTATGCTACTAGATATCAATTCTAATAACAGTGCTATATTATTGAACAATATTGACGTTGGTTGATTATTTTTGTTGCTTATGCAACTGAAACTCTCTTGAGATTGAAACAATTGATGAATTGATAATGATGGTTACGGCAGTCGTGTGAAAGAGTGAACTTCTGGGACACTTTGAGTTTTATGTAAGTAAATGTCGAATTGGTACTTACCTATATTAATTATCTTGATTTTGCCTCTTTAGATCAGTTTGCTGTGCTCATTTTTTGTTTTAGTAATAGTTGTCTAACTTAATACTGAGAACTTTGGTGCAAATGCGACAAAGAAATGCCTGATCATTATTAGGCAGTCTAAGTATAGACCTACAGGAAGAAATATCAAAAGTCAAGAGTCTTTTTAATTCTTACGCATTGCTCTTTAATGACCAGTTTCTTGGCTTTGACAAAAACACTTGTCATACCGTCTTTTGGAGGACATTGAATTTTGCTATGATAAGCGATTAGCTTCCATGATTACATTCTTTACCAACTAATGTTATTTTCTGATTCTTTCAGTTTTCTTGTATATGCATCTATGATCTTTTATTTCTTCTTAATTACAGGCCATTGGATTAGTTGCACTTTTAGTCGCTTGGTTCCTTAATAGAACTTTACTTTCTTCGAAAATTGCAGAGCGATTGCCCCAGGGTTCTTAGACACTGATATATTCAGACTTCAGACCTTGCAGCATGTAATGAGAATGACACGTACATGGGACTCAACAATGTCTATGTTACCAAAGGGAGGTGACACAATATGGGGCGGTCTTGATTGGTCGCCGGAGAAAGGCCACACCTGTTGTGGGAAAAAGCAAAAGAGCAATGAGACTTGTGGTGAAGCAGGTGAAAATGGAGTTTCCAAGACAAAGCCTGTTAACTATGGAAGGATTATATCTTTTGGGAAAGAAGTAGCAGAGGCTGCACCGTCTGAGATTAATAATATTGATTTTCGAGTAAGGACATTTAAATCATACTAAACCTTGTACTTTTGGTGATTATATGATGAATATCTATACATTTTATTTGGTGAAGGGTGCGGTCAAAGGTCAGAGTATCCCAAATCACACCTGTCGTGACGTGTGGACAGAGTACCATGATATGGGAATTGCAGGGATCAAAGCTATCGCTGAGTATAAGGTCTACACTGCTGATGAAGCTATAGATCTACTACATTATGTTGCTCCTAAGATGATGGCGCGTGGTTCCGCCCATTTCTCTTATGGAATTGCTGATGATTTGGATGACCCCAAGTATCAACAGCCCAAATACTGGTCAAATCCGCTAGAGACAAAGTAAGTGATTTATTGATACCAACTCTATCCTTCGTCCTGATGCATTATCAGTCTTTTATTGTTCCATATGGTTTTCAGCTCCAAGCTTACAAAACTATTTGAGCCTTTCTCAAAAAGGCTTGCTCAGTTATATTTAGGTGCCAAAGTTGATACAGGTGATGCTTGCTTATAGAAGCAGCTCATGGTGGCTTTGGCATGACAATTAAATCAACTAATTCGAAATTTAATTTGTTGAAAATCTTTATTATCACCTTCATGTTTTAAAGGAGTGTAGTAGACTCTCTCTTCATTTTCTGGGATCTACCGGCAATACCCTGGAACTCTTCGTAGCATATGATGTCTAGTGTTGCTCAGTTAATCATTCCTGTGAGGCCTGGAATATAATTGTTTTCTGTCCCATTAGGATCATTCGTCCTCTGTTTTTTTGATATAGATAAAATGAATACTCCGTTTGGTTTGTTCTGCTGTTTCAGATTACCCAATGCTCCTGAGATGGAAATCTACTCATTGTACGGAGTGGGGATACCAACGGAACGAGCATACGTCTATAAGCTTAACCAGTCTCCTGACAGTTGCATCCCCTTTCAGATCTTCACTTCTGCTCACGAGGAGGACGAAGATAGCTGTCTGAAAGCAGGAGTTTACAATGTGGATGGGGATGAAACAGTACCGGTCCTAAGTGCCGGGTTCATGTGTGCTAAAGCGTGGCGTGGCAAGACAAGATTTAACCCTTCCGGAATCAAGACTTACATTAGAGAATATAATCACTCTCCGCCGGCTAACTTGCTGGAAGGGCGCGGGACGCAGAGTGGAGCCCATGTTGATATCATGGGAAACTTTGCGTTGATAGAGGATATCATGAGGGTTGCCGCGGGAGGTAAAGGATCTGATATAGGACATGACCAGGTCCACTCAGGCATATTTGAATGGTCGGAGCGTATTGACCTGAAGCTGTGAATATCATGATCTCTTTAAGCTGTCTGTCAGCTTATGTGAATCCAATACTTTGCAAGAGGGATCATCAACAATTCATCATCATCGTCATCATCATGATGCTCACAAGTCACAAAGAAGCCTGAGAATGATACTTTGGTGCAAAATTCTCAATACCTTTTAAATATTCATATTGAATGTAAATTATATGATCCTATTTAATGTTTGATCCGTAGAACGATAACGCAAAACTTGCTGCGCCATGTTTATTTGTCTTGCCGAAAGCATCGATTTGGGTTATACGCGTAGTGTAGAGGATGATTGAAATTTGTTATAAATTTGGTAATCAAAGTTAATTCTGAAAATGCAACACCACACATGAACTATGTCACTAAGGCCTAGAAGAAGATCGTTATCAGTAATAACAGACTAATAGTGAGCCACCATGTATTGTTGTATCTTAAGTTGGGAATCGATAAGTCGAAAGAGTGATAGACGTGGCTTAACCTGGTCCCTCTAAATCCATACGACGAATCGCTTAGTCTTCTTAATGAAATCCTCGGAATAAAACAGCAGCTTCTCCTCTCCAACCAAATAAAATCCTTTAGCTTCTCTCTCTTTCTATCTCTCCTTCTGTTTCGCGGCGGAGAGAATTGAAATGGAGCTCAGCTTGAGCACTTCCTCCGCTTCTCCTGCGGTTTTGAGGAGACAAGCTTCTCCTCTCCTTCACAAGCAACAAGTGCTCGGCGTCAGCTTTGCTTCCGCGCTTAAACCTGGAGGAGGAGCTCTTCGATTTCCTTCCCGCCGTCCGCTTCCTCGTCCCATCACTTGCTCCGCCTCTCCATCAACTGCCGAGCCAGCCTCGGGTCTTTTTTTCTCTCTTATCTCTTCAGATAGTTTTGTTACTGAAAATTGATTTCGGTTTCGTTCGAGTTAAGTCAGTTTGAAATAAGAAAACTAGTCAATCAAAGTTCTAAGAATTACACATACGTTAGTTTCAATATATATATTTTTGTGGTTGATTGGTTCTCTAAATAAAATCGCTCTTGGTATGTTATGCCAATAGAGGTGAAGAAGAAGCAGTTGGATAGGAGGAACGACGTGAGGAATATAGCAATCGTAGCACATGTTGATCATGGCAAAACTACTTTGGTTGATTCCATGCTTAGGCAAGCTAAGGTAACACCTTAAACGCAAATAATGGCATTGGGGTTTTTTTTATCCAACCTGACAAAGTTTTCTTAATCCATGCCTTACTTTGCAGGTTTTCCGAGATAACCAAGTCATGCAAGAGAGGATCATGGACTCAAATGACCTTGAGCGTGAAAGAGGAATCACTATACTTAGCAAAAATACCTCCATCACTTACAAAAACACGAAAGTAAATATTATTGATACTCCTGGCCATTCTGACTTTGGGGGTGAAGTGGAGCGTGTCTTGAACATGGTTGATGGAGTGCTTCTTGTGGTAATATGTTGCTTTCTCTCAATGCTTTAGAATTCACTTTTTCAGTTCTGTATTTCTCATTTTAATTTTCCTCTCCTCAATTTCTTAGGTGGACTCTGTTGAGGGACCAATGCCCCAGACAAGGTTTGTTTTAAAGAAGGCTCTTGAGTTTGGACATGCAGTTGTCGTGGTCGTTAACAAGATTGACAGGCCTTCTGCTCGTCCTGAATTTGTTGTCAATTCCACATTTGAACTATTTATTGAACTAAATGCTACAGATGAACAGGTATCGTTGATTTGGGTTTGTCTATCCTTAATGATATTAATATGTCACTAACCTTAATGATATTTTTGTGGGGCCTGTAGTGCGATTTCCAAGCGATATATGCTAGTGGGATTAAAGGAAAGGCAGGCCTTTCTCCGGATGACCTTGCAGAAGATCTGGGACCCCTGTTCGAAGCTATAATCAGATGTGTACCTGGGCCAAATATTGAAAAAGATGGTGCACTTCAGATGCTTGTAAGTTATTGTGAATTTTTACTGTTTCATGTTTTTTGTGTTTGTTCCCAGCTAGTGCCGTTATCTTGCATATTTAGATCTCCTAGCCAAAAATCTACACATCAAAAACTTGTCTCTCACCAACTAAAAGCAGTCACTTGCTACAAGCTTCAAATCCAAGAAACTAACGATCCAGTGGCACTCTGAAATAATGAAAACAGTTTGTGGCGGTCAAATTGATAAATTTATCTCATCTATTCTAAACTAAAGACCACAAACTTTGCGTCCTTGCACATGTGGCCATAATTAATAAATTGGGATATACCTCAAACCAAAATGTGAAAGAAATTTCAATGAACCAGACAGTCTAGTTGAGTGGATATTCACTTGTATGAAACTAACATACTTTTCTTTTTGTTCAGGCCACAAATATTGAGTATGATGAGCATAAAGGACGCATTGCTATTGGACGACTACACGCAGGGGTACTGCGCAAAGGAATGGATGTCAGGGTAACATTTTGATTATCTTGAACTTATTCCTTTGTTATGGGACATAAATGATGTGGGCTCATATAAAAAGTATTACCTTAAGCTAGTCAATCTCTCAAGTCTTTCCACCTTGAAGAGCAGGTGGCCTCTGACAAGATATTCTTGGACGAAATTTCTATTAAGTTTCCTAGGTTTCTAATTCATTAAATTCTGTGATGAAATACGTCCAAGACCTAATTGAATGGGGGATGGTGCCAAAACCTTAAGAACCAGCGAGTATATGATACAAACTCACCAACTTCTTGCTGAACTGATATGGTTTATAGTAGACTTACTGGGGTATAACTTTACAGGTGTGCACTTCTGAAGATTCCTGTAGATTTGCAAGAGTTAGTGAGCTTTTTGTATATGAAAAATTCTACAGAGTACCTACTGATTCAGTGGAAGCTGGAGATATTTGCGCTGTATGTGGCATAGACAACATTCAGGTACACACGTATAAGAATAGATAATTTTATGCCAAATGTGAGAGACTGTTGTAACGCTGGTGGATAATTTCTCCCACTTGTCATTTTTCTTTTTGTAGCTTGAGTTGTAACGATAGATTTCCTTGTATGCCCTAAATTTGCAGATTGGGGAGACTATTGCTGATAAAGTACATGGGAAGCCTCTACCTACAATCAAAGTAGAAGAGCCAACTGTGAAAATGTCCTTCTCTGTAAACACCTCGCCATTTTCTGGTCGTGAGGTAGGTCTAATCATGGCTGATGTTACTGTCTTGAGTCTATCTTACTGTATTTTCCATGAATGCATGGCTACAAGATATTACGTGGGAAATCATTAACTTGGATGAGGCAACATTGTCTACCAAAAAGAAAAGGATTAGTGCAACAATTGAATTATCTTTTTTTTTTCTTTCTGTAGGGGAAGTATGTAACGAGCAGGAACTTACGAGATCGTTTAAACCGTGAACTTGAGAGAAATCTAGCTATGAAAGTGGAAGATGGTGAGACAGCAGACACATTCATTGTTAGTGGGCGTGGTACATTACACATTACCATCCTGATAGAAAACATGTAAGTACTTCAGTGTCCATCATTCATTTCATATTTGAAATTGAAGATAGCTGAACGGTTATATGTTCCAGGCGAAGAGAAGGATATGAATTTATGGTTGGTCCCCCGAAAGTTATCAATAAAAGGGTTAACGACAAATTGCTGGAGCCATATGAGGTGAGTTTCTGACTGAAGCTATTAGTTTCCTACCAAAGGAATTAGCAGCAACTTATGAAACCCTGGTTTCAGTTTGATTTGAATATCATTGGTTTAATTGTCAACTCACTGAAAAGAACTTTTGCGTTCGTGAATTAAAGTAAAGACGCACTATCTAACTTCAAAATCCACCAATTCAGATAGCAACTGTTGAAGTACCAGAGGCTCACATGGGGCCTGTTGTTGAACTTCTTGGCAAAAGGCGTGGACAGATGTTTGATATGCAGGGTGTTGGGTATGTATTTATTTCTCTTGCCATTTCTTTATTTTATTTGCAAGGTGCTGGGTGTGCATAAATCTTCTGCCTCTTAATGATGATATCGTGTTAAGACTGCTCGTTTAAATTGTAACATTTTTATCGTGTTGGGAATAAACTGATTAAGATATATAGCGGTTATTTTTTTGGGTTGTTTATAGCAGCTGTTTGGTGATATTAGATGACTGTAACCATCATATGACATGCACAAGACATGTTACTGCTTTGAGAACCGTTTGGTCATTATCTCAAGCAGGGGCATGCAAGGGCTTTTCTCTATCTGTCCACTTTTACTGCATTTATACAAGAACAACAATACATGATGTCATGTTAAATTTTTTTTTTTTGTGTGTGCAAGACGCTTGATGTTTTTTTGAGATAAGCTACTTGGTAAATAACTAAATATACAGTATGCAGCTTTTAAGATCAATCTGACCATTCATGTGAATCCTGAATGACAGATCGGAAGGAACAACCTTTCTGCGGTACAAAATCCCAACACGTGGACTTCTTGGATTGAGGAACGCAATCTTAACAGCTTCTCGCGGGACAGCTATCCTTAACACTGTATTTGACAGTTATGGACCTTGGGCTGGTGATATTAGCACCCGCGATCTGGGTTCGCTGGTAAGTTGTAGGTTCCAGAAATTAGCAATCCTAATCGATAGATTGATCGAAAGTGGTCACAAAATATGAAAAGTGAACTTTTTGATGGAAACATACCATTTTGGTAGTTATTTGTTGTCTGAATAGTTGTGTGAATTTTCAGGTTGCCTTTGAAGATGGAACATCAACATCATATGCTCTGGCGAGTGCGCAGGAGAGAGGGCAAATGTTTGTAGGTTCAGGAGTGGATGTATACAAAGGTCAGATAGTTGGGATCCACCAGAGACCCGGCGACTTGGGTCTTAATATATGCAAGAAGAAGGCAGCGACAAACATAAGGTCCAACAAAGATGTAACAGGTATTTCATATATGAATACATATATCATATCTTAACTTGTGAAAGTTTCAATTCCCATCTGCTCACAAATCATCTTTTCTCAATTACAGTGATTCTTGACACTCCCTTAACATATAGTCTGGACGACTGCATCGAATACATTGAAGAGGATGAGTTGGTAGAGGTTACACCTTCAAGTATAAGGATGTGCAAGAATCCAAAAATGGCAAAGAAAGGCAGGCAGTAAAACCCATTTTTGCAGCTGGGGGTTTGGGTGAAATTGAAGAAAAGCTTCTACTAAAAAAAAATGAAAGCTAGTTTCTAGTGTTATTTATAGGCTTGTTTGATTCTTATACATAGTCTTATTCTTATAGCAAAGGGTGAGTCCTCATGTAATCCAGTTAATGTTTATTTTGGAATATCTCCATGCCCTTTGATCCATCATCTGATACTTAAGCTGTACAACTTCTAAAGTTATTGCTGGCCGATATGGTTGCTTAATATTGGCCCCAGAATCAGATCAGATAAATTTGATCATGTCTTACTTAAGCATGCATTTGTCTGTCTAAGTAGGACTTAGCTAGAATTGCAATAAATATATCAAAAAGGCATTCCCAATGTAATGGCTAAAAGAAATCTTTTTTCACGACAGCACTATACCGGCATGAGCAAGCTTTTTAAAATTGGGAACGGGGCCATATGCCCACAATGCAAGAAGAAATCAAACGATAAAATATGAATGTTTGACTTTTTATTTAATTTTTTTTATTTTTTTATATTGAAAATATTAAGTCTTCTGTATAAGAGCATAGGCAGTGGTAAAAGTGGGTGGGCCGTGGGTGTGTGTTAGTGGGGTTTTATTAATAAAATAATATAAGAGAGAGAAAGTGAGAAGCCAAACCCTCCCACATCCGAGTGTAACTCTACACGCGGGTTTCGTTTCTAAGACAACTTTTTCATTATTTTCCTTTTTTTTATTACTTACACCCGATGCAGAGTTACACCACTGTATATGCTTTGAGAGAATTGAGAAGTATTATTATTTTTATATGTAGAATTTAATGTTTATTAATAGTATATAATAAATCCGGAAGATAATCATGATGTTAATTTAATAGTTGCACCAAAATAATTCTTAATTAAACAGTTAATCCGACGGATTCCTACCAAAAAAACATGATCAATATTCGAAAAAAACAGTGCCAAAATTCGACTGTTACACCAAATCGAGGACTGAGTTATATAGTACGATGAGTCACAATGATCTTTAAACTTTGGGCTGCATTTACTGTCCTTTAACGTTAAGAGTCTCTTCGAGTCTTGTTGATGATCCTTCCTCTTTCACTCTTGCCTCAACCTCTACTCTCTCTCTCTCACTTCTCTCGCTCCGAATTCTGTGCCTTCTTCTTTTTTAACCTAAAATCCTAATCTACTGGTTGGATTCTGGGTTTTTGACTTCTCCTGTGGTCAATCTGACGCCGCGTTCTAGCTACTGAGGAAGCTAATATTAACTCTTAAGAACAGCTCTGCGATCTCACTCCCAGGGATGCAATTCCAAGGTATGAGCTAAGATAATTTCGTGATTTTAGGGTTCCACTATTTCCCCATTCTTGACGAGAAACTGTCCCTTACCTAATTTACCCGTCTCTAAGTTTGTTTTTCATGCCTTCAAAGTCTCACAGTTTTTGGTAAGTGTAGTTATTAATTATGATCTCTGGTTGGTTGGTTGTGACAGAGGATGAGATTCCATATTCTAGTTCTGGTTCTTCAAGAATGGAATTAAAGCGGAGTCATCATCAGTGGTTGACAGAAGCGTCTAGCTCACAAGTATCCAGTAATAAGAGACAAGTCGTAGAGATTGATGCTCTTATGAATTTATCTGCATTGGACACTTCTCTTGTGCCCACAACACACTTCACTGATTGCTTATTCGATCCTGCCAATGCGCATTCTTCATCACATCTCCTCCGTGGTCGAAATTATACAGAGGAGCAATCTATTGGTTTGTTGCCAGTGGTTCATGGGAGCTCTTTTAATCTTGACACCGTTAGGAAAGTCAAAGTCAATCAAGTGTCTGAATCTGGCAACTTGCCCGAGTTCATGGTTCAGCTTTATGGTGAGGGAATTTCAACATCATTTGAAACGGTTCCTTCTTATAATAGTGGTCAAGAAAGCACGCTATCCTTTGGCCAAACCTGCACTAGTAGTATTGACAAGAGCTTCATCTTGCCTGGGCCATTCGCTACCAAGGCGGATGGAAACTTCATTCGAAATTTTAGTAATGAAGGTATTGGTCTCGTACCAACGGGTGATATTTATGACAAAGGAGATGGAAATGTCTTGTCAACATTTCATCCATTTCAGAAAGGAGTAGAAAACTTTGTATTGATGGGTCAGTCTCTTCAAAAGGCTGATTGCAATATCTTCTCAGTGAGTTCCTCCTATAACAAGGGACAGGAGAACTTTATGCCTCTTCTCTCTTGTGATAAATTGCCTGAAAACGTTTTCTTGACCGGCTCAAACTATCACAAAGAAAATGCCAATGCGTTGTCAGGGGGACAGTCCCCATTTATGGAAGGCTGTGAGATGGCATGTATGGTTTCTGGCCAAGAGAGAGCAGATCGAAACAATGATCAAATTAGGCACGAGGATCGAAGCCAAACCCTATCTTTTGGAGATTATCAGAAAGAAACCACAATGGGATCATCACTACGTGTTATTAACAGTTATGAGAACTTCAGCCATGACCCTGCAACTGCTAAAGATCCTCTTCATATGGAAGCAGCGGAAAATATGTCTTTTGAATGTAGAAATCCCCCTTATGCTAGTCCTAGAGTTGATACCTTGCTGGTGCCCAAAAGTAAAGATACAAAGACAGCTAAGAAGGGTTCTACAAATACATTTCCTTCAAATGTTAAGTCATTGTTGTCAACAGGAATGTTTGATGGGGTTACTGTGAAGTACTATTCGTGGTCACGTGAGGTCAGTTTGTTTGTTTTACCTGTCCTGAGAATTAACCTTTCACCTTTACTCTTCTGTGTGCTGAAACATAATTTGGCAGAAAAATCTCAAAGGGATCATAAAGGGGACTGGGTATCAATGTGGTTGCGGCAACTGTAACTTTAATAAAGTAAGCAACCTGATACAAATGGTTTCAGTAATTCACTGGCAGGTCATTTGATACAAATCTATGTTATCTGTTTGTTTTCCAACTGAATCCTGCAACAGGTTCTTAATGCGTATGAATTCGAGCAGCATGCTAATTGCAAGACAAAGCACCCAAATAACCACATATACTTTGAGAATGGAAAGACCATTTATGGCGTTGTTCAAGAGCTGAAGAATACACCTCAGGAAAAATTGTTCGATGCTATTCAAAATGTAACAGGATCTGATATCAACCATAAGAATTTCAACACCTGGAAAGGTACTAGTGCAACATAGACATTTTAATATGATATAGCTGCTTAGAGCATGACAACAAGATACAAAAGCCAATCATTGTTCTACTTTTGTCTCTTTTCAGCTTCATATCACGTTGCCAGCCTTGAACTTCAGCGTATATGGGAAGGATGATGTCACTTTGGCCTCTTGAGAAGACGAGTTATCAACTGGCAGGCTTTTTGTCGTAAGTGAAGTCCAAGTCCATTCTTGTTCTCTGTAACTAAAGCTCCTAATAGTAAAGTCTGGTGAAGTCTAGTTCTCTTACTAAAGTATATAAACTACTGCAAGAACTCCAAATTCTTAGCTTTTGTGAGACTTAATGTAGCGCATTGCTTGCTCTTATTCTGGCAAACCAATACTATCAAAAATGTTTTTGCGATATATAGAGATCCTGGAACAAAATCGGCATCTTAGACTGACTCTTGAGATCGAGCTGCTGTCTTCGGGATCTTAAACTGGTAACTGATGGATACTACTTGGTTATTGTCAGGAATTGGAACTTTCTGTTGGTCAATCTTTACCACAGTCTCTGCGCATCCATCGTTTGGTTGAAGCTTCCCTCCTTTGTCCTTGCTTTTACCCCATAGTACCAAATATATCCCAATGACAATGACAACTGACCCAACAACCCTACAAATTTAGAAGCTCATTTAGTGAAGATCAATTCTCTAACTTCAGATCTATCACAATAGTAGTCTTAGATCAAGGCTATTATTACCTTCCTAGGTACATTTTTTCCATGAAAATAAAGGTACTCAGAATAGCAACGAGAACCATGCTGAGTGGGTTAAACGCGCTCACAAAGACAGGCCCTCTCTCCTTTGACGCCCATCCAATAACATAGTATGCCAACCCTGAGACAAGTCCCTGTGGTACAATCAACAATACTTCTTCTCTCAGCAAACATACACACAAAAGTGTTTTACTGGAAAATGGAAGAACAGATACAAGAAATGTTGTACCCCGTATATTGAAGCTAAAAGCGTAACGTCCGGGTTGATTTTCCAGACCGACATGTTTTTCCTTTCCCATATCAGTCCCATAACAGTAGCCTCCAACATCCCCATAATGCACATAAGAGCTGTTAGCGAGAGCTCAGCTTGATATTGAGCCAGAATCTTTGCCTGAAAAAAAACAGAAATTCCTCTGTAACCTTCACTCTGTGATTTCACAGTTTTGTTCACTAGTGATATTCTCAATCAAAGTTTTATGCTGAGAAATATGTTAAGCATTAGTAAAACTGGTGGAAGATTTCTGGCTTTAGGTTAGCTAGCAAGATTCAGGGACACGGAAGCGGGAATGGATCCTACCTGTAAAATGATGTAACATGACCAACTGAAGCAGCTTGCTACAAGCATAATTGATCCTCTTGCTATATCTTCCTGCTTTGGAATCCCCATAGCATGCGAATGCGCATCAAGGCCCCTTGAGTTGCTTGTCCAAGGCAGCACAATGACATTCCCTTTCACGAATGTCATGAGCATTGCTCCTCCAATAGCCACCATGGTTCCCACCAGTTTTGCCTGGCTGTGACGTCTTTCGATTGTCACCTTCTCGAGTCTTTCAAGAAAACAGAAACCGAGTCAAATTGTTTCAGTACTGAAATGATGTATGCATTAGCAATAATATTGGTCTAGAGTGTGAGAGAGGGAGAGAGTTACTTGAAAACGCAGGCCATAATGAATGTCATAGCAGGAAGTGCATTGCACAAAGCTGATGTGAATGTGGCAGTGGTAAGTTTCATCCCTGAGTAATACAGGTTTTGTTCGACCACAGGCCTGCGTTTGTGGTCATTTAAACCAAGTTACAACGGACTATCATCATAGTCCATCAGAAATGATTTAAACAAACTCTTACTCAAATAAACTAAGGATGGCAATTTGTAACAAGATTTTGAAGGTCATCCTTGGTCTTGAGTTCCTGCGTTTGCAGCACAAGAAACCGTGATTATGACTTCATATATAATGTATGTTTTTGTGTTACAGGCCTGCATGAACCGGCAGAAGAAGAAAAAAACCTCTCAAGGACGAGGGCGAAAGGCGTAATGAGAGCCGAAGCAACTGCCATTCGGTAAGCAACTAAGACGTGAGGGCTCATTCCCGCGTTCAAAGCTAATTTTGCTACAATAGACATCAGTGCGTACAAACACTGTATGAAGACAATGGCTATGAATGGTCTTGCTCTCTTAAACTTCATTCTGCATAAAAGCCTCTCTCTTGGTTAGAAAAAGAGTTGTCTTTGGATAAGAAAGAAAACAAAGTTGTATCTATGCGTGTATATTTTATACATAGATTCTGTTTTGAAGCCTCATAACGTTTTCATGTGTACCGACGTAAAGAGCATTTAAAAACATTTTGTTGAAGTGCAAGGAATTTAAGACATTTGCCTAAAAAAGAGGAAAACATAAGAGCACTAAACTCGTGTTTTAAGGGGTAAACATTTCTTGATTGGTTGGGTGCTGATTCTCATAGACCACTTTGATTAAATTTTTGTCAACATACCACTTTAATTAATTTGGCAGTTTCAAGTATTAAACTCACTAGCTAGCTTCCGCTAGTTATATGACATTTGTTTTTGTTTTTGTTTTTCTTTTCTTTTCTTCGTCACATATTTTGTTAATCGTCTAAACCGATCTATATGAGTCCTATATCACTTTATCAACTGCTTCTGATGGATTTTTCTCTATTATATAAACCATAACTATCTCGATAGGGTATAGGGACCTAACATGTACAAATTAGAGACCTATATAGTGTAATCCAAACAATAATGAGACCATTTTACGACACAAAGCAAAACAAGAAAGTGAGACAAACTAATATGAAGTGGATAACCAATATGATTTACGACACACAACACAATTTACCAAACAAAAGTATGGTTTATTTGAAAATAATTATGGTTTTTTTCATGGATAGTACTGACAACAATAATTTCTTTGGCATCACATTAATTTCTTATTCTTTTTTATAAACCTACTTTGTACTCTTATATAGATATCTCCTCGGCTCATCACATTTATCATATTTCTTTTACTTGTACCAGCTTCTAAACACAACACGTTATTTGACATGCACCTAAAAACAACAAACATAACACAACACGTTACGTGCGTATATATATATCAACAATGACATGCGGTTGATTATGGATGATCTGCTGATTGATGAATAGTACTGTTGGAGTTCGATTTTTTTGCTGTGAATCATGGAGTTGACCCTGGTCCATGTGCGGAGACTCTTATTTGCGAAAAGATGGGGCGACTAGTGAAACAAATGACATTGACTACGTCTTGGGTCTTTTTTTTTTTTTTTTTTTTTTGGGTTAAAGATCTTTGCGCGAACAAGCCTTTTTGTCTCTTTTAATATAGATTGCCATTTCACTTAGTTTAGGCTGGTTTATGTACTGCATCGGTGGCATGATTGGTTTGTATCTTTTGTCCTTTTCTTTCTTTGGTGTAAATTACAAAACCTTTCACTAGCTTAAGTGTTTATTACACTTTGTATTTTGTCAGCAACTCATTTTAATAAAACTAAACAATTGAATTTGATCTTTATAATCAGATGGAGCATTGGTCATTTTCCAATAAACCTTATCTTGTGCAACACAGAAATCTAAGCGATGAACAAAAATGTAGCAGATGCGAAGTCACAAGCTGATGTGAAGTTCCAAAACGGCAACAATAGGAAAGAACCAAAACGGTAGAGAGGAAGGTTTGATGTTTAAAAGCACAAGCTTGTTCATATAGCTTATTCAGTCAAAAACAGATGTAGATATTTTCATGGGCTAATGAAGACCTTAAGCATCCAGCTAAAGTCATCTGAATCTCTTGCTGTGGATCTCGTCTTCTGAGCATAACGTTCAAAGCAATAAACTTCTTCGTCTACGTTCTCGCTGGACACTGTATCATGTGCTAGCTCTACAGCTGCTACTTGCGAGACCTGGAAGTTCTCTGCAGTCTGTTGCAACTTCTGTGCAGACTCCATTTCACCAACTGTAACCAGACATATCAACAACGACTTCAGCTCTCGCTTTCCACCTTCGGTCATACGCATACCCTTCAAATGATCAACAAGAGCCATCTCCTCACCCGCACTACATTTTTACCCCAAATTTATTCATTTACATTTTTGCTCATCATTGGTACAAAACAATTTGCATAAGAGATGTATATATACCTGCCAGCACGGATTTTCCCACTCTTTCTCTGGCGCCTCAAATCTCTTGCCCTGCTAGTAGCCGTGCTTGAGCTGACTGAAGCAGCAGAACCTCTCCTTGTCCTGGAATAATAGCATAGAAAACAACAACTTTTAAGTAAGATCCAAACTAGGTAACTGTTTCCCTATTTAATCCACAAAACAACTACATAATAGAGACTTTGATTCCCCAGAGAAGTCCTAATTCTCTACCCAATGCCCTACAACTTTTATGTTAAGACTTGTCAACAATCTTGTTACTTCAAATGCTTAATCAAAACCATAGAATCCAGAACATGACCAAATCTCCTTTTGAATCGTCAGCTATCAGCTAGCAGGCTCAATAATCATGCACTAAAGCCCCACCCGGAAACTTATCACTTTACCAATACAAAATTATATATTTTGGAATCTTCATGCATATAATTAGATGCTGGTTAATCGAGGAGGATACAATCAGAAAATATGTCGAAGTCATCAGAAAAAACCCAAATATGAGCTCCTGTTTCTAAAAACGATCAATACCTAATTCCGCTCTGTTTTAGTTTTGAATATGTTAGATCAGCTGAGAAAAATTCCACAAAAATAAAGACTGAGAGAGTAAGACAAATGCAAGGATGTACCCCAAAGTATAGGCGCTCATTCCACTCAGGTTACTACTTGCTTCTGAAGCTGTATCATCATCAAGATCAACTACAGATCGTTCCTCGGATTTGAGCTTTGCTGCAAGCAATAATCGTCTCTGCCGAACAGCTAAATAGCGAGTCAAATATTTACCTACCTTTTCTATTGATTCTTTGAATTCACTTACTAGACCACTAGCACACTCCAGAGCAGAACTCTTCACCACTGAGATTCTATCATCTTCTGTATGCAAAAATGAAACTCTTAAAGCCTCTTCCCATTCCCTTGCATTGACAAGCAAACTAATTCCACCGCTTATATCTCTGCAATACTCAAGAGCTATTTTTGCTGCTTCCGCTGGCTTCCCAAGAGCGTTGACCTCTTCACAGAGTTCATATGCCAATTTCAAGATCTCATCTTTACCTAATTTCATTAGCGCCCCCACTCTGAGTACCCCACTCCAGTCACCACATTCACGATATGCCTTTGAAGCCTTTTCCAGTTTACAGCAACATAGGTACGTAGTAGCAGCATCCTCAAAACGTTTTTCATCAATGAGATGATCTGCCCAAGCCTCTAGAACAGCTTGTTTCTTCTCAGGATCAGTAATTAGCTGGAGGCCCAGCGGGAAAAGTTGAGGGTTTTTCTTTATTAAGTTCATGCAATCAGGAAAGTAGCCATCCCCTGCTGATACAATGTTCCTAAGAGCACTATCAAAACGCTGCAATTTAATGTCAATCTTGAAATGCATCAGGGATTCGGGCATTTTTTCCAGCTCCTGGAGATAAGGTAAAAATTCTTTTGGATCACGCTGGGAATTGAGTGCCACAATAGCTGCAAGGTTCAGATCATAAAGACCTAAGGCAGCTTCAAAGACAGCATCAGAATCCAATAACCACAGAAGATGTTTCAAGGCTTCTTCTGCAGATGGACAAGACTTTTTCCTTATATCATCAGAAGAGTTAAGCAACTCCATTTCACGAACAGATTTTATCCTCAAAAGAGATTCTTCAATAGCTGGTGGATCACTTCGGGCAAGAGTGGTCAAAATACAGAGTTCCCTTGATGGACTCTCTGGTATATGTTCTTCAAGGGCCTTCCTAATTGCCAGTAGAACTGATGATACTTTGTTACTGCAACGATCTTTCACTTGAAAAACTTTGTCTCCCTTTTTGGAGAAGGAAAATTTCTTGTACACTGTTTCTGTAACATCTTCATTCTTCATGGCACAAACAAATTCTGTAACATGGTTCAAATTGTTTACTTGCTCAACAAATTCTACAGCTGAGTGTAGAAATGCCTGCCACCCATATAGATCCACGATAACATTAAAGTCGATTCTATGACGCCTTACCAAGTTTAATGCATCTTTGAACCGTTGCTGAGCTAACGCATTCGTAATGGAAGAGAGGACCAGCTTTCTGGGATATATGCACTCCAGATTCCCCCGCATAGTTTGTAATATTACAGCAGCTTCGTCTCCATTGAGGACTCCTATCACTTTTGCACCTCTTTCCCATATATTAACATAGCTCATATTTTCCTCATCTCGCCTTCTACCATCAATAACAAAGTACACATTTCCAAGTGCCACATCTCCCTGCAGTACATCCTTGGTATCGACAATAAAGAGAAAATCCTGTTTCGTCAAAATAATCAGATGGGTAACCACTTCATTGGCCAACTCTGAATAAAATGAGAAACTGCTACAGTTATTACATAGGTTCTTCCCATTGATGTACAGTCTACCCATATCATCAAGCCCACATATCAAGGGTTTATGCACCCCACTAGCATCAACCTGCGCCACCCTCACCCAAGGACAAGTCGATGGAAAACATACACTATCATCACTTCGAGTTTCCATAATTCCTGACCTTGATGCAAATCCAAGCACTTTCCCACCCTCAAACTCTACAAAGGCTGAATCACGCTTACTAGGATTCCAGGCAAGAGCCAGGACCGGTGATTCGAGAAGTGTCTGGAAAGTAACGCTAGCCTTAAAGCCAGAGCAAGTCACTTGATCAGGAACATGATCCTCATGACAGACTACTTCAACTTCTTGTAAATAAGAACCATGAAGCTCTGTCTCATACGCTCCTGAAGAGAGACACTTGTTGTGGCTAGAACCATAAGCGGAGACACACAGAAGTGAGTGGGCATCCAACCATAGAAGATGTACAATAGAGCCCAGTGCTGTTTTACAGTCTGATATTTCCACAATGAAGTCTTTGCCTTCGAGATCTTCCCAATTATTAGGTGCAGGAAACTCAACAAAAGACAGGTTTCCATCTGATAAAAACACAGCCAGACAATTCTTAGAATTCCTTGAGTAATATGCTATATCTCTGACAGCAGAAGAAAAACTAAGGCTGAACAAATACATAGGAGGTGGCATCAAGGACAAAGATAGTGGTGTCACGAGTATCTTGGAGTTATCTATGACAAAGGCGGTTGAGTCCTCCATGACCGCTGTTACCCACATAAAGTTGCGAACAGACACCTGCCCTGACAGAGTCCAACATATCAACTGCAGTGGCTTTGTTGGATCCCACATGACCGTTACCCCAGCTTCCCTTGGATACCTAATCTCCTGTTTCAGGTACCAGTGGTTGTTGCTAAAGAACCACACCCTAATGGCATCATATGTTTTGCAACTAACAACCCCTGCAAGAAGATCTGATGCAGAATTCCATTTCAGAGTTTGACATGATTCCGTAGCATCTTCTGGTTCACCAATTCTAAACGAGCTCCTCTCAAGTCCATTCCTCTCGAAGAAAGCAATTGATGGACTGCTATCATCTGACTTCCTCTTATAAACAGCTGCGATTTTAGCACCACTCGGCATCCATTCAAGAATCCCCTGCGTAAATTCTTTTGTTTCTGAAGAAGACTGCAAAGCACCGGAATCACTTTCCCATATCTTAATCTTCTTAGACATACAACCGGATTCATAAACCTCACCCATAGTCGCAAAATACTTTCCATCACCTCTCCAGGAAATTGAAATACCCCCACAAGTTACAGACAAATCATCCGCCTCACCTAAAACAGTATTTAAATCACATGGTTAGCAAATGGCAGAAGCTGTCCACGATAAATTTCAACTAAAACCCATAAATTAAACCCTTATGCAGTCAATTAGACAAGAAGGTAAGGGGTCCTTACGTACGTAACCACCTTCAGGAACCTCTCCAAGCGCCCTCTCGTACATCAAAACCCAATCATAAGTCATTACAAGCAACTGCCCAAGACCAGTAATCAATCCAAGTAGATCTCCAGTCGGACTAGGCGAGATACACTTGACACCTCCTTCTATATTTCCAACTAGCTCAGTCACATCGCTCTCCACATTATGCAGTAGCAGAAGCCCATGAGAAGTCCCAATTAATAAAGACTCCTTCTCCGCGAGATAATCGAAAGCCGTGATGAAATCTCCAGGCTCCATATCGATACTGCAAACCTCCACAGGCAAAGCACTCCCAGCTCTTCCATTCTGCCACATTATGAGTAAGAAATCAATACAAGAGAAAGAAACACCATAACAGACCCTACTCCCTAATTTCAGTTGCAAGTTCCTCCACAAGAAACTTCAGTCAAAAGTGAAATTGAAACCAAAGTCCCCAGCTTTTTTTCTCAATCGTTTCTTACTAAACAAAAACATGATAAACCAAAGAGGACACGAATTCTCACAGAAAGCAATTGGCTTACTTGGAAGGAAGAGAGCTGAAGGGCGTAAACGAAATTAGCAGAAGATGCGAAAAATAAGCGACTTTGGTCGATGTCATAAGCTGCGAACTGTACAACTTCTTCGGTCGAATGCAATTGGATGTTCTGAGAAACCTCGGAGTAAAGCTTCAAATTTTTCATTCTCTGAGAAGTAAGAATCACTTCAACATCAACGAACTTTGCAGCTACAGATCCAGGAAGCAGATTTAAACCCCAGAAATCACTGATATTATACTATTTAGGGTTTAACCTAACAAGATAAATCACGGCTATGCGTCTTCGTCGTCTCTGTTTCCTTTTTTCGTTTACCTATAAACTTGAAAACGACCCGGTTTATTTTGGTTTATACCGGTTTATGATGAAATCAAATATTATCCGGCCACTTTCTTAATAAGAGATCAGTTTCTATGTTATCTGCCTTTCCTTGCTGACTCTCTCACTCACTAGTGACGAAGAGCATCAGCATGCATTCCATCAAATTGGTTTTTTTGGTTCTGTTGGTTCTTTCTTTTCACTCTCAATCTTTGTCAATTAAACATCATCCAACTATTGATGGTCTGCTTGACTGTTTGGATTCTCTACTACCAACTTCGTCTGTACAAGAATCAGCAGCAAAGGGTTTACTGCAGAGACTGCTTCCGACCCATCTTCACAGCTTTGAGTTCAGAATTGTCTCAAAGGTGCTTCCTTTTCCTTATGTTTGTGTTTATTCTACTGTACTGATTTCTTATTGTCTCAATAGGATGTTTGTGGTGGCACCAGCTGCTTTGTAATTGAAAACTATGACGGCCCGGGACGAATTGGACCTGAAATTGTGTAAGTATCATCTGATTTCTTGATGACGGATCAATATTACTTGAAATTCTTCTCTTTTAATTTTGTCATCTTGTATTTTAGGATTAAAGGCACAACTGGAGTAGAGATTGCTTCTGGGCTCCATTGGTATTTGAAGTATAAATGTAATGCTCATGTTTCTTGGGACAAAACTGGTGGAATTCAGATTGCCTCTGTTCCACAGCCTGGACATCTACCTCGTATAGATTCTAAACGCATCTTGATTCGGCGTCCTGTCCCTTGGAACTATTACCAAAATGTTGTTACATCCAGCTGTAAGAAATATTCACTTCTTGGGTTTCCTCATGTGTCGATGGTTTTATAATGATTCACTCGCATCACATTCCTGCTACTGCCTGCTTTCTTGTTTTTTCCAGACTCATATGTTTGGTGGGGATGGGAGAGATGGGAGAGAGAGATTGACTGGATGGCATTGCAAGGAATTAACTTGCCTCTAGCATTCACTGGACAAGAAGCTATTTGGCAAAAGGTTTTCAAGGTAAAAAGCAAGATTGCAATAAGAAAGTGAAATTTTCTTAAACAGTCTGTTGATAGTAATTGTTTGCTGTGACATGATTGGATATAAGTTGATATGTACTGCTAACAAAGTTCTATATCAATTTGTTTAGAGGTTCAACATCACCAAAGAAGATCTGGATGATTATTTTGGTGGACCAGCCTTCCTTGCTTGGGCTCGCATGGGAAATCTTCACGCGTAAATAACCCGATCTCTGATATTTCTAGGCACCTATCGCCAGTGCTCCTTCTGAGCTAGATTTGTCTTTCATTCTTGGAGCTCACATAATCATATTTTAACTACATCTACATCACAGTTGGGGTGGTCCATTATCGAAAAACTGGTTAAATGACCAGTTGCTTTTGCAGAAACAGATACTTTCTCAGATGTTGAAGCTTGGCATGACTCCAGGTCCAAGAACAATCACTTTCTTCTCTTTTCATATTCTCGATAGATTGTTCTCATAGCATCTTATATTTTCGTTTGCTTCCTCCTTTCCTAGTACTCCCATCATTCTCAGGCAATGTTCCATCAGCTTTGAGAAAAATATATCCTGGGGCAAATATAACACGACTTGATAATTGGTATGTGTTCCTTCTGTAAATCATGCCCGAAAACTTTTTTAATCCAGTGGATGAAACTTTTTGAGTTCTGTGATGAGAAAATAAATGCTAGTTTTTTACTGTTTTGTCTTCACATTGACAATAACTGTACCATTTGTGTTTCATTTCTTCTCAGGAACACGGTGGATGGTGATTCTCGCTGGTGCTGCACTTACCTTCTAAATCCTTCTGACCCTCTCTTCATTGACATTGGAGAGGCTTTTATTAAACAACAAGTTGAAGGTACCCTGAAGCTGTTTCTGTTTTCATAATCTTGGCAAATTATGTAATCCATTAAAAGCCATTTTCTCATATTAGATACATACTAACAAAGATCCCACCTGATCACAGTTTTTTTAAATATAATTACATTTATCTGTCTTTAATCTTACCTTGTTACTGTCTCAGAATATGGAGAGATTACAAACATATATAACTGGTAATTATCTCCAATTTGCACCTAAGAGGTGAATTATTTCTTGCAACTTTTTCTAGTATTTTGGACCCAGGTAAGTATTGGTGAAAACGATCTTCCCCAAGAATGCATGATTCATGCAAAAACCAACTCTCTTTATTTGAAATAATGATGATACTAATCTTACTTGCGTTAATGCAGTGATACATTCAATGAGAATACTCCTCCCACAAGTGAACCTGAATATATATCTTCACTAGGAGCTGCAGTGTACAAAGCTATGTCAAAAGGAAACAAGAATGCTGTATGGTTAATGCAAGTATGCCTCCATTTCCATTTTATTCTCAGTGGCATACGTACTTTAGGATGCTATCTAGAAAACTAAAAACACACAGATTTTAGTATTGAAGTTACAGCAATCTTGAATGACGGGGCAAAGATTTCTCCATTTCTAAAAGCTTTCTTACTTGAGACCCATCTTTTTGCAGGGTTGGCTTTTTAGTTCAGACTCAAAATTCTGGAAGCCGCCTCAGATGAAAGTAAGCACCCATTTTAGTGTATATGATGAATGCTGATGGATCCGATATCACAGCATCGCTTGCTTTCTGCAGGCGCTCTTACACTCAGTTCCCTTTGGCAAAATGATAGTTCTTGACCTATATGCTGAAGTCAAACCGATATGGAACACGTCCGCCCAGTTTTATGGAACTCCTTATATCTGGTATATTGTTGTCTCAGTTCCTTCTTATGCCTGAGTCAGTTGTATTTTACGTGTTGTTATTAAAATCCGATGAATTCTAGGTGCATGCTTCACAATTTTGGAGGCAACATTGAAATGTATGGGGCTCTTGATTCAATTTCTTCAGGACCAGTTGATGCTCGTGTCAGCAAAAATTCAACCATGGTATTTCATAACTACTTTCACAATATGTTTCACATTTTTAATCTTATGTATACACTTAGATGGGGCTATTTTCTCCTCTCAGAAATGGAATCTTGTTATTTGTGTTGCACATAGGTCGGTGTAGGAATGTGCATGGAAGGAATAGAGCAGAACCCGGTTGTTTACGAGCTAACTTCTGAAATGGCATTTCGAGATGAGAAAGTTGATGTACAGGTAATGTATATACAGTATACACTCTTCATGTGACACTTGAAACTGTTTGCACAATCAGTTTCATACATTTTAATATTCGTGTTCATAGAAATGGTTGAAGAGCTATGCACGCAGAAGATACATGAAAGAAAATCATCAAATCGAGGCCGCTTGGGAGATTCTGTATCACACTGTCTACAGTTGCACTGATGGAATTGCAGTACGTTTTGTTGGTCGCTACCGCAACATCTCTCCTTAGATCTTCTCTATAATTCATAAGAAACTTGCTTTTAAAATTCTCTGTTTTAGGACCATAATACGGATTTCATAGTCAAGCTTCCGGACTGGGATCCATCTAGTTCTGTACAAGACGAATCGAAGCCAACAGATTCATATATGATCTCCACTGGCCCATATGAAACAAAAAGAAGAGTATTGTTTCAAGATAAGAGCTCTGGTTTGCCTAAGGCCCATTTATGGTATTCTACAAAGGAGGTGATCCAAGCTCTCAAACTTTTCCTGGAAGCTGGGGATGATCTGTCAAGGAGCTTAACATATAGGTAGATGCAAGTAGAAATAGAGTATCTACCATTTTAATGGTTACAGATTCCTATGGGTTTTGCTTGCAGGTATGACATGGTTGATTTGACGCGTCAAGTTTTATCGAAGCTAGCAAACCAGGTGTACATCGAAGCAGTGACCGCTTTTGTAAAGAAAGATATCGAAAGCTTAGGACAATTGAGTGACAAGTTTCTTGAGCTTATAAAGGACATGGACGTTCTGCTTGCCTCGGATGATAATTTCCTTCTGGGGACATGGCTTGAGAGTGCAAAGAAGCTGGCCAGAAACGGTGATGAAAGGAAACAGGTGTAACATCAATTTTTTTTCTTGGAACGTGCGGTCAGAAGAAGTATATTGCTTGCTCATGACTGTGTTTCTGTGTGTACAGTACGAGTGGAATGCGAGAACGCAAGTGACAATGTGGTATGACTCGAAAGATGTGAACCAAAGCAAACTTCATGATTATGGTAAGATCTAAACTTTAAAAGGATTTTTAGTAGATAGAGCTTTAATAAAAACTGTCATCTTTTGGCATCTTCATCATCAGCAAACAAGTTCTGGAGTGGGTTACTTGAAGACTACTACTTACCCCGAGCGAGGTTGTATTTCAATGAAATGCTGAAAAGCTTACGAGAGAAGAAGAAATTCAAGGTAGAGAAATGGCGAAGAGAATGGATAATGATGTCACACAAATGGCAACAAAGTCCATCAGAGGTTTATTCAGTTAAGGCAAAAGGAGACGCCTTGGCTATTTCAAGGCATCTGTTGAGCAAATACTTCCCATGAGTTTGCTCAAGAGTAGCTCAAACGAATAAATAAATAAATAAAAGGGTTAGGATTCTACTTTCTAGCTAGTGCCTGAGATAAAATTGACATTTGTGTAGATTTGAGAGTTAGGCTTCTGGTGTGTTAGTGTAAGAGACTCGGTGAAGTTCAATAAAGGTTGTAACAACAAACTCTGCTTCATCTCTTCCAACAAAGATTTACTTGTGTCAATACCTGCAAGGTATCCTCCGTGTACATACCCACTGAACTTTTCACTTGTGTGTTCTCCTGTGAAGAAAACCCGTCCAACTGGGGCCTGAATAACCAAAACTGTCTTAAATTCCTGACAGACATGTGTGTTTGTGTGTATGTGTCTTAATAACAACAAAAAAAGTGTGTTACCTTGATATTTTGCAGAAGCTGATTATCAGATATCATAGGGTAATTACTGTAGCTACCGCGTTGAAACCGGTTGTTCCACCACCTGGGGACAAGAATATCGGTTGCGTAAGGAATGGTGGACCCAAACATGTCCCTGAGAACACTCATTGCCTCTTTCATCGTCTCTTGGTCTGATTGAGCTTCAACGCGCTTTGATTGTTCGTTGGTCAACGTCACCACCAGAATATTAGAGCCCGGGTACGCATTTTCCATGTGCTGATGATAACAAAAGCAGCAATTAGATTCACATATAAGCTGGAGAGGAGAGCAAGCAAGTTGTAGTAATAATAAAAGCTAAATGGTGTATGCATACACATTATAATATAATATTGTGTGAATTCTATACTCTTGAACACATGGACCATGCCGCTAGTTAGACACACTCAAGATAACTAAAAGCAATGATAGTTAAATCAAAGGGACCCTCAGGTGTTTAATTTTAAGATTAGAGAGTCAATATGTGCCACGTTTCGACCTTAAGTGGAACGACAAAAAGATGCATCGAGATTAACAAAACAAATAGAATCTCATTATTAAGGGAAATCAACCTGCCAAAAGGTGAAGTAGCCGCGTTGTTCGTGTGCATAGATGAAAAACTCTTGACCAGGACCACATGGCCAGAAACATTGAGGGAACTTTAGGAAGATCTTGGTGTACACCATCACATCACATTTTTGTATAGCTTCTGTTTTCCATCTCTGTCACCACATATGATTTTGTAAATAGTAAGGTCACAAGTATATCGATTGAATAATAAAATATTGAAAATATCAATTTCATATAGACACCAAAAATTATGACTTTCTATCCTAATGGCTGATACAATTTAATATATCCCTAGATTCATGCACATTGATTGATTAAAAATCTCCACCTTGTATCTTTTAAATGTTAAAATAAGTGTAAAAGATAAGACCAATGAGTAATTAATCATAAACTATGATCATAGCGGAGAAGAAGAGAAAGTAAACTAACTGGTAAAGGCGGTTGGAAGGAGAGAAGATCGGACTGGAGAACACCGATACTCGAAGACACGATGACATAATTGGCTTCGTATACGGAACCATCCTCTGTCTTCACCACTACCCCATTCCTAGACTGTTGCACCTCCCTAACCACCTGCCATTAATTCCCACAACTTCATCACATTATAGCTCCATTATAGATTACTAATATAAACACAGCTTTCAAAGTTAAGCCAGCTGGTTTATGTGAGGCAATAAATAAAACACGCTCATTCATGCATACCCCACAATAATGTTTCCCAAGAAACTATCGACTTAATAAGATCACCAATTGAAAACTGTTACTAGTATACAAAACAAATAAAGTAGCTACAAGAAACCAAAGGCTGAGAGAACCTTAGCAGAAGAAAAGATAACGCAAATCAAACCAACCGAATAGAGTACTAACAACAACTAAAAAGCAAAAGTAGCTTTCCATCAAATAATATAGTCTTTTTAATTCAACCTAATCAATATCAGAGATCTTAATTTACCTGGTTTAGTTTGAGGCGGTTGTCCAAGATATTTCCATGTGAGGTAAAGAGAAATTCCTCAGCCATTTTATAGAGTAAACATTCGTAACCTCTTTCATCAGCAACCAAGAACTCTCTTTCACCGAAGTCCACATAAGTGGATATTGGCTCAACCTCTGAAATCAGTAGTAATAAAGAATCAATCAATATGCAACATTATTATATGGTGAAAATCATGTGTGTTTCTCAGAACTCACCTGCCATCTCAAAATCATGCAAGATAAAGTCAATGGCTAGTTCTATTGGCGTCTTCGGTGACCTAAACACCAAACCAAAAAACATTAGAGTCGAAGGAAAATCGAAAACCAGTAAGCAAAACAGAGAGGATCAAGACTCACGAAGGAGTTTCTTCAGCTACTTGACCAGAAGAACATTGAGCTTCAAGGCTCTTTAACTTCAGAATCGCCGAGTCAACCGCCTTTTTATACGAGTCAGCAGCGATTCCAGTCGGGAAGATTTTACCACTGTAAATTCAATCAACGAAAAACGGTTAAAGAAACATAAATCTTGATTCTTGAGGAGTGAGTGAGTTAATTTATAATCGGAGATCAATTTTTAACCTTCGATCGTAGATATTGAAACGAGCATTGGTGTAATCGGAAAAGCAAGTACGGAGGTTAAAACGAGAGGCAAGCTCCCAAACAGGATTGGACTCTTTACCACCGACACCGGCAATCCAACCGGCGCCGAGCTCAACCGGCACGTCACCGAAATTCTGTTTCTGTATTCTTCCACCGATCCGATCCGTCGCTTCCAGTATCAATACATCTTCTACTCCGTTCTCGACGAGAACCTTGGCCGCCGATATTCCTGATTTCAAAATAAAATTCCGTTAGTTATTATCTCAAAGAGATGGTGATAGTTCGAGGACGAGTGGTAATGGATGTGTTAATACGAACCGGAGATTCCGGCGCCGATGATGATGACGGAGGAGGTAGACATTAGAGAGAGAAGGCGAAAACGTTGTTTGTTAGTTAGTTGGTTGGCTTGGGGCGAGAGAGAAGAAGGGGTTGTTTCGTTTTCGTTTATATATAGAGAGAGAGAGAGGGAGGTGGAGGATTTCTACTTCTACTCGAACTTAAACACCTGATAACGCGTATCTTAAACGCGCCTTGCGTACACGGTACCTGTGGCAGGGTTTATGGCATCATAAAAGGGTAGTGACTACGATTATGTTTTTCTCAGGTGTATATCTTATTCGGGCCTGAATATTCTAAAGCCCAATAGTAAAAAAATATTATGGCCCACTAAATGAATTATGTTAAGAAGAAACAAATTTCAACAAGGATTTGGTGTCGACCTCGCCTTCTTAACGATTAGATATATTTGTGGCCCTTTTCATTTCGGGAGTGGGTGATGGTTCGAAGCTTCATGGTGTCGGATCTGGGGAGCTAGATCGAGCTCTTCCGCTTCCCTTGTTCTTCCCGCCAGAGATCCTAGCCGTCCGAAGTAAAGTGGGTGAGTCGAGTCTTAGAGTCTACCGGTGGTTGGGGAAGGTTCCGAGGGTGCCGGTGGCCGAGATTTGAGGATTCCCTCAAAGCCGGTTTTCTCGAGAGTTTCTTCAATTTACTGGTTCAGTCCGACTAAGAAGCGAGACAACAAGGCAGATGCGATGTGGCCAATCCGGAAATGCACCGTGAGGTGAAGGTTTACTAATCCGTGCTCCACTCTAATCCTTAGGCGATTAGTATTACGAGTATTGCTTGGTTATTTCGGAGATGTCTATGGCTATGCTGGTTTTGGTTCGTGTCTCTTGGTCGGGTCAGTCGGACGTGCTGTCCGTTTTTGGTTTAAGACCGGAACGATGAATGCCGGGGATCCCAAGCTTTCCAGATAATGCGCCTCCGGGTGGTGATGCTATTGGGACAAGTTCTACAATCCGATCATAAGGGACTAATAGTGTGGATTTGATTTGTAATTCAGTTTAGTTTTGGTCTTCTCCGTGTAAGTTGTTGTTCTAGTGTCATTAGGGTCAATTTAGGTGGTTTAAGAGATGATTTCACTCCAGTCGTGGCGTGTTTCATCTCGCAGTGGTTGAAAAATACAATGATCTTCAGTTGGGTAGCGTTGGATCCGTTAGTGTTTCAGGGTGATACTAGACTGAATCATTGTATTTGAGTGAAGTTTGTCGAGGTCAAATGATTTGTAATATCGATTTGGTGAATGAATAGTTGATGTTGAGCAAAACAAAAAAAAAATATATATATATATATATATATATTTGTGGCCTTGGAAATATCGATGGTGGCATTTTAGTCTTAACCCTGCCAAGCTACACTAACTTGGGCCAGAACCGGTTTTGTACCCATTAATACTTTCTGAGAAAAATATTGTGATTTATGCACTTTCTAATTAGAGATTGGTACTGTTGAGTTTTTTTTTTTTAACTCTTGGTTTAAATTATGGAGCGACTATAAAAGAGCACAGAGCAAGCAAAAAAAAAAACACTTCTTCTTCTAACTTGTTTTTATTTTCACTCTTCCTGCCGTTTTAAAAATTATTATTTTCCTTCTTCTGTTTAATTTTGCCATTATTTTCTTCTAGCTGTGTATATAATTCAATTCACGATCAACAACTTCATCAAAAGGAGAGGATTCAATTAAGCAAAAAATTGTATTATTAGATCCATAGAGGAAAACACAGATTCTTCCTATATTATTAAGGGAGAGGACAAAGGAGATGGTGTCAGCAAAATCTCAGGAATCAGTATAATTCAAAAGAATGCAATGTGCCACTGTCCAAGCAGACTCGTGGATGTAGGGTCCCACTTTTGAATCTTGACATAAAAACGACAAAAAAAAAAAAAAAGGTTTTGGAATCTTAAGAGAGAGAGATACCAATATATTTTGGGCATGTGCACATGATTCAGATTTCAGACAAGAGTACACGTGACATGTTACGAACATCCAAAATAGAATTGGTAAAATAATAGTAAGTTGCAACAAAGTTTCATCTAATAGACATCCAAACACTGGAACGAATTCAGATAAACAGAAAAAAATAAGATTGCAAATTGAGAAATTTTGTCACTTCACTCGACCTACGCGATGAGCATCTCTCATCCGCTTACTCTGGCTTCCGGGCCAAGAAGAAATACATTGGCGTGAAAATCTCTCTCCTGGGAAACATTGATCCATGAGGAGATTTAGAATTTGACCAAAAAGAGAAATCTAATTTTAAACTTGAAGGTGTGAATAAATATAAGTTGGGATTCTCTCACCTTCCACCGTCGACTAATCCTTCTGCAGCCTGCTCCAGGAAATTTGAGACCCTTTGGCTTCCTTGAGGTGCGAGTTTTATGTATTCAAGGATCTTGACCTACCCATAAATAATAATGACAAGTTCAGATAAATGAACTACTAATAGTTGATGAGATTTGGCAGATTAGTCAGAGCAAGTTTTTTTACCATGTTTTTGGTTATGAATCGTCCAACAGCTGTAAGGCGAAAGCTACTGAGTGAGAAATGATTTTTGTCAAGAGGTAAGTACCATGGGACCGGCGAGTCCTTGGCCAGATCCTTTTCCCATATCACCTTCATCCAAGGCAGACGATAATAGTATTTAGATGTTGAAATGTTGATGTATTTGGAAATAGAGAGGATCTGAAGTCAGATACTTACTTCAAAACCGGCCTGCTTCAGAGCTTCGAGGCATTTTGTAGTCAGCCTAATGTCAGGAAGACCATCTCCAATCTCTACCTCTGCCTGCAGAGTGGAATCTTTGTTTGTATCCATGTTGATAATAGATGCGCAAATGATATGGATAGATGCAAGGGACACACTAACCTTTATTTTCTGATGTTCGGCATTATCAGGGTCAAATGCATCAGTCATGCACCACTCATAGGCAGCAAAACATTGCCCGGGCTTTAGCACTCTGTAGATCTCTTTGTAGCATCCATACTGTTGTTGAGATCATAATGATGAATCATATAATGCATATAAAATTTAGGGAACAGAACAATAATAGCTGTTTAGAATTCTCATACCGCATCAGGTGCGTGGCAGGTTGCTTCTATTGCATAAACTGCATCAAAACTGTTTTCAGGGAATGGCATCTTCATGAAGTCAGCCTGGAAGATTAACAAATGACAGCAACTTTCATCATGTTGCCCGTTGCAATGTGTTTTCTTATTTAAACCATGATTTACAATTTGTGCAGTGAATACAAGAATTATGAATTCAACAGACCTTGACAAAGTTACATGTCTTGTCAACACCTGCAAGTCGGTTTAGTTCCTGCAAAGAAAAAGATGCCAATATAAATCGTAGAAGATACCAAGGAAATAAAGCAGAAATCATATGATTACATGCCAGGAAATGCATAATCTTTTCGCAAATATAGTTACTTTACCTTGCCTCTGGTGATCTGGTATTCGTTATTGTTGAGCCCTGTAACAGCTGAGTTGCTGCAGCAGAGTAAACGCAAACACAGTTCATAATTGAACTATGTTCCTAACCATAAAATCTATTTCAAAAGTGATGATAGCAGAAGCAAATAATGTAAAGAGTGTGCGCTTTTGGTATATGTAGTCATTTTACCTGAAACGTGCAATTTCTCTCAGCGGTCCACCAATTCCACATCCTACATCCAGTACCTACTCAGAAACATAATGGAACTGAGCATCTGATGGCGAAGAGTCCATTTTCAAGTGCTCAGTTAAGTTTATCAAACCTTTTGTCCTGGTTTGATGCCAAGCTGAAGAGCAAGAAAGTGCTCGTGTCGCTTAATACTCTCTCGAAGCGATTCTCCTTTCCATCTACAAACCCACAATTCATGTCAACCAATATATATAACTAGACTACTAGAGTATCAGCAGCATCTATGGCTGTAAGAAATAAATTTTATTGGGAGTCAAGAATTACCTGTGTGCAAAATGGAAGGACTCTCCCCATCCGTACTCATAAAAGCTAGTAGCAAGGTCATAGTACTTATTAACCTGAAATATTAATCAGAAATACTCATTCCAACAGGCAATGATTTGTGTCTTTAAAAGAAATTCAATAGGTAGCCTACTGAAGTAGTACTTTATCTATTTTAAATATGATCTCCGGGAACAATAATGATGAGATCATTCAAAGGTGAAAAATGTATATAGGCAGGCTTTTAGTTGTAACATATTCTCAAAGTCAGGAGACATAACTATAAGGAATGGGCATGTCTCAAGGTGGTGAAAATTTTATAAAAATGTATACCATGTCTGTGTAGTTTGCTTTTCTCTCTTCCTCGTTTCCTCCATGGAATACATGATATTGCTCATACCTGAATCAAATTAGTAAAAATTAATAATGTCCAAGAAAAAGTCCACCATAAGATTGGTCAATGACAATAAGATTGGTCGGGCCCTCGAGAACGTGAGAGTAGTGAAATACACGTCAAATGGATCTTTATAGAGCCAAAAAAAAGAAAAGAAACTAGGGACCATCTCAATCAGTCATCTTTTTTCTGCTGTATTGAAAGCTCAGTTCCATGAAAGCATTAAAAACAAAACAAAAAAAACAGAGGTGAAATCCAATGCCATCACGGATTCGTGGAAATTTGGTAAAGAATAAACGTATGGAAATAGGCTAATTTACGTTGATTCCAAAAATATGGAGATACTACACATAACAACAATCCAATGTTGATCTTACAAGTCAAATTGATACGTGGCGGTTAACAAAATTAGAGATCAATATGCATGAGACGAAAAACACGAATTGTAAGAGTGAATCGGAGAAGTAAACTACGATCTAGGAAAAAAGTGAGAAGATTTACTTTTCGACGGCGGTGAGAACATCGGATTTATCGATCTTGCCACCTAGATTCGACGCGAGATCCATGACACTTATGCAACAACGGACGAGATCTGCAAAAAAGCGGATCACATAAAAAGCGAGACGGAATCAGAATATGGATCAAGGAGAAAAGAGGAATCTGAATCGGAACTCACATTGGAGGAGACTTACGAGAGAGAGAGAGAGGATAGAGATGAATCGGAGTGGTGGGGAAGAGCTAAGGAGACACCTGACTGGCTTTAGTTATATAACTAGAGTCTAGAGAGGTCACAAGCCGTCGATCCCAGCTTGGCAAATAGAGTGTACGGCTGAATTTACCATTATATCCTCTCTCTGCTTGCCCAAATTAAAATAACTAGATCGAAACCCGCGCTACGCTGCGGGATACTTTTTTTAAAGTGTTTTTTGTTTATTTAATATAGATATGATTTGTAATAACTAAATTATATTGTTTGTAATAAAAATTAAACCAAACATAGTGAATATATTAATATGACTTATCATTTAAGGATGTGGTTCATAAACTCACTAATCAAAAAAATTAATATTTCAATGAGATAGTTCTCTTATGATGCAAACTACAGATGAAAAAAGAAAAAGATTGCAAATTTTGTAACTAAATTGATAGAGAGAACTTACTCTAACAAAACCATTTAAATATGTAAAGCATATACTTCATATCGATTGGATGTTAATTTATTTACTTTACTTTAATTGTTACCAAGGTGAATATGTTTCAAACATCGTTAAGTTACTTTTTCTAGCTCATCTCAAATTATATCAATTATGCAACACTGCAATTGTTCTAGTCTAGGTTAAGTAGAGGATTATAAAATCTTGTTTACCTTCCAAGATGTAAAAGATTATAAAAAAAAAATAGTCTTGGAATCCCAGCTTTAACATCTCTAGACTCTAGGTATTTAGTATGTTTGACCTTACTGGGACTGGTCTAATTGTTGTTTCTATGCACTTCAATATTTCTTTCATCTCCAAGAGGTTTATTATTATTCTTCTTCCTTTATTTCATACTCTCTAAAATGAGATTATGATATCTCAAGAATTGATGCAGCCGATAAATAAGTGAGGAATTTTACTATTTATTTATACATAAAAAATGCAGGACCAAACCGAAATATCATAAAAAAGGATGCAAAATATTAAGCTACAATAAGGAAGAACCTAATCATATAAGCATGCCTTTGTAAGAAACTATCACATCACCGTCATTTTTCCGGTGAAAACTCAACTAATTACTTCAATCCTCTCTGATTCAACACTGTCTCAGCATGGGATTGAGAGATCCAGAATCTGGAAGCGAAGATGGAGAAACTCGTAATTAACCCAAGCTTCTCTTGAAGCTCGTAATTAACTCAAGCTTCTCTTGAATCCAATTAGAGATTTCAAAGAAATGGGAAGCGGAGATGGAGAATCTCGTAAAGCTTTCGTCAGTGAAGATTTGGAAGCAATGATTTTTTTTTTATGGATAAATGCAAGTCATCAAAGAAGAAAGCTTAACAAATTTGACAAAAATAAGTATAACAAATAAAATTATGTCTAAAATTGTGTCTAATCCTTACCAAAATAAAATAAAATTATGTCTAATAAAAATTTCGGTCGGTTCGTAAACTGAAGGCAATTTTCTTGCTTTCAAAATTTATAAGTCGGTTTAGATTGTGACTTTATTAAACCGACATACCCCAACGTTTTTCTTGTAAATAAATATTAAGTCTCTTTTAAATTGGGTTTCTATTATCTACTAAAATTCAGTTATAATGGGTAAAATCCCTTAATTCCTATCTGGGCTGGGCCTGTATATATATATCTTTTAAAATTTAAATAGCAAGCCTCTTAATAATAAAGAAAAAGCAAGAGAGATAATGATGTGGAACCGAGGAGAATTATTATTGGCTGAGAAATCTGAGCTGTATTAATCGAAATGTTTTTATTGGAGGATGATTTTAATGATGTGTCAAGCTGAGAAGAGCTTAAAAAGCTGAGGTGTCAACGCAGGAGAGAAACCTATTGTTATTATTGTATTGATTATCAAATAAGTAGAGCCTATACTCTATACTTAATATATATACATGAAAGTGTTAAGCATATTCTCCACTATCTCATATCTTATCACTTTCTAGTAAAAACTTTATATTATAGTATCTCACTCTCACCACCAACCAAGATCAGGCGCGACACTCGAGTGGTTAAATGATTTTAAATGGTTCTAGATCAAACATTGAATCTACCTACTACAAATTTTCATTCATCTTCTTTTTTTGCCACCCTGAATGTTTTAAATTTTTAGTAGCAAGAATATTTGAATATCTACAAACTCCATACTTAGTATAAATTTCTGTTAAATATTCTCTGGTTTTAAAAAAAATTATATTAACCTGAAATTTTACTAGGAATTGACCGTTTTAGTTAAAAACTTTATAAAGAAAAACCAACTTCATCCACACACCACATATTTCTCTCCCGCCTAATCCTCCGCGTTCCCCAGCCGACGGGCCGATCTTTCTTCTACTATTTGTCCTCCGGCACTTCTAACCAACTTACTCTTTAGACTACTAGTTATCTATGGCTCTCTACTCGTTGATCTCAGCCACTCCGATCTCCGTTTCGGTGCCGAGATATCCCGACTTACCCACGCGCCGCCGTTTCCACTTGTCGTTAGCAACTCTTGGCTCATCGTCCTCTCCGGAGTCATCGGCATCATCATCGACCCCTACCTCGATTCCCGTCAACGGAAACAGTTCTTACGGAACAACTCGCAAAGACAACAGCCCATTTGCTCAGTTCTTTCGTTCCACCGAAGCCAACGTTGAGAGGGTAAAATCAATCAAACCTTGTCTCTTTCTTCTTCTATATTGATTTAAAGTCTTTGGAATATTTTTTCTGAATTCTGATATATTTGTGGATGGAGCAGATAATATTTGATTTCCGGTTCCTAGCTCTTTTAGCAGTAGGAGGTTCGCTGGCTGGTTCGCTACTCTGCTTCCTCAATGTAACTAACTTGTTGTTTACTTTAGCCTGAAATGTTTTGTCACACACCTTTCTAGTAGTAATAATGTCATGGCTCATTGTGTAGGGGTGTGTCTATATAGTGGAGGCATATAAAGTCTACTGGACTAACTGTGCAAAAGGAATCCATACCGGCCAAATGGTTTTACGCCTAGTCGAAGCTATCGGTATAATTAATTTGCTATATATAATTGATTATGATATAAGCCCGGTTTGTTTCGTTATAATACTCATATTTACTTGTGTGTGAAATTTGATTGCAGATGTTTATCTGGCTGGGACTGTTATGCTGATATTTAGTATGGGTTTGTATGGACTCTTCATCAGTCACTCGCCTCATGATGTTCCTCCGGAATCCGATCGTGCACTTAGATCCTCTTCTCTCTTTGGTATGTTTGCAATGAAGGAGAGACCGAAATGGATGAAGATTAGCTCACTTGATGAGCTAAAAACCAAAGTGGGACATGTCATTGTTATGATTCTCCTAGTGAAGATGTTCGAGAGAAGCAAGATGGTTACTATCGCCACCGGTCTTGATTTGCTCAGTTATTCTGTTTGCATCTTCTTGTCCTCTGCTTCTCTTTATATCCTCCATAATCTCCACAAAGGAGAGACATGAACCCATTCTTATGTACAGACACAATTATCCAATATATGTTTGCGCTGCTCTTTTAGTTTCAATTGCTATAATGACTGTGAATAACCAATTTGCTTTTATTCACTAGAGGAATAGTATATTTTCAAATCATTCACATTATGTACATTTCGTAGCTTCTTCAAAGCGATGCCATTGATTTGCCTCACCCTCTCTCTCGAAAGCTTCAACGACTTACCTATCTCTTCAAACGACATAGGAGTCTCTCCGTTGAGCCCAAAGTAAAGTCCCAATACTCGAGATTCTCTAGCGGTAAGACTTCCCAAAAGCTGTTCAATCTCATGCTTCATGTGTTCCCTTTTCACCATCTCCTCTGGCCTTGTTTCATCCGGTCCCCGTACAATTTCCTGAACATGATAAATCAGTCCAAAGTCTCTCTCTACTATGAATTTTCATGGAAAACTCAAGTACCTGCAAAGTCATGCGGCCATTTTGAGACGCGACTCGGTCCAATGAAACAGGGGATCTGCTACGCTCAACAGCGAGCCTAACCGCGGATACATGGAGGTTTAGGTGCTCTGCAATCTCTTCACAGCTTGGTTGCCGTCTTAGTTTTCTGGTCAACACATTACTAGCTTCTGCAACTTTTGCCGTCAACTCCCACATGCTTCCCTACACTCAACAAGCTAAAACGATGTATTCACTAATTACTTCACTTCCCAGAACAACATTGCAGATTATTTTTCTATCTAGCAATAGAGGATGACTTATATATGGTAGCAACTATACAATGTAACACATACTCGCCTCAAAAATTCAATCAAAATGTGAGAAGTGGGGGCTCACCGGCAATTTGACAAGTCTAGATTTATGCGCGATAGCCCTTAAGATGGCCTGTTTGATCCACCAGTAGACATAAGTTGATAGTTTGTATCCTCGGTCCGGATCAAATCTCTCAGCACCTCGAAGCAGCCCTATGCTTCCTTCCTGAATCAGGTCTTGCAAATTCAAACCTTTGCCTTGGTACCCTGTTGCAATAGAGACAACCAACCTTCGGTAACAACGTGTAATCTTTTCTCTCGCTTCTTTTCTACGGCATAGTATTTCATTTGCACTACGCTTCTTCTTCCCTCTGCCACTGGACAACAAAACTGATACCATTTCATTTTCTTCAACACTTGTTCCCAAATTTTCAAGTTTTGCTCCTTCCTGTTAATTACCAGAAAAAAGTACAGTTACCAACAAGGATAAACAAAGTTTGAATCTTTCCATTAATGGGCCATAAGAGATATTGGATAAGAAATGATATACCTTGAGGTACAAGCAAAGCTGAACCTCCTCTAAACGACTCAAAAACCCAGATCGTGAAGCTCCAACAACAGGAACACTAATTGTCTCTGTTTCTGCTTCTACGCCAGCATTTTCCTCTTCTTCTGGCTCCAAACGCTCGTACCCTACTCTTCTTCTCCTTCTCCTCTTCCTTCTCTTTTCTGATTGAATTCCCCATTTCTCTGGTTTGATCATCACGGAGCTGTCAGCCGCTCTATCCACCATGGCCTCACCGTAAACCAGAGCTGTACTTAGCTTAATGGAAAATGGGGATGATGAAGAAGGAGATGATTGACATTGGTGAGTTGTTCTGAGTAAGGTCGAGATTGTTGGGACAGGAGGAGAAGGACACATAGTTGCGGTGGCTGTAGTGGGTATCGTCGCCATGGATGAGCTGCAGAGCTTCCCACACCTTAGATTTTTCTATCTTTTTTATCTATCTTCTTTTTGGTCCAATAAATGGAAGAAGAAGATAATTCTCTCTTGGGTTACTACTTATCATAGAGCCTCTGTGTCATATCAGTTGTTATCCGCAATTAAATTTGGGTGGAGTTGGTTTGTGTTTTTTTTTTTCTCTTTTCGGACAAAATTTGATATGCATCCTTTTTACCGCCAAAATAAAAGTAAAAAAAAAATATTACTCTTCCGATTTTTTTTTGTTTATGGAAAATCTTATTAATAGTTTTCGGAAATATATGCAAACCCAAAACTCCATTGTTTTCGGACCCGTAATGTGTGCAAACCCAAAATTCAATTATTTTCGGACCCATAGTGATAGGCCCAATAAAAAATTGGATTCCTAGTTTTGTCTTACGCATATGTCACATGTACAGTGATGGATGAACCAGAGATAATGGACCAAGTGTCAACATCTAGACCCCACGTGCTTGAGGGTGGGAGCAACGCGCTGTTCCAAACTTGTCTGTGGTGAACTGTGTGGGCAACACGCGTACCTCTCTGAATCCTCGTGATCTAACGGTGGGCTCCACCAATATCGCTGACGTGGAATTGTCCACACACAGTACTCTTCTTGGCACTGTACGCACAACACAAGACGAGTCAATTATGCCACCACTAACTATATTAAGATTAGTCTTTTTTTTTTTTTTCCTCATTAATTAAGATTAGTCTTTAACAACAACAACCATTAAAAAATTTATTTTAAATTAGATATATATGGAATTGGTAAAAGCCGTATGTTCGTACGAGTTCCAAAGCACTCAGGGACTCAACCATTGGACGCCATTCATAGATATATGAATTAATAATCATTGTATTTAGAAATGGTCAATGAGGCCGTCTAAATGGCATGTAGATGAAGCGTTGATAAATCGTAACAATTATTTTTAAGTGTTGGTGTCAATCGGACGGTTAGGATCGAATCGTACCGTATGAAAATATGTAAGTCATAAAACGGTTTCGCGGCAAAGATTATGAATTCCGAAGCTTAAGACTCTGATTGCATACTATAGTTTGCTTAGACGTGTAAAATATATGCGAAGACGCAATACCAATGATAAAAAATCAAAGGTAAAACACATTTTGATTCCGAAGAAGGAATCAATCCACCTTTTATCCATATATATGAATAACAAAGTTTATCTACTTTTTTGTTCTGATGATTTAAAGTTTTAATACTATTTTTTCACTTTTTAACAATAAAGTTATTTTGAGTATATATAGTATTCTTAAAAGTATCTGCTGCTTTAATTTTGGCGATGCCTCTTTACCTAACAAGACAAATGATACTTGTTGATATTTCACTAAAATATACACACGTGAAGCAATTGGATTTGCTGAAAGAGATAACCATTCCAAGTTTTAAAGATAGATCACTAGACAATATTGTTTAGTCCTGATATTAATGTGTCTCCCCACTTTCAATTGTGTCTCTTTCTTCCTGTCTGCATTATCCCATGTGACCTCAAAAAACATTCCTCCTACGATTAGTCACTCACTATTTAATATCTACAAAGTTTTTTTTTTTGTGAAAGGGTTTAATATCTACAAAGTTACATTTAAATTACAAATTATATTTTACTAAATAACCAAATTATTTTCAAAATTTGAAACTTTTTTTTAAGTTTGTATCCATATTTGGATGGATCGGTGAAAAACAAAACTGCGGGTGATTTTAGGTCCGTGAACATGTGAAGAGATTAAAATGAGTGACACTTGGGTGACCACCTTTTTGCCTATTAGCTCCACTATATATATACACACACATATCCATTTGTACATATATACGTGACTCATCGTCTCTTTCAGTCCCACACGTTCTGCTCCAGCGATTGAGAGAGAATCTCTGTGTGGTACTCTTTCATTTCTCCTTTCCGATTTTGTAATATTCCGTTACGATTTTGAAAATTTCCCCCATTGATTTCTTTCCTTCATTTCTCAATTGCTTTCGACGCTTATTAAGCTTGATTTTGTTGATAATTGGAATTTTTAGGTTCTGAATTTTAGGCTGTGAATTTATTGTGCTGGAATTGATTCGAAAATGGCGGAGGAGTACAAGGAAGCGTTGTTGGAGAAGCACACGTATCACGACGGATGTCCGGGATGCAAGGTGGAAAAGATGAAGCAGCTCCGGCGAGGATATCCTTACCTCGAGCTTACCTTCGTTTGGATTATCGTCCTCTCCACTTGTAATACCTTCTTTTGATTCTCAAACCAGTTTCTATTGTGTCAATTTTCTTTAAGATTCGGCTAGTGTTGTTTTTTTGACTATTCGGCATTTTCAACAACTTTGAAGAGATTCGGGAAAAATGATTGGCTAAATTGGTTTTGCTGCTAATTGTTTTGGATAAAAATTGGCTAGTTGTTAGGAAGCTTTCTTGTGTTGAAAGTAATGATTCGTTTTGCAATTCCTCATGCGTTCTTATTTTGATATCATGTGTTTGCAGCTCTGCCAATTTCCTCACTCTATCCCTTCCTCTACTATATGGTGAGTATTTTGATTTCAAAGTTTACGAGCTACCGTTTTATGTATTCCTGGTCATGTGAATGAATTTTTGTTCAAATTGAGAGACATGTTACACAATTAGGGGGGGTTTAAACAGATATTGATGTATATACCACATCGCATACTCTACTGTTCTTTATTCACTGGCTCTCAGTAATATGTCTTTATGTCTTCTTTGTTTTCATAGATTGAGGATTTTGGTGTTGCAAAGACGGAGAAAGATATTGGGTTTTATGCTGGATTTGTGGGTGAGAAGACCTTTGCCTCGGTCACTTGTTATTCTACGTTGACTCTCTATGTCTCTACCCTTTTGTTCTAATTAATCTCTTATTACTTGGAAGGTTGCTCATTTATGCTTGGAAGAGCATTGACGTCTGTGTTCTGGGGAATTGTGGCTGATCGATATGGAAGAAAACCCATTATACTCTTGGGAACTATCTCAATGTTAGTATCCTTTAACATAGTTTCGATTAATGTAGCCATGTTCGCCTTTAGATGCAGATTAGTTACTTTGTTGCAGTGCGATTTTCAACGCTCTTTTTGGCTTGAGCGTAAACTTTTGGATGGCAATTGGCACGAGGTTTCTTCTTGGGAGTTTCAACTGTTTGCTTGGAACCATGAAGGTGACCTCTTTGTTGCTGCTATCACTCTTGGCTTTTGTTGTTTGTTCTGCACACCAGAGTGTCAGTTGCATCTTCTCATATCTAATTGTCAATGTGAAAATTTTCAGGCATATGCATCAGAAATATTTCGTGATGAATATCAAGCAACAGCAATGTCAGCTGTAAGCTTCTCCATCACATACATTTTATATGTTTTGATTGTTGGTGTCATGAAATTTGTAACTTTACTCCATTTCAGGTTAGTACTGCTTGGGGCATTGGACTGATCATTGGCCCTGCTCTAGGGGGATTTTTAGCCCAGGTAAAGTCGATCATATCTAAGTTTTAAATATTTTCTTAGCTTTCCAAACCTTGCCATACCTTATGATACAAATGCGAAGCTTATCATGTGTCCATCTCTCTTGCCTTGCTGCAATTTGTCTGGTTATTGATTCATATATAGCTTTTTAGTGTTCTAATTAATGTTTTTCGATGTTCACCAAATTCAGCCAGCAGACAAATATCCAAATGTGTTCTCCCAAGAATCCATTTTTGGCAGGTCTACATTCTTACTCTCACTTAAGAGTGTAGTGGAATGAATATAATTGAATCTCATGTAACAATATGCGAATTGCAATGCAGATTCCGGTATGCATTGCCTTGCTTTACGATATCAGCTTTTGCCTTGGTTGTGACAGTACTATGCTGCTTCATTCCGGTACTCTATTTTCTTCGAGAGACCACTGAGAGAACCTTCTCTTTATTGATTCTTTATTAAAATATTTTGCACAGAATTCACTCACTAGTCTCCTTCTTTTACTCTGAGTAGGAGACACTGCACAATCATAAGCTGGGCAGCACATCACATGATGACTCATACGAAATACTTGAAGCTGCATCTCATGAATCCTCTGCTATTGAGAAGGCAGGAAAAAACGAAAGAAAGGCTTCTCAGTCTCTCTTGAAGAATTGGCCCCTAATGTCATCTATCATTGTGTATTGTGTTCTGTGTCTGCATGATACTGCATACTCTGAGGTAAGTAGTTGAGCTAGAATTTTCTGCGTAATCTCATCTGGCATGCCTCATTAAGTGGACTCAGTCAAGAATTAGGTCTTTTATTTTCATATTTCAGTCTTTTAATTTATTGATGATATTGAAGATCTTGAATTTGGTGTCAAGGTTAGGGGCTTTACATGTGTTTATCTATAAAGAGACTACCTGTTTTTGTTTTTGTTTAGTGTGGTCTGTTGTATCTAGCCTAGTCTTTGCGCAGCAAATTGTAGCTGTTTGACAGTTATGGTCCCAACTGAGAGCAGTGGATTGTATAGGGACTCACCAGAATTTGGAGTGCGTTTAGCTGGGTCGTAATCCCTTGGTAGTGGGTTCTAGATTTTGTATGTAGATATAGACAAGTATCTTACCAGACTAAAATTGATGGAACAGCATTAAGACTCCATGTTTTTGAAATTAGAGCCTTTGCCATTTCATTGTCCTGAGCTCTTTGTCTGACCAAAAAATTCTCCATCTCTTGAAAACTGGCTACGCAGATATTTGCACTATGGGCTAACAGTCCAAGGAAGTATGGAGGTCTGAGCTACTCAACCAATGATGTCGGTACAGTTCTTGCTATATCAGGTATGCAGAACATCCTTACTCTTGATGTCTTGTGTTTTAGTGATACAGAACATCTTCGCTCTTGATGTCCAGTGTTTTAGTGATAAGAACTTGTGAAAATGATGATTAGAGTCTGTTTTGATTTAAATCAGCAAGAGAGTTTAGCAATCATAAATAAGAAGAATTCTTACTAATGAAATTGAGACTGTGTTATTGTACTCATCAACAATTCTGCTTTAGGTCTTGGCCTATTCTCTTTTCAGGTATTTGTTTATCCTTTCGCTGAGAAACTGCTAGGACCTGTTCTGGTCACCCGATATGCTGGGGTCAGTTGATATTCTCTTTATTGCTTCTCTGCAGAGTATAGTGCACTTGATCGCAACAAGATAGAGATCGTTCTTCTGACAAGTTCTTTCGTTTCAGGCACTGATGATTCCTATACAGATGAGTTATCCATTTATAGCAAGCTTATCAGGTCTCAGTCTAAGCTTGATGTTAAATTGTGCATCAATCCTCATAAATGTGCTAAGTGTAAGTTCAAAAGCAAAAACTAACTCTTTTCTTTCTCTATCCTTTGAGTGTATTAAGTTGACATATACAGGAAATGAAGTCATGTTACTATATTTCTCGTATATATATCCAGGCTGACAGATAGTCTCTGTGTATATAGGTGTCTGCCATAACCGGCCTGTTGATCCTTCAAAATAGAGCAGTGGTAAACAGACATTCTTTTTATCTTTTGCAAACTGTCATCCAATTTTCTCTTCTCTAAGAACTGTATTTTTTATGAAACAACAGGATCAGAGCCAAAGAGGGGCGGCTAATGGAATAGCTATGACAGCGATGTCTCTCTTTAAAACCGTTGGACCAGCTGGTGCTGGCATCTTGTAAGTGACATTTCGAATTAATGCGTAAGTAAATATCCAAAGAAGCAGTAATGTCTTAAACACAAATCTCTTTTGCTGGCAGATTTTCTTGGAGTGAGAGGCGATTAAACGCTGCATTTCTACCAGGTAGCGCACTACTTCCCTTTAGTCATTCTCTATGACATTCATAATACTTGAGCTTAAACACAAATAAATGGAAAACAAATGCAGGATCGCATATGGTGTTCTTCGTCCTGAATGTGATAGTTGTTGTTGGAGTAGCTCTCACATTCAAGCCTTTTCTAGTAACGGGTCGAAGATGAAAATTCATTTGAATTGGTAAGATAGGGAATGTATGGACATGTTGATTCATTTAATTTCAGATTCAAAAGAAACCCGTAATAAAATTTCACTAACCTTAGGATTTCAGCTTCTTCTATTTGTTGTCCTTTTGTTTTGCTTTGTCTGATTCGTCTACACTCATAAGTCATAATCGTGGATCCCATCCCAAAGTGATGTCATAGGCCGATGACGATATGTCATGAATATTTTCATATATGGCTGAAAGAAAGTAGAAGATGAGACTGAGAGGAACTTACTTGAACCGTTAATTTTTTTAACCGTGACCTATTTTTCATAGGGTGTGTGAAATTGTAATATCCACATATCGCGAAGCTGAGTTATTATTACTCGATGAATAACATTTATTCCCGGTAAGTAAATATATTTACAAATTTTCTCAAACTTCTAGTGCCGACCTCTTCTTGGCCTTATTGACAAATAATTTCGAACACGATTTGACTGATTTAATTAAAGTAACCTTCTCTGGTCCGCTTTGGCTATTGATTGTTCGCAGCCATATTCCTAGTCAAACTATCTGGTTTTGGGACAGGCAGATAGTCAAATTGTTAAAGCCTGCATGATTAGCTTCCAATTTGATTTAATTTAATTAAGAAAAATAATAGGTAGATAATATTTTGGAGATGTTGTTTCTAAACTTGACAATATTTGCTTGATGATTTTAATTAGATTATTGGATTGAGATGATTTATCAGAAGAATTCAAATTATATACTTACTAGTGAAAACCAATTGAATACTAAAAGCTAACAACAAGAAACACGTGGTCAAGAGATTATAAACTTAACTTAAGAAAAGGGAACTTTGGCAAAAGTTCACAAGTTACAATTATTGAATTTTTTATGGTCCACCATGAAAAACCACCGAAAAAGTTAATTTTTATTTTTTCTTACAATCAATTTCTAAACATGGGCGTGTCTAACACTCGAACCAAACTCTTCGAAAGGCTTTACTAAACCATTGGCAACTAATTTCTATAATATGTGAAAGAGAAATCCCATGAACGTGGTCTTATGTTTTTGTGGAAACCATTGTACACCTTGCCAAAATCTGTGCATGAGAATTTACTAAAAGTACCAAGAAACTTGAAAACAGAATTGGGCCTCTTGTCGTATTAGGTCATCCATTACATCATATTATTGGACATATTCAATCAAAGCTATAGTCCTCTTATTATCATATTATAAAATTGTGGTCTACAATGAATCAATCAAATTTTAACAACGACAGGAAACGATTATAGATTAAACCCTACGATTTTGCACAAAAAAAAAAAAAAAAGATTAAACCCTACGAAAGACTATAGATTCCACGTAACTAAAAAAGATTTACGATAGACAAGTTTATAATAAACAATACTCTCGAGTAACATGAGAAATTATATTTTTCAAGTTTGCATCTAATACTCTGCAAGAAATTGACATTTTTATAACAGTATGGTTGAACGGTGGCGACTGACGAGGCTGAATTTTTTTTATTAAATGGAAAGAAACATTAAATGCCAATGTGATTAGCAAAGACGTGACATGACAATAGCGACTAGAGAGGAGCGCAAAATACAAAGTTGTTTTTTCCTTCTTCTCTTTCTCTCTGTTAAATAATTGTTTTTTTTCCCGTCTTTTGTGGAAGAGAGTACGCGAAAATCTTACTTCCATTAAAACCACATCGCATCTTCTTCGCTCTCATTAAAACCACATCGCCCCAAAATTTAGGTTAGGATTTGATTCGATTAGAGGTGTGTGAAAGAAAATGGCGGAAGAGTATACGGAGTGTTTGCTAGCGAATAAGTTCCATGAGGATTGTCCTGGCTGCAAAGTTGATCAGATGAAGAGGCTTCGCCGAGGATTTCCCTTATGGGAGCTTTTTACCGTTTGGATCATCGTTCTTTGCACTGGTAAATTTCATGGAGAAGAAGAAATGTTTTCGCGTTGACAAAAGAAAAAATGATGTTTTCTTATCTTAATAATGATTTGGTTCTTTCTTTTGCATCATTTCAGCTCTGCCCATTTCTTCTCTTTTCCCATTTCTTTACTTTATGGTGAGTACCCACATCATTAAATGCTTAAACTAGTTTACTTTACTCGTCGACGTATATATTAGTACTTTTGGTACGTGGTGGTTTGGATTTTGGTGATTATTAAAACTTGTAATAACAGTATAATCTGGTTTTCTTGCTAGATTGATGATTTTAACATTGCAAAGAAGGAAGAGGACATTGGTTTCTATGCTGGATTTGTCGGTGAGTCGTCTATTTTCAGCGCATAAGATAATCTCATTTTTCAAGTGTTTCAAACTCACATTGTTGTGTTGTACCTTTTGGAGGTTGCTCTTTCATGCTCGGACGAGCGTTTACATCTGTGATCTGGGGACTTGTGGCTGATCGTTATGGTAGAAAACCCGTAATCCTCATTGGAACCGCTTCAGTGTTAGTAGTAATCCTGCATTTGTTTCTCATTCATCTCTCACTGCCTTTTGTTTTAAAACCAATGCTTTACATGCTGTTACAGGGTCGTTTTCAATACTCTGTTTGGCCTAAGTTTAAATTTCTGGATGGCCATCATCACAAGATTTTGCCTTGGAAGTTTCAACGGTTTACTTGGCCCTATCAAGGTCTTCTGCTTTCTAACATATTTTACAGTTCTTATATTCCATGAATTTCTTGAAGCCTCATTAACCCGAAAATCGATGAATTCAGGCTTACGCAATGGAAATATTCCGTGATGAGTATCAAGGTTTAGCACTCTCAGCAGTAAGCTCTTTGATCCAAAGTCTACTACATCTTTGTTATCTTCAATTGAATAGAGCAATTTAGAATCTTACGATATCCATGTAGGTTAGTACAGCATGGGGAATTGGACTCATCATTGGCCCTGCTATTGGAGGTTTTCTTGCTCAGGTCTTCTTCAATAACAAATGCTTTTCTATCTTGTTTTTTTTTACTCTAGCTCCTTTGCCCTTCTTGATTCTTGTTTAATCTCCCTATCATGTAGCCTGCAACGCAATATCCAAGTTTATTCTCACAGGACTCGATTTTTGGCAAGTAAGTATCTCCTCTTCGCTTTCATTTCAACTAATATGTATAATCCCATCTTATTGGTCTATAAATCATAATGCAGATTTCCCTTCTTTTTGCCGTGCTTTGCAATATCCGTTTTTGCATTCTTGGTGACTATAATTTCATTATGGATTCCGGTACGCTCTTTACTTTTCCTGCTCTATGAATTCCCTAGTTACTGTGTTTAATTAGCTTAAGCCTAGACATGCTTGTTTCTCCTCTCCAGGAAACATTGCACAATCACAAGTATGATGATGATGATGAGTCTTTTGATGCTCTCAAAGATTTGTCTCATGACCCTGAATCTAATAAAGTGGTAGAGAGAAATGAAAAAAGTTCTCTCTTGAACAACTGGCCACTAATTTCATCTATTATCGTCTACTGCATCTTTTCACTACATGATATGGCTTACACAGAGGTGACACTCTTCTTCTTCCACATTCATCTTTTGTCTCTATTTTGGCCCATGAATAAAATCTTCAGCTTTCTTTCTTGGATAGATCTTTTCATTGTGGGCAAACAGCCCGAGGAAATATGGAGGTTTGGGATACTCTACTGCAGATGTTGGTTCTGTTCTTGCAATTTCAGGTGAGTCCATACTTCTCAATGCTAACATTTTCAATAGAAATGAATTGTTCTAACCAAAACACTACTTCTTTCTAGGCTTTGGTCTCCTTATCTTTCAGCTTTCGCTCTACTCTTATGCCGAGAGGCTTTTAGGACCCATCATAGTTACACGTATATCTGGGGTAACCACTATACTCTGTTGTTCTTACTGCAAAACCTTATGTTTTTGAGGAGTACAGTTCTAATCTTGTTATTGTTTTGGATACTCACAGACCCTGGCAATGGTCATCTTATCATGTTACCCCCTAATAGCAAAGTTATCTGGTTTAGCCCTTACCCTGGCGGTTAATTCTGCGTCGGTAGCAAAGAACGTCTTAAGTGTAAGTATCTAATAACCTCAATTAGAAGAATGTGTAATTAGTATTTTAGTTTATATTCTCAACAGTTGTGTGTGTGTGAGTGCAGACTTCTGCTATAACTGGATTATTCATTCTTCAAAACAATGCTGTGGTAAGTATTTTTCACAACATTGATTCGTCTTAGTATTTAGTTAGGTGAGAAACCGGCAATAATTTGAACCTCTTTAATTTTGCTAACAATAATAGAGACAAGACCAAAGAGGAGCAGCTAATGGGATTGCCATGACAGCGATGTCTCTTTTTAAAGCAATAGGCCCAGCAGCAGCAGGAATCATGTATATATGCAACTTCTTTCTACCTCTTTATTTACATTATTATGCTTCAAATTTTTTGTTATAAAACAAACAAGAAGAAATTCACTCCTTTGTTTCGTGCAGTTTTTCTTGGAGCGAGAAACGTCAAGATGCTGCTTTCTTCCCTGGTAATGTGAAGTCTTTATATTCATATCCATATTGATCCACTAGTTTATATAAGTTGAGAATTCATACTAAAAATGGAGATCAATGTGTAGGCACCCAAATGGTATTCTTTATCCTGAATGTGGTCTTGGCACTTGGAGTTCTATTGACATTCAAACCGTTTCTAGCTGAAACACAACAACAGTAGAAAGTGTTGAGTATTCAAATTACATCATCGGATTATTGTATTTTATTATAGTTGTATTTGTCTGATGCAAAGTTAGATTAGAAATGTGTTTAAAATATGGCCAGGGGAAGAAAAAGAACTTGTTAGAATGTTGTCACCATCCTCATTCCTCTGTATGTTATTTGAACAAGTTGTTCACAAAATTTTTGTGTAATGTGTCAGAAGTAAGAGCCATTGTAAGAAAAATTAAATAATGTTTTTGTACATGATGTTTCGCGAATAATATCGACAAATCCTATCCTGAGTCATGACTACTCTTATACGGAACTCAATCACCATGAAACAAGAAATCGCAACCGTCCATCTCTGGTCAAAAAAGTGCAGACGTGTCGCTTCTTGACGTTGTTGTAGCTTACACGTCAATGCAGAAGATAACGATCTCCTCCTCCTTGTCAACAACAATCTTCACGTGTGTTTTTTACCAACAACATGCAGATGAAACTGGAACAACAAACAAAAACGCAGACTTTTACATTATGGAGAGAGCGTTTGTTGCTCACGCGCTGAGAGATCTGCACATGTCATATCTTTTGGTGGAGTCTTCTTTTGTACTACTACCATTGAAACGTTACTGACTGGTGGCTACGACCAAAATTGAAAAGTAAATCAAAAGGTTAAAACAAAAAAAAAACAGTAACATCCTCACACACCAACCAATCAGACAAATAACGTAATCAAAAATTATTCCGACTTTTATTTAAAAGAAGAACTTTTTTTTGCCAAACATTCCAAAGACGACAGATAGACGACCGCCGTCGCCGGAAAGTGACGTCACCAAACCTGTCAATGGGTGCCACTGAGCCCGTACGACATCTCTGTCCGAATCTGCTACATTTCCTAGCAAAATTTCTCTTTTTTTTCTTCTTGTGTTTGCTGAATAACCTTATTAACAACGATCAGTTTCTTTTTATGTTGCTTAAAGGCGGTGGTGGAGAGAGAGAGGAAAGAAACAGAGAAGCAAAGAGAAGTAAAGGCAGTGGAGGAGGAAGGAGAAGAATCAAAGGATAAAGATGAAATCAGTCATCATAGATTTTTGGCGAGCTTGAACAGATTAAACCCAACTAACCCTCTTAGGATCATTGTTAATGGCGGCTCTAGATTCACTACTCCTCCGCCTCCTAATCTAGCCCAACCACACCGATCTTCCTCTAGACATCCTCCTCCGCCGCCACCACGGCCGCAGACGCCTCCTACTTTCGTGCCAGAAGAACCTCAGCCTCAGACTCCTCCGCCGCCAAATCAACATCAAACTCGTTCCATCTTCACACCAACCCCTCAAGTAATTTCCTTTCTACTTTGCATTTCAGTCGCAAAGTTTTCATTTTTCCTGGGAATTGTTTGGTACTTTCTCAAGAGTTAAAAGGAAATTGATAGACTTTTAGGCTAAAATTTGTACTCTTTATTGAAATTTGTTGGTGGGTCTTGTTTGAAATTAGTTAGGATTTCGAAGTTGGTAAGTTAAAGTTTCCTAATTTATGTTTGGTTGCAGCAAACGTTGGCATCATTGAATTCAACAAAGTACACAAACAAGTTCTTTCTGCTGCTCTTCATCTTTCACAAGGTTGTGGCTATTGGGTTTGTAGGCTTCCTTGTCTTCAGAGGCGTCCAAGGTCTAATTGGATCCAATGGTAGCGTCAAAAGGAAAGAGAAAAAGATCCTCAGATTCTTACTCCCACAAGTCGAAGCTGCATCGCTCTTGAGCATCATTCTTGCATTCCTCTGGCAAATGGCATTCAGGCTTTGGCCTGATTTCATGATTCACTTCATACTTTGGAGTACCTTTTTAATGTCTCTATCCTCAGGAATCCTCTTACTATGTTTCCAGATGCCAGCTACCGATGCTGTTGGGGTTTGCCTCATCGCTTTCTCAATTGGCAATGGTTTATATGCTTGCTGGGTCACTCGGAGAATCAAATTCTGTTCCAAGATTTTGGTCAAGTCGTTGGAACCTGTTTCCAAGTTCTCGGATTTGAATTTACCCACCTACTACATGCTAGCTGCTGGTTTCCTCTGGATGTCTCTTTGGATTTTCGGTGTCATCGGTGCCTTGAACTTCTATTTTCCGCCACTTGTGATTATTGGTTTGGTGTTAAGCCTGGCTTGGACGACAGAAGTGATGAGGAATATTGTTAATCTAACTGTGAGTCGGGTCATTGCTTTGTACTATCTTAGGGGAGTGCAGTCTAGTACTAGGTTTAGTTTCCAAAGGGCCTTGTCTCGTAACCTCGGGAGCGCGTGTTTAGGATCTTTGTTTGTTCCAACAATAGAAGCCTTAAGAATCTTGGCAAGAGGATTGAATTTGCTCAAGGGTGAAGACGAGTTTATGTTTTGCTGCGCTAATTGTTGTCTCAGACTCATGGACTTCATATTCGAACATGGCAATGGCTGGGCCTTTGTACAGGTACTATAAACTAATTCTTTAAGCCATGCCACTCCCACTCTCCTTTCTTAATTCTTTAAATCTGTTGCAGTCATTTTGTTTCTCTATATAATATCTTCTGACAGAGAATCAGTCTAGGAATAGTACTAAAATCAAGTTGCTTGTGGTGGGTCTAATATTTTATTTCTTTTCTGATATGAGAATCTTGCATCATCTTGACAAGTCGAGGCACAACCACATGCTTTTCTGCGTTTTTATTAATTATTTTGAATCAGAAAAATAGTAATGTGAAGTTTTTGGAATCAATAGTATTTGAGCTTTGAACGGTAACAACGGACGGAACAAACTAGACTAGATCACTTTTTTCACCATTCGGAAGTGTTTTTTACCATTGGTTGTTTACTGGTTTAAACCGTATGTTGTTACAGATAGCGGCTTATGGGAAAGGATTTGTGAGGGCGTCGCAAGACACATGGAAACTGTTTGAGGATGAAGATATGGTTGAAATCGTAGATGCAGACATAACAAGCTCCATTTGCTTCCTCACGGGCATCTGCAGCGGCTGCGTCTGTTTAATTGCCGCAGCCGCTTGGACTCATACAGTTTACAAACCTTTTACAGCCACCATCTCCTTACTTGCCTTCTTCATTGGATACCTCATGGTAAATTACACTTTTTACTTTTCAACTCTAAAATGTTTGATTCAATAGTATTCTCATCATATATCATCCTTTTTTCCGGATTGTAGACCAGGATCTCAATGGCATTGCCTCACGCGTGCGTAGGTTGCTACTACACTTGCTACGCTGAAAATCCGGAAAGCAGATTCTTCGAAGACAAAGTGATAAAAACTAGGCAAGATATGATCAAAAGTGGCCGTGTTGCTGTGACCACCCCTAGAGTTCGCCGTGCTCTAGCTTAGCCTGCTTATCTCTTTTTCCTTCATGCATGGTTTGAAATGGATATATAGGTGCTAAATTTTCAGAATGAATAAGTAGTTTTAAAAAATGTATTTAAATTTGAGAATCAATTTAATTACAGAAAGAGTGAAGAGTCAATATCAGTAGGGGTGGGGAAGAAATTGTGGATAGACAGACATAAGCTCGTGACATGGACACAATCCAACTAATGAGCCAAAAGCCAAGTTTGTTGAGCTTTTTCACTTTTTATTTTTTCTTTGTTGTTGTTGAGACTTGAGAGTTGAGACCCCTCAATTACTTTCTGTACATATTTTATTTTAATTTATTCTTTTGTTCCTTTCTGTATATGAGTTTCTTCATTTTGGAAAGTAGCTGATTTTAAAACTTTATATAAAGTTTTAGTAGTAAATCTTGTTAAAGTATAGCTTTATCTTTCTGTATATGGGTATATTCCTTTCTCTACTTAGCTTCAATAAGTTCAGCAGCAACAGTGAGATCTCTTTCTGCTTATAAAAACTTTTAGTTCTCCTTTGTCTTGACAAATATTACAAAACGAAGACTTAAATATCTCTGGAATCAGAACATCGAACGGATGAAGGCAGTCTTGTAAAAACTAAGGAAATCGGAAAAAAAGAGAAGGATCGAAAACCCTCTGACATAGTCATCTGCATCATCAGGAACCTCTCCTTCTTTCACTTTCTCCACAACAACCAGCTGTTTGCCATATGGAATCATAGCTGAAGCCCAATCCTTGATTACAACTTGAACGTTCAACTAGTAGCAACTTTGTAGAAGACATGATATCAGGACGGTTGAGTTACAAACCTTATAAGGTAGCTTGTAAATGATAACATCTTGCTACAAATAAACAATCCCATCAGTTTATAAGTTATCAAACCAGAGAGGCCCATTAAAGCCCAGTTACAAGAATCCCAAAACGTCATACGATCTCCAGAGAAGAAGTCCAATCTTATCATTTCATGAAATCTAAAATCCGCCACGTGATTCGTCGATTACGCACAGAACCCATATACCCAAAAAGAAAAAAAATGAAAAAAAAATTTAAACGTGTGGTCGAATTTTATCGTGGCGCTGAATTAGCATCCACAAGTGAAGAAAACAGAGAGAGAACGAGAGATCTCTCTCTCCTTCACACACACACAGACACATGGCCATCGCGAGCGGGTCGTGGGTAGCCACCGTGAACCACCATGCAAATCCCCACAGCTTCACCTCTCCGACCAAACCCATTTTCTTTCTTTCCCAAAAGCCTCACAATTTCCATGTCTGCTCGTCACGATGCTCTATGGTTCTTGAGGAAGATGAAAAGAAGTTACCGAGTCCCAAAGAAGACAAGTGGCCATTTTTTGAACCTGTCCCGGATGACCTTAACCGGGTCTTATCCAGGTTTCTCCGAGACCCGGAAACTCGGAAACTTTCTTCTGAATTCTACGAGAAAGCTAAGGAGAACTCAGAGTTGAGGACCACCAAGCATCTGATCAATTACTTGGTGAGTTCCAAGAATTGGGACTTGCTCGTCTCACTTTGTGAGGATCTCAGGGAACATAAAGCATTGCCTGATGCGCAAACGTGTTCGAATCTGATTAGGAGTTGCATCAGAGAAAGGAAATTCCGAATCACACATTGCTTGCTTAGCGTATTTAGATCAGACAAATCATTGGCGGTGTCTGCATCTGATGCAGCGATGAAAGGCTTCAACAAACTACAGATGTATAGTAGCACGATTCAAGTGTTTGATAGGTTGAAACAATCTGTGGGAGTTGAACCAAGCCCGGGCTGTTATTGCAGGATAATGGAGGCTCATGAGAAGATTGGTGACAATCAAAAGGTGGTTGAGTTATTTCAAGAGTTTAAGAGTCAGAGGTTGAGTTTCTTGGCCAAGGAATCAGGCAGTATCTACACGATTGTATGCTCGTCCCTTGCAAAATCAAGACGGGCATTCGAAGCTCTAGAGGTTTTGGAGGAGATGAAGGATAAAGGAATTCCGGAAAGTAGTGAATTGTACTCTATGCTGATCCGTGCCTTTGCGGAAGCACGAGAGATTGTAATAACCGAGAAGCTATTCAAAGAAGTAGGAGGGAAGAAACTGTTGAAGGATCCAGAAATGTGTTTGAAGGTTGTACTGATGTATGTCCGAGAGGGAAAAATGGAGAGAACTCTAGAGGTTGTGGCAGCAATGAGAAAGGCCGAATTAAATGTCACTGATTGCATACTCTGCGCGATTGTGAATGGATTCAGTAAACAAAGAGGTTTTGCTGAAGCAATTAAGGTTTATGAATGGGCTATGAAGCAAGAATGTGAGGCTGGGCAAGTGACTTACGCAATAGCCATCAATGCATATTGTCGGCTTGAGGAGTACGATAAGGCTGAGATGTTGTTTGATGAGATGGTGAAGAAGGGGTTTGACAAATGTGTTGTCGCATACTCAAACATAATGGATATGTATGGGAAAACACAGAGGCTAAGCGATGCAGTGAAACTCATGGCTAAGATGAAACAAAGAGGGTGTAAACCCAACATTTGGATTTACAATTCCTTAATTGATATGCATGGAAGGGCTAAGGACTTAAGGCGGGCTGAAAAGATATGGAAAGAGATGAAGAGGGCGAAGGTGTTGCCGGACAAGGTGAGTTACACTAGTATGATCAGTGCATATAATAGAGCAAAGGAGTTGGAGAGATGTGTGGAGCTTTACCAGGAGTTTAGGATGAACAGAGGAAAGATTGATAGGGCCATGGCAGGAATCATGGTTGGTGTATTCTCCAAAACCAGCAGGATTGATGAGCTAATGAGGCTGTTGCAGGACATGAAAGTCGAAGGAACCAGGCTTGATGCGAGGCTATACTCATCAGCTTTGAATGCTCTCCGTGATGCTGGTCTCAATTCCCAGATTAGATGGCTACAAGAAAGCTTTGATGCTGCACAGACTAGTGCTTCAAGATATTCAAATACGAAGAACACAAGAACTTTAAGTTGAAAGGGAAACTGTACAAGCCAAGATTTTTTTGTAATTAAATGTACTATATTGCCAATAGAGATCTGCTATCTTGCAAATAGAAGATTTCCAGCTGAAGTTGTAAAGCCTTAATGAAAGCTTGGAATTTCCACAACATGATACATAAAAAAAAGAACGGCTAAATTTCAATACAACCAAAGAAAGACAAAGGAGTAACACAGAGTGGTCACCAAATGTATTTTTGTCACACGAAATCATATGAATGGAAAATAGTGAGTAGTACTAGAGCGAGCCAGCGAACCCACCTCAATATACTCATAATTACCTGTTTTGGTCATCCTGCTTTCATGTTTCACTTCGAAACTGCTTTAGCATCTACGGCTTGAGCTGTTTCTACAACTTTTGCATCACCTGAACAGCATCCACCTCCATGGTGATGATGATGACCGTGGGCGTGGTGATGGTTCTGCTTCCCTTTGAGATTCTTCCGCATGTCATAAGCATCCTCCCCATCAGCGTAATACTTTGCTTCTACATCATTAATCTTGTAGCCTAATGTCTCTGTGTACAGATTGAATGCTGCTCGGTTACTTCTCCTGACGTGCAGTGAAACATACTCTGCCTCGTAAACCTGCCACAAAACCCCGAGAATGAATTTAAAGTTTTCAACAGTCCAAGTTCGAGAGGAAAAACAACTATTAACCTTTGGGTCTGCTATTATTAGTTTCACATGTAATCAGAAACTAATCGTCTCCGTCAGTCCAAAGCATAACACAAACGGAGACAACTTAAATTCTTTTTACAGTCTACAGAGCTTGAGTTGCTTCAAATTCCAATCAAAAGAAGAAGCAATTGCCCCAATCACTTCATCTATGTTGAAGAACCAAAATTCAGTAACAGAATAAGATCCCAAAAATTGACAAACAAAGTCTTTAACTTTCAGTAAGAATCATCTAACTTACACCATTATGTCAATCTTCAACAATAAGCTCAAACCACACAATATCTTCTATAAGAAGCACATATCATCCAAATTATACAAGACGAATCTATAATAATGATTCAATGAATCTGCTTATTGAATGCAAACATATACGAAAACAAGGAAGAAAAAAGAATTTGAATATTGAGTAACCTGTTCCATAGCAGCCTGAGCGGCGGTCATGAGCTTAGTGGCGAGACCGAGCTTGCGATGGGTACGAAGAACGGCGAGAGAAGTGATATGGCCGTGGCACTCGTTGCTCTCTTCCTCCATCTTAGCCAACACGTAGCCAACGATGCGACCATTGTAGTCCTCGGCGACGTAGAGAAGCTGAGGCCATGAGAGGATATGGTAGAGGTAGTACTTCATCTGGTAGTTCTCGGGAAGACACATGAGATTGCAGGCTTGCATCGCCAACAGATCATCCACCGTCGCTCGCCTGATGCAAACCATGGCTGCTCAATTGCTGGCTGATTTCTTCTCTCTCGCGCGGATAAAGAGGGGTTAGGGTTTTCGGTCTAATGCCTATGGGCTTTATTAATCGAGGGATGAATTTTGATTACATAGAAATATGAGGTCTTTATTGAAACTTTAGCTTATAGTTTAGGGGCATTTCATGAAATTATTTGAACTTTTAACTTTTCCATTTTAGGATTTGGGTCCAATTGGGCCTTCATTGTTAATGTTGTTATGAGTTATGAATTCTTGATAGGAGAGGCGAGTCGAAAAATAAACAAGAGAAAGGACAAAGAGTTGGATTAGAAGAAATGAGATAAGTTAAATCTTCACTTGTTTTTGCAAGCATCCCTCTAAAATTACTTTTAAAATAATCGGATACTTGCTTAAGAGGAAACATTAGTACCTCACTCTCATACTTCTCTACGACTAAACAGAGAACCTTTGGCTTTTGTTTTCAGGTGGAGATTTTGCTAAACTAGACTGATCCTTTGAGCAGTTTCTCTGGTCGTGTTTGTTGTCACTGAATCGCTTGACGGGCTCTCTCTGTCTCCTTCCTTCTTCCTTCTATCATGTGCCTCTCCCGGCAACCTTGGAGAAAACACAAGTAGTAGCAAATTATAATTCCATTAGTATTAAGGAATGTGAATCCTAGAGGAGGACAAAGGCTTAGTATCTAAAATGGGTCTCCTATATTGCAATCAATGACAGCAAAAAGAGCAATACCCTAATTGCAAAGTTGTGTCTGAATTGGTCTTCTGGAGGCTGCACTCACTGTCGTCCAAGCAACCATGGTTTATGACAGCGTTCTTGGGATCTTTAGCGAAGCATTTGATGTAGGATGGAACATAGTGGGTGAACGATGGGAGAAAGCTTCTGAGCTCTTGAACCTGTTTCAAGAAGTAATTAGAAGTCAGCGAAAGAAGCTTTCATGCAAGACCGGCGATGATTCAACAAAAATTATAAGAACCTGTCTACGCAAGGTCTCGTTTTCCAACTCTGCTCGTTGTTCCTGCAAAGTAAAATATTATGGCTGGTCAAGAAAAGAAATATACTTTCGCACTCTGTACCTAGTTATATAGGAGTCCAAAGACAAATAAACAGCACACTAGCTAGTTAGAGCATGAGCTTGTCAAAGGATATTGTAGCCACTATAGAGGGGACATTGGTTATAACAAGGCTCAGGATCATGTGATTACGCATAAGCTTACATTTGAAAGCTAAAGAGGAAAAGCTAGTGTATACCTTGAGGCGTGATTCTTCAAGTTGGTTAGTCAGCAATCGTTCCTGAAATCACATAACCTTAATCAGGACAATGCAAAGAAAAGGAATGAGGGAAGACTGATAATACTAGTTACCTTCCGCTCTCTCACAGTAATCAAGGCATGATATAGTTGCTGCTCAAGGTTATGCAGCTCTTTAAAGGTCAGAATATTCAAGCCCTTACCCTGCAGTTGTCTACAACAGAACACACAAAGCCCAAACAATATAAACAAACACAAAAGTAGAGGAGAATAAAGTAACAAGTATATATAGTGGGATTTAGTTTCCATACAAATGTTTCTCTTGAAGCTTTGAAAGTTCATCCTTTAAAAGATCCACCTCTGCACAATCCTCCTGGAGGTTCTAAACGGCAATCAGATTTTGTTGCATCAAAAAACAATTTCAACATATGACACAAGAATTATCTATCACCTCTGCTTTAGAAGCTGAAGAACTCTGGTGATTGCCGTATCTCGAAAGTGTTTTCTTCATTCTAAAATCAAATAAGAAATCAAATTAGTACTCTCTTCAGCTCAAGCAGAGAACTTTTAAGTTTAGAATGATTCGAACAAACATGCAATTATCAATTTCACTTAGGGTATGTAACACTGTTGATATTATAAATCCTCACCAAATCGATTCCTATAAAATCAAGACATGCAAATACAAAATCGAATCAAAAAGTAAAGTGTTACCCAGTACTGGAGAACTCGAAGAGCTTGCCAGACTTAGAGAAGACGATGACAGCAACCTCAGCATCACAAAGAACAGAGAGCTCATGAGCTTTCTTAAGCAACCCAGAACGCCTCTTGGAGAAAGTAACTTGTCTGCTATTGGGATTCTCGATCCTCTTAATCTCGATTTTTCCACGACCCATCTTCTGATTTCCCCCAAAATTGAATGAAGAAGGTAGAAGAAGAGGAAAGGTTCAATCTTTTTCTTTCTTCTGTGACCAAAATGGGTTTTGGAGTGCTTTTTGGGAATGTATTAATGGGAAAACTAAAAAGATTGCTAAATTTGGATGGAATATTTTTGTTTTTATAGAAAAAAGAAAGAAAGGTAAAAACTCTAATGAATGTTGTGTGTTGCATGGGCACTGTTTTGCGTGCTCTCTTTTTTCAATTTTAGGGGTATTTGCATGACACCTTTTTGCCACATTTGGAGGATTTTGCCAGTTCTTCTGGGTCCTACTTTCCCTTTTCTTACTAAAGTTGTTTTTTTTTTCCTCTTTTTCCTTTTCTTTAAAATTGTTTATTAGTATTAGTAATGTATTTTTTTCTCTTTAATGTTGTAAGACATAAATCAGAGCAACAATGTTGACCGACAAAAAAAAAAAAAAATCAGCGCAACAATTAGAAACAATTTCAAAGTACCCCAAGCATAAAATTGCAGTAGTAATACTAATAATAATAATTAAACAAATAGAATTGTTTGATGGTTAACATTATGTTATCAACTGGTGATAGAAAAAAATACTGAGAACTTTGGTTTGTACATTGAGAAGCAATTTCTTACAAATAGTGTAGAACGACACTTAGTACTTAGTAGCTTTGAAACACCGAAACTTTTTTTGATTCTCAAATCAATAAATAGATAACGAGATTTTATCAGAAACTATTAAGAAACAAACAAAAAAAAAAAAAAAAAAATCCCATGTTGGTTTATATAGCCTGTGCAAGTTTCTCATAGTGGTTTGGATAGCCTTTCTAGTTCAGTCCCTTCTTGTTGACTGTGAAACAGACCAAACTGAGAGCCAAGCTAAGGGAAGAATATGGTCAAGGATACGACGTGCCTCGAGAAAAGTAACCAATGATACGTCTTTTCAAACACCCTACATGTTCAAATAAAACTGTTCACCTTTGGGAATTAGGATATTCAAACTTCAAATACACTCACTTTCTTCTTTTGGAATCAGAGTAATTTCAAGCTCTACCACATGCCCTTCCATTTTCTACTACTATCAAATTTGGAGACAACTCATATGGCCTGCAATGTCGGGTTCTATCCTCACCTTCCTATATTAACATGAACCTGTGGATTATATACAACAATGCAAGACACAGTTTCTTCGATTTAGGTGACTATCTAGTAGATATTTTTCTAACTTTTTCCTTTTGAACATTTTAGAAACTTGATTCTACTACAGACAACATTATATAGCTAGCATCCGATGCATCATATGTTACAACTAATTTACACTAGACAACGACTGTTCCATGCTTCTTCTATGCAGACTTCCCTCCAAACACCCTTGTAAAACTGGATCTGAAAGATTCTCTAACTCCTCTCCAGAACGAAGAGTTTGACCCATACAACCACAGATTCACTGCTTTTTTCCAACCATCTCTCGGGAACTCTATTTCTCGACCAATGCTGGACTCCTCCCAATCTTCTTCACTATCGTCCAAAAGCGGGAGCGCTTCAAAACCACCAGACTCCAGGTGCTTGATCCACCCACGCATCAGATAGTTTACCACCTACTCGTTTTCATATCCCAAATGGGTTCATTACTCAGATCCAAAGCTAATTGCAGAGTTTTAAGAATTTATTGACCTGTTCATTATACCTCAGGGACTTCATCGTGTGGGCAGTGTCCTGCAGGGCTGATCTCGTAGTATGGAGCGTTGGGGATTTCCTTCTTTATCTTCTTTCCCCATATCGGTCTCACCCATGGATCTTCTCTTCCATACATGAGACATATCTGAACATTGTTTTCCTTACACCTAGCATAAACCGTCAAATAGCATTCCCCGATAAGCAATAAGACCTATCACGAAGAGGGAAAAACATATCAAAACAAGAGAACCACACTGTCTTATACCTAGTTAAAGCTTCGGAGAAAGATAGCTGTCCACCAGGAGCAAGCATGATTGAAGCAAACGATGCGGCAGCAGCCGGATGCTGTGTGACCTCAACAATACGTGAGAATACTTTATCCACATTGGTAGAATGGTCTGTGTAGACCTGCTTAAGTATCTCAGCTATGCTTTCAGGATCACTTATCTTTTGCCACCTGCAATTCCATTGAGAAGTAAGACAAAAGTAAAGATATTAGGCTGATAAAGATAGAAAATGATACTTTGCAGGTCAGAAGATGTGTTAATAAAGTCTCACTTACACCAATTCTGTGATTTTTTTCACTCTTGCAGGTAAAGGGAATGCTCCGGGCCATGGAAAGAGGCGTGCTAGCTTTGGGGATCTTACTGGATTAGGGAAGAAACCCCAGAAAGGTGTTGCGTTAAGCAAGGTAACACCCTTTATCAGGTGAGGATGTGTTGCTGCAAAGTAGAGAGCTACATACCCTCCAAGTGAGTTCCCTGCAATGTACACAGGCTCACCAATAACCTGTACAACAAACAAATATCAACAAATTAAAGAGTTACAGAACAACTGAACAGAAAAGTAGATATATCACAGATGTTGCTAACCTCTTCTACAAAATACTGAACTTGATCCCTCCAGAGATCCAGCGAGAATACAAGTTGATCAGCCCACGGTTCAGTTTTATCACCAAATCCCCAAAATGGTTCCTTATCTTCCGAGGCACTGGTTTCTTCAGTCATGGTAGTAGGATCTTCAGTGGGGAGAGATAAACCCTGCCCAAGAAAATCAATAGCCCATACTCGATAATCCCTTCCCAAATCGGTAAGCTGCTTCTCATAGTGAAATGAACCAACACCAAAGCCAGGAAGAAACAACACGGCAGGAGCATCGAGGTTATCACAACCGGCTTTCTCATAATGTACTCTAAGCTTGGGCTTCCACTCGCAGTGAGAATGACTGATTCGAGCAGCAACCTCACCATTTGACTCATCAGGCAAACCAGGAATCAAAACCTTGGATGTTGATATTCTTCTTCTGGCTATACTAGCCAAGTCATCATTCTCACCAACCACATAACCATCAGAATTCCCACTTCGAATCACAAGTCTGGATTTTCTGACCCCAGATAATAACAAATTTGATCGCTTTGGGACCAATCTTTTCGTGGCTAATTTTCTACTCCAAGTCACCACAGAGCACTGGGGCACAAACTTCAGTGAGATTATCTCCATAACAAATTCCTGTAATTAACAACCAAAGGCACATCCTTTAATACGAATTGGCTACTCAAATTGATAGCAGAGATGAGAATCAGAAGGAGAATCACAGAGACCACAGATAAAGCTAGGATTTTTGTTTACTTTTCAGAATTTTGCTTCAAAAGCTAAAACCACATACAAAAGGTTCATGAAGTTGCGGTAATCTTCTATGAACTCATCTTATCAAATCTAAATCAAAACAAAGAAAATCAAGTTCGAGCTAGCTTGGGTCAAATTGAAATCAAACAACAACTAGACAACATCACCCGATTCATCGACAAAGAATTCCAGATATAATCAACCCAGGGAAAAGAAAAAAAAGAAGTTGCAACTTGTACCTTTTCAAATTCCGGAAGCAAGAAGCTTCATCAAATGGTTTCTGTGACGTTTAACGTCTCTTTGAGAGATTTAAGGAAAATCTAAAGGTGAAGAAGAAATGGAATTGGCTTGCTTGCTGGCTTGGTTAACTTTAATCGTTCGGTGCATACCGACAGCAACGTTTTTATTGAGTTTTTTTCTTTAAAGGATTCCAAAATCATATTGAAGTGGGGTTATTTTTTTCACAATATGACATTTTTGTATTTTGGATCTGACATTGCTAAATAATATGATACCGATGGAACATTGCAAAATGCACATTTTAGTTACAAAAATATCACAGAATAATAATAATAAAATTTCTTCTTTTCCATTATCATCTTCCTCATATTCAAACTAGTTTGAATTGTGTAACAAACCAGAAAACCTGCAATTTTCATATCAAACAAAAAAACTCCCAAAATTTTAGTCACTACAAATTATAACAGTGTAGAAGTCTAAAACTGTGAGTTGTTTCAGTTTTCTAGTTGATTTTGAAATTTAGAGAATTGTTGGGTGTGAACTGTGAACTAATCATATAATCAAAGACTAAAGATTGAATATTTCAATATGAATACCATATACATATTTTCAAAGAATCTACAATTATCACTTGTGGCTGATAGCTGTTCCTTCTACAAGCTCACTTCTTTGCTAGAGTCATCTTCATGGTTATAGAATCCATCTTCACCTAGGAATGTGATGAGTATTATTAGTTAATATGGTTATTAGAAACTCTCTCTAGTCTTTTTTTTTTTTGGTTTTAAGGTGAAGATTTCATTCCAAAGGAAAATTATAAGCTAATATACTATTACAATAGCTACCCATTAACACAGGAACAAAGGACTGAAACTATTAAATTACAAAGAAACACGACTAAAATAAACGCTAAGGAGAGACGCAGCATGCAAGTTGGGCTCCCGAAAAGACAGCAGCCGATCCCGCATGGCTCGGTCAATGGCGAGGCGGAGAGAAGCAGCAGTGGAATCCACAGTGGTGAAGATCCTCTTGTTGCGTTCCTTCCACAGATGGTAGATGACAGATTGAAGCAGGAGCTTAAGAATGGTAACGATTTTGGATTGTGAGGGAAGAGAATGATGGAGAATCCAAGATGAAACAGCAGCAATGGTGGTTGGCGGATTGGGGAAAAAATTTGCTGCCAAAGTACCCCAAACTCCGAAGGAAAACTCGCATTCGAAGAAGAGATGGTCATGACTTTCTACACCACTTGAGCAGAGAACACAAGTTGATGGGACATTCATCCCCCATCGCCTTAACCTGTCTCTAGTGGGTAAGCGATAGAGCATTGCCAACCAGGTGGTGAAAGAGTATCGCGGCACATGCTCTCTGAACCAGACAGTCTTGGCCCAAGGGACCACAGGTGAACTGATTCTCAACTGTTCCCAAGTATCTCTAGAATAGAAGGATGGGCAGTACATACCAGAGGTCTTGCGCCAAAGGTAGATGTCAGAGCCATTGCACGCAGCAGGCGCCGCAACAGCAGTTAAAGCAATCATTAACGCCTGAGCATTTTCAGACCTAGCAGCAGGAAATGTCCAATCTCCATTCCTTGAAGCATCAGCAACAAAAGTATCTCTTCTTATGTGGAGTTGCCTCGGCCCAGCATCTCCGAGGAAGGTTATTAGCTGGCCAAAATCAGTCCACGAGTCGAACCAGAATGAAGCTGAATTCCCGTTGCCCACCTCACATTTGAGCAGTTCAATGATTCTAGGTTTCAGCTGCAACATACTGTTGACAGTCTTCGAAAACCGGCTTGCCTCTTGTGTAACCCAATAGCTTTTCCTCAGAAAAATATTCCCTTTCAACCAAGCAACCCACAATGAACCCGATTTTGAGAAAAAATTCCATACCTGTTTCAATCTGAAGACCACTTCAAAATCTTCAAGCAGGCGAATACCGAGACCCCCTTCATCCTTAGGCCTGCAAATGTCTTTCCAACTAACTCTCGCTCCTGCAGCATATCCAATCTTATTTTTCCAAAGGAATGCAGAGCAAAGAGAGTCAACTTTCGCATAGAAATGCTTTGGCAGCACAAACACACTACTCCAGAAGTTTACCATGCCATAAATCACTGAAGAGATTAACCGGATTTTCCCAGCAAAGGAGAGAAACTTTGCAGTCCAAGAGTGAAGCTTGTTGGTGATTCTCTCCAGGAATGGCTGCAAGGTAGCAAACGAGATTCGTGTCGGGTTGAGAGGTAAGCCTAAATACCGGGTGGGGAAGGTTCCAAGCTTAATACCAGCCAAAGCACTTAACTGATCTGCTTCAACTTCAGAATATCCACCAAAGAAAATCTCTGATTTGGCGGGGTTCATATCCATCCCAGACAGTTCTTTAAACTTGCTCATTACCTCCGCAATACCAGCCAAAGAAGCCCTCGAACCATCAGAAAATACCAAGAGGTCATCTGCAAAGAGTAAATGAGTAATTCTGGGATCTAAACACTTCGGATGTAATTTTATTCTTCCTTGATCCGCAGCATTCTCAAGTAACTTAGACAGCGCCTGCATGACCATAATAAAAAGATAAGGCGAGAGGGGATCTCCTTGCCTTAAGCCTTTCTTACCTTTGAAAAAACCTGCAAGTTCTCCATTAATTGCTACAGAGAATCTTGGGGAAGAAATGCATTCCTTGATCCAAGCACAAAACATAGGAGGGAATTCCTGGGCAGCCAATAACTTGAGGACAAAATCCCAGCAAAAAGTGTCAAAAGCTTTCTTAATGTCAACCTTCAGCATGGAGCTCTTGGGACAATTAGATCTTTGATAATGCCGGATTAGCTCAGAGGCTAACAACACATTTTCTCCAAGAAGTCGTCCCTTGAGAAAAGCAGCTTGATTAGATGATATACAGTCCTGAAGAATGGGCTTGAGGCGATTTGCAACAATCTAGTCTTCATTTATGTAAACTTAATAATTTCTTATGCGCCATTTTTAGGTGTCAGGCTATAGCTTATTTAGCTGGCATTACTTCATCCCAAAACTTGTCTTTAAAACCTTGTTTGATTTCATTCAGTTCCTTGATATGCTTGCTTTGGTCACATCCCGAAAGTAAACCAAGGTAAAAAACACCGTAAAATGTTTGTTTTTTTCAGTAAAAGTTAAATGATTTTAGAATGAAAACCAATATCTGTAAACCGGGCGTAGAACCAATAGCTATTAGGTCAAACCCAATATCTGTAAACCGAGCGTAGAACCAATATCTGTAAACCGAGCGTAGAACCGGGTTTCTTCCATACCGGCGCTGTAACCATTTGAATAACCTTTTTAAATACGACAACCGCGTTTTACCAATTAAACGACTTTTTCTAGCAATTCAATCGACCTTTTTATTATTTTATTTATTTTTTCAATTCGTTTTTCCTCGAAGGAGCATCGAGTAAAAATATCATTAAAGAGCCTTTAATAAGTAGACATAATAATTAAAAAAGAAATAAGGAAAAAACAGAAAAATTCTTTGCTTTACAACAAAGGCAGACACACAAAGGCTAATTCGGAGCTCTCCTCCACATCTTCTTCTCCGCAACAACAACAAACAACAACCGAAACAAAGCCAAATTTCCCAGAAAATCAGATCATTCTTTCATTAATTTCGTCTTCTTTGATCATAGGTGAGAATCCATCAGCTCAAAAAACGCAGCTCAAAAATCAGAGAAGCTGATTCTTTTCCGATCATTATTTTGTGCAGACGTTAAGGATAATTCCGATTTCCGATTCTTCCTTGGGAGGTGATCGATCGGTGAGACGATTTTTGAATTTATGTGTTTCAATTTCTCTTTTTATTCGTCAATTTGTTTGAATTTGATCGTAAGGGTTTTGATTAGGTTTTGCACCAAATTAGCCGTCGAAAAGGGTGTTTCTTTGATCTGGTTTCGATGGCGGGATTAGACAAAAACGCTGATTTCTCTGGGAAGACGAAATCGGCTACGACGTCTTCGTTTTTCAACAGGTCGCTTACGATTCACGGGAGAACAGTGGTGGATTCGAGCCCCAAATCCCACAATCTCAATCCTTCTCTCAATCGTACCACCTCCATTACCAAATTCTACACCCCTGTGGAATCTATGGGAAGTTCTCTTAAAGGCAAAGTCAAAAATCTTTGTAGATTATTTGAGAGTTCCAAACCTGTTAAACCAGCCTCAGCTGAGATTCCTCAAAAGCAGAAATCCGGCAAATCTCTTTTACCCGAATCGCGGATATCGCCTTTTTCGAGCTTAAACAACTCGGTGATCCGTCTTCCCGGGACAGAGGACAGGATTGTGGTGTATTTTACTAGCTTGAGAGGGATTAGGCGGACATATGAGGATTGTTATGCTGTGAGAATGATATTTAGAGGGTTTCGTGTTTGGATAGATGAGCGTGATGTCTCCATGGATATAGCTTACAGGAAAGAGTTGCAGATTGCAATGGGAGAGAAGAGTGTGTCTTTGCCTCAAGTTTTCATTATGGGAAAATATGTGGGTGGTGCTGATGTGATCAAGAGTTTGTTCGAGATTGGCGAGCTCGCCAAGATTCTTAAAGAGTTTCCTATGAGACAACCAGGGTTTGTTTGCCATTGCTGCGGGGACATCAGATTCGTTCCGTGTTCGAATTGTAGTGGGAGCAAGAAACTGTTTGATGAGGATGAAGATAGGCTCAAGAGATGTCCGGACTGCAATGAGAACGGATTGATACGTTGTCCTCATTGCTCATCTTGAGAGATATCAATCAACCTGAAAAAAAAACCATTTAAAAAAAGAAAAAAGAGGTATTTATTTCTCTTTTGATGTTTCCATTGTTGTGTAGAACAGTGAATGATGCTACAAGTATCCGAAAATCTCTTTTGGATCAGCAGCATTTCACTTTGGGTTTTTTAAGGTTTGCGATCAACGGTAATGGGAATGCTGGTGATCGTGGATTTAGTTATGTATGTTTTGCTACTAAGGACTAAATGTAATTGTGTAATCAAAATGTCTGAAACGGGTAGTAAGCATTTTGACTCTTGTGTGTCAATGTTGTGAAAGACAACTGTGTTCTTATGCTATATATTTGATTGTAAATATTTAGTGTGTTTATGGGTGTGATGTTGATTACGACAGTAACTGGGTGATTCTACTCAGTTGATCGTCTTTTTATAACAAACTTGGTGAGAAGTATTTAACCGACGTAATCATCCATTGTTCTTATTTGCTAACTCTCAAGTATCGATCAAGGGCTCTCAGACCCAAATCATTGGTTGAGCGTAATTGAATCTTGGTTCTGGTTGAAACATAAGATACAAGACTATTCTGTATCGTTAACAATATTCAAAACTTGCTTCTGCAACCATTCATGATTCTGTAGGTGACGAGTCTATAAGAAATGGGTCATACTTCATTTTCACATTTGATAAACTTTTGTTTATAAATGGTGCTGTGCAACTCGAGGCAAAATTACGTATTAGGTGAACTCAACATCTCTAAGCTCTATTCCCGGCAAAATCATTCCCCCAAAAGAGACTACTTCATTACTCATTCGATGAGACCAACTAGTCCTTGGGTAATCGGCCGATACAACTGGTTGGAGCCAATCCGATAACTTTGGAGAAATGATAGAATCAGCGTGGTTAAAGAGAACACTTGATTTGTTTGAAGAGATGTAGACTAAAAGAAACTATCGAACTCTTTCTAAAATGTCGAGAGTTCTTACTTCTTAGCTATCTCGAGGAAACGCAAGTATTCTCCTACATTATTAGGCCAGGACTAAATTTTTGCAATCAGAAGCAAATTCCACTCTTGAAAAGCCCAATTGTGACGAGGCAACCCATCTGAAAACTCAACTTTTAAAAAGCCCAATGTTTTTATTGCCTAATCATCATCATCATCATCATCATACCAACATCATCATTATGAAATATGAATTTATGATGGTGATGACAATAATATTATGATGATGATGATGTGATGCTAATAATAAGATATACATGTGTAATTTTTATCTTTCGGCACGAAGAAATCCATTTTACGTTTGAGTTTTGCATCTTTACTTCTTTTATTATAGTTTTAGTCATAGTTGACGGTTATAGATTGTTCTTGACGCAACTCTTTCTCTTTAATTAAAAGGTTACTTGAACAGTTGAACTACTTCTTACTAGTGGCATCTTTTTCACTCACGCATCCACCTCCCACTTGGACCCATGATTTAATACATAATTTATTTTACTATTACTAGCTACTAGGGATTAGTCCGGATATGTATATTAACAATTTACATTAAATTAGTGAATATCAAATTTGCTTTAGAAATCTCGATGCATATTATTTCATATTTATAGAAACTTTCCACGATTAAAGAGCCATGTGTACATAAATTATTGTACAACCATTCTTATAAACAATATTTAAAATTTGGTTTAAGTATATGATTTTAAAAAGTATATGATATATTCAGTTTTTCTTGTAGTAGAAAAGATACATTTTAGATATGAATTGAAATAATTAGTGAAACATATGATAACTAACACAAGCAGAAGATAGTTCTCCACCCTTTGAGTTGCTCTAGCTACATGCCTTACTCCTCCATGACTAATTATGCAAACCCAAGAAACATCATTTACACTTAATATCATCCTCACCATAACAATTATCTCTTTTTGTTTCCATCACCTCCTCTACTTATCCTTCATAACGCCAGAACTGGCCACACTAAATATATATACATAGAAGATAGCCTGAAAACTACTTTTAGATTAGAAGCTCCAGAAATGTGGGAACAATTTGAGAAAATAGACAAAAGCAGGTAGTCATGTGCGAGAGTAGTTTTAAAGGAAAAACATCTCCCTGTTTGTATCCCTAATATTTCAAAGTTCTTATGCCTAAGCACTATCTCAAAGAGCCGCAAACCCACATAGGCGATATGACATCCTTGAATATTAATGTTCCATAGCACCATCAGCGTTCTCGCCCTCTCGGACTATGACTTCTTAAGGGTTTTCTATTTTTTTTTTCGTTTTTCTCTTGCAAGTGCTAGAATATTCCTAGACTAAGACGACAATTTCATAAAAGAACAGAAAAATGTTTTGAATGTATCTCAAGAAGAATAAAAAATGCACATATATATGGTTGCAACGAATAATCAAATACTTAAGAAAAGGCAAAGCCCTTGGATCGTACCGCTGAATATCCAATTGAAGATGTAAGAGGAAGTAAATGTTCTTGATTCAAATGACGAAATTCCTCCCACATGAAGCTTTTGTCGGTAGCTTTGTAAATCCAGGAGAATAATAGTTAGGCTGAAGTGGACAACTAAATACTCACCAAGCTCGAACCCTTCCGTAGTATCTTCCAACGTAGGGCATTTAGTTATCTTCATCCATCAACATTAAAAACTTATTAATACTCAAATTATACACATCATAACCTTTGAAGAAGTAGAATAAAAATGTATCTTAAAAGATTCGTCATCAATAATTATGCATAATTCAGATGCTTTAACCTTTGTCTTCTTAATCATTGATTGTTTTGTTCTTAACCAAATGATAAGAAAATGTAGGAATTTTGCAGCGTTGTTCGACATGCATGCTTCACCGTTCTTATTTCTCGGCAGAATCTCTGCTGCATTCCTTTGGTTCCTGAAAAAATCTATAATAATGATAAACTATTGTTTGGATTATCACTTATCAGCAAGTTAATTGATAATGTTGACAAAACCAAATGATTCACATTCACACAATCACATAAAAGTACTATAAATTAAGATTCATACGTATTGGAAACTTGGTGAAGATATCTCTCAATGCTCACCTTATAAGAGACTTGAAACTTTTGTGTCAATTTTCTTTGTTGCAATCTTTGTGATGACTTGCAGATCCTTCTCCTCCAAGATTTTCTCGTGCTTATGCACCTAAAGAAAGTTAGGTTCCACACACAAGGGACTCTTACCGTTGTGAATTAAACCTCTCTAAATGATAATTGTTTGCAATCAAAGAGAGAAATTTGTAGAATTTCAAGAACAATGAAGGTCTTTGGAAGATACTTTTGGCAGTAGATATGAAAACCATAAACAATTGAAATAATTCGATCCATACCTTCGACGTCCTTACTAATAAAAACCATAAACACTAAAAATTGAGAATATGTATCTCTTGCCTTCGACGTCCTTAACCAATCCTTCAAAGATCTTCTTTCTCTTAATTAGTCCTCCTATACCTGCAAATATATTGTTCTAAGACCATCAATAATCTGAATTTTTTATTGCAAGAGAAAGTGGAGCCGCACCACAGTCTACATTGCCGGTGGTGTAGATCTCATCAACGTTTATTCTTTGGATAAAAAGAGAGAAAATATATTGAATTTGTACGTGGAAGATATAGAGTTTTGTTTATAGAGGGATTTTTGAGAACTGAAAAGTCTATACGGTTTTGATCGGATGCGTTTATAAATGTGAGAAAGAGGAAGTGGAGGGATCGTTTATTGACGATCATTGGAAACCTAGAAGTAACCCTTAGATGACGTGGCACAACAATTTGTTTTTCTTCTTATTTTCAAAACTCTCAACGAAAGTAGAAGCTGATGTGGCAGGTTTAGAGAAGATATTGAGAAGCTGATGTGGATGGCTTGAGAAGCTTCAATGAGCTTCTTTTATTAGTAAGAGATTTCTGTTTCCGACCCATTTTCCAATCATAACAGAAAAATCGTATTCTTTGGAAAATTGTCTTTTCTTTGGTGGAAAATTTATGTTTGTATCGCGCCTCTGGTCAAAAACTAAAGTTTATTTTATATGGGACTATATATTTACGCATAGGACATGAATCTGAGAATGGGAACGGCTCAATCAACTCAAGCGTGTTTTCGGTGGAAAAGGTATAATATTGATAGCTTTGGCATAACCATGTAGCTTTGCAATGTGTCCCATTTTTTCGGAACTAAGTGAATCGGCCATGATATCTCTGTACGTGTAAACTTAATGCTTACTCAATTCTGCATAAAACATTATGGATAATATTAAACATCGGGTGAAAGAGATGATAATTTCCTACATTTAGGATAGTAACAATGCATGCACTCTAGAACGACACATGCTGGTTTTGGCGCAAAAAACATGTCGTTTTCTAGTGATTGAGAAATTCGGTAATTCGACGACCTAGCCTAATACGGATATGTTTGACGCGGCATTCATGTATTGTCTTAATTGGTAAGCTAAAAATTATCTCACCCGTTAATATAAATATATAATTTAACTTAATATTTAATTATTATAAGATCATATTTAGAGTTAAGATTTGAACAGAAAGAAGTATATTTCTTGATGATATTTACAAGTGTTAGTGTTCACTAACTTTTTTTTTTTTTTTTTGAGGAAGTGTGTGCACTAATTTAACTGAATGATTTAAACTTTAAAATTAGCTCTAGATTTCATATTTAATGAAACAAAAGAAAAGTCGCAATGAGACTAACAAGCTAAAAAGTAATCATTTTTCATAAAAAAAATTGCTTTACATTATTTTAATATATAGTGACTTCTCTTTTTAATGTGTAGCCTGTAGGAACGATCGATAAGAACATTTGATTGGAGATGAAGTCCAAGTTGACATGTCGCATAAGTTTATTTCAACCACCTCAACGAATATATACGGCCTTGAAGAATACGTAACCGTCTCAAAGCCACAGTTTCAAATTAAACGTAGATGTTAGTGTATAATGTAAGTTATTGAGATTCTTTTGGGCAAACGAATTTTATATCAATATCGATATGTTGCCAGGATATGAGAACCATGTGATGAACGATAATACGTGATTGCTTTTCTTCAACTTGGTGACAGAGAAAAAAAAATGGTTTAAAGGAGAAAAAAAAAGCTGTTCAACCAAACGAACGAACTTGCAAACGAGTAAAGACCAGATCTATTGATGCTTCTTCCGCTGAAGCAAAATGCATGGAATTCTTCGATTTTTGTGCTATTCTTTTTAAAAATATTTCTGCCTCCTACACACATTCGTTGTTGATATTTAAAAACATTGGGATCAAAAATAAACCTTAGATGAATAGAAATATACTACTATTTGTTAACATAATTTGATGTTATTTTGACATATATGACACTACATATGTTATCGTCACCGCATAATATTAATAAGTTGTCCTCGTCAACAGTGTATATGATTAATTCCCATAACATTATCAAACTTTGAAGTTGGAAGAACAACTTGGTATGTTTTATATGTATATACGAGATCTCATCATATTATAAAATTCAGAAAATGTTCCGTTGGCAATATATGTGTGTACATAGACTATATCACATCTACATGAAACACAAACACATGGATTTCTTCTAAACACAACGACATGGATATAAATCCAATATTATCGGCGTATTAAAAAAACAAGACAAAACCACATGGTGGTGGGCGAGTGGTTCTGGTTTGGTTGGAAGGATCGCCCTGTTGGTCTAGGCCAGGGATCGATCCTCCCCAGACGCAGTTTCGCTCTCTCACTCCTGTGGCCACCTGGGAATTTACTTGCGGACTTGCTCAGGCGCCCCAGACCACCAGTTTATCAGGGGGCCCTTAAGTGGAGGCTTAAAAATCCCTGTGACGCGGGCTTAGGCCCAGTGGGCTAGTCAGATCACTGTGTGGTCTGGATACTGGGTTATCAAAAAAAAAAAAAAAACAAGACAATGTATGAGTGTGACAATCAACCATGTGAAATCTTGTCTTTCCATATATATACATATTTTAGTACTTTTGTTTTATTTTATTTGTTTGTTATTTTACTAGTATATCTTAAGATAAGCTTATGCCAACTGACTTTCAAATCAAAATGGAATATTCTCGTTTTGTTAGGTGGTTGGATCTCATATACAACAACATAAAAATTTGATTTTATTTAAATTTTCCTATATCCGTCTTACCGAGTAATTTAACATTTTTTACAACTAAGAATATGCTCTTTTCCGTCCAATTAGGAATATGCTTAATTAACATTATAATGTTTATTAGAAACAGATCATGGATGATTATCCTAAATGTACTATGTAACCTTCATTCATGTTAATATTACACGATTTCATTGCAAACTATTCCATGGATGGTTATCCTAAAAGTGTCTTTGGCTTCCGGTCAATATTAAACGAAAGTATTTAATAACTTTGAATAAACTTACCCAACATTAATATGTGACCAATGAAAAAAGTCATAAATAGAGCTTTGGAAAAATATTTATGGGGAAGAATTCAATTGTTTTCGAAACATCTAATAAAACCTTACTCTACCTAAGACGACCTAATAACTAGACTTAAAAGCAAAGAATCGAATTAAACGAACCACTCGGACAATTATTAATTTCTGATATGCAAAATAAATTCCAGGTGTAAAACCACGTCAGCAAGAGAAAACACGTGGACCAATGATGTAAAAACGTGCACGGAACAGTAAAAGAAGGGATTCCACGCGGTATCACAGCCTCATAATATTCCCTTCAAAATGGGAATAATATAATTATTATCCAATCCCGAAATTAACTCTCTTTTTTTTTTTCTGACAATGACAAAGAAAATAGGTTTCGTGTAGTGAGAGGATCCTCCACGTGTCGTTAAAAAACAAAAAAATGGTAAGAAGAGTGACTGGCTTTAGCCGGTGAAACCAATATCCCTCAACTGCCACATCCGGTTGCTTGGTTAATATTTATTTTTTTCTCTTGTTTACAAAAACTGTGTGTATTTATTTTCTTCAAATGGGGGTTTAAGCTTTTTTTCAGTTGTTGGTTTTTTCTTTTCAAAGGGTTTTATGTCTTCTTCGTTATTTCTATTCTAGAAGAGAGAGAGAGAAAGACAAGGACGATCGCTTAATCTTTTTTCTCTAAAATCTTAGAATTTCCAAGTCTCTGTAAATTTTTTCATTGTATAGCACAATTGTTCTAATCAGAGATTCGTGAGAGGATCATTTACTGGGTAAAGGTTGCGTAATTATTCAGTTTGCGTGATCTATAATTAACTGGCGCGATATTGTGATCCAGGAATCGTTGTTGGCTAATTAGGTGAGTTTTTTTTTTCCCTGCATCAGAATTCATGATCTCAATTCTGTTTTCTGATTTTAACCTCGATCTGACAAAATCTGATGTCGGATAAATATTTGCCGGCTTGTCAGAAGTTGACAATCGAGATCTGATCAGTAAGGTCATGTTTCTCGTTTGTTTCTACGTAAATTGTGAACATTTGCGTTACTTTTGTTTCTTTGATCTCAGTTTTTGCGTTTCAGCGATACGTTGCTTGTTTCGCTGCATTTTTGCATGTTTTAAAAAAAAAAACTTTGATCAAGGGTTTGGGGTTTCATTAATGATCTGAATCTGTATAGGGTTTAGTTTTATCTTCCTGATTTTGCATTTGACATCGGATCTATAGATCATTAGTTTTAAAATTTGTTCAAATTATACTGATTAGCTTAATTTTGCTGGAAATGATCATCATGAGATTAAAAGTTTTTGTGGTGAATATATTTTGCAGGTTGTTTTGTTATGCATAATTGAGAGATGGTGGTCAAAAGGAAGTTAAGTTGTGGCTCTAATGGTTTTGATTTCCCAAATATTCCCAAGGCTCCTCGTTCAAGCAGGGTAAAAGCTTCGTGTGCTTCATTTGGATTTGTTTTTTTCTATGTTTTTGAATACGTCTCTGATGACTTGTGTTTTATATGTTATAGAGGAAGGTATCAGATAAAAGAGCTGATGATGATAGTCAGATCTGTGCTATTGATTTGCTCGCTTCTCTTGCTGGAAAGTTGCTGGAAGAAAGTGAAAGTTCCTCAACGTCTACCTATGCATTTGAAGGTGATAATCTTGATCATTTGGGTGGAGTGATTAAGCAAGAACTTGAAGATGGCTATACTAAGCCTTGTAAATCTGAGTTTTTCGATCAAGGAAACCTCACTTCGAAGTCGACTAGTGAAAATACTAGCGTGACTTGTTTGCCATTTTCGTCTTTGGAAAATGATTGCATTTTGGAGCAAACACCGGTTTCTGATTGTAAGACGGCGTATGGTTTGAAGTCCCTGGTAGGGGAGGAGACATGTGTTGTTAATGAGGATGCCGGGTCTGAACAAGGAGAAGCAACTGGTGCCTTCAAGGATCCAAGTCAATTACATTTGCAGTCTCCAGAATCGGTCCATCTGGATGGAGATGTAAAATTGCCACCATGCACGGATCAACTCCCTAATGATTCTTTTGAAGGATATGGGAATCATTCTAAGTTAGTTTGCAGAGATGATGACGAAAACTATTGTAAGTATTATAAATTTAGTGACAAATGTAAGTCATATAGGCCTCCCTTCCGGGTTGGAAATAGAAGAATAATGCAGTCGGTGATGACAAAATACGGCGGGAGAGCAATCTCAAAGTTGAAGTGTTTTGAAGACACTAGAACAGGTTAGTATCCTATATATTACTGTGTTTCTCTTTGGTGCATTTTTTTTTGCTGCCGCTCTGCCCTTACATTGCTTGCGGATATATGTCTAGATGGTCGTTTGAAGGCTCTGTACCGCAAGAGAAAATTATGTTATGGTTACAACCCATGGAAGCGTGAGACCGTTCATACGAAGAGAAGATTGTCTGCCAAAGGGTTGGTCGTTAATTATGATGGAGGGCTCAGTAGTGAAAGTGTTTCCAATTCACCTGAAAAGGGAGAATCAGGTACATATCAGCCTATATCCAGATGCTTTATTGCCTGGCTGATATGGTTGTGATTCATGATTTTTTTGGCTTCTTTGTTAAATGCAGAAAATGGTGATTTCTCTGCTGCAAAAATAGGTCTTCTTTCGAAGGACTCCCGTGGTACTTGATCAGTTGATAATTCACAGTCTTATTGACCGAGACATGATATGTGGGTCTCATGTTATTTCATTGTTTGCAGTAAAGTTCAGCATCAAGTCCCTTAGGATTCCGGAGCTTGTTGTTGAAGTTCCAGAGACAGCAACAGTAGGCTTATTGAAGGTGCGTGATTAAATGTCTTTTCCTACCGTTCTCTTTAGATTTTTTGTTCTGCTGTGTACAATGATGAAGTGTGTTATCTACATAATCTTTTTGGTTGCAGAGGACAGTGAAGGAGGCTGTTACTGCTTTACTCGGTGGTGGAATACGTATTGGGGTGTTAGTCCAAGGGAAGAAGGTTAGAGATGACAACAACACACTATCACAGACTGGTCTTTCGTGTAGAGAAAATCTTGGCAACCTTGGCTTCACATTGGAGCCTGGTCTGGAAACACTGCCTGTACCTCTTTGTTCTGAAACTCCTGTCGTTTCTGTGCCAACTGATTCTACAAAGTTGTCAGAAAGGTACTAACAAACTTGCTCTTATATATTTTTGTCGCTGCAAGTTTTACTTTTGTGTATGGATAAATTTGAAGCTCTAGAGGTATACCTAAGGAAAATCATTCGCTCTTGCTAGGTCCGCAGCTTCTCCCTCGTTAGATACTAGAATTCCTATCCCTATCCAAGATGAAGATCCCCTGATTAATTTGGGAAATAGTGTGGAGAACAATCATGAATTAGTCCCACATCCGAGTGACATATCAGCAGCTGATGAAAAACCTTCATCAGATTCAAAAGCGCTGGTTCTAGTTTCGGCCTTGGAATCCGAGGCTCTTGCACTTGTTCCAGTTAACGAGAAACCTAAGCGTACAGAGCTTTCACAGCGCAGAACCAGGAGACCATTCTCTGTTACAGAGGTAGAAGCTCTAGTACGAGCAGTTGAAGAAGTTGGGACTGGAAGGTAAAAAGACTGTTTTGGTTGATGATGGTTAATACGATAATATGGACCATGGTTATGGGGTCAAACTAATGATAGATCATCATCTTATTTCACAGATGGCGTGATGTGAAGTTGCGTTCTTTTGAAAATGCAAGTCATCGAACCTATGTGGACTTGAAGGTATGAGAACACATATCAGAAAATGATCAAACACACTTTGAATCTTAGTCACTACAATTTGTAGCTAAATGGTTCCAATAACTTTGTGTTTTGTTGCAGGACAAATGGAAAACGTTGGTTCACACAGCAAGTATATCACCACAGCAGCGAAGAGGAGAACCAGTGCCTCAAGATCTGCTAGACAGAGTCTTAGGAGCACATAGGTTTTGGTCACAGCACCAAATGAAACAGAACGGGAAACATCAGGTGGCTACAAGTACAACAATGGTGGTTGAATCAGGTTCGTCCGTGTAAAGAAGGAGAATGTTAATAACAGTAACTTTCACTTGACGACTAAGGAACCAAAGTGGACAACTGTACAAAGGCAAACAACAAAAGTACAGAACCATACTTAATTTCTGGAAAGAAGACATTTTTTTTTTTTTGTAATCATAGCTGGTAGAAACTAGACGTTCCTTGGCACTTTTGGTTACTTTTATGGTACGTCTGTTCATTCCAAATTTCTAGTTGATTTGATTATGTAATACAGTGATATCGGTGGTTGGTCCATGGAAAAAGGGGACATGTAATTTTTAGACAATTCTTTTATTTTTTTGTTCATCATTCAATTCAATCTATGGCAGTGTAACTTTGAGTACTCTCTTATTTTGTTAGATACTGGTTTTTATCAATCTCTTAACCATTTGACATATCTTTTTATCTTCCAAAAACCATATTCTCAAATCTGTGTGGTCTGTTTGTTTTCTGATTGTTAAAGTTATACCTAAGTTTCTTTTATGATTATATTTATACTATTCAATCTTGCAGAGAAGTTGATGTCGCGGTTCTATTTGACGTGTTGAGTAAAATAACAACGAACATGGTGATTTATTGAATTCGTGTTGTTCATGGTTCTTTTTAGTTATAGAATGTTAATACGTGTGACCAAGACTAAATCTAAATTCGATTAGAAATAAATAACAATTAGATTTCCTATTTTACATAAGAAAACTAGAAAAGGAAATTGTAATAGAAAATTATTAAAATATTAATAAAAGATGCCAAAAAAAATGGAAAAGGGTAAAAAAAAAGGAAATTCTGAAACGAAGATATGGGCCTATGCTCTTAAGCCCATCATAACTAGGACCAGGAGCTCTGTCTATATAAGCCGATCATAATTAAATCTTCGTGGATAATTCTCATGATTTCAATTTTCTTCTTTCGCTCTCGTTTCCTTTTTCTTCTCTGGAGATTCTCCGAAGCATCTTCAGGTATCGTTTTTGATTATGCAGAACTAACCATTTTTTGAATCTGGGTTTGTTTATGCATAGTGTATGTTTTTCTTCCGTTTATGTTCTAGTAGTTTCGTGATTGTGTTTTTCTTAGATTTCAAACTTTTCTTTTCCAAAATCAAAACTTCGATTAGGTTTTCATCTTAGGGTTTTCAATTTCAAAACTTGTATTTCTCTTTTAAGATTTTACGTTTTTTTTGTTTGTTTCAGATTAGGGTTTTCTGATTAATTTAATTCTGCAAATCAAAAGCCCTCTCTTTTGGATTCTTTTTTTTCGAGGGCTTTTCTAACTTTCGTGATTCTAGATTTCATAAATTTGAAACCTTTATTTGCAAATTCAGATTTTCAATTGATTTTAAAATCTCGCAAATCGAAAAACCCTCTTTTGGATTTACGTTTTCTTCTTTTTCGAGGGATCTTTACTTAAAAAGTTTTTTTTTTTTTTTTGTCTTAGGTTTTAGTTTGTTTAAAGTTTCCTGTTTTCTTCAAACCCAAAAGAAAGGGATAACACATTATATAATTGTGTCAGTCCGGTTTCTTACTTGGGGAAATTGTCCCGTATAGTCCGATGTTGCCTAAGATCATATGCTTGTCGATCTATGTCCGTAAGTAAGAGATTGGAGAAATCAATCTCTATAGTTGTATTGTCTTGCTGTGCTGGGACAGCTTGATATAAACTTCAAAATTCTGCAGCCTTTATTAAGGCTTGAACAATAATGTTCCGAGAATTTCAATTCTCTACTTAAACGATACAATTCAATATTCTGCAAACTGATGGAGAATAAAAGTCCTTTAATAAGGCAATTGTCCGATTAAAGATATGTTGCTGTTGCTGGGATAGCATAATCTGATGTTGCCTAACTGAAGCTAGATCATATGCTTGTCGATATATGTCCGTAAGTAAAAGATTGGAAAAAACAGTCTCTATAGTTCTATTGTCTTGCTGTATTGGGACAGCTTGATATAAAGTTCATAAATTCTGCTAAGATCAGCCTGTATTATGGCTTGGACAATGATGTCCCGAGAAATTCAATTCTCTGCTTATAGAATTCAATATTCTGCAAATATATGGATAATTCAAGTCCTTTAATAAGGCAATTGTTCGATTAAAGGTGTATTGTTGTAGCTGGGACGACATAGTCCGATGTTGCCAAACAGAAAAGCTAGATCATGCTTGTCGATCTATGTCCGTAGCTAAGATCATATGCTTGTCAATCTATGTCCGTAGTTTGATCATATGCTTGTCAGTCTATGTCCGTAAGTAAAGGATTAGAGAAATCAATCTCTACAAATAATAGCTCTATTGTCTTGCTGGACTGGGACAACTTGATATAAACTTCAAATATCTCTGCTAAGATCAGCCTTTATTAAGGCTTGGACAATGATGTCCCGAGAAATTCAATTCTCTGCTTTAACGAGAAATTCAATTCTCTGCTTTAACGATATAGTTCAATATTCTGCTACTTGATGGAGAATAAAAGTCCTTTTGATAAGGCAGTTGTCCGATTAAATATATATTGCTGGAGCTGGGACAACATAGTCCGATGTTGCCTAACAGAAGCTAAGATCATATGCTTGTCGATCTATATATGAAGTAAAGGATTGGAGAAACCAGTCTCTATAGTCTCTTGTCTTGCTGTACTGGGACAGCTTGATATAAACTTCAAAATTCTGCTAAGAGCAGTCTTTATTAAGGCTTGAACAATGATGTTCCGAGAATTTCAGTTCTCTACTTAAACGATACAATTCAATGTTCTGCAAACTGATGGAGAATAAAAGTCCCTAAATAAGGCAATTGTCCGAGTAAAGATATATCGCTGTAGCTGGGACAGCATAGTCCGATGTTGCCTAACAGAAGCTAAGATCATATGCTTGTCGATATATGTCCGTAAGTAAAAGATTGGAGAAATCTATCTCTATAGTTCGATTGTCTATTAAAAGATAGTTTGTTGTGGCTGGGGCAACATAATAACATTCAATGTTCTGCTTGTAAGGATTGTCTAAAGACATCCCAAGAATGTGAAATTCAAACTTCTGCTGAATCTCTATTAAATACGGATGATACTTTATGTCTTGCTGAGTCTTGACTATACGTTTAAAATATTCAAAACGCTGCATACTACAAGAACCTGACGTCTGGGCGAGGAGGTATGTATTTCTTCTTTAACTAGATTCTACTTATGTTTTGTAAGTTCTTTTTATGTGAATGTACATCTCTTATAAATCTTAGGTTATTGAAAAATAAATCAGTCTCTGCTTGCCTTACTGTGTTCTAAGTTCTAACCACATCTTTTACTGATTGTGGTTAGAACTTAGTTACACTTTGGTTCTTAACACCAAGATGTAAAATTATTGATTAAATAAAATCCCTAACTAGCAACTCCCTAGCTCTCAAATTATTGTTTTAGCTGTAAAACACCAAATTTAATTTGATTCCTCTGCTTGCATTACTTGTTTCTTTGCTTGTTTGATTCCTCTGCTTAGTGCATTACTTGTCTCTTTGCTTGTTTGATCACTCTGCTTAGTGCATTACTTTCTTCTTTTTCTTTTTTTGCTTCTTTGTTTTCTCGATTGCTTCTTTACATGCTTAGCTTTGTTTATTTGATTCTTTAATGCTTTGTTTATTTGATTCTTTAATTCATTTTCTTAGTGCATTGCTTGTTTCTTTATTTGCTTCCTTGATCCTCTCTGCTTACTTCTGTCTTTTCGTATTAATTGTTTATTTATATGCTACATTTCCTTAATTATTTCTTACTTGATTGTGTAGTGTGTCAGTGCTCACTACTAGCTCTCTCTTTTCCAATATATTTTAACTCCCACATAAACGCATTAGACGAGCACAAACACTAAACATAAACATACACATAAACGCATTACACAAAACACGTACACATAAACGCATTACCCATACACATACACTAAAGGTAAACACATGCACACAAACGTAACTTTTGTGCTCACACTAATACAAACATCTAAAAAATGCTAATACTTATACAAAAATAAACACATCACACAAACAAACATCTAAAATGCTCACACTGGTACAAAAATCTTTCAAGTTGGAGAATCATGTGTGGCTACTCTTGTTTCAGTCTTTGTTGCTCGATCCAACTACTCTATTTGAGTTCAAATCGAAACTCAGCTATTCATGAAAATGAACATATATATTACGAAATTATTGAACAAATATTTTTAATTCCATTTCAAATTTAGAAAATTGAGAAACAGAGTGTGTTTCTGCCAGAAGTTGGAAGTTTGGCTCGTTAAAGACACATTACAAAATTAAGTTCATATATTTGACTCCCAAAAACGTAAATGAAAAGTATTACCAATTATTGATTTTTTTTGTCAATGATTATATCGTTTTCAAAGTATTTCATTATCTATTGGGTAGAAGTTATAACAACCGAGCACCCAGGCCTAGTTGCAACTTTGTTACACAATAGGTTAGTTACACTTTTGACTCCTAAAAACCAAGATGTAAAATTATTGATTAAATATAACCTCTAACTAGCAACTCCCTCTCAAATTATTGTTTCAGCCGTGAAACACCAAATTTAATTTTGTATACACATTATAATAGTAACCAAAAAAAAAAAAAAACAAATAAGACCAATTTAAATAAACACCAAACAATGAAATCCTCGATTGATTTTCATAAAAAAAGAAAATACATAATTTGTTTTATCTAAATAATTTGGATTTGAAAATTTTGGCCGTTTGCATAATATGGCCATAAATTCATCAATTCACAACAACTTAGGTATACAAAATAGATTACTTGTTGAAAACGACTATTGCGCGCGATTTTTCAATATCTGCATAGATTTGATCCACTTCTCCCCGAGTACCATACATTTGCCCTAAAGGATCGTAAAAATACTGCACATTGAAATTAAATGAATATTAAAACGTGTTATACAATACACATTGAAATTAAATGAATATTAAAACGTATTATATATATGAAAAAGAAGTTTTTAGAGCGAGCTTGAGATTTAAAGAAGAAACTATATTTTCCTAGACTTGAGACTATCCTTTAATCATTCTTGCCAAAGCGTATGATACAATATATTTTCTTGAAAAACTGAATACTTTTTTTTGCATAAAAGAGAGATTTCATCCCCAAACATAGATTACTAATTCTTAAAACTCGTGAATTGTGAATTTTGCGGTGACAATAAGAAAGTGAGTCTAGTAGAAAATCTAAATCTACATGACGATAACTAAACTACTATCACTTAGTTGATAGCATATTAATTTTCCATCACAAGATATATCAAAAGAAAAGAATAATTACCCGGTAAAGTCGGTCATGAGGCTTAAGACGCTCCTCAGCGATCCAACCAGAACGAAGCCAGTTGTAACGAGGACATGTATTATCAAACACAGTACAAGACGTATTGGGGATTTTATTCAGTTGCCTTCTGCGACTCACAATCATCAACGTCTCTTTACCTTCCTTTGACAGATTTGCAACGCTGTTCTCATAACTGATCACCTCCGACGATCTCCTCTGCCGTGGACGTTTCTGTCGTCGATGTCCAGAACTACTAGTTTCAGCCTCCATATCTTATCCTTGTTATCGTTTTGTTATACTTTTATCTTAACGAGTTTCAAGTCTTTGTATATACATAAAATTTATCACCTTAAGGATATAATTGTGCCATGTGTTTTCTCATCTTCGTTATTTTTCACCTTATATAGAAAGATATCTTAAAGAGATTACAAAATCTCCAAATACATTAATGTGTTTCTTCTATGCTCGCTATTTTGCACCACAGATGGAAACGTATCTTAAGAAATTTACATAATGTCAACAATACATTAGTGTATTTATTTCCATAAACAAAATTATGTATTTTTTTACACTTAACACCAAATTGAAAATGAATATCAGTTTAAAAATTTTTTTAATTAATTTTGTCTTTAAATTTTTAATGAATTTTTGCTTTTGGAAAATTTGAGTTTTATTTTCTGAATTTAGCTAATATTATTTCATGTTAAATTAAGACAACTTTCAAATTGAGAAAAAGGATTACATTGCTGTAAAACAAAATTAATTAGAAGACAAATCAAGTAAAAAGTCCAAGTTCCAATGGATTTCACCGATATAACATTAGTTTATCATAATTAGATGAGTACTCACATATTTAAGAACCTCTCTAATTTAAATTTCTATTGGTTTATCTTAGTCTTGCATACCTTGAATATTTTTTGACATAGAGGTCAACTTGTTAATGTCAATTTAAACTCTGTAAAATCGACCATCTATCGGTTTAGTCAAGTTTAATATACATATCTTTGATGTATAGTATATAGGAGATGAATAAGTTTTGTGGTATTATTTGATATAGGCAAATAGCACGCAGAATTTTAAATTACATTGGTTAATGAAATAGCTCGAGTTTTTTTTTTGTTGATTTTTTTTTGACAAGTTCAATAAACCCGGTTTATAAGGTTTTGGTAAAACAAAAAAGGGAAGCAGAAGAAATCGGTTGTTGTCGGCGCCGGAGGAAATGAGTGGGGCAGGTGTGCCGGACTTTTTCTACAGAGAAGCTCAACGTCTTGGCTATGTTGCTCGCTCTGCTTTCAAGGTCATAATTACATTCATACCCTCCTCTGCTTCGTCTTCTTCTTCTTACATTGACTCTTCTCTCTCTCTGTCTCTGCAACTACAGCTTCTACAGATTCAAAAACAGTACAAGCTCATCAAACCAGGCTCTTCTGTTCTTGACCTTGGTTGCGCGCCTGGTGCTTGGCTTCAGGTCCTTTTTCTGAGATTCCATCAATTCCAAGTTTCGAATTCTGTGTAAAGAGGCCTAAACTTGAATTTGTTGCTATGCCTCCGTTCAGGTTGCTTGCCAAAGCTTAGGTCCACTTAGAAGTGGTGGAATTGTCGTCGGTATGGATATAAAGGTCAGAGGAAGCTTCAAAAATGTAATCTTTTTGCTCTAAACTGTGTGAATCCATGAGCTTTTTTTTTAATTTCAGAGCAGAAGGTGAAGGTTCCTCCACAGTGTGATTCTCGAGTGCAAACCATTGCCGCCGATGTTTTAAACTTTCCCAGACAAAAGATTCGGGAGTTATCACCTCAGGTGATTATTAGAATTCATGATTGGAAATGTTCTGAAACTATCTCTGTGACTTTTATCTGTTGATGATAACAGAAATAGTCATGAAAAGTTAGGATCTTTCTTGTTCATGAACTGTATGTTGAGGTTGGGGACTTGGTTTCTAAGCTGTTCCCTGACCATGCTTGATGTTTTTGTTTTCTATAAAACTGTTGTAACACAAGTTATGGATTGCTCTGTGGTGCAGCAATTGGGATTTTCAGTCATTCTTTCAGATATGTGTCACTCAGTATCTGGAATTACCACTAGAGACGCAGCTCTGTCTGCTGAATTGGGAATGCGAGCACTTGATTTGGCTGTTGGTCAAGCTGCCATCTCTCAGTCACCTGATGATGATAATGATGGAGGCGATGAGGTTCCAAGCAACGAAAGTCGTCGTGGTGTACTTAGACATGGAGGTCATCTTGTGATCAAGCTTTTAGAGAGCGAGGATGCTCAAGGTACGGGGAAGAACTGTAACATAGAGTCCAACTATAATACCATTGAAAAAAGTGCTTCTTCTTTACATTTACACAGTGTCTTTTTGTTTAGATTTTGCTCGAATTTGCAAGCCCATCTTTAGCAAGGCATCTTGGTTGAGGCCAAAAGCTACAAGATCATCATCTCGAGAAATTTACTTGATTTGCCAGGGATTTCGATAGTAAAAGCTTTCATATACAATGGAAATCCAACGGTATAGTAACTCTTTTTTTTTAAAGATGTATTCAGTATTTTCTGGGATTATGTAGTTTACAAAGGAAAAGAACAAATTGAATAAATAGAATGCAGGTTTTGCGTGTTACATTCCAGCTTCTCTATCTGTCTCTCTGTGCAGTACTGCATGTCTTCCTCATAAACAGTGAAAAACAAATTATAGGTTGACACTGTTATTATCGGATCTGTGTCCTCCCCAATGACCATAGACCTGTGTCCTTCACTGGTGTCTGTAAACAGAAAAATGGTCATCACTCAACTGAGCAGAAAGAGCTGGAAGATCTAATTCTGGTCTAAAGGAATTTCAGAACTCGAAAAATGAATACAAACCTGCATTTTCACTGAAGGGAAGACGTTCCAAAACCGCAGGGTCTCATCTCCTGCTCCGGTCACTATAGTCTGGCCATCAGGTGACGTAGCCAAGTAGAGTACTCTCATACTGTGGCCAGTTAGTGTTGCAACCTACAGAAAACAATCATCGGTTGATGCGTCACTTATATAGTAGAAGAGAGAAAGATAAAGAAATGAGCTCTCAGGTGTGAAAAAAACTATGTACCTTTGACATGGATGGGTACTTCCAGAGCATGATTTGGTTTTGAGAGTACCCATGAGTGCTTACTATCTCGTTAACATTCTTGCTCCATGCCAGATTGCAGACCTGGCTCCCAGTGTCGATGCTGTTTAACTGATGTCCGTTTGTCGTGTTCCAGAATCTAATGCATCTGTCTGCGGTTCCACCTCCTGAAGCAAGGAGGCTGCTCTGATGAGGAGACCATGTAATTGCCTTAACTGCTGCTGTATGCTCAGTCAGCTTCAGAATTGGTTGCTGTGAATGATTGTTCCATACCAGTAACTGTTTCAAAAAAAATACCCACCAATGTTTGTTAATATGATAAGCTTCAAAGAAGTTCAACAGTTCAAATCTTAGCTATAGGTCTATTGTAGTTAGCAGATTAGAGCTGTTGTGAATTGGTTAGAGAGCAGTTGAAAGTCTCTCATTAACCAACTCTCTTTGGTCTGGTGAATTGGAACAAGAAAAGCAGTTCATAGCTTTTGCTCTGATCATATGGAACACAGAGATTGTAGAGCACTGAATAAGCTTATGCTCAAGATCACCTGATTATCATTGCCTCCAGACGCAAGCTCTCTATCATCGTGAGACCATTTCAGACCGCAGACTTCAGATTTGTGCCCCACGAGTTTGCTGACATAATCGCTCTGGACTCGGATATCATGTTGAAGGATGTTTCTGTCTCTGCTCCCTGATGATAAGATCCTTGAGTTCCATGCCAAGACACCAGTTCTCGTCTGATGACCTCCCATGGTTCGGACTCTCTTGCACTGTGTTCCGTCCCAAACCTGCCAGCAAAATTAAACCTTTAGCAACTTCAATGCATCCAAACAAAACTTTCAACAACCACAGATTGGAAGGTAACAACAACACACCTGAACCTGACCATGACTTGTACCAATAGATATATATGAACCTTCCCGTGTCCACTGAACCGAACACACACTGTCATTAGGCCCCAGGTCGCATAACTTCGTTACCTAACCAGTAAATTCACTGTTAATTGAATCCACCACAACCAATAACATTATGCAAATCTTAAAACTAGTCAAGTATATCAAAACACTCACTTTGCTATTAGAAGCAGTCCAAAGATAGACACAAGTACCAAGCCCAACAGCAAGAACATTCTGTGAGCTCCAGTCCACAACATTCAAGTAGAAGTCATCTTGTAAGGAAGGAGCATCCAAGACCTGAGACCACATCAATAACAAAACAATCTTTCATTTCTACTTCTTATGAACCTGTATTAAGTATTAACATCACATAAACAGATTGGATCTAAACGATATAATACCTTATGAGGTGTTTTAGGAACCTTGCGAGGCGGTTTCGGAGGCGGAGACGAGTCACTGGAGAGACCATTATCATTTCCAAGAATGGAAGGAGAAAACGGCGAACTAGGGCTTGAATTGGAACGATCCGTCTTGAATCTCAACATGTTAGTACATGGACTCATCGGAGAAGAAGCAGATCCTTGACCACCTGCAGGAGACAAACAAGGAGAAGCAAAATCAGATCCAAAAAGCTCAGATTTCAAAAGTCTGGAGTAGGCTTCGTTCCCTCCCTCTTTAACCGGCGTAGTCGGTTCCTTATCCTGCAGATCGAAAGCGTGGAGTCTCGAAGAAGATCTGCACGGTATGAATCTGTCGCTGCAAGTCGATTTAGACGGCGAGGATAAACTCGAAATCCCACGAAATGAGCTCGAAAACGTCTCGAGACGCAACGAAGTCTGGTTCATCCCTGCGGGTAGATTCAAGCCGGTTTTGGTACTCTGTGGCGATGCCATTTCTGGGTTCTATTCAAAATCACTGGAAGTGTTGGTTTGGTCGGAGATTGAGACAAGGAACAACCGAAGGAGAAGATCAAAGAGAGCTTTATCTCTTTTTCTTTTTTTCCTTCTTTTGCAAAGAGTAATGTTCTCCAACGGTCAAATTTTTGGTGGTGGGAGAGATTATATAATATATAGGAGCGGGTTCTGATTAAAATATGTACATTCATTTATGAAACCATGTATTATCGATTTGTGGAGTTCATGCTCCAACGGTCAGATCTTGGGTCTTAGCGTGGAAGAAGATCAATCTGGATAATCACATTAACTAAATAAAACGTTTAGGTAATTTAACATCAAAGCCGTCTTAGCTCAGTGGTAGAGCGCGTGGCTTTTAACCACGTGGCCGTGGGTTCGATCCCCACAGACGGCGGATTATATTGACTATTCAGTTTTTGACTTTTGAAGACAAACTGTCTTGTCCTTTCCGGTTTGGTCCCCAAAATTTCGAGTCTATTTTCTGGTTTAAGATATATAAAAACTATAAACCAAACCCGAGATTAACCATTTACTTCAAAACGAGATTAACCATTTTTAGTTTTTTACCTTGGAAGCAATCTATCAAAGGGGTTTTAGGGTTTCGTCACTCACCGATAATTTTCTCTCTCTCTTGAAAACATGACTGCCGAACAGAAAGAGGAGCTCGCCGCCAAATTGGAAGAGCAGAAGATCGATGTAATGATGATCTCTCTTCTTCTACCTTTTTTTGTTTCTTGTTATTTCAAAGTCTGAAAATGATTGAGCTGGATTCATATTACTGATTTCTTCCTACATCGATCTCAGTGACTGGTTTTAGATTTTTTAAACACTGGAGTTACCAATTTTAGATCTGAATCTCTTTTGAAGAACTCCATCAACATATATCGATTGTCGCATTGCTTTAGTCAATAAATATCTAATTTATTCTGATCTGAAATTGTAGCTTGATAAGCCTGAGGTTGAAGACGATGATGACAATGATGAGGATGATTCCGACGACGATGACGACGCAGAGGAGGGTAAGTTGTCTTGTTTTTGCTCTCTTTCAATACTCGATAAGAGTATCTATTTATATCATGTGTGAAAGCCGCCGCATTCTATAAGAGTATCTATTTATATTATGCTAGATGTTTCGAATTTTGATGTGGTTAGTTCCATTCATGTCTTTTATAAATCGGGCAGCTATGTTGAATTTACTTACGTGTAGAGGAGTAGCAGATATGTCTGTTTGATGAAAATCTGAAACGTTGCTGTAATTTGCCTATCTGTTTAATCCATTCTATCATTAACTGGAGACCTGTGTTTTGTAGATGCTACTGACTGGTGAAAGTTTGATACTTGGTTTGGTATATATAGAATAAGGAATTCGGTATCAATTTGTATAGGCTGAGTCATGACAGCCCCTATGATTTGTTGTTAACCAGGACATGATGGGGAGGCGGGCGGCCGGTCAAAGCAAAGCAGAAGTGAGAAAAAGAGTCGTAAAGCAATGTTGAAGCTTGGGATGAAACCAATCACTGGTGTTAGCCGTGTCACCGTCAAAAAGAGCAAGAATGTTTGTGGTCTTCTGAAAATCCAATCTTTGTTGTGTTAATTGTTTCCTATGTTTCTAAATTTATTGATAGAATGCGGATTGAAAAATGCAGATCTTGTTTGTGATATCGAAACCTGATGTGTTCAAAAGTCCAGCATCAGATACATATGTGATCTTTGGTGAGGCCAAGATAGAGGATTTGAGCTCGCAGCTGCAGAGTCAGGCCGCAGAGCAGTTCAAGGCTCCCAACCTCAGCAATGTGATATCACAGGGAGAAACATCGAGTGCTGCAGCTGCAGCTGCTGTTCAGGATGATGATGAAGAGGTGGACGAGGAGGGAGTAGAGCCAAAGGACATCGAGCTGGTGATGACCCAAGCAGGAGTGTCTAAGCCAAGGGCAGTTAAGGCTCTCAAGGCCGCTAATGGAGATATAGTCTCTGCCATCATGGAGCTTACCACCTAAATCTGAAACTTTTTCTACTTCGATATGGTTTTCGTGTTTTTTTTTTCTTTTCCCTTTTCCTTTCAAGTGATTTTGCATGTTGTATCATTATATACCATAAGTTTGAACTCATTTCATATTTACAATTTGAGTGGATTTTCAAGAGTTTATTCTGCTATCAAGAGAATTGCAAGTGCTTCATTTTTCTTTTGGCAATAGTGAAGCCTCCAGAAATTGGAACTTTTGCTAAATCGTGTAGAAATAGTTTGAGTGGAAGTCATGAGTTTAAGTGTTTAACAGAAGTATTTTCTTATAGAGAGACCAAATGAGAGTTTGAAAGATGGGAATTGCAGAAGGAAAAACAAAATTCCAAACAATTGATTCACTAGATAAAAATGATGACAGAGAAGATAAACCCCAAAACGTGATCGATTTCAACTTTGTATATGCACTACTGGTGTATAGTGTATATTCCTCCTATATACAATAAAATCGAATAGAAATAGTAATCACCAAAAATCTTTGGCTAAGTTTTCACGAGTGCAACCTAGCTGCAATGGAAGCAACCTGAGCATCCATCTGTATCTCCCTAACTTTCTCAGCCGTGGCTCGGTGGAAGAACTGCTCCCTCGACAACAACCTCACATTCCTCAGATACTGATCAAACGGCAACGAACCATCTCGAAACGATTTATCCATGGAATAAACAACATCTTCAATGGCTAAATCCAGTGCAGTACATTCTAACATCTGTTTGGACAATGTCTCAGTGCATTCAAATGCATCATCAACATCCAAATCTACAAGCAAATTCTTAGCCTTCCCTTGATTCTCCATAATCCAAGAACCAAGAACATCAGTATTCATAGCAATAACCTGTAATTGCTGCTCTAAGGTCTCTTTCTCATTCACCATCTCCTTGAAACCATTGTTGATCTCCTCTTCTCTTCTCTTAAGACCAGATTGTAAACTCAGTAATCCTTCCGTCTCCACTTCTCTAGCACTCCTCATCAATACAAGATCACCATGAACCATCTCCACAATCTTGTTAATCGCGTTCTTCTTATAAACCTCCGCCGCATCATCCGTCTGGCGAGGATTAAGAGGTCTCGAGTATCCAGATCCGATTGAAGGAGACGGTTGCGGAGGAGGACGGCGCTGAGAGTAAAGCGGCGGATCACGGGAGAAGGCGGCGCTGAGATGAGAGGCGAGATCTACGAGATTGGAGCTAGGGTAAATCCAATTTTGGAGGTACGGAAGAGAGACGAGTCCAGAAGGAGAGACATTAGAGTGAGGTCGTTTGATGATCATGTCGCGCGTAGGGTTCACGTAGACGCAAGGAGGATAGTGAGGGTAAGATTCGAGGAGCCAGATCACGACGGGGATGTTGTAGTTGACGCCTTGGAAAGGCATCGGGATTGTACCGTCGGCTTGGAGGAGGATCACGGATCGGCCATCGTTGTGTGTAAACGTCGCCGTTTTGGGGTCGAGGGAAGTGTAGGAAGAGATTAGGTTAAGGAGGTGTTGACGGATTAGCGACTTGGTGGTCTCGTCGTAGGAGAGAGCGGAAGGACCACGTTGGGAAAGTGCGGAGGAGAGGAATTGGTGGATCTCTTGCATCTTCGCCGGAGGAGGAGCCATTGGCAAGTCAAATTTCGATTACTTGAAGACGACGACAGATGACGAATTATTCGTTACTCCGATTCAGCGAATTGATTGACACTGGATCAAATTAGTTGTGAGAAAAAATAAAGGAAACTTTGGAAAAAATAATGTAAAATTCTTCAAAGTAATAAAATAGTCTAAATTTCAAATTCCAATATTCTGCACCTAAACCAAAACTTTGACCCAAACAAAAACAAAGTCTTAAGAGTTGAAATTTAAAAAGAATCCTAAAATTTTAAAAACAATCTAGTTTTCATTTTCAAAAATTCATTCTATCATTAGCTAGAGAACCAATTGTGATTTTGTATTTCACTTTTATGTTTCAAGATGCATTGTCCAAACTCCAAACTCTCATTGTAAAACATTTTGATTAATCATAATGGAATTGCAGATGATTAAAATAAAAAGATTTTAGTCTTATGTTTTAGACGTACAGTTTATTGTCTTTGTCTTAACTAAACCGTAAAACGTATCTATAATGGATTTATTTGTTATCGCTTAACAATGAGTTTCTTGCACTGTCTCCTGATTCCATGCCAAACTGACAATGAGTTTGTTGAGGTTGTGTAACCAGTCAGGGAAACTCATGAATTCATTTCTCGGTTTCATTTAAGTCACGTCAAATGCACCGTTGTAACAATTCAAACTTTCTAGATTTAAACTTGTAAGACGAAAAAACATATAAAAAGTAGGAAATCTTGCTATCCATCTGAAAAAAAAGCCAGATAAGCACTATATGTCGCGGTCTCTGCGGCACTCTGGAGGAGGCACAGGAAATCGGACGCGGTCAGTACAGTAATTGTAGATGGTGTATCTCTTACGAACCCATTTGAGACGCTTGTATTGGTTAGCGTCCAAGTCCTGGAACTCTTTCTGATCCCACCAACGTTTTCCCTGGGTCTCGCAGAACTTAGCATTCACTGAAGCTTCACATCCATCGACGTGGAAGCCTCTGTAGGACGCGACGAAAGGAGCTTTTTCCCAGTTGGTCTTCTCTAACCCTCCCCTTGTGGCCCAGTCGTCTGCATTCCACAGACTCGAATATATCTTCATCGGCTGGTTGAACGGAAACTTCATCCCTATGTCTTTGCTATTCTTGAACACTCGTATTGGCACATCATCCACAAAGAACCTGTTTTTGTGTGATACACTTAGCTGTGAAATGTTGAGTGGAAAGAACATTTTGAGGAATGCGAACTTACACAATCTGATACATGTTCCAGAGAACTGAATAGGAATGGTAGTCCTTGGAAGGATCAAACCAGAGGTTGATCCGCTGCTCACGGTTTCCTGTGCCTCCTGTAAACACGTTTGTCTGCAAAATGTAAGGCTGGCCAGTTCTATTCCCTAGAAACTCAAAGTCTATCTCATCATGTTCTGAGTTCTGCGATGACAACTGCACGAAAAAAGCAAAATACAACTTTCAGTTGGCACTTAAGAAGATGTTCCAAATAATTTAGTAATGACTTCACTTACATAGAAGGCGGTGACAGTTCCGGCAGAATCACCAGCAACCATCTTTATGTGCATACTGAAGTGGCCAAACAAGTAGGAACCTTTGGACTGAAAGCCAGTGCCTTTGTGCATCGAACAAGAACAATCAGAAGAAGTGGACAATAAGTTTGAGTAAGAGAATATACAAGGCAGCGAAACTTACCAGTGTACTTGTCGAGGACGAGATGCACTTCAGAACCACCGTTGAGATACTTAATGTGATCAAAAGCCCAAGTGGGGAAGTAGTTCCTCCCAAATGGAACATTAATGGACTTTTTCGGAGGTACACCAAATGCGACTGTGGCCATAACCAGAAAGGTGAGGCAGATAGTTGAAGAAAGACGACCCATTCTCACTCACATCACACCAAACAAACACTGCGTGGACGTTTCTATTTATAGCCATCAATCAGCTTGCTCTTAAGTCTCAACATAATATTTGATTATTACAATCACTGCACTTTGGGGTTTCTTTCAATGTTGGCAACAGTAACTTAGGGAAGCAACAGAATGTGATTGCATAAGAGGTGTTGCAGAGGCACATGGACCTCATCCCCATGTTATCGTTAATTAATGCATCTTTGGATGGTTTTAAGTTTAAGATCTGTGGGTAGAAGATAATAAAGAAACACTATTTGCCTCCAGATACCACCATATTTGCTTGGAAGCTTTCACAGTCTCCATTTAGAGTCCAAACCGACCTGATAAATGGGATAATAAATCAGTAAAGATAGATTTTGGGGAAAAACAAACCAAAAAGGTTCAAGTTTCAAGAGAGGGGGCTACAACAGAGACATCATCACATGACTGGAACCATGTGCGATTCACCATGGACAGAAACACAGAGAGTAACACTGTTCAAGCACATTATCGATAATAACGAAAACCATAACAAGTTCATATGCATACAAAAACATGAAGAAAAGGAGTGCATTTTCTCAAATAATGCAGAAAGCTGAAATAAAAGAGCAAATGCTATTGCTGTTCCCTGATGTGTGAACTATAGAAGAAACAAAGTTTTCTCTTTGGCTACTACTTAGCTGAAGCAGCTCCACTCGTAAAAGAATATCACAATCAACTTCCCAATCTCATCACATTTCAGAGTCCACACTATCAATTTTTTGTGTCTAAGTAACTCCACCAAAATCAAATATTAGGGAGTGTTAATTTCAACCATTAACAAGAAGAACAACCACATGGACCAACAACGGATAAAGATAAAGCCCTTGTCTCCTCAACTAAACAGATAATCCTAAATTAATCCGCAAGAATTTTAGATTGAATATAAAGATGTACATACAAACTAAGATTATTCATAGAAACCAGCTAAAATTATCAACCAATCAGCATCAAAAAAGAAAAAGAAAAAAAAAAACCTAAGCATGTCCACCCCAGCTGATTCGCAGGCATGAGGACCGGAGGAGGGGAAAGATAAGACGGCGTCGTTCAAACCGGAACGGAGAACGGGCCCTAAATTAATTATTTATATCGGTAATGGGCCTTAATAGGCTTTAGTGACTGGATATTCAGCCCTGCAATTCGGAAGGATGTGAGTCCGTGTTAAAATTTAGTGGACCATGAAACGATGAATAGTGGTCGCTGTGGACATGTGGTGTATGCTAATTGGCTATTGCTTAGCCTTAGTCGCCAAGAGCGCAATTAAACACACAAACAATAATAACATGAAGAAAAAAAGTAAAACTGTATTTTATTCGTCAAGAAGCTTGTAGTAAGAAGGGACGTTTTTAGGTACAGGTTGAAGAAAATTGGAAGTAAACATGTCCCGTTTTCATATTGTAACTACGTAAACAAAATCTATAAGGATCATTGAGTCCTTCGCCCCCAAAAAAACGAGGAGGAGCGTCAAATATATGTATGTATATTAATTAAGAATGGAATGGGGAAGATGTATCTGGACTTTCGAAAGACAGCTGCTTCTGCAACCACATCTGTCTGTGGAAGCGGGTAATAAAAAGATCAGCCACTTTGTCGATCTCGTCTTCCAACCGAAACTCTTCTCCATTGTCCTCCTTCGAGTGCTTCACCATCTCTATCACAGAACCCTCTGCCTCAAATAACGAGTGTCTCAAGTCTGGATACTTTTCTTCCTCCTCCTCCTCTTCTTCATCCTCCGTATATTGATATTCTACATGCGGAGAGACAGGAGTGCTAGACATGGCGTTAACGTTGTGGCTATATACCACCACCATGTTTTGATGATCTTCATCCTTGTTATCATCATGATCTATCTTTTTTGATGTTGGGTTGCTCTTGAGCTTGTGCGAGAGAGAGCTCACCACCATGTGTCTGTTGTGGAGCAGTGAGAATATTACGAGACGTGTCTTGAAGGCTCTTGTCTTCCTCTTAAGCTCCTTCGTCTTGTCCTTTGCTAGACCACTCAACATGTTTATTATCTGCTTCACGAATTCTGCCGCCTTCTTCATTTTTTATGTCTTTGCTTGGTTTCTTTGCTTTTGGATCTGCCTATGTTTTGTATATTATAAAGGAGTCTATATGGAGAATGGAAAATGTGAGAGATGAAGGAAGGGGTACATATATACTACGATCACAATGATGGTGTTGGCTAAGGAAATTCATAAAGCTATAGAGGGCACGTGGCTACGTCTGGCTGGTTTAGATGATCACATTTCACAATCTGCCCGGGTCCACTCCTCTTTTGCCTCAACTCATATTTTATTTTTACTCCATCCAAAGTTCCAAAACTTATTCAAAAAAGTTTTTCTTTCAAAATCATTTTTAACAAAAAAAATTTGTAAACGGTGATGATTACAACTTCAAAATTTGAACAAGGTTGATTAAACGTTAAGGAAACAATGTGAATGTGTAAACTGTGACAAATATTCCTCCGTTGTTGTTTTGGTTTCACTAAGATGTGTTTAGTCAACCAAAGCAGCTCGCAAACTCTCTCGTCTCAAAAGTAAAAGAAGAACCTCTAAAATTAAGATACGTTTCCGTTGATTGAGGCCAAATCACTTTACGTTTCTCTTTAATTTCTCCTTTTGTTGCCTTTTGCTATTTTCATATTCGCGCGTCTCCTTTTCCCATTGTATAATGTTTGAAGAAATATCTTAAAACCAAACTCGGTTCATCAGACATGTCTCGATATCTTTTGGCCAAACACGAACAGACAATTTGCATTAACGTTATAATACTAATCATCATTTATCGCGGCGTTTCTAGACGTTAAATAAAAAGTAGATCATGTGACTTACGGAAACAATATATTAAGACAAGTGTCGCAGTTTTCAGCAATAAAAGAGTGGGAAAAAAAACACATAAATATTCGCACCACCATAAGGTACTTTATGGCCGTTTCAAGCTGCATTTGATTGTTTTATCCTTTTATCATTTTTTCCATAACTTAACCACTAAGGTTTCACCATTCCCCTTCCCACGCGCTCCTCCAGATTTCAAGCTATCAAACAGATACAGTACTGGACATATCTAGGCCTATGATTGGGCCCATAATAAGAAGATCCAATGTTCAAGACAGCTTCGTGTCGTTAGGCTTCTAAATGCACTCTCACTGTTAGTTTAGTTTTGAGTTAACAATAATCAATCAGCATCTACCTCAACAAATGAATAAGACCTCCTGTTAGCGTTAAAACATGTATCCTTTCCAGTAACATAAAAGAGTAACCGTCTGTATATTGCAACCAATGTTTGTAACCATTTCAACATATCTTTGGTTTTTCGTTGGAGCGAACTCAGCCTGCTGTGAAAGACAAAGAAAATGATATGAATAAAGATAAAACTCCATCGAAAAAGAGGTTGCGACGAAATGAAAGAGGATATGACAACATCACAAGCATTTAGCTTAGGCAGTCTTATGTCAAAGAAGGCAGATGAGAAACATACCTTGGGTTCCTCTTCTTTGCCTTATTTGACATGGGATTCCCAAGCTATATAAAGGCTTGTGTTGTTGTCACATACTTTTTCATGTTTTCGATGCAATCTAAGAGTTTTATCGTCATCCATAGTCCATACCTTCATCTCTACCTTTCACTCCAGGAGAGGCTGAGTTTGCGTTAACCAAAAACCAAATAAATCTTACATGATAGAAACAATATTCCAAGAACCTAATGGAACAGAGCATCAACTACAAAGACAGAGCATCAACTACACAGAAGGGAAACATCAGCTAAAGTGAATCAACAAAGAATATACCATAATTCTGTAGAGCAAGTCATCATCATTCAGCTATACGAGGATTGAACATTATACTGAACAAAGATAATTGGATATAAACTTGTCAAAATAAAGCAGCAACAAGTTCCGAGCTTACAAAAAAAGAGGCAAAGCAAGAGGATTGATAAGGTTTCAAGCCTGAGTGCCGGTCAACGACTTCATCTGAATGTGATTAGAATCAGCACTATTGGTGGGCAAAGCTTCATAAGAACCAGTTCTTCTCACTCCCGCCGCCATCACCACCATCGTGTAGGTCACAAAGATGAGGATAACCACAAGCACGACGTGTACAGTGAACATTAGATCCAATATTGAGACAGCTCTCAGCTTAGAGTCCTGAATATCACATTTTGTTGATCCTTCAACGCCGCTTTGAACATCAAGAAGACGATGACATCCCTCGGGAATAAACCCATCAACGTAGAGAGAGAGTCCAGTCTGAAGCTGCCAGAGACCTTGCAGACAAATGGCAGCAGCGAGAGCAGCGTCAGCAATAAAGAGTCTTGAACGGCAAGCGAGAAGCAAGCAGAGAAGAGAGCATAAGGCGGAGATACGAGCAGAGAGGGAATCACAATGAGCTTGAAGATCCGATGTTTGAATTGCAGCTGATGAAGATGCGGCGGAGTAATGGAGGAAGAAACCTACGGAAGCGAGTGCGAAGAGGAGATCGGAAGGGAGAGGGATTAAGGAGGTTGAATCGGAGAGGAGATAGTAAACGGCGATGATGAGGAAGAGGAAGAACACGGCGGCGGAATTGAGAGATGAGAATCGATGAACAGGAGTACTTCCTTTGACAAGAGGATCGGAGTAGAAGGAAATTAGGGTTTCGTGAAGGAAAGCGACGAAAAGAGAGAGTATGAGGATAAACAATGGTAGATTTTGGAGGCGGTTGTGATTGTGGTGGTTGTTTCCGGTGACGGAGGAGAGACGAGGGAAAGGGTAAAAGGGTTTCGCGGCGTAGGATTGAGGAGATTTGAGGAGATGGAAGAAAGTGCAGATGAGATGATACAATCCTAGGGTTAGTAGTGACGCTGAAGCGAAGAGCTTGTACATCATCTCTCCCATTTTCGAAGGAAAGATTTTGGGGTTTTGTTGTTGGTCGGGATTTGGAAGACTGAAACTTTCTCCGATCTGTTGCTTAAGAGAGGACGATCTGGTCAACTGCTCCTTTAAGTTGACCGGATACAATTGTTAAACCAACTGAGTTTTTCGGTTCTTGGACAATTAATTCCACCATTAAACCGGTTTTATTATGGAGTTTCCCGGTACTTGGTACATATTTGAATATTGTATTTGTCAGGAAGAGATTGATTATGATAGGTGCTTGATTTGTTACAACATGACTACATGAGCATGATGTTTCACACTCTAATTAGAAATGGATTTATACTATTTATGGGGAATAATGGTACAATGTGTTGGTGACGACCAATAATCATAATTAACTCATACAACATTAAAAAAAAAAAAAAAAAAAAACAAAGCAGAGCTGCTATAGACAATGAGAAATACAGGTTACTGAAAGAATATATATGACAAAATGATGAGTGCAAAAGATAATGTTGTCATCCAATAGGATTGAGAGAAGGAGTTGCCAGAGGAGGAACTTCTGTTTGAGTTTGTAGATCCTCGAGATCCTGCAAAAACACAAAAGATTGATGAAACCAAAGCATCTATTGACTGAAAAAATATTAAATAATTAAGAGTTTTGAGTGTGTACGAGTTAAGCAAGCAATGGGATTGACATGTTCTCCACATCGAGCAGGCAACATTTGAGCATCATTGACATCGATGCCAGCTCGCTCGGCCTGAGAACTCCCTCGATTACTAATCATACGGCACAAGCACTCTGGATTGTTCCTTATCACTGATTTGAGAGGATTACAGCAAACTTGAGGCACTTCCTTGGTCCCATTCAGGTAATTCAGGCATGGGGCAAGCTGGTTCAGGCACGAAACGCTTTGCCCACTTGTCCGCATCGCCGAATTAGCTGCAACTAGAAGAAGTGCAACGGCAATGGCGTAGAAATAAAAATACTTAGTCCCCATCATCATATCACCTTAATTTACTATTTTGGGTGTTAATGAAACACTTATGTACTTGTTTATTTTTTTATGTTTGGTCACCAGCTTTTAAGATAGGTAGACATGGTTCACCAGTCAAACCTACTACCATCATTTGACCAATTACAACAGGTAAGTTACCAGAAGAAACCATCAAATTATTCAAATATGAAACAATTAAATTACATAAGCAAAGACGACCAAAACCACAGATGCAAAATGACAAATATAGTTCTACCATAAGAAAACGCACAAAGAGTTTTGGGCTATACAAAATATGTCATGCCAACTAATAACCCATCAAAGTGTGGGCCTCTTATGTCTAAGGCCCAAATCAATATGTATTTGAACTTTGAAGGTAACACAAGAGTAGTTTCTTGTTTTCATTAATCAAGATACAGGGATAACTTGTTATTGAAAAACTAATGACAAACCGTCACTTTGACCATAGGCGAGATCAAGGACGGCGAAACATAGATAAAAAAAAAAAAAAAAAAAGGAAAAGGTACAAATGAGGAAGGTATTTAATATGGATGAGAAAGAATTAGGAGCCGAAGTGGTTGAAACCTTGAGGGAAAGAGTCAGAAACCGGAGGCATTCTGCTGAACATTGGACTATGTACGTACTCAGCCGAGTAGTCGTCACCGCTCCAGGTCCATTGTGGTTGGCTATAACACGAATTGGACAAGTCGCTCGGCAGAGGAGGCAGCTCGTTACTACTGTTGTTAGAATAACAATAAGAATTAGTAGATTGAGAGCCACCAAACATGTAACTATCCATTTGATCACAGTGAGGCTGAAGCATTGGCGAATCAGTGGATGAGTATTGGTTAAACATCATCATGTAATCGACAGGATCATCGCTAGGAGGAGCAGGAGGAGGTGGAGGAGGAGGAGGATCGTCAGGAGAAACAATGGAAGTGACGGAGGAGGAAGGAGGCATGTCTGAGTAAACAAAGTTGGTTCTGGCACGTGTGCCTCGCATGGACCGAGCGGCTCTATCGTAGGCCAAGGCAGCTTCTTCGGCCGTATCGAAAGTGCCAAGCCAGTGACGCTCCTTCGTAGTTGGGTCTCTAATCTCAGCTGCGTATCTTCCCCAAGGCCTTCTTCTCACCCCAAGAAACCTTGTACCCACCTGATCGTCTTGCTTCTTCTTGCTCTTTGACGATGTTGTGTTCATATTTCTAATAATGATACTATACCTTTATGCAAACACAGATCAAGAAATGTCCGATATATCTTTTTTCTAGTTGAAGGAAGAAAGGGAATGTGTGTTCGTCTTGGAAAAGTATCCCTTCCACAACCCTTTTATATAAGAGCTATACCTTTCCTTTTTTCTCTCTCTTTTTTTCATTGTCTTTAATTCTTTTTTATATCTTTTTATTCCAATTGAACTTTATTTAAAAATGGCACTGTGTTGAGTTAATTGTGGCCCATGATATATCAATTATCAGTCAATCAAAAGTATATAATTAAATTATGTAATGATTAATTTACCACTTGGTAGCATGCTTCATGCATTTCTCAAGGTTGTTCTACACTAGGTGATTTCATTTTCATACATGGTTAATTCTGCTGATATATAATGCTAAATTAAGATCGGACTGCCTTTAATCATACAAGCGTGCTAATACATCAACTCAATCAATTAAAATAGTAAATACATAAGAGCTTCTTTTTCTGTTAGCTAGGTGCTGTATATATTAGAGATGAGAGTGAAAAAAATAACAAAGAAAATTAGAATCATAATCAAACATAAATACTTTTTGTCCAAAAAAAAAATCAAAAAACTATACTTAAAACAAGTATCGATACACATAAATAATCATCATTCATCAACAATAATAAGCTGAAACAAAGGGATTAGGAATGATTAGGGCCATGATTAGCATGTTACCTTAGATACCAATGTCCCGTGTCTGATAATAACATGTCCGAATTATTAACAAATTAACGAGAGATAACGTAATAGATAAACTATTCAATTCGGAGAATATATTTGGTATATAACGCGTCCAAATACTATTGCATGTGATGGTCTAAATGACTAAATTAAATGATGGAATGTGCATGAACTGCGAATTTAACATGAAAAAGAGAAGCAAACCCTGATTATTTCATATATGAAAACGTAAACACTTTCCATCTTATCAATCATACAACACATAAAAACAATGAGTTTGGTGTTTTGTTAAAGTTAATAATTGGTAAAGAAGGGTGCAATGATGGCCGCATGATGGAAGGTAGTCGACTTAATTATGAGGAGGAAAGTCATTACTTAAGCAGCTATTATATCTATATGTGTATTAATCTTGTATTACTAATATGTCAGAGTAGGGTTTTGACTTTTGACCAACAGAAATTAAAAGAGTTGAACTCTCATTAGAGAGAGATTATGATATTTGATATGAGTATCTAAGGAAGCAAGTGGTAGCCTTTCTAAGACGATCTTATTTTGTGTCAGAGAGGACGACCAAAGACCATTTATGTTTGGCTACACGACCAACGTTAGGGACGGTGATAGTGGATCGTATATTTCTTAATCTTTTATAATATATACGCCCCATTAGTCTACATGTACAATAATCACAATGTGCGTTAGTGTTAATTAATTAGAGAATAATCAAAAACAATATAGGGGTAGTGCATGTGCTCCCGATCTTATAGGCTTCAACTTCAATGAATAGTGCCACACCCTTTTTCATCTCTCATTTTCTAATCCCAAGGCATCTATCTATTTCCTTATAATTTAATCATTTATGTGTTTTGTCCTCTTGGCTATGATAATATTGCCTCTTCCTAAATTAAATTTCTCAAATTATATATATTCTGACCAAAATACTCCATTCAAATTCATTTGCTATATACTATTTAAAAACAAACATGCATTATTGAGAACAAAGGAATTTGGGTTGCATGTGAGCAATCTTTTATGCTTTTGAATTTCATCTTTAATCTTAATTTCATTGGAGTAAACAACCCTATAATTTATGTTCCCTCACTTTTGACCAACTCTCATTTTTCTCGTTTAGTTTTATATTGTTATTCCAATCTTGATCACTTGATGCATTGAATTTTGTTTACATTTACGTTCCGCTTCCATTCTCTATCGCCCCTTGGTATTATTCTCCGATATCCATAGGGTTTCTTTACAAATTTATACTACGTTCTCATGGTCTACGGTGGAATATTAGTACATGTAAGAACTATATAAAATGTAATTAATGGACAAAATACGAATCTAAAAAGTAGTTAATTGACAAAATATATATACGAATCCTACTTAATTAGGGTTTAGGTCAAGGACCCTAATTAAGCCCTCCTGGTCACAATCACCCTTTTTCACACTCGTCACTGCTCTAAAGTCTAAACTCTAAAGTGACTTCGGCATTTGACAAACCCTTCTCGACTGTTGTGTGTAATTTCCTCGAACAAATTGATATATACACAAGCGATCACTTATGCATATTCCCATTCTTAACTAGATCAGTTCTATGGAAATTGGAAGGGTGTTTTACTGTTTTGTTCTATGGTTCTCACAAAAGGACTGACCTAGAGCATCTCTCTATAACTCACGTTGAACTATTTTTGATGTAAATAATCTGATGATCAATTATCTGTGGGTTTGGGTCTCTTATTGTGTTTGTTTAGTAGAAAGAAAGAAAAAAAGGAAAAAAGAAGAGAAGGCATGTGCGCCAAACGTGGAAAGGCATTCTCTTGGACGCTTAACATAATTAATCCTTTTTCTAATTATTGCCTACACAAACATCTTTTGTCTTACATACTTAAATCTAATTACTCTTTTAATCAAACGACCATGTGATGAGCGCACTAAGTAGATTCATAATTCTAAAGCACATTCAAAAGTTACAAACAAAGTAAGTCTGCTTTTGGCTCATCTAAACCTGAGAGTGATATGGGAGAAGTTTAAGGGCACGACGAGCTTTGCAGTCACCTATCAACTAATCCATTAATCTAACTAGTCTATACAAATTATCCGATGCGGTAGTGAAAAATGTTGGAATTGCAGAGTTTAAACCAATTTAACCACTGATAATTACCTTCCAACACTTGCAATGACAAAGCTCAGCATCTTCTTCTCTTCGGAGCAACAAACTCATTTTGCTTAAACACTTCTACTTCTTTCCCTAGTTGTTCTGCAGTCTCCTGCATCCTTTTCTGAGATTCAGCCATTTCTCCAGCCACTTCCCTGCAACTTGCTCCAAATTCTAATGTCTCAGCCTCACAACAAACCATCTCCTTCTCTGTTTCAAGTAAAGTTTTCCTGAGATGACAAGTTTTCTCGTGAAGTAACCTTAGTCGCCTGTATGAAGCCATAAATTCACTCAACACTTGTACATGTTTCCCCGAAATACTCTCCAATTGAAGCTTCTCTGAGTTGTACTGATCAATAAGGTCCTGCAAGTAAGGAAATGACCACTCAGCTCCACCAATTCCAGGTTGCTCACGGGTTATCCTTCCATGTATCACAACAGAACCACTAGAAACCGTATCCCTGATCAAATCACTCATTGCTTCATCCACACTCAACATAGAAAGAGCACTATTCGTTGGCTGATCACCATGTAGTGTCTTTTTCCATGGCTCTTCAGGTTCGATCGAAACTGGATCAAACAGAGGGATACCTAGTAAATACCATAAGAGTTGATTCCCAGTATAATACACTTTATTAAAGAATCAAAATTGTCCATAAGTGAAGTACCTTGGTTCAGAGCAGTAGAATGTAAATCAGAAACAGACATTGAAATGGAATCCAAATTTTCTAATGTAGAATCATCCTCTTCACCACTAACAGAAGCTTGACATTCTTTCTCTGGTGCCATTTGGTTTGCAATTTCCGGTATAACACCACCACGAGCCTGGAAGCTACTCTCAACATCACTCAAAATTTGATCAGCTTCAACCCAGAAATCAATCTCATCCATTACATCACAACTCGGAATCCTTTCAACATCTTCCCACTTGAAGAATCCACAAGCCCCAAAACCCTAACACAATTTCTTAAAACCATGTTAACCAGAATTTTCAACTAGGAGCTTTGAACTTGCGAAGGAATCAAACCTTTTTGATGCAGCATATCAAGTAAGCTCTACCGGAAACGTCTTTAACTCTCCGGCAAGGTCCAGCACCGCAGGAACAAATCGGGATTGTGAAGGCAGGACGGAATCTGATATCTTCGTCGGTTACTTTGTCACACCATTTGAAGAATTTGCAATCCTGAGCCTGCGAATTCAAATTTTGTCAAATTGCTTCGCGAAATTTGCAGGAGAAGAATTAAGTAAAGAAAGCGAGTACGAACCGTTGGACATTTGTAGAACTTCCTTCCGGGATTTTCTCGAGTATTCGCGACCTTGATTTCACAGAAACCTCCGCCGCAATGGCAGTGAATCGCCGGTGGAGGATCATCGGTTTTGGATTTGAGAGGACAATCGCTGATCCAGTGACCAGCCTGACGGCATCGGAAGCAATTTCCGGTCTGCATTGCGTCGTTAGGCACCGTCGTACATTCACCTTCTCAGGGATGTTAATATGGGCCTGGTCTTCTTTTTGAAGCCCAAATGTTTTATTTTGTAGCTATGATAAAAAAACGGGCTGAATATGTGCCAATGGATATCATTTTGCCAATTCAACTATTGTTTGAGGTTTATAAAACGAATTAAAAAAAAAAAAAAGAGAGAGTGGAATGATACTAAAAAGAATGGAAACATGTCATAGAAAAGGGAGCCTCAGTTTAGCAAAAGTATGAAAAAAAAGTTTCAAGTTCGCATGTGTTAAAATGAATTGTCAATTCTAATTGATTTTTCAATTTAATAAAACAAACCCGCGATTGTTTTCATGAAAGTTCTAATAAAGCTGCTGGAGTTTTAAACAAAAAAAAACATAAAATGGGTTTCGAACCACTAACCTCCAAGAAAGAACAAGAGAAACTTAACCAACTGAACTAAAACGTTTTTATGATAATTCTACGCAAAATATTTTCTCAAAAAGAATGTGATGAACATAAGTAATTTTATTTTCACGATTAATGAAAAACAAAATAAATATATCTTGGCGTCTTGCGTTGGAAGGCGCAAAAAGAGCAGATTCACCTATCACCACTATGATGGGGTGGGAGAGAGAAAACGAGGCGTACCTAAGAGCATGTGCAATAGCAGACCTTGGCCCCGGTCCCGCAGACGTCCCTTGCTTTTGTTTGTAGATCGTTCCTTTAAACGGGACGTCCCTTGCTTTTGTTTCTTCACTATTCGCGGGCCCCACTGACACGTGGCGGCCCGCGATTGGTTGCGTTTTGTTTTTTTTTTTTTAATCTACAAATAATAATAAAAATATTAATATTATAATTCATGGGACAATTTCACCAAGGACGAGCGCTGCACATGGTCTAATGTAACACTATTAGTATTAGTCGTTAGTTATAGGATATTAGGATTATAAGGTAAAAATGAAGAAGGAATAGTATTAGATTAGTAGGAGCTAAATGGAGTTAAGTATGCACGTGTGGGAACTGGGAAGTGAAATCTCCGTATGGTGAAGAAACTATACAACAAACCCCTTTTGTTGGTATACGTATTGATTTTTATTCTTTTCACAAGCTTTACGTGTCTTAAGACATAATAAATATAGCTCTTACTCATAATAAATATCTTAAGATATATATATATATATATATATACACCGTATATATAATAAATATATGAGTTGTTGTTGCAAATATGTGCATAGAAAATTAATATGAGTTGTTGTTGCAAATATATACATCAATCAAAGGATTCAAAACCCACCATTCAATCTTGGTAAGTAACGAAAAAATAGGGAAGCAAGAAGAACCACAGAAAAGGGGGCTAACAACTAGCCACGTAGATCTTCATCCGCCCGTCCATCTAACCTACCACACTCTCATCTCCTTTTTCCCGTGTCAGTTTGTTATATAAAATCTCACTCTCCGCCATCTTTCTAAATACACCTAACTTGTTTAGTACACAACAACATCAAACTCTAATAAACCCAAGTTGGTGTGTAATATAATGGTGATGGCTGCAGGAGCTTCTTCGTTGGATGAGATCAGAAAGGCTCAGAGAGCTGATGGACCTGCAGGGATCTTGGCTATTGGCACGGCTAACCCTGAGAACCATGTGCTTCAGGCGGAGTATCCTGACTACTACTTCCGCATCACCAACAGTGAACACATGACCGACCTCAAGGAGAAGTTCAAGCGCATGTGTACGTGATCTTAATAACTTCTACCTTCATTTCATTAGGCATATATCTTCTTTTACATAGTTCGTTAACAATTAGTACTATTAACAGGCGACAAGTCGATGATTCGGAAACGCCACATGCATCTGACGGAGGACTTTCTCAAGGAAAACCCACACATGTGCGCCTACATGGCTCCTTCTCTCGACACCCGACAGGACATCGTGGTGGTTGAAGTCCCTAAGCTAGGCAAAGAAGCGGCAGTGAAGGCCATCAAGGAGTGGGGCCAGCCCAAGTCAAAGATCACTCATGTTGTCTTCTGCACTACCTCCGGCGTTGACATGCCTGGTGCTGACTACCAGCTCACCAAGCTTCTTGGTCTCCGTCCTTCCGTCAAGCGTCTCATGATGTACCAACAAGGTTGCTTCGCCGGCGGCACTGTCCTCCGTATCGCTAAGGACCTTGCTGAGAACAACCGCGGAGCTCGTGTCCTTGTCGTCTGCTCTGAGATCACAGCTGTCACCTTCCGTGGCCCCTCTGACACCCACCTTGACTCCCTCGTCGGTCAGGCTCTTTTCAGTGACGGCGCCGCCGCACTCATAGTGGGGTCCGACCCTGACACTTCTGTCGGAGAGAAACCCATCTTCGAGATGGTGTCCGCCGCACAGACCATCCTCCCAGACTCTGATGGTGCCATAGACGGACACTTGAGGGAAGTGGGTCTCACCTTCCATCTCCTCAAGGATGTTCCCGGCCTCATCTCGAAGAACATTGTGAAGAGTCTAGACGAAGCGTTTAAACCTTTGGGGATAAGTGACTGGAACTCCCTCTTCTGGATAGCTCACCCTGGAGGTCCTGCGATCCTAGATCAGGTGGAGTTAAAGCTAGGACTAAAGGAAGAGAAGATGAGGATGACACGTCATGTGTTGAGCGAGTATGGAAACATGTCGAGCGCGTGCGTTCTCTTCATACTAGACGAGATGAGGAGAAAGTCAGCCAAGGATGGTGTGGCCACTACAGGAGAAGGGTTGGAGTGGGGTGTCTTGTTTGGTTTCGGACCAGGTCTCACTGTTGAGACAGTCGTCTTGCACAGCGTTCCTCTCTAAAAAGAACGCTTTCCTTCTATCTCCTACCTACCTACGCAAAACTTTTAATCGTACCTTACGTTTTATAAAATATAATCATATATGTTTATGCAATAATTAAGGAAGAATTCATTTGATGTGATATGTGAAATGTGCTGGACAGGTCTATTCGACTATTTTTGTACCCTTTTTTGTGTGTGTGTCTTTTTACAATGTTAAATCTATGGGTCTTGAATGACATGAAATCTTTGTTACATCCACAAGGACTCAAACTCATCATACCGAGATTGAAAACGTTCTTCCTTTGCGGTAAGTTCATCTTGAGGATTTATTTGAGGCTCATTCTCTGTTGTCTCCTCGTCTTCATATTCTCCACCTTTTCTTGCCTTGAGTACCATCTCTTCCGTAGTTGTCCCCATTATCTCGTTTGCTTCCTTCATACCCACGCATCTATACTTGCCTTCTGAATCCTGACCAACCCTCACAATATTTACTAAACTAAATATATTCAGAGAGAGAGAGACGTTCTGATTAGAAGAGAAATAGAGGGACTCACACGAGATACAAGTCCAAGCTTCTCAAGCTTCGTGATAGCATCATCCACATCGAAATTACAGCTTTCATTGAATTCTTCTTTGATAAATGCTTCACTTTGCATGTCAAGCTCTTCCTTTTATTGCATATTTTGAGGTCAGCCTCTACATGTTGTGTTTTTTGTATATTCATATAAGAAAGTTGCAGAGTACACAGACCTTGCTTGTGGGACACCCTTTCTTGATTAGCATGAAAAATGAAATGATGACCTCTTTAACCTGCATTTTATCAGTTTGTTAGCAAAAACACAAGAATACAACATGAAAAATAAAAGGGGATATATTTAGCACCTCTTGTTGGATGACTTCATCACACAAGTGAAGCAGAGTACCTCTTCCACTGTCTAGCTGCTTATCATACACAGATCTTGTGATAAGGCTCTGATAATCTACCAAGTTTCTCTGAAACCTGTAATTAGGGGAAGAGGCAGAGATATTAAGTACTAATCAACAAAACTGGAGGATGGTGTCTCATTAATGAGTGAAGATTACGTGAAATATGTTTTAACGCAGTAGGCCACGACCGTGCTAAGTATGGCTGCAATGACTCTTATATCAGTCTTTTTGAGGCTCACTGAACTTACCACTGTTACCTGTAAAAGCAGAGTTGATAAGCACATTTGCCATTGTCTAATTCTGTTGAAAAATGTAACAGAACTGACCAGTCCAATGGCAGCAGAGACAAGAAACTTGACCCAGTCCAGTGGCGTAAGACCTGGATTTTTCTTCTCTGGCTGTGTAGTAATGAGCAATCAGTTAATTTCTAATTAGTAAGATACATTTGAGCTCAAAGTGTTTGTATAATGGATGCTCACAAGCACGATTTCCATATCAGCCATTGGAATGGTCTTAAAGTGTTTCACATATATGTTCCTTTCTGATTCCTTCTTCCCTGAAACTCTCCTGTGTGTGTGAGAGAGAATCCAAAACTAAGATGAGGGAAAGAAAAAAAAAAACTCACAACCCTCCAAATATCCCACTACTGTTCTGCTTTTGTACCTGTATACTACAATGATCCTCTCAAAGGTAGGCTCTTGGATTGTTATCTTTTTCATCAACTTGGAGAGACTGAATCAGTGATTAATAAACACAGAGACAAGTCAATGATATGATTGTAGCAGATAAGCCTAAATAAGGATTAGTTGAGAACCTGAGCTTGAGCTTCTCTATGCGGATTCTTTCGATGTATAAACTATCCTTCTCTGTTTCAATGCTAATATCAATCTGCTCTGACAACCCTATTTCATTCTTTTTCCCATATATAAGTCTTTTTAAACTGAAACAGAGAACTTCTTAGTATTAGTTTTGCATTTTGAATGTATCCTTCAAAAGGTATATATACAGCAACAAAAGAGTGTGAGGTGGCTCACCATGTGATAGTGAGTAGAAAGTTCCAAATACGGACAAGGATTGTATCTATTTTGGCTAGGAAGAAGTAAGCTTTCATATGATCTATCCCAAACCCACGTCTGAATATTATATACTTCAAAAGACAAGACATATATAAGATCATTATATATTAGCTAGAGGAAATCATTTTGTTGGATTTACTATACTGGATTACTACTAGAAAGCAGTTAAGTTACCTTATCAGCGAAACGAGGAAGATCATCCCGGGGAAACTTGGTGAAGAATCTTGTTAACAACTTTGTATCAAGCTATATCAAGGATCCATATATAACTTATGAAGATGTCATTTCCAAAAATCTTGTTGAAGATTGTGTTATTGTTGTAGGTACCTTAGCTTCATTAACAACAATAGGAAGATTGAGACGATATTGAGCAGAGAGAGCTACTTGTATTTCTTCATTAGTTATCACTTTGAAGTTGCTCTTCTCCATGACCTAGGAGATGTAACTTTTTCATTTCATCGGAAAATTTTGTATTTAGAGAAACTAATGGAGTGGAAACAAAGATAGAACCTGGAATAAATGAAGAAGAAATTGATCTTCAAGAGCATCGATTTCACGAGGAGATAAATTCTGTTGGTTAAGCCTGTGTGCGCCACGGATAGGTTCGAAGAGTGAATACAGTTGCTACAAACACAATCTCTAGCTTTTACTAATATGACCTCAAGAAAGGATTGAAGAGGATAAATTGGTGACATAAATATACCATAAGATCCTCAAAGTGCAGGTGGTACCAAGCTCTAATGGTGCATTCCACTCTTTGGCAGAATCTCTGGAACTCCTCTCTCTCCCATTTCTCCTCTGGAGAATGATCAAAATGTAGAATTTTATAAAGAGGAGAAACAGAGGAATGTAGAAACAGAGAAACAATGAAATGTAGAAAAAGGAGACCAAAGTGAAGGGACAAGGCAGTGATGAGCTTATGCTTTAGAATTGGGATCACAGCTTCTCTCTCTAATCTGATAACCTCTTTTTTCTTCTCCCCCATCTTAATCTTGTCTTTATTTCTGATTAAAAAAACTTGTATGCCTTTGAAATTGTAATTTTAGGAATCAGAAAAAGAAAAAAACAAAACAAGAAACTTCATAGTTTTTTTTGTTTTGTAAAGATGGTCTAGGTGTATATTCGTAGGTTCACCATTCTTCTCGGAGGGGAAGTTCTTTTGTTGCGTCTCCTCCTCTCACATCTCTTTCTTAAATTTTTCTTCTTTATTTTTATTTCCTTGTTGGTTAGTTATTTCAGTTTTTATTACATACAAGGATCTTGACAGAAAAAACAGAGCCCATTAGTTAATCTAATATTTTCTTAAGTTAAATAACAGAACCACTAGACGTATCTCTTATCAAATCACTCATTGCTTCATCCACACTCAACTCATTTAACTTATGAGTTATGAATAATCGACCCATTAGATAACGATTTATTAAGCGATTAATACATACATCATTTCAGGATAGAATCCACTTCTAAAGATTAATACATCAACAACCCTGAAGCTTCTTAAAATTTCACTAACCAATAAACAGAAGCTGAAATCCTAAGGTTAGTGAAATTTGATGACCGTTTCTTTCTATTATGAAATTAATAGAAACAACGAGTCCATACATTTCCCTATCACCAATTCAAACAGATTTCACCTTTGAGACGTGGTAAGAAATGGCTTGAACTTGAAAGCTACTTCGACCACGACTATCACATTCAGGACAAGGAACACCATATGAGATCCTGCATACGTTTTCAGTTTCTTTGTGTTTAAGCATAAGTATTATGAACATCATACAGAATGGCCAAAGGAAAGTAATGCGATACCTGATAGAAATGCAGTGTCGAGTCGCCTTTAGCTCCAAGAAAATCTGCCAGCAACAGAGATTTGTGTTTAAGACATTATTGTTTCTTTGAATTTACTCAAGTTGTTCATTCAAAATGTCACTTACGAGGTGACAGCTCCAGCTGGTCCAACTGTCTTAAAGAGAGACATCGCAGATCCAATTAGCTGCCCCTCTTAGGCTCTGATCCTGTTGTTTTAGTTGTTTTATACAAAAAAATGAAGTTAAAATTTACAAAATGGACCAATGTTTACAAAAGAAGATTAAAGAATGTTTCTTTACCACAGCTTTATTTTGCAGAGTCAACAAGCCGGTTATGGCAGACACCTATAGACACAAAGACTGCTAGGATCTGTACTGATCACAAATTACCAATACAAATGAGTTATCCATTTATAGCAAATTTATCAGATCTAAGTTTAAGCTTAATGTTGAAATTGTGCATTAATCCTCCTAAATGTGCCGAGTGAACTTACACTTAGCACATTTAGGAGGATTGATGGACAACTTAACATCAAGCTTAGACTAAGACTTGATAAATTTGCTATAATGGATAAGCCGCTTGTATTGGTATCATCACTCATCAGTTCCTGAAATGAAAGAAAATGTCAGAAGAGCGATCTCCATCATTTAATCTGCAGAGAAGTATCAAAGGAAATATATATCAACTGACCCCAGCAAAACGAGTCACCAGCACAGGTCCTAGCAGTCTCTCGGCTAAAAGATAAACAAAAACTTGAAAGAAGAATAGGCCGAGACCTAAAAATGAAGTGTTATCAGTCTCCAATATTCATAAGTAAGAATTCTGCTCACTCATGATTACTTAACTCTCAAACAGATTTAAATCAAAGCAGAGTCTAATCATCATTTCATAAGTTCTTATCACTAAAACACAAGACATCAAGAGCGAGGATGTTCTGCATACCTCAGATAGCAAGAACTGTACTGAGAGCTTCCTCATAGATGCTGAGCGTTCTGCAGCGTCTCTTGAAATTGTCTTCGCATCAGAGAACCCGCAAGGAGCTTCTCCACATGTCTTCTTCAGTACCAGCACCAATCTTGCCTCTGCTGATAAAATCTCAACCACGTGGTGATGATGGCTTTCCTCAGGGTCACACTGCTTCTTATGGTGTTGATGTTGCTTTTGGCCTTCCATCTAACAAAATAAAAGTGTACTGTTGTGAGAATAAAAACACGATATATCGTAGCAACTAGTAGAATCAGACAAACCCTTGTATGTGGAATCGAAAACGCATCCAACCAGAGAAAGAGAGGGAGAGAGATGGGGCACAAAATCAGAAACAAGAAAAGGAATGAGTAGAGAGATACCTTTTCTGAAAAGGGAACGCCTGCAAATTTCACATGAACGATTTAGATATGAGAAAATGTAACTGGTGTGCAGAACAAAAATACACAAATCAAGAATAATAGTGGGAACAAAGAAGTTACCTTCATTGTTCCAAGCAGACAGTTGAAACTCCCAAGCAGAAATCTCATGGCAATTGCCATCCAAAAATTAACGCTCAAGCCAAAAAGAGCGTTAAAAAGCTCTGCAATAAACACCTAATCAGTCATCTTACAGATTGACATGGATACAATAATCAAATTATGTTTAAGATACTAACATGGAGACTGTTCCCACGATTATGATGGGTTTTCTTCCATAACGATCGGAGACAATCTCCCACGATACTGACGTCAATGCTCTCCCAAGCATAAACGAGCAAGCTTCGAAATAATACGAGAATAGTTAGACCAAACGGTAGATATATGGATTCCAGTGCAGAATAACAAATGACTGAGGCAATGTCTTCTCACCGACGAATCCGGTATAAAACCCGATGTCCCTCTCTGTCTTGGCGACACCAAAATCCTCTATATGTGAAAAAAAGACAAGTTATACGTAGTACTGAGAGCGTGTGATAAAAGGAAGGTATTGTATGCGATGTGGTATACACCTTCATTAGTTTAAAACCCCTCAACAGTCTAACATGTTTCTCAATTTTGAACAAAAAAATCATAAAAATGACAAGGATCCATAACATGGTAGCTCGTAATTAAGTCCTTAAATCAAATTACCCACCATATAATAGAGGAAGGGGTAAAGCGAGGAAATCGGGAGAGCTGCAAACATATGAATTGTAATGAGAAGGCATGAGAAATTTCATAAGGAGTCATTACTTGCAACACAAGAAAGCTTTCTCACAAAATCATTTGGCCTATCATTTCCGAAATCTCTTCAAAGCAGTTGAAATTGCCGAATAGTCAAAAAAAAAAAAAAAAACTAGCTTAACATAATAAACACTGTTTTTGAGAATCAAAGAAGGGTAAGAATGTGTTACAAGTGGAGAGAACAACGATCCAAACGAAAGAGAGCTCCATATACGGATACCCTAGTCGGCGCTGCTTCATCCGTTCAACATTGCATCCCGAACATCCATCATGGTACGTCTTGTTCTCCAACAACGTTTTGTTGTACTCCTCGGCCATTTTTCTTGGGAACAAGAAGGAGAACCTAGTTAAAACTCCAAAAAAGAAAAAATGTTTAACAACTGAACAAACCCGTTGAAGCAATCCAGAACTAAGGGAAATAATCTAGGCCGGGACATTTTCACAATTTATCATCAAGCTTAGAATGAGACCTGATAAATTTGTTATAAATGGATAAGTCATTTGTATTGGTGACAACAGTGCCTGAAATGAAAGAAATTGTCAGAAGAATTATCTATCTTGTTGCATTCAAGTGCAGTACATATAATCTACATAGAAGCATCAAAGGAAATATCAACTAACCCCAACAAAACGGGTAACCAGTACAAGTCCTAGCAGTTTCTCGGCCAAGGTATAAACAAAAACCTGAAAGGAAATTAGGCCGAGACCAAAGCAGAATTATAGATGAGTAATAACACAGTCTCAATTACGTTTAGTAAGAATTTTTTTTATTCATGATTGCTTAACCCTCATGCTGATTCAAATCAAAGCAGACTCTAATCATCAATTTCACAAGTCCTTATCACTAAATCACAAGACGACATCAAGAGGAAGGATGTTCTGCATACCTGAGATAGCAAGAACTGTACCAACATCATTGGTTGAGTAGCTCAGACCTCCATATTTCCTTGGACTCTTAGCCAATAGCGATAATATCTGCATAGCCAGTTTTCAAGTGATGAATTTTTTTGTTCAGTTCACACAAAGAGCTCAGGACAATGAAGGGACAAAGGCTCTAATTTCAAAAACATGAAGTCTTAATGCTGTTCCATGATATGTTAGCTCTTAAACTCTTATCAAATACTCACCATACGATAGAGGAAGGTATAGAGTGAGCAAATCGGCAGATCTGCAAACACATGAATTCAAATGAGAACAATTACTTATGACACAAGAAAAAATTCTCACAATTAGCCAATTTGAATCTAAAACATTAGCAGCAAAACTAGTAGAATCAAGATATCGTATCAACTAGTAGAATCAGACAAACCCTTGTCTGTGAAATCGGAAACGCATCCAATCAAAGCGAGAGAGAGCGAGAGGCACAAAATCAGCAAGAGGAAGAGGAAGAAGTAGAGAGATACCTTTTTTCTGAAGAGCGAAATCTTAAGTTCTTAAGGTATAATAACCCTCGCCTCTACTTCCTTTATACAAAGAAACTGGTGGAGTTTGAGTAGAAAAAAAAAGGAAATCGCAAAAGGAGGGAATTTAGAGAAATCTTGAGTGACTTTTTGGATTTTAGAAAATAATGGATTATTTACTTCTATGCCTAGAAGATCTAGCGCAAGTTTTGTACCTCCTCCAAAGCCGATAAAAGCAGAAGAAAGCGAGAGCGATGACTCAGAAGATTCTGAGAATGAAGAGTATGAGGAAGAAGAAGATGAAGAAGAAGAAGAAGAAGAAGAAGAAGAAGAAGAAGAAAACAAGGGAGGTAATGAAGATGGCGCAGAGGGAAGTCAAAACGAAGGAGAACCAAACACTGGTGAGAATCTATTTTTGTTTCCTGTAAATCATTTACATCAAATTTCAGCAGAATATATTTTTAAAAACTGATGATTATTATTTATGGTTTGGTTGCAGAGGATGGTGGTGAAGAGGAAAGCGAATAATTGTACGATCGTTGGCTGTGCTTATAGCTTTGTCGGATTGTCGGAGGAACAATGTAGCTTAGATTCTCTATGTATTGTTGTAGTCTAGTAGAGTGGTGATGTTTTGTACTTTTAATGTGTTAAATCATAATCATGACACGTCCGTCATTTTAATCGGAGGATTACCTTTTTTTATTTTTAAAAGAAACAAAAAGAGTTTTAGGGGTAGAACTAGAAAAAGATCAAAAATTGAAGGTCTGGTTTGTAAATCTTCCTATCTTCTCTTCTGGATAGTACATACCAGTCATTCAATAACAAGCCCCTATTCACTAAAATGAGATGGCAGGGTCTATGCACTTCAATGCAACAAATTTGGCAACTCCATTATTGTGTTCTCAGAAATAATGTTAACTTGGAATGAGAAACCCTTTATGCATCTATCTATGTGATTGTTGTCTTTTATTCACTGTCTTTTTGCATAATTCAAAAATAATTGTTAATTAGTTCCCTCTAGAAAGGTATGAATTAACATCTGATGTGCCTCATCTTCTTTACTTCTATGCTATTTGGAGTCCTCTTGAAACATGTTTTATTACTCATCATAACCCAACCTTTCTTAGCCGGTGGTTGAGAAAACATTTATATTTTCTAGCATATATAGGAAAGCTACAATAACAATTGCTCTGTTCTGGCATGCTCAGCCTCACCACCCTCCCCCTATATATTTTTGCACTGCTTTATTTCTGTCGACCACTTAAAGTATCAAAACCATTGCATTCATTGTAAACTAGTTTTTTTTTGAATTAAAAGTTTTAACTTCCATAAGAAAACAAACAATACCTGTGACTCTCGTGTTGTGTGTACAGAGCCGAGAGTAATGGCGTGTGGACTCCACGTCAATGGTACTTAGTGGAGCGCGTTGCACCTACGCTCCCACACTTGGTGTTGGTGATCTAGACATATATTGACCCATATCTCTGTTACATGCAACATGCACATTCTGACATACATCAATTAATTGCGTAAGAAACAAACTAGGATCCTATTTTATTGGCCCTTCATTTGGATCCGAATACAAATGGATTTTGGGTTGGCATTTAAGTTCGATAGACGGTATTATAATTCAAAGCTACCAGAAAGACTCAGTTTTTCCAATGGTCCTACTTTGGCGTCTGGACCGGAAGCCTGATGGGTGTCACAGATATCCAACATACTTTTGGTTGGATATATCCTCGGTTTTGCCTTACCGGGAGGAATCTATGTTTATGGTCCTGGTGCCGGTTTGAAGACGAAAACATATACTAATATCTTTTGCAAAGATCCTTGAATTCATCAAAGGGAGAATGGTGAAGCAGAGAAGCAAATATACACTTTCTATGCAAGTATATATTTCAAGAGTATAGTGATCAAGGCGGTGAAGAAAAAGAATCCCGTGATTGAGAGATCAGTTTCGATTCCTTCAATACAGTCGACTTTTAACTAACCCTTCGCCACAAGATTCCATGAATGATATAACTGTAGTAGCTTAAGAACTATATAGCAGAACATAAAGAGCAAGACAAATTTTTTCTCTAAGCTTTTACATAAGAAAAGATTTCTTCTGTTACAAATGCAAAGGATTCAATCAACATTATTACTATTATTATTTCGAGCGTTTTATTACATATTTTCAATCCTCTCATCGACCAACGAAAATTCTAAAATCAACAGAAACCAACTCAAATAGAAAAATGTCTGAAACGTTGATTTGTACCTTATATCATCACGCAACCTGATTTATCAGACAGAAGTGGGGAGGGGAGTCCAACATTTGTATGCGAATAGGAATTCACTGATTTGAGAGAAAGTGAAATGACAAAATGTAAAAAACAAAAAAGGTAGCTGGAGTATCCTCACTTTCTTCCTAATCCATATCTCAAAACCTAAATATGTACAAACCAAAGTTCCTCTGTATCTTTCTATGTACAGGCACAGAAATGAAAACTAAGAAACCCATGTTGGGTTTTGTATATCTTAAAGATGACCAGATGCTTTTGCAACACAAAACTTCAGAAACATGGTTACGGATTCCATGACCTTGGATACAGCTTGCCTAGTGGGTCATGGAGACCAGAGTTCTGACGGCTCTGGTTCATCCACGCTACATCGTCTGGCATCAAGGATGTTGTAGGGTTGCTACCGCTCAAGTAATCAAGCGGGTTCGCAGGCTGAACCAAATTGCTGCTTACCTGAGTTATACCTCCCCCCATCAGCATTCCGTAGTTACCAGATGCAACCATTTGATGACTCGAACTTTCTGGCTCGAAATCAGATCTGGAACGGCGCAATTGACTGCATTGGGAGAGAACAGAGAATAAGCTTTGATCTGAACTACTTCCCCTATGCATTATCTGCTCCACGTTATTAGCAACTCTGAGAAGGCTCGGATCTCTCTCGGTCCCGGTTTGACTGCCTTGGCTTGTACATCCGACACCGTTTGTGTTTGCCCACATGCTCCTAAACTGCCAATTCTGATTTAACAAAGGCCCGGTGCTCAACAGGGGCTGTGTGGTAACTCCTACCTGAGTACAATTGGGGTTCCAGTCTGGCCGCTGCATCAAGAATCCACGTCCATTGCAGTAAATGTTGTCTGACATGCTTCCTTGGCCAAAAGCGTCAACCTGTCTCTGCTGGTCCTGGGGCAGTGCATGAGATACAGGAATCTGATCCTGGAACTGACCAGAAAATTGATTGCCCACCATCAGATTGTTGCTTCCTTCCTGCTGAAAACCAATGCCCATAATTTGTTTATGCTCCTCGGTAAGCGGGACTTTGAGAAGAGAATGAAGCTGCTCAGTGGTGCGAGATGCCACGCCATGGCCATTAAACAAAGACTGTAGTAGTTCATTTTGATCGTTGTTAGGGATAGAACCAAAACTGTTGTTTGCTTTTCGCTGTGACATCTTCCTCCTATCAACTTCTCCAGGCATGTTCGATTCCAGGTCTATGAAACAGTTTTTACCTACTTCATCACCTTCAGCATGGTGTATGATTGACAATCCACCACTGGGGGTGTAAGCTTGACGGCTAATGTAGGATTGCCTAATCCCTCCCACTGGCTGCCACACATCTCCACCAGAACAAAACTGCGACCCTTCTCCATGGCTTGCAGCAATAAAAGGAATCCTCTCGTCTAACGAAGCATTTTCTAGTTCTGGTGCACAGTGCTTGCCTATATGATCTGCATCTTCGAGATTTGAAGCGTGGGGCTCATTAGGAAATGAAGCCTGTGGGAGAGACTGACCTTGAATAGAGCTGGAATAATCATTTACCTCAACATCTGTTCGGTTCAGGCCATGACACCTGCTGGGAGAACAAGGAGACGAATATTGTTTCTCTTCTCTATCCTCCTGATTGATGTTATTGCCACAATCTGATGATGAAACCTGTGAGGAGTGTGTGCCAACTAGCAAGCAGCGACCTGAATCTGTGATTTGGTCACCATAAGACGAAGAATCCTTTGCAGGGGAGTGATTTTTGCCAGAAATTTGACTGAAAATTCCAGAATCTTCATCATCTTGTGCCATATCACCACTCTGATTAGGATTCAAACTTTCTCGATTATTGTATTGAACATCATGCTTCTGCAGGGGGCTTTCTGCAGCATACTGTTGTTGTTTATCCTGTACCCAAGAAAGTCATTAATAAAACATGGGTATGCGGAAACAATAAATAATACATGTTAATGGAGAAGACAAACCTCCATCCACGGATTGCGTTTGTCCTTCAGTTCTCTTCCCATAGAGCTGATTATATCTCGTTTCTGTAACTGTAGCTTTTTCCATATTGCATATGCTGCAGGAAGATCTTTGACAAGATGCAGCCTGCATGAAACAACCACAGTTTCAAAAAATCAGAATTAATGGCTTAATGAAGGACTGTAGTGAAGATTTAGGTTGTTTCACCAGAACACTGACCAGTGAGCGTTCAGTTTCTTCTGTTCTTCTTCCACGAACACTCCATATGGCTGAACATCTAAACTATCGATGTTACCCAAGATTCGATTAAGTGCCCTCGACTGAATGCTTTTACCAGACTGCTTCATGCTTGTGACAATTTGATGCTGCTTCTTGCTTATCTGAATATATAAAATGCAATAAAATGCTTGATCAATAGGCACATCTGTTACATGAACGGCAACTCCACATTCAACCCAACAAAAGCCACAGAGGATAACAATCGTTTGTTTTCCAAACAGCTCCAAGATAAGGTCCTACTTCCAAATACCATGCACGCAACTGTCCAATGTTGAAATCAGGACATTCTAATAATTTTCAAGCTAATTAATTTAGACAGCCAGTTTACTGCTGCTTGATGATTGACAGCATTCGGATGAACTAAATAAAGTAAGAAATGCCAAAGAATAACTAACCTTAAGATAGGACATGTATTTAGCACCATCAGTTTGCTGAATGCTATCTTTCGGCAACACATCCTTCTTTCTAACTTTTCCGCCCACGTTTACACCATTAGTTTGAGATTTTTCTTTCTCAAAACCAGAGCTCTTGGGCCTGAAATAGATAGGAAGAATTAGTATGCAGGTTTGGGGCAAGGAAAAGAATACAAACAGCAATTGCATACACATATGAAGAGTATGTGTTCAGCACCTTCTCTGAACCTCTCCACTCCTTACAACAGAAGAAATCTTATTATCACTACTGTCTGGTTTATCATCTGCATTCCAGGAACTCGACCCCGAGGCAGCTGTTAGATCCTGGCAGCTACCGTTTACTTGTGCATTGCCCCCTCTTGATCTCCTGAGAAATAAATGTAAGCAATAGGTGAATCATAGATACTAGTTACATATAATGAAATAAGATATTGATAAAGGCATCACTAGACTCAAGCTCAACATAAATCCATCTTCTGTAAGGCTCATACTATAATCAACAACGGTTATTGCTTGACTATTTGTTCTTCACCAAACTATATAATTTTGCAATATATCTGCTTGGTTACATTACACTTGCAACAGTTCTCCTTTTAAATAGAAAATTGTAAAGGACTGACCCCCACATCATTTTGACAATATCCTTCTCTGGATCTTTGCAGCTTTCCCATTTCTCCTTCAATGTCTGCAAATAATCTATAATACTACCAGAAACAATGGAAAGAGGAGTTATAATTATGTGGACAAACATTCCAAGTGCTCCTATAATTTAAATAGAGAAAACTGCACATACTCGTGATGGTATTTCTCTAAATCCGAGTAGTATCTCCTTTTATCAGCCCTCAGGCGTTCCTCCCGAGAAACGATTTGATCTGGATGAGCTTCGCTGGAGCAGACAGCTGTTCCCCTGAAACCACAATTTACATTCAAAATGGAGTTGAATTTCCTGAACATAAATTAGACCATCACTAAGAAATTCTAGGAATCCAAACCAAAAAGCCCAGTGTAACTAACCAATCAAGAGAAGGATTTCCAAAATGAAAATTCTCCCCATCAAGCAATGCTTGTACAACTTGCTCCACATCAACTCCCTCAGGGAGAAATTGCCGCAGATAATTTCTTTCACCATCAGATAGACAAGAACGCCAAACCTGAGAAAATAAATAAGTGGAGATTAAAATGATGAAATATTATCATTTCAAAGGTGTAAGCAGATGTTACGCAAGAATAGCACTGTATTACCTCATTAGAAAGCACCTCCGACAGATTTTCCAACTGGAAGGTTTCATGCGGGACAGGGCATACTTGTGCCAAGACATTCCGCCTAGGAGGAACAACATCGACAAATTCACGAAGATGCCTCCAACTAAGGCCAACTTGTTCCCTCTTAGAGACTACTTTACTTCGGTTGCGGTCCCATTCAAGACTGATGTGATCACCAGAACGCAAAGCACCATCTGGTGAACCAATCTTTTTCCTTTTTGCTCTGTAATGCTCCCGAGAACTGAAACCAATTACATTGGCACTGTTCATCCGCTTTCTCCTCTGATCAGCTGCCATTCTGACTAGTCCATAGAGAACAAAAAAAAAAACCAATGTGACATAAGCGATGAAAAAAAAATGAAATTTATGCAAAAGGGTTCAAATTGAAAACAATGAAGTAACAACAACATCTGATTCAGGAATCAAAATTAAAACCAAAGTAGTTACTTTTACGGCTGATTGAGAACAGAGCGGCGAATAGTTTATTTGGTGATCGATTGTGTCTGAAATATCCAATCTTTTGTTCTATCTGACAGAAAAAACCCCGAAAGAGAGATCGAGGAAGAAGAGATGCAATCAGGTGGAGTAAACAATGCGATAAAGCAAGAAACCCAAGTCCAATTTGATTGAAGAAGAAGAGAGGGATGATGAAATTGGGGGCGATTGGAGAAAACCCTAGAGCGGAGAAGTAAGGGAGAGAGTATACCTGGAGACAAGGCGACTTAGACGACCGCAGAGAAGAGAAGATTTGATTGAGAGGAAGGAAGATAAGGCAAAAGAGGATTTTTTGGGCTCCGTTAAGTAGCCGTCAAACACCTTGCTCCTTCGCTCCCCATGGACCACTGCTTCGGTTTCGATTTTCCTACCTTATTTGTTCCTGTCACCAAACCAAACCGAACTGAACCGGCTTTTTAATTTTATTTTTGAGATTTACTTGAAAATCCAAAATTAAAAGAAGAAGAAAAGAGAAAAAGGCTGGGCCTTTAGGAAGATGGGCTTTGCGATAACGATATCAAAGTCAACGTAAAGACTGCAGCTGGTCAGATCTCTTCTTTCTCATCACACACTGGCTTTGATTGGTGTTTTTTATAACTTAAAAAGTATAGTAAGGATGTACCACTTGTGCATAGTAGAAGATCCTTTGCCTCAGTCTTTAGCAAAATGGATGCTAGTCTACTGTGTAATGTTATCTTTGCATCAGAGGACAAAGACTTGATAGGAGCTGTCCTATAAGACCTCCTACTTGGCCTTCTTTCAAATATCAGTCCTAAAACTATTGCTGTTGCTTTGGAAAAAAATTTGGAGTGGAAATTGTTTTTGGAAACTTTTGTAGTTAAAATCTGTTTCCTTTTGAATTTTCCGAAAATACCGCCGAACTTTCACAAATAAGTGATCTGATTTCCCAGGGAAAAATCTCTGATTTGATTTCAACATGCTTTATAGTTTCTTCTTTAAATAAATTGGGCCTTAGAAAGCCCATCCAATGATCCGACAAAATTATTTAGGAGGGAAACCGAAAAGTTGAAACACCGGGAAAGAGGACAAACATTTATTTCGTATCTACTTTTCCCCTTGAAAAAAAAGACATTAAAAAAAAAAGAGGAGAAAAAAAAAAAACTCTTCTTCGTCGTCTTCACAGTTTCAATCTCGCGCTGCTTGGTCTTCCATCTCTCCTTCTCCGCTAGCTATTCCTGGTACGTCACTCTCTCTGCTCTCTAGATTTTCCCATTTCCTCGTTTATTGTTCCTATCGTGTGACTCGATTTTGAAACCCTTGTGCTGGATTGTGATTTCGAGGGTTTTGTTTTCAGGGGAAAAAGAGTGATCGATGGCTGGAAAAAGGAAACGAGCAAATGCTCCTGACCAAACAGAGCGAAGATTGAGTCTTCGGGTTCAGGAAGTGAGACAAAAGGCGCTAGATGAGAAGGAGCGTTTAGTACGGGAGAGGGTTAAACTCCTCAGTGACAAAAAGAGTGAACTTTGTGTCGATGACACTGAGTTACATGAGAAAGAAGAGGAAAATGTCGATGGTAGCCCTAAACGAAGAAGCCCTCCAAAGCTAACCGCAATGCAGAAAGGAAAGCAGAAATTGAGTGTTTCTCCGAATGGTAAGGACGTGAACTTGGACGCTCATCTCAAAGTGACAAAGTGTCTGAGGTTTTTTAACAAGCAATATCTCCTCTGTGTCCAGGTTTGTGGTTTTCTTGTTTTGTCTTTAGAAATGCTGATGTTTTCGTTTTTGATGTGCTGTGTTGTTGACTTGTTTTGATCCTCTTTTTTTATTGTAGGCTAAGATGAGCAGACCTGATTTGAAGGGTATAACTGAGGCAAGTCATGATTCTTTTACCTCTGGCCTTAGTTGCTTTATGCAACATTGTGTTAGTAATGTGCTCAGTTCCATTTTTTACTTCCACTCCCACTTTTAAATGTATTCAAAAGATGCCAAATCCAAACTATTATTAGCCCAAGAAATGTGAAAACTACCAAATACTTGTTATCTTGGTTGGTGCAAATACACATTGTCTATCTTGAAATGAAAGATAGCATATTGTTCTGTTAAGCAACATCTCTTGTTATACTATATTTTCTTGCAAATATGATGGTTTGTCTATTCTGTAATCTTGACATAAGCCTTTAAGAACATTTTCCAGATGATTAAAGCCAAGGCGATATTGTACCCAAGAAAAATAATTGGTGATCTTCAAGGTTGGTTAGTAGTTGTGCTTTTACAACTTTGTTTCTTTCCCTAAATTTTACTTCCGAGCCACCATAAGTTTTTGTCTTAAAATTCTTACAAATAGTTTTTTTTTATTATGTTCTGATCACATTCGCTTGCAGGTATTGACGTTGGACACCGATTTTTTTCAAGAGCTGAAATGTGTGCTGTAGGCTTCCATAACCATTGGCTAAATGGGATCGATTATATGGGAATGGAATACGAAAAAGTAATACAACTTGTCTTTTTGTGTTGAATTTTACCTGAAATACAGGATATTTTGTCTCATTTCTCATTTATTTATTCATAAATCTGACTTTTTTCTTCCCACTATAGGAGTATAGTAACTACAAGTTTCCGCTGGCTGTTTCTATCGTTATGTCGGGCCAGTACGAGGATGATCTAGACAATGCAGATACGGTGACTTACACTGGACAGGGAGGGCACAACTTAACTGGTAATAAACGCCAGATTAAGGATCAACTCTTACAACGAGGGAATTTGGCCCTAAAGGTATGCTTTATTTCTTTATGCTTATTAAGAATGTAAACAATGTTCTTATCTTTTTTTTTTCTAGCTCTCCCTACTCTTCTTGTTGTGCTCATTAAGCAAGTCTTTTAGTTCATGAACCTCATCATCCTTCACATGTAATCATGTATTACTTTACTTGCATCTGCTACAGAACTGCTGCGAACATAACGTGCCTGTCAGAGTAACTCGTGGTCATGATTGCACAAGTAGCTATACCAAAAGAGTATACACTTATGATGGACTGTACAAGGTACTGGTGCATATATCCCTTTATTATTGGTTTGAGTAACATTTATCTAATATTACCTTGGATTTCCTTAAGGCGAGATTCACAAGGAAAAATTGTTCCTCAGGACTACATCTAATGTCTTATGGTTATTCCTTACTCATTGGTGTAACTCTGGTCCTCTTCCATACTTTCTCGTACAGGTTGAAAAGTTCTGGGCACAAAAGGGCGTTTCAGGATTTACAGTGTATAAGTACCGACTGAAACGATTGGAGGGGCAACCAGAACTAACTACTGATCAGGTCTGTATGTTCTCCTGCGTTATGGTCTATGATAGCTGATGTTTTTAATAAATCGTTCCATATTCCAAATTTTCATTTTTCTAGTGTGGATATCTGGTGCGACATTGTTTAGATAAGCTATTTCATTTTTCTGGTGTTGTGAATGCTGTTTTGTAGAACTGCTTTTGTTTCTTTGGCAATATTAATTATCTAATTTCTAACCTGGCTCAGTGAATGCATTTGGTTACTGTGGACAGATCTATTTTTATGCATTTTTTATTTGAAGTTTGTTTCTTGTCATTGCAGGTCAACTTTGTTGCTGGACGCATACCAAAGTCTACTTCAGAAATTGAGGGGTACCTCTTCAATTGTATCCATGTGGTATTGTACAATGCAGTTGCATTTTTAACATCATTTAATGCCATGTTTTTGTGAAGTTTGGTATGCGAAGACATCTCTGGAGGGCTAGAATTTAAGGGTATTCCAGCCACAAATCGTGTTGATGATTCACCAGTTTCACCATCAGGTAAGTTGGCGACGAACTAAAAAGTAATATTAGCATTATTAGTATCCACTTATTGATATTATATGAGCTGAATTTTCCTCTTTTGGAGTATCAGGTTTCACATACATCAAATCTTTGATTATTGGGCCTAATGTCAAAATTCCGAAGAGTTCAACTGGGTGTAACTGCCAAGGCAGCTGCACTGACGCAAAGAAATGTGCATGTGCTAAGCTTAATGGGGGAAACTTTCCATATGTCGACCTTAATGATGGCAGGTGTGGAGCTATTTACTCATGTTCTTCATTTGTATTACCTTTGCGTATTATTTTGAACTGAAGTTTGCACTGAGAGTACACGATTAGTCCTGCTTTACTGCGATGGCTATTTCATTCTTATCCTTTTTTTCCATGAAATTTGACTAGTAGAGTACTTGGTGTAATGTTGCAGTAATGTTTACGGTTGAACATTGTTTGGGTTGATTTTCTGTTTTTTCCTTTTCAGATTAATTGAGTCTCGAGATGTTGTATTTGAGTGTGGTCCACACTGTGGGTGTGGGCCAAAATGTGTCAACCGAACTTCTCAGAAGCGTCTAAGATTTAATCTTGAGGTATGTAATGGTTAAGACTTAGTACGGAACAACCACTTGCCACTAAAGTTGAAAAGAACTACATTTGAATTTCATTTATATAGTCCACCATCCTTTATCTGTTAATAAGTATTCATAATCCAGTGTGTCATTTTGATGTCCTTCCAAATCTGAGCTTCCTGTGTTTTGGTCTGTGGCCTCAAACAGGTTTTCCGCTCTGCAAAGAAGGGTTGGGCAGTTAGATCATGGGACTACATACCAGCTGGTTCACCAGTATGTGAGTACATAGGCGTCCTCAGAAGAACTGCTGATGTGGATACTATCTCTGACAATGAATATATATTCGAGATTGACTGCCAACAGACAATGCTAGGTCTTGGTGGAAGACAGGTAGCATAGAGAAGCTTAATTTTCTATGTGATTATTATTGAATCAAGCATATGACTTTTTGAGGTATATCTCGTTGTTTTTCTCCGCCAACAGAGAAGACTAAGGGATGTTGCTGTACCAATGAATAATGGAGTCAGTCAGAGCAGTGAAGATGAGAATGTACCAGAGTTCTGTATTGATGCTGGTTCAACAGGAAACTTTGCTAGGTTTATAAATCACAGTTGTGAACCAAACCTGTTCGTTCAGTGTGTCCTGAGTTCTCACCAGGATCTAAGGCTTGCCCGCGTGGTTCTTTTTGCAGCTGACAACATCTCACCACTGCAGGTACTGAGAAACTCATCTGTGAGGGGTGACTCATTCAAACATTCCCTTTATAAAAGAAATCTCAGTACATTCTCTTGTCTCAATTGTAGGAGCTAACTTACGACTATGGATATGCGCTTGATAGCGTTCATGGGCCGGATGGGAAGGTGAAGCAGCTCACTTGCTACTGTGGAGCGCTAAATTGTAGGAAACGCCTATACTAACAAGGCTATTGGTAAACTTATTTTTTTGGCCACTCTATTTTGGGGAGTACATAGATAGCAACTATCTCCCAAGTGGAAGAACCCTTAACATCTTATTTGAGGGACTTTAGCATCTTCTGCAGCGTACAATTAGTGCTGCCTTTTTCGGCATTGTTTCCTGAACCTATTGTTGCCATTGGCATCTTATCTATCGGGTCAACAGTATTAATTATCTATCTACTAGAGTATTCTTCCATACTTTTTCTTTTCCTATTTGCTGTGTTAACCTAAAGATTTGATGCGGCTGGCTTATGATAGATATTAGATACTGCATTCCTGAACATATCATTTGTCGAAGCAAATTTGATTTCTTTATCACCCAATACCTATTCAAATGCCACATTCAAGAAATATAAAGAAAAAGTAACAAATTAGCAAGATAAGTTTGATGATCTTCAACATTCCTCTGGATCTTCCTTAGCTCTGGCTCGATACTGTCGGCCAGGTCTTTTTATGACATGTGTAGCTGTTTCTGGTTCATCTTCTTCCATAGCAGAAATGGTGCAGTCTTCTATGGTATCAACAGCTATTGCAACTCTTCTTCCCTCACAATCCTTCTCTATATTTTCTACTTTACTTTCAGCCATTGGTTTTTTCTTTGGTACAAAAGCCACTGATCTTGGAAGCTCTACCAGAGGGTCTACAAGAGGCTCATCTTTCCTCCTAATCATGTTGAGAAAGTCCATGTATGCTTTCCGGTTGGATTCTTCATCAACCTCACCTGAATCGAATGTATATCGAGTGTATTTTGATGGGTTCTGCATATAATCAGGAATCCCAATCGGATAGTCTGCCTCTACTTTATGTTCGTCGGGGGAACTAGTCTCCATCACAGAATCTTTGTCACCTTCCGCCAAGTTACTATCTTTGACATCAGAACTAAACCGAACACGCTTCTGCAACTTAGAATCATCAGCCTGGTTTTCTTTCCTCTTCAATATCGGTTTCAGGCCAGTATCATCTGCAGAGCCAACATGTGACTCCTTGCAAGCCCCCAACAAGTTATCTTCAGACACCACCAGAGGTTTCTCATTTTCCGTCGACATGGACCGATTATCCTGAAGTTCCTGCAACAAGTTAATCTTCTCTTAGCAAACACTTTTGGTTTCAAAAACACTTCTCTAACGATTATAATCAACATGCTTTTACAAAAAGAGGGAAAGAGTAAAAAGAAAGTACCTCAGAGACATGTAAAGAATTCAACTTGTGAACAGCTTCAGCGTCTTCTTTAAGCCTAAGCTTTGCAGCAATGAGATTTGCTCGAGGGTCCTTCTCTCTTTCATTGAAAGAAGCTGGAAGCTCCACCCACTCGTCTGCTTCAGTCTCATAGTCATTCACATCCTTCATGCAAGAGTACACTTTTTCACCTAAAGCCACTTTGTCATTATCATCTTCTTCTTCCTGAACATATACACAAACCTAAGCTTAGCCTTGGAGATACTAAAAACACCAATTAGAGCTAATTCAACATAAGTAGATTTTAGATAAATACCTCCATATCAAGAGTAGAGTCCATCCCAATGGAGTTTTTGATCTCCCACTCCTCTTCATCGTAATCGCTCGGCTTCTGCAATTCACTACACTTTCCTTTTTCCTCATCTACGCTCAAATCTTCTACTTCATTCTCCTGCTCGGATTCAGAAATTTCCTTTTCTCCACTTCGTTGGTTGTTATCGATCTCGTCTTCGGCGAGACACCAGAGAGAGCTCACAGGTGCTGAAGACGCAGATGATGACGCAAGAGATCCAAAAACCTTGTCGATCCTCACTCTGAAAGATTCATCCATTGCAAGAACGAATTTGGGACGACGATGGCCAAAAACTGGAGAATACTGTTCTGTGTTGGGATATATATGCTCTTGTGGCCAAACATAAACCGACCTTTACACTTTCGTCGTGTTAACTAATGGGCTACATTAAAGCCCAGTAAACTTATTGGGCTTGTTGAAAGGCCTAACCCATTTAACTTGAAATTCGCCGTTAATCTCAACCTTCTCTCACCTCAGTTCCACGCGTAAGCGTGCTTGCTGATGCAGGCTGCAGAATAATTTCGATTTATTCACTTTTTTTGTCTGATTCTATGATCCGTATGTTGGAATGTAACGTCAGTTCTAAGGTTTTGTGTGTATGGATAAGGGTCACTTATTAATAAAGTAAGCAATGAAATATTAGAGAAGAAAAAAAAGGACAATATTTTCGGAAATAAAAGTTGAGAGTTTGAGAGTTAAAAAAGGGCAAATCTTTCTTCTTCTTCGTCACTCTAATTGAGTTGACTAAACACAGTTCGAGTTCCAGACAATGGATCTTGCTAAGTTTCTGTGTTGGGTAGTTTTGCTTCTGGGAATCTCATTCGTAGAATCAAGGTACATGGTCTACAATACTTCACATACCATGGTTCCTGGAAAACTTAATGTCCATGTGGTTCCTCATTCCCACGATGATGTTGGTTGGCTCAAGACCGTTGACCAGTACTATGTTGGCTCTAACAACTCTATCCAGGTCTTGCCCTCTTTCTGCTTTTCTTGTAGCTGTTTATGGATTAGATTTTGTTGTACTTTACTTAGTTTTTGTTTTCTTGCTTGTAGGTTGCTTGTGTTCAAAATGTGCTGGATTCAATTGTCCCTGCGCTGTTGGCTGATAAGAATCGCAGATTCATTTATGTTGAACAGGTAAATTTGGTTTCTTTTTTCCTAATTGATTAGTGGAGGTGGTTGTTGTTTGCTTTTTGTTGACTAGGCCTGTAAATGATGATTTAGGGAAGAGATTAATTGTACAAGTTAATAGTACTCTCGTTGTTAGTTAGGTGTGAACAATCTTTCGAGTTGAATGACGGTTAGTTTTTGATGAATGCAGGCGTTTTTTCAGCGATGGTGGAATGAACAAAGTGAGACAATTAAGCGTATTGTGAAAGAGCTTATACACTCAGGCCAACTAGAGCTCATGTATGGGTTTTGTCAGCTTGCTTTATCTGTATCGGATTTGTACTTGTGTCTTTCCGTTGAGTATGAGTAATACTTGACTCTTCTGCAGAAATGGTGGTATGTGCATGCATGATGAAGCAGCACCACATTATATAGATATGATTGATCAGACAACCCTCGGGCATCGATTCATTATCAGAGAGTTCAATGTGACTCCAAGAATCGGTTGGCAGATTGATCCCTTTGGACATTCTGCAGTGCAGGCTTACTTGCTAGGCGCAGAAGTAAGCTCTGCTTTTGGCCTTCATTTAGTATTTCTTATGGAACTAGAGGTGTGAAGATATTGGTTTTACTGATTTACGCAGGTTGGGTTCGACTCGGTCTTTTTTGGTCGGATAGATTACCAAGATAGGGAGAAGCGTAAAAATGAGAAGAGTCTTGAAGTTATCTGGCGGGCCTCCAAGAGTCTCGGTTCTTCTTCACAGGTAAAACACAAAGCAAAACTTTATTTGGTAGTTTGTACTATGGATTTCATTGGATATTCTTTTTCTTTTGCTAACATTGATCTGACTTGATACAGATTTTTGCTGGTGCTTTCCCTAAGAACTACGAACCCCCACCTGGTGGTTTCTACTATGAAATTAACGATGATTCCCCCGTTGTCCAAGTATTTTCCTTAACAGTTGATTACACTTTCTTTTTTATTTATTCTATTCCTATGTAAGTTGTTCCTCTTAATCCGTGAAGGATGATCCTGACCTGTTTGATTACAATGTTCAAGAACGAGTGAATGCCTTTGTAGCTGCAGCTTTGGATCAGGTATATTTGTAGAATGTTTCTTTTTGGTACAATTTTCTGTTACATTTTTGTGACCTGTTTCTTGGTATCTGCAGGCCAACATTACCCGAACAAATCACATTATGTTTACCATGGGAACAGATTTCAGGTACCAATATGCCCACACCTGGTATCGACAAATGGACAAGCTTATTCATTATGTTAACCTCGTAAGTCATCGAAAGATCAGTCTAAATTATCTGTTCCTCTTGTCTCCAGATATTTGTCTGTGTGGATTTATAGTAAGCTAGATGATTAGAACCACTAGATATCTCTAATTAGTGGACCCTGGATTATTTTAGGATGGACGTGTCAATGCTTTCTACTCTACCCCTTCTATATATACAGATGCAAAACACGCGGCAAATGAGGCTTGGCCCCTGAAAACAGAGGACTATTTCCCGTGAGTTGGGTCTTAAATTTTTAAACTTCTTCTTCCAGATTTTGCATATATATATTAAACCAATCTTTACTGCAGTTATGCAGACCGTATAAATGCTTATTGGACTGGATATTTTACAAGTAGGCCAGCACTAAAGCGTTATGTCAGAGTGATGAGTGCCTACTACTTGGTATTTGTTCTTCCAAGTTTGAAATAATAGACTTGAAGTTGTGTATTTTATTCATGTATATAACTTGAGAGTTTAGGCGGCAAGGCAACTTGAGTTTTTCAAAGGGAGAAGTGAGAAGGGTCCAAATACAGATTCGTTAGCAGATGCGCTAGCTATTGCTCAACATCACGACGCTGTTTCTGGTACATCGAAACAGCATGTGGCTGATGATTATGCAAAAAGACTAGCAATAGGCTATGTGGAGGTAGAGTGCCAACTTGTCCTGTGAATTGTGGTTCTCTAGTGGCCTGTTTGCTCTTTGCACGACACTAAGATCAGTTGACCTTGCAGGCTGAGAGTGTGGTTGCTACTTCTCTTGCTCATCTGACTAAAGTAGATTCCGCCCTGAAACCAACCTTCCAACAGGCAAATAATCTCCTAGCTTATACGTATTTCTCAGAAGAATTGAATCACTATTGTGAAGGCTTACATTACAGCCGTTTGATAAAAGTAACCCACCCTTTTCTCTTAGTAATAGTTTGGCCTTCCTTTTCAGTGTTTGTTACTGAACATAAGTTACTGTCCCTCAAGCGAAATCAACTTATCAGACGGGAAAAGTTTGGTAAGCAAAAATTATTATCCCTCTGGGCTTTCAGCTCATCTATAATGTGCTTCCTTCCCGTAACTTACACTTCTCTTTCTCTCTGTAGATCGTATTGGCTTATAACCCACTAGGATGGAAGCGAGTGGACATTGTCCGGATTCCTGTGAGTCAATCAAATTCTTGTTTGTTAAAGCCGCTATAATGTATTAACAAGTATATGACGGATCTTTGATAGGTTGTGGGCGGAGACGTTGCGGTACATGACTCTGAGGGACACGAAGTTGAGTCTCAACTCGTTCCATTTACTGATGAATATTTGGCCTTAAGGAACTATCATGTAGAGGCATACTTAGGTCAAAGCCCTACACAGGTGCCAAAGTATTGGCTTGTGTTTTCAGTTACTGTGCCTCCTCTTGGCTTCACTACTTACACTATCTCTACTGCTAAGAAAACAGGTACAATACAGACATATCTATTTGGTCTAGTGGAACAAGCTTTTAACCTTGATCAATATCACTTTTTGTTTCCAAATTTAGATGGATATTCTAGCAAATCATATGTCTCCAGAATCCAAAAAGGCGAACAATCAATAATTGACTTTGGTCATGGGAATCTGAAGCTTAGTTTTTCCACTGATCAAGGGACAGCAATCAATTATGTTAACAGCAGAACCTCGGTATGTCATTATTTTCGAAACACTACCTGGCAGTGATCCTTAAAGCTGCTGATAAATCTCCTGATTTTTTTTGGTAAAGATGACAGAACCAGTCAAACAGACGTTTAGCTACTACTCTGCATACAATGGATCAAATGACAAAGAACCTCTTATACCTCAGGTAAGAGGAGATCTTTTTCTCTTTTACCTTTCAATGGCTAAGGTTCAGTACACTTACTCCAAGTTCCCCTGGTCTTCTTGTCTGGTTTGCAAACACTAGAACTCGGGTGCGTATGTTTTCCGTCCGAATGGCACATTCCCCATCGACCCGGAAGGACAGGTTTATACTCACTTCTGATCTTCCAGATGAATCATAGAAAAGAAATTAGATGTTAACCACTGGCTCAAGTTTCAGGTTCCTTTGACTGTTATACGTGGGCCGCTGGTGGACGAAGTACATCAACAGATAAATCCATGGATATCTCAGGTACCTACGTTTTCAGTGTGTTCTCCTTGCTCACTAGATGTTTGCATCTACAGACTCTTGGAATCTACCTTAAGTTTAAACTGTTCTGTGGCTTCTTAAACTCTGTTTGAACCTGTAGAAATGCAGACTGTAGATTCTTATACTGTCTGACCTTGTAATTCTCTGCAGATCACTAGAGTTTATAAGGGCAAGGAGCATGTGGAAGTTGAATTCATTGTGAGGCTGATGCATAACTATTCCAATACTGCTTTTCATGTCTTACATTCCATTATAAAGGCCTGAGGATTATCTGGATATATAGGTTGGTAATATACCGATTGACGATGGAATTGGCAAAGAGGTCGTAACCCAGATCTCAAGTTCCCTGAAAAGCAATAAAACTTTCTACACGGATTCAAGTGGACGTGATTATATCAAAAGGGTATGATGTCCATTTTATTTCTTGTGCATGTGTTCTTAATTGTTCTTTTCTAGTTGTTTTTCAAGAATAAACTGAAAAACTTGTTTTGCAGATCCGTGATTATAGGTCAGACTGGAAACTAGAAGTCAACCAACCTGTTGCAGGAAATTATTACCCGGTATGTGAGTAACTGACATTGATCAAGTAGGAAATTGGTTGGTAGTTTACAGTTCCCTGCAAAATGATCGTGGATTGAGTTCGACCAAATCAGTTGGGTAATAATTCCATATGTATCTTGCTCAGATAAATCATGGTATTTACTTGCAAGACAGTGAGAAGGAATTCTCAGTGATGGTGGACAGAGCTTTCGGAGGGTCGAGCATAGTGGACGGACAAGTTGAGCTTATGCTTCATAGGTATTGAGCATACTCAATATCACAATCTCCATTACTCGTCTCTCTCTGCATCTAATCAAACAATCACCTTAATTACAGGAGACTGCTCCTCGATGACTCCAGAGGTGTAGCAGAAAATCTAAATGAGACAGTGTGTGTTCAAGACAAGTGTACTGGACTAACTGTAAGCACAGATAAGATAAACTAGGTCCAAGGGAAAAATTATGCACTTCAAGCACATTCTGTTTCTTCTATTCTAAGGTACGGATTCTAACAATTATTACAGATCCAAGGAAAATATTACTATAGAATTGATCCATATGGAGAAGGTGCAAAATGGAGACGAACATTCGGACAAGAAATCTACTCGCCACTCCTCTTGGGGTTTGCTCAACAGGTGAAAACAAGAGTAAAATGGAAAAACAGGATGATACTCTCTAACTGTCCCAGACTATTTATGCAACGAATTAAAATGTTTCAGGATGCTGGAAAGCCGATGAGTTTTGGTGCAGCATCATTCTCCGGGATTGATCCATCTTACAGTCTGCCTGACAATGTGGCACTTCTGACTCTACAGGTGCCTCTTTTGCAGGCTTAAAACCTATAGATAGTTCGACTTAGTTGAATTGATAACTTGTTGTTCACCATTGGTTTGGTTGAGATGATTTCAGGAACTGGATGATGGAAGCGTGCTCCTGCGTCTAGCTCATCTTTATGAGGTAATAATAGTATCAAATTCTTTCTGTGTGTTTGGTAATAGAATGAAACATTTGAGGTTGTGTAATTAGGTGGGAGAGGACAAGGAACTTTCAGGAGTAGCAAGCGTGGAACTGAGAAAGCTTTTTCCTGGAAAAAAGGTATAAACGTTTTTGGAAAGATAGTGAATTTTGAGGTGAAAAATGATGAAAATACGTGTGTTGCAGATCGGGAAAGTGACGGAGATGAGCCTATCAGCAAATCAAGAAAGAAGCGTGATGGAGAAGAAGAGGTTGGTGTGGAAAGTAGAAGGTGAAGGATCTTATGGAGAGGAGAAGAAGGCAAAGAGAGGGAGAGAAATTGATCCAAGAAAGCTGGAGATGGAGCTTTACCCAATGGAGATTAGGACCGTGTTGATCCACTTGGAGCGTCCATCTGCTCATTCTCGCATAAACAGATTTGATGCCTAAATAAGGTAGAAGTAAGTTTAAAGGATAGAGTCTCTTATCTCCTTCCTCTTTTGTTTTCGCTCCAGACGTTGATTAACTTAATAAAAGGTGAGTGAGTCTTGCATCCAGTTCACATAGCTTACCATTATGCTATCAACAAAAATAAATTGAGTTATTATTGATAAATGCTGGAACTGATTATAATTAACATTTACACATGGCATGGAGCCACGATCGTTTGTTTGAATTCGTAGAAATATGGGTCATCCAAGTTGTGGCATTCAGACAAAAACAGTTGAAGAAGACATGAAAAAATTTGAGGAAATCAGGAAAAGTGTTATAGCAAAAGAAAAAAGAAGAAAAGAAAGAAGCTATGTTCTTCGCCTGGCGGTGGCAGTGGAAGAGGAGGAGGTGTTGCCTTCAAAGAGCTGGTCGATGAGATCCTCGATATCTTCTGGCTGATACTTGACATACTTCTCTGTCTGGCGACCAGGATCCAAGTACTGTCCAAACCTGGCCATGAAGGCCCTGTAGGCAGGTATCATGACTGCAGTTATGGAGACCCTTAGTTCACTCTGCAGCTGCTCGTCGTTGACTACCCACGTGGTCTGTGTCTTGTGTATCTCGTCAAATGTTGCGTTGAAGCTCTTGAACCTCTCCTTGAGATTGGGCTTTACTATCTTGCCATTATGCATGAGCCCCTCGTGCCCTAAGAACCCCAGCAGCTTCCCCCACGTCTCCCTCTGGTAGTTTTTGTGATAGTTCCTAAGCTCTGACGACCTCCTCCTGCACCATGTGTCACCCATCACCTCGTGTATCTCTGCTGATCCTTTGATCTTCTGCACTATGTATCTCCCGTTGTTCATCATGAAGATGCAGCTCAGTGGTATGTCTTTGTACTGTTTTGACTTTGTCTCCAGGTTCCCGTCTAGTAGCTCCATTATCCTCATCAGCTGGCTTGCGAAGGCCGAGTTTCCGCTCTCCACAGGTTCCTCCTCCTCTCGCTCCATCTTCGAGTGACTCTTGAACACTTGTTCCAGCGTGTCTTTGTATTCGCACGAGTACTTGAGGTAGTTCATGGTGTACCTCGTCAACGGATGCACTGCCCCTCCTGGCACGGGGGTCTTGCTCGAATCTGATTTGATGGAGTGCTCCAGATCACAGAAAATGTGAATCGCAGTCTCTCCAAGTCGGGAACGAGCACTGGTCACCTCGTTCCTCAGCTCGCCCCGGAGCTCCTCCGGAAACAGCTGCTCCATGGCCGGAAAACTGTCGCGCAGAGTCTCATAGATGTCGAGGATCTTGAAGAGCTTTTCAGTGGAGCGCCTTGTCATGGCCACGGCCTCTGCGAAACCCAAGAACTGGATGGCCAGACCGTGTGTGACAATACAGAATAAGCTCCCCTCGTCCCCTGGGAATATCCTCTCTGCGAGTTTTAGCTCACCAGGGAAGAAGAGAGAAGAGCAGTCCTTGAAAGTCTTGTTCCAAATAGGGATCTCTCTCTCAAGCGTGTCCCAGCTCATTTTCTGCACCTCGTCGATGCTAACTTTCTCAAACTCACAATCTTGTTTCAAAGTGCGCATCAAAATGTTCCTCCTCCCCACCAAATAAACCTCTCTGCATTCCCATCCGTATCCTCCTGCTTTCATCTTCTCCGCTATTTTCCTCAGCACCACAACCACATCTTCTGGGTAACCGGGGTATTCGATCTCCTGATCACCGCATTCCGGAACGAGCATCTGGTCCTGATCTTGTGAGACCGCCGCATCATTCTGGTGGTCTTGCTGATCAGCAGTGCTCCTCCTCTGGCTGTTGCTGTCATCGGTGACAACCACAGACTCTTTGGTCACAGATTCTTCTAAAATGATGCGGAATTCGTCTTCCAAAAAAGCCATTGCACGCTGCTGGATGGATCCCGCATGGTTGATCAAGGACTCATGATGGTCCAAACAGGACTTGGTGTTGAGCAATAGCCCCATAAGCTTTGAGACACGATCCACTGCCTCTAAAAGCGAAGACACCTCTTCGGGATCTTGATACCACACCGTCTTAGGCTCACCAGAGTCATATTTGGAGAGTTTTTCCTCAAAAAGATCCAAGAATTTCCCAACAAACTGTGGGATCTGAAAATAACCATCCTCTCCTTTCTCCTCGGTGCAATCTTTGTGCTCCTCCATGTGAAGGGAAAGAGTCGGGAGAAACTGATCGAGTTCTTCAGACAAAGACTCCAAGGTTTGACGAATCTCTGGTGCTTCTTCTCCTTGTGAAACCTTATCGTCATTGTTATCCCCTGGATCTTGATGATCTGTCTCGGCATTACCAACAACATCTACATTATCTTTATTACTGCTACCATCCTGATGCGCATCATCTGAGAGATGAGCATCCGAAACGACGTCGCCTTTCTCATCTCCCTTGGATTTGTCATCATGATCAGGATCCTTGTCGTTCTTCTCCATCGTTTCTTATTATTTACGTAAAAAGCTTTAAAAATGGCGAAGTGGAATTGAGATGCAGAGGAAGGAGAGATTCATGTGTTCTGTTTTCGTTTAGACTTTTAGGATTTGTGGTTAGAGAGGCGATTGAGAGAGATGGTCGCAATGGCTGAATCGAAGAAGTAGGGGAGCCTTGTTTTTTTGGTGGTTGACCGTTGACTTTTTCTTTCATCCAACACCAATACCGTGTAGTAGTAAATCTATTTTTAACCAACAAAAAATTAAAACCTCGTAATTATTTAACTCTTTTTAATTTGTTTGTTTTAAAAAAATATTGACATAACACGAATATAATGAACAAATGATTTGAATAAAAAGCGGGTAACGTGGGAGAATGGTGCGCACGCATATTCGTCACATAACGCTCTCTCTATACGTGCATGCATAAACCATCCTACATTTCTTCATGTTTTGTTATTACAAACTTTTTCCTGATTTTCAACCAATCATATATCTTTTAGCTGTTTTAAATAAAAAAAAATAGTCATCCATATGTGTCATCTAAATATAAAAGTAGCTGGTTTTATGGAGGAAGGCCAATAAAAAGCCCAAAGAAAAGTTGGGCCCAATAACCTTCAATTTTAAAGTTTCCATATTGAGGTTTGCCTTTACTTTGCTACTAGTATAGGAGGAACAAGTAGGCAGTGTTGTGTCTCCTCTCTTCACATGCACAAATAAATGCAATAAAGCCGTTTATAGAAAGATAAAGGCTATATAGTAATTGGTTTAGGCAGACGTGGGCTGGCTCGCAATTGTCAAAGGAGTTCCAACTTTTTACTGTGTTTGATTAATGGTAACCAATTGGATGAAGAAGATCAAAATATTAAGAAAAACAGAGAATGATGAAACGGTAATAAGTGAAAGGATCCAAAAGAGGGACCCTTTTGCAAATGGAGAAACCCCAAACTTGCACTCTTCCTCTCATCTCTCTTTCTTTTTCTTAAGGAATAATATGACATTTTCTTCTCTATATTGTTTTTATTTTTACTTTATAAGTCAATGAACATCCCTCAAAAGCACCTTCCTTTTTTTCTATTCTTTCTCATCATCTTTCTTATTATGAACTAAAATAAATTTTCAGACAAAGGAGCCATTTCTACCATTTATAATTTTATATTACACAACTATAGGTGTGTTTGTGTGTGTACCCGTGGGGATATATATACATGATATAACATATATTAACAATCTCCACTACTGTCATTTAGCCTGCAAAGCCCACAAACAAAAGCCTACACAAGTCTTCCTTTTCTCTCTCTCTCTCTCTTCTTGCTCTTCCTCTCTTTAGATGGAATGATGTATCAATGCTTGTAAAGGTTTGAAATTTGATAACTTTTTGAAGAAGCAATTTGAAAAAGAAAAGAAGAAAAAGAGAGGATATGGAGGTGGAGAAGAGGATAGTAGTGAATGGAGGCATGAGATTGCCAATAGGATACAGATTTCACCCAACGGAGCAAGAGCTTATCCTTCATTACTTGCTCCCAAAGGCCTTTGCTTCTCCTTTGCCTTCCTCCATCATCCCTGTCTTTGACCTCTTCTTCTCTCATCCTCTTACTTTCCCAGGTCTCTCTCTGTTCCTTCTGTCAAAGCCTCTATATGTATATATGTCTCCTCGTTTTCCTTAACTGTTTTTGTTCAAAAGGGTCAATCAAAGGTTGTAACTTTACAAATGTTTGATGTTTGGGTCTAGATCCGTGTGTTTATGATGCTAAAAATGAAGTGTTCTTGCTTTCAGGGGACCAAAAAGAAAAGCAGAGGTACTTCTTTTGCAAGAAGAGAGAAGTGTCAAGTAATGAGCATAGAATCAAGATTTCATCTGGTGATGGTTATTGGAAACCTATTGGGAAAGAGAGACCAATCATTGCCTGTGGTAAAACATTTGGGATTAGAAGAACACTTGCTTTCTATGAAACAAACAAGTCTTCTTCTAATTGCAACAAAACCAAATGGAGCATGACAGAGTATTGCCTTGCGGGATTTGCATCGGCTAAGGTACACAAATTAATCACTTTAAAACTATTACAAGAAAGACTTTGGAATGTGTCATAATTAATAATGGGTTAAACAGGTGTTTGGAGAATGGGCAGTGTACAATGTTTATGAGAGAAAAGGATCAAAAGGAAGAAAGCAGAGCAAATCAAGAGAGGGAGATGCTGAAGAATTGACTTGCGTCCACCATTTTATGGTTGGGTCCGATCATGAAACCGGTCCGCCACCGCCTTCTCCTCCTAGCTCAGCTGATGAGTAATTTATATCTCATAGGAAACGTTGGGATTGTGACAAGCTCCTAAACCCTAACCTACTAGTCCACTTACGTTTCTGCCAAGCTATGTCAAAAAATTTCCACGTCTTGATTTATTTGTTAGAGAAATAAGTAACATGGGGATAAGGGAGCTCATTTTGATCTGAATCTGTTGTATTGTATGAGTTGAGATTTCACTTTCGTTGAGCAAAACCAAATATATGTCAAACTTGTTGATTATTTTTACTTGAAAGTATTTTAATTAACATTACATGTAAGTAAAGTAATATAGCTGAGGAATACGAAGTAAAGTTGAATTAAAAGGAGGTATCTTTCTTTCTCATGGATGAGAACTTGATTCCTTTTCTTTTCATACCTCATAAGAATCCATAGCATCTATATATAAGAAATAATTATAGAAACGATTTATATAGACTTGTTATATTATTATATCAGTAAGATGGACATGCATTTTGTGTTAAGGTATATCAAATTGATAAAGTTTTATAAGTTTGTGTGTTAGAAATAACAAAGAGACAAAAGAAAGAGTTGAAATTGAAATTAAAATATATGGAAAAAACGAAGAAGCCATCGCATGGGGTCTCGAGAAGCTAAAGTTCTTCGTGTCGAACCATATTATTTAATCAAAACATATAGATACATTTATTTTCATTGACACGTATTTTAACATTTAAAATTTATTTATCAGAAGCCAACATCTTTTGTTAAATATGATAATATGTGTGAGTTGTAGAAAGAAACATCGTAGATCTATATTACGAAAGTTGTACATATATATGTTTGCATGAATTAGTAGAGTTATACATATAGCCGAAACTTTTCCAACTATATACAAAAACAAATATCGACCAAACCATACAATATAATGGTTTTGTGTTAAAACGTCGTTGTGTCACGAATTCGATCTAATGCATTCGTTGAAAAAGAAAATAATGTATCATGTGTTCCAAAAGAAAAGGTTCAATGTAACAAAAGACAAAATATTGACAGGGTGTGGACATAACATGGGTATATATTTGTGAACATTGTAATGATTGAATATACAAAGCTTATGTTAATTTTATTGTATGCACCCTATCAATTGTAAAATAAAATAATAGAGAAAAATGGTGGAGAAGGTCAAAGACAAGTCACATGTGCATTGTGCACCATCTTCCAATGTAAAATCCAGAAAAAGACAACATCGATTAAGGCAATCTAAGTTTCTCCTCTTTCCCACACAAATACACATATTACCATAAACATGTTCTTCTTTGCTTTTAATCGAAGCATCCTTGGTTTTCAAATGTAATCAAAGAAAAATGTGTTACAAAGTTACTTGTATTAAATAAAAACAAATAAGTAATGAAATGATGAAGAGACATTAAGTGAAAACTGAAAAGTGAATGTGAACATGTATGTGTAATTGTGTGTGAGAAGAGGTAACTTGGTGCCAATGGGCTTTTGGAAAATGCTTAGCAGAGAAAGCAAATCTACTTTTTTGAGCCACAAAAGGTAAAATTAAATGTGGGGTTGCTTCAATTTCAAGCAAACGTTTCTTATTTTGACAAACGCGACTTAGTTACCTCAAAAACATTATATTATGTTTTTTGTTAATCAGATTTGAATCTAAATTATATAAAAATATATTCATGCTAACTGTTTCACAAAGAGTGTCGTTCTAGCATTTTTCACACAAATTAAAAAAAGTAAACAAATTTCATTTTTTACCCCTTATTAATACACTAAATAATACTCTCTCTAATTAATAAGCTAAAATAGTAAGGATAAAAAAAAATTAGTCTTTAAAACTGCATTGAGAACACAAAACGACACTCTTTGTGAAACGAGATTAAAACCTTAAAACGACACTCTTTGTGAAACGGAGGGAGTAGTAAATGTAGATTCGATTGATCGTGTAAGTTACTATTCATCATTGTTGTAATATAATACGAATTCAAATCCATTTGTATCCTAACAGAACGTGAGGTGTTTACAAAAAAAAAAAGTAGATTTAATTAAGATGCCGATTGGTCAACACATTTTGCTATAAAAATCAATTGATCAAATATGAGAGAAGAGAGATACACTATTGGGGTTATGAAAGGAAGAGCACTGGAGCTGTTAAATGATGATATGTGGGCCTCTAACATAGAGGTTTCAAAAGCCTTTATTTAATGGGCCTTTGTATATAATCCTGTATATGGGCCGTAAAAGGTGAAACAGAAATAGGTATGTGTGTAAAATAAAAGAGGAAATCCAAGAAGTAATGAGAAAGGCAATAAATAATGATGAGTAGCAAAGAAGAGAGCTAGAGTGATAGATAGGTAAGTAGTGAGAGAATGGAAAAAAAAAAAGAAGGTAAGAGAAACATAGAAACCTTCCTTGTTTGGCAATTCCATCTTGGAACTTGATTTTACTGTCTCTGTTGTCTTCTTTGTGCATATATCACAACAACAACAACAAATAAGGTACCATCAAATCAAAAACGCTTAAACTTGATACAAAAAGGTGATGTGTTACTTCCGACTTTTCAAAATGCTAATGAGTTGTTTAGCAAAAAAAAAAAAAATGCTAATGAGTTTGGAAGTGTGAGAGAGTGTTCGTTCACTCACTCGTACTGCATACAACTGTCTAGGCAGCACGTGTCGTTACCAGATTCTCTCTCCCCAACACCATAATGTTATTTTTTTAATTTTTTTTTTGAAAAGCAAATAAATGAAAGAGAGAGAAGTACTGTGATCCCATCAACAACAACAAACTCAGTTTCTCTTTCCACTCCATTCTCTGTTTTTCTCAACGACGAAAGATTTCAATCTTTATCAACCTCTTTTACTTTTTACTCTTTAATTACTCTCGATTAAATACTTTCTTCTCTACATTTTAGTCTTCTCTAAATCAAAAGACTGACTAAACGATTTTATCCAATCCAAATGTTGTTGTTTTTGTTACAAAAATACATGACTTTATTTCAATACATATATTTGTTGTTGTAATTACTAAGGAAAGAACTAATTGAATTTGCTTCCGAATTTGTGATAAATTCTTTAATATAGAAAACGACCCTCGTACTTGTGTAGCATGCAAATAACGATGGAGCAAAAAGGATTAATTGGGATCTGTGAAATTCGTTAGAGAGAAAAGAACCTGAGGGCATAAAAGTAATTTACAAACCAAATATTCTCTGCAACAAACGACGCAAACAAACAAAAAGCAGCAACAGCTTAAACCCTTCCCATAAAACCCACACATCCTTCACTCTTCTCTCTCTCTCTATCGCTTTTTTGCTTTTACTCTCATCTTCTCTATCATCTCTCTCTCTCTTCTCTGTAGCTTAAAAAGCTCTCAAAAATGGCGGAACCACCACCGTCTTACCATCATTTCGTGACTCCTGCAAAACCTCGATCATCGAGCAAACGTCACTCTTTCTCCTCTTCTTCACATCCGACTAGCCACCGTCTCTTCCCGTGTCAGTACTGTCCACGAAAGTTCTACACATCTCAAGCTCTCGGCGGTCACCAAAACGCTCACAAACGCGAACGCGCCGCTGCTCGTCGTAACCTCGGCGTCCTTGCTAACTCTCCACCCATCCTAGACGACAACACGTTTCTTCGTCCTTACCCTTGTTTTTACCAAAACCCATTTCAAGGATCTACTTCTGGAAGCGAACCGGTTCATCAGGAACAGACGACGATGATGACGATGGGTGGGTACGATCCGTTTAATCCGTTTCCGTATGTGTACCCGTTTGGATTATCCGGTAACAACGACGGAAACGGCGTCATGGAAGAAGACGAGCCTCTCGATCTCGACCTTTCTCTCCGTTTATAAGTTATCTCTGCTTTTTTTTTTTCTCTGTTTTGTTTTTTGTTCAGATGACTCTAGCTTTTAAGTACAAATTTGGAGCTATGTAGTAGAGTTCATGTCCTGCTTTTGATCTCCTGGAAAGAGAGACTAGCTGCTACCTTTTTGGATATTACTTGTGACGACGATGATCGTTTCGGTTTTAAGTTTCTGATGATACTTTTATCTTTGTTGGATGATGCATTTTTGATGGATTAACGATCGTCACCGTTGATTTCGCTTTGTTTTAGGCTAATTAGAAATGCGACAAGTGATGAGTGATAATCGCAATCTTTTTGTGTTTCTTCATCGCCGTCTTACTCTTACCTAATTAATACACAATTAACCTTGATTGGTTTCTTATATGGGAGATTAAAAAATCCGATTATGTCTTTCTCGGAGATCATTACCACTACCGCCGTCGAAATCCCTAACCGCCTCTACGAAGTTGGTACGTGTGGAATCCAACATCTCATCATCACCCACACGTGACGTTATGGTTATTTTGCTTCTTTTTTCAAATTAAGACTACTAAAGTGCGTGCCGTTTCTATGCGCCTCACACAACAACCACTTCTTCCTTGTACGTGTGGAATCCAACATCTCAATCATCACCCACACGTGACTAACTCACGTGACGTTGCGGTTATAATGCTATTTCCAATTTAAGTGCGTGCCGTTTTTTAGCGCCTCACATAACAACCATTTTATTCTCCAACATAGCATCTTTTATTTCTTTTTCCTTCCAAATTTCTTATCAAAGAAAATAAGTAGTCACTCACACTATACTCAAGTAAAAGTATCAGATTTTGTCTGAGAAGAATACAAAATATTACATTACAATTATAAGTGGTAAAATACTCAAAGAATATGTGTAGAGAGTTGCTTTTTGCTCAACGATCAAGGTCACTATCATCATGATTCTCAGAGAAGTACTAGTCAAGATGTTCTCTAAGCAAATGAGTCTGATTTCATGCGGGAGAGACATCCTGCCATTTCAGGCAGTTCAAAATCGTCTGGTCTCAGTGACAACTGAAAGTCTGGAAGCTCTGGCAAACACTGCATAGCCCTGTGGTTTTATCATATTATCAGATATCTTGTTTCATCTGATTAGTTTTAAACAAACGCTACAAAGACAGCACTCTTAACGACTTACTTCTCTTCTTCTTCAAGCAAGTATCCATATGTCTGAGACTTTCTAAAAGCAACTTCTGGAATCTTCTGGCTCAAATGCTTCATAACACCCCACATAGGAGGAGCTCTGATAAAAACAAAAAAAAAAAAAACTTCTGAATCAATCACAGTTCACATGTTTGGATAGTACACAACAACCAGACCTTGTGACAGGAGGAGCTAAGCAGAAGCTAAGACCGGCTTTCTTGCTTTCTCCTAGGATCTCTGCAGCTGCCAGGAAACAGCACACCGCACTCACGTGACAAGCCGGCTCAGTTCCTTTGTCTGTTACCAGTCCATGGTAGTAGTATGCCGCAGCCTGTTAAGAAAAAACAGAACATAACAGAGAGATTGATTTGTGAGAGAACAATAGAGAAGAACATAGATGAGCTGTTCGATCACTTTCAACAATAGCTTTGATATGTATACATACCTTTGCTTCCAGAAACTTCCAGTAGATAAACCGGAGAAGCTTCTTGGCACATCCATGGCTAACTGCTTCACAACTAGATAAGCAGTGATATGCCTGAAATGATAATGGGATCAATTTACAAAAACAGAGCAAGAACCTATGATTGTCCCAAAAGCATGCCCCAGTTATAATAAGGTGGATTATTAAACTATGAGGAGGACCTGAGTGAAGTAGATGACTTGCTCACATGCAATTCTCCTCTTCACAGACAGTGTTGCTTTCTGGCTATCAACTGCCAATCCGAGTTGAATCTCAGTTCCCTGCAGTGAGATTCAACCAAACATACAGATTAAAAAACCATACCAGATTCAAGTTTAGGAGTCACAGTTTCAAAGTACGTGGGTGTGTGTAACCTGGCCAAGTGCTTGGATAGCGAGAGTTTGTAATACGCTTTCCTGCATATCATCTGGCAATTTACTCCTGCAGACAGATAGCAAATTTGCAGTTATGTAAGTATTAATGTGATCTAAGAATTTCTGTATTTGTGCTTCATACTTTATATCAGGAGGAACTTGAGTCAGAATCTCTCGGACGCAGAAGTCCAAGTATCCAGACGCCTTGAGCAGCAAGTCAACCGCATCTCTCCTGCAATCTGTTTGAAAGTGACATGTTAATAAAGTTTTTGTAAACACAACAAAGTAGACGTGTGAAAAGTCAAAGAGGCCAGACCAGTGGAGACCACACGGACGCCATTGCCAGAACCAGAAGCATAGCAATCCTTTGGAATCATGAGAGAGTTAGCTTCAGTCAATGCCAAAGCAGCCATCATGTGGATCACTATCAACATCTCCATCCAAAGGTTTGTGCAACATATCTCTGCCTGTATACACACCTTCACATAGTTAAGAACAAACATAACCTAGAGTCTGCTTAATTTTAGCGAAAACCGAACTTACTCGTGGACCATCTCCAAGGGTCCTCCATTTGAACTCCACGCAGCCCTCCATTCCATCATTCTCTGTAGTGTTAAATATTCTTATCACCATTTGATTATACTAACAAGACACTAATTGTTAAGTCAATCAAAATTTGCAAACCCAAACTTTTCTTGATAAGACCGGTTAGAAGAGACAAGTACTCCTCCAAAGCTGTACGCAACTCAGAGATGGCAGAACCCCCTGCATTTGTAAAGATGGAAATCTTTAACCTTAAGACGCAAGAAAAGGGGAAGAAGATGGTCTAATCTCTCTATACCTGTGTCCTCAGCTACCAACTCAATCTGATTCCTTAGACATGTCAACCGATCGATGGTTGTCTTGGGAGCAACGCCTTTGAGTTGGCGCTGAAGATCAGATTGAACAGGAACACGGAACTGCAGAACAAACACTACAGATTCTTGAATGATCCTCTTCTTGTTCTTCCTTCCCACAACAACATTAGTAGATGTAGCACACCCCATGCTCTCTCTCTCTCTCTCTCTCTGCTATGTTTTTTCTTGCTCACAAAAGCATCCTAAACAATATATATTGACAAATATATGTCAAAATAAGGATGTTTTGGAACAACCTGAATCGGATAGATCCGGATTAATTTTGGAAGCTTTAAGTAAAATATAAAAAGAACAATCTCGAAGATAGAATCTCAGTGAGGTAACCAGAAGAGATAAGTAAGCATGTGATGATGGGAAGAGAAGATTCACTCAGGTTTCAGAGTTCGATGCAAATCCCTCCACATGCTCGATCTCTATTTCAACGAGCAAAATAGATATACGTGATTTAATTAACCAACAAAGGAAAATCACATGCCTTTCGGTTTAATCCAAGTTTTAATTATGTTTCTTACGGGTACCTGTGAATTCATATTTCCCCACTTGCCTAATTTTTATTGGCTCTCCGGTTTTAGTTTTAGTACTTCCTTCGTTGACTTCTTTCCTTAACTTTCCCGCCACCTTGATTAATTGAATCAAATCAACTTTTTTAGTTTTTACCCTCTTTTCTTACTCCAACCCAATACATTATTAGAAATGAAAAAGAGATTATGGTAACAAAACCTCCATTAATTTGGGTCAATATGTCTTTTGACTGAAATGAATCGTTGGCACTATAACCATTTTCTCAAGACTCAAAGCAGACTTTATTATTAAACGAGATTATTAATAGAAAATGTTATCTATGATTATATAAGTATTAGGGAATATATGGATCCAATCTAAATGTGGTGTGAGAGAAGAAACATGTAAGATTGTGGCAGGTGACAGGCTGTTTGTTACAATTACAAGTTGATTTATCTACATTGTTCTACTAACACACTTGTCTTACTTGGGCCTTTTTAAGTAGGCCCATTATCCGGTAAAAAACAATCGGGCCCATCATTGACTTTTTGTTTGCTGGGTAGTAGTGGTGTGGTGGTGATTAATATCGTCGTCGGAGGTATCTTGAGCTGAAGAAAACATTCGTAGATCTGTTTCCGCATCTGCTTAACAACTCCATCGTCGAAGATCACAAACCATGGCCATCGCTTTAGCTAAGCTTCTGATCTCCGCCATGGCGATATTCATGCTTGTTTCTGCTTCGTTTGCGACCTCGGAAGTTCCGTTCATTGTGGTTCACAAGAAAGCCACTCTCAACAGGCTCAAATCTGGCGCCGAACGCGTCTCCGTTTCCTACGACATCTATAACCAAGGATCCTCGTTAGTTCTCTATCTCTCATCTAGTTTTTTTCCCCAATCCGTTTGATTTCTCCGATTTTATTTCCGATTCGTGTTAGTTTCTGATTTGCATGGAGAGATTGGTTAATGTAGAGTTAGGAGATTATGGTTGAGATATCATTAGATCTAATGTATGTGTATCAGTTGCTAGTAAACGAAACGCCATTTGATCTGATCTCATTGTTCCTCAGAATTTTGGATTTGGTTTGTGAATTTCGTATCTGCCTGCTACGATGATTTTGAGATTTCTCATGAATGTTGGCTAATTGTGTCAGATATTTTTGGTGTTTGATCTCAGGACGGCGTATGATGTGACTCTGACAGATAATAGCTGGGATAAAGCTACTTTTGAGGTTGTTAATGGAAACACTTCGAAATCATGGGAAAGACTTGATGCGTGAGTTTCTTCTTCCTTAAACCATAAATGTTTTAGAGGCTGCTGTAGCTTTTCCTTTCGTCACTAATGTGATATTTGGTGTGTAGAGGAGGTATCTTGTCTCATTCTTTCGAACTGGAGGCCAAGGTTAAAGGAGTCTTCTACGGTGCTCCTGCTGTCGTTACTTTCCGTATCCCTACAAAGCCAGCTCTTCAGGTTTGCCATTCATAAGCGTCCTTCATTCTTTTTCACGGAATTGGTAGAAGCAACTAAGCTTTATGAGTTTATAAGCCTCTCCATTCAGAATTATATTCTCTTGTGTAGTCCATTGATTTACTAAAAATCTGCTTACATGTATAATGGTTTTCTTGTTTGTAGGAAGCGTACTCAACTCCCCTACTACCTCTAGACATCCTCGCAGACAAACCTCCAACGAAAATTTTGGACGTGGTAAATTTGACCTTCTAAGGACTGTGCTTTCAATCATCTACTCGGAGTTTTTTTTTCTTTTCTTCTCATTATTGACTTTCATTGCTATCTTGTGTTGTGTCTTGGATGTTGCTCTTGATGCTGCAAAAATAATCTCAGGCCAAGGTAACTCGATGTGTAATTCTCACTTCCCAGTGAAATCATCAAATATATATATCAGTTCTCATATTACGGTGTTTCAATTATTGCAGAGGTTGCTGGCGAAATATGGATCACTCGTCTCCGTGATCTCCATGGTGGTTTTGTTCATATACTTGGTGGCAACACCTAAGTCCAACGTATCAAAGGCAAGCAGCAAGAAGAAGCGTTAAGTTAGTGATATGAAGGCGAGAAAGGTTGGTACGGTGCTGTTTTGTGTTTGACAGTTAAACAAAGTTTCAAAACTTGTAAGAATTAGAGAACACAATTTAATTTTGGTGTTGCAGAGGACATAGTTCAAAGAGTTATTTTGGTTTTGCTTAATCTCTTTGTCAGAGCATAGTCATGGAGTTCTCTTTTATTTGGGTTCTGCCTTTTGCTTCTGTTTTTTTTTTTATGGTTTTGTCAGCATTCTCTTTTACACATTTTGGTTATCTTTGCTGTGTGACTTGTGTTTGTTTCTGTCTAGTTTCATTGCCTGTTTGCTTTGCAGTCTCTGAATCTCACATTTTTTGTTTTTGTAGAATCTAGTCTGGTTATTGGTTAGGTATTGTGGCTTATAAGTTTTTGTTTGTTTTGATAATTGTGATGTTTTCTTTAGTTGAAGTTGGAAAAGGAGGTTCTTGCGTAAAATTGAAAGAGTTGTCCGGGTGTATGTTTGCTATGTTGATGCCATTGTGATTGCATAAATTGTTATATGTTTTATCATCCGTGATTCCCTTAAAACTTTCAGATCTGTGATTCCCTTAAAACTTAGCAAAGCCTAGGTTTGTTATTACTTATTAGGGATGTGATTGGTCAGGTATTCAAGTGAGGGTCAGGTATTCAAGTGAATTTTGAGTTTGTTACGAACAACATATAGAAGAAGGTACTAATTAGACTTTTTCAAAGCCTTTTAGTATGTTTTTTTATTTGCTTCAGGAGCCTGTATAAATTCAAAAAATGAGGAATAATTTTATAAATAAGTCGATACTTTTAAGATGATTTTAACAAAATTTATAGATATCATATTAGGCATTTGAAATCTGGCTCTATCTAGCTCTTTTGCTTTATGAAAAATTGAAAATAATAGTCTACACTCTACTACATGAAAATCGATGGTTTGGGTCTAAATTTTTCAAGTTAAACAAATTTGACTTTGTTTTTAGACCAGCTAGTCAGATAAGTTGATTTTTCCGGGTTGGAATAATGCAGCTTTTCCCATGTTTATCAAGAGTTCAAGACGCCTTACACAACTATCAGAGTAGAGTTAAAAACAATAATCAATAAAGCAAACACAGCGTTAACACTAGGTTTATAAACTGGTTTGAGGACAAATGGTTGGTTGTTGGAGGCATCAAATTGCAAGGATACATTTGTTAATTGTGTAGAACATTTTAAATACCTTTGTTTAGCAACAAAGCCCGTCTAGCTCAGTTGGTAGAGCGCAAGGCTCTTAACCTTGTGGTCGTGGGTTCGAGCCCCACGGTGGGCGACATTATTTTTTTCTAGGTTTATTAATTATTTGTCTTCATAATATTTTACTTATGTTAGCGCTTAAACGGTCATATGATTTGTTGTATTCAGTATCTATCTACATACGATTTGATGATGACAAAAAGAAAAGATGCTTTAATAATTCATGAAACAAACCAAAGAAGCAAAATAAAAATAGAGCAACTAAAATGAAACAGAAGAGCAACCAAAATGAAACAGAAGAGCAACCAAAAGAGAATTTCAACTGAAACTGAATAAAAAGTAGGAAGTGGGCGTGCCCACTCTCTCTATCTGGGAGCGTGTCCCTCTCATCTTTTAAGATTACATCACAAACAAAAAAGGACAAGAAACAATAGGCAGAGAGTGTGTAAAGAGAGAGAGCACTATCCTGAATTCAGGAACACAAATTTCAAAAACAAAAATGATAAAGTTCAAATCAGGAAGAGTTTGAGCTTACTCACTCTTCCTCATTACCGTATGGTTTCTCTTATTTTTCCAAACAAAAATCCTACGCCATCGAACTCCTAACCCTTTTTCGTCATTGTTTAGGCTTTGGCTTCAGTAGCTGCGATGGCAGGGGCTGGAGCAACACCACCAGTGGTTGGCCTGAACCAGATTAAAAGAATTGAGAATTTTGCATTCCCAAGGTATTAAGGTACGGAAGTAAGTGAAGAGAGAGAGGAACTTACAGGCCAACAAAAACTTTGAAGGCATCGTACAATCCCCACTGTGCTCCAGTCAATGTCCCGATCATCACAATTCTTAGAGGAAGCCCTCTTGTGAACAGTCCCACCATACCAATCTTCTTCACCGCCTGCAATTTACAAAAATTGAATATCATACCTACCACAACAGAAATCAATAGTTTCTTTGTATACAACTACCAGAACGCAGCCATTCTAGCTTTTGGCTATTGTATTCAAACATCGTGACTTACATCTCCAACGGTTGCTCCCTTAGCGTTGTTGAGGAATGACACTAGATTGTCTGCTGGATGAGAAACGATTGCACAGAACACTCCAGCAACGTAACCTCCTGCAAAACTCACCCCGAGTTGCAGACCTTTGCTGCACTCACTCTTTGGGTTGGGGATTGCGTACTTGTAGATCATCTCAACAATGGTCTCAAAGGAAGCAAACTTCATCATAGTGTCTGTAAAATTCGCAGATATCATTACCACACTTTGCCTTTAAAGCATTATGTATGCTTCATGAACAAAAAAAAAAAATGGTGCAACAGGTTGCAAAATAAAGGCCAGCACTTACAAGGAATCTGACGTCCCCAGAGTGGAGCAAGACCCTTATACAAGCTGCAAAAAGCAAGAAATCAGACACAAAAGGCTAGCAGTAACAAGGGATATAATGTTATTGGTATTGAAAAACTCACCCTCCGTATCCTTCGGACTTGATAAACTTGGGAAATCCATCAGACATCCCCCTAGCAAATCCAGGCTGTGTCTGAACACGAACCTTCACAGCTTCAAATGGGCAAAGTGCAATATCGGCAATGACCTCAGCAGAAGCAGAACCAGCAAGGTAGATGAGAGTTTTGTATTTGGCAGTGTACTCAGGTCCAGCAAGGTCAGAGTAAGTCTTCTTAAAGTACTCGTAGAATCCAAACTTGCAGGCACCCTGAGCACTGTAACCCAAAAGAGTAGGAACCCATCCACGGAAAAAGCCTTTGACACCTTGCTCTTTCAGCAAAATTCCAAAACCAGAAGAAATGCTCTTGTACTTCGCTGGATCAATCTGGATAACAAGAAATATCAGTATCACAAGACCAAGTGAACCATTCCACACATACCACGTCAAGTAACAAAAGAAGAACCAGAACTTAGACCAGATCAACGTATTTTGAAATAGAACGGTTCATATATAACATGGAAATGGATGAAACAATTCTTCAGATAATGGAATCCAACACAAAACCAATAGTCAGGGAAATAACAAAGCGATAACGAAAATCAAATCACAGATCTATCAAACCACGAAAACAAGGCTAAAACGCAGATCTCACTACCTAAGCAACACAGGAACACAGATCCGCGAACATGAGCTCAGAAAACATACGAAAGACAACGGATCTAAAGGTTACATACCTGCATATTGCACTTGACGAGATCGAGAGGAGTCACGGTCATGTGAGTCAGACCACAGCTGAGAATTCCACCGAAGGTACAAGCAGCGTAGAAGGCAGGTGAATACATCTCGATCCCCTTCCCTGGCTCAGTGGGAGACGCAATAAGGAAATTCTTCCGAGAAATCATCGACGTCGGAGAGGAACGCGGTGCCGGAGAAGGAGATTTCTCGAGATTGGAGGAGGCGAATGCAGCGTTGGAGTTGGAATTCAGCACCTGGTCGAGGAGGAAGGATCTCGGGGATGAAGATGATGAATAGAGGAAGCTCGGGATCAGAGAATTCTTCGGAGATTCCATCGCGGCGGCGGAGGAAGGAATGAGAGATAGCGTTTGAAATGAGAGACGGAGGCGATGTCTGATTTCCGATCTCACGCTTGCTAAACCAAAAGCACCAATGAGATATTAACTCTCGAATCTCGGACTTTATTGGGCAAATGGAATCTGATGAAACAAGGCATATACTTTGCGGTAATTACGAAAGTGACATTGTCTTTTACCTGTCTTGGCCCATGGGCTTTTTCAAGAGGCATAAAACCCGTTGACCCATTAAAGGTTATTACAACGAAATTTTCCAATTACTATTTGTTTATTTTTTTTTGGAAAATGAAATTGTAAAACCCTAAAAAATCCAACCAGAAGAGAAGCTCCCTCGCCGACAGTTACCGGCTACAAGGTTTCTCTGCTCGTTAACGTTGTAAGTTGTTTCCTGTTTCTTCATTGTAATCAAATTTGTGCATGAATTAGGTCAAATTAGTAGCTTCTGTAGTAATCCTTCTCGAAATTAGGGGTTAATTACCGATTGATAACGAGCTTGGCTGCGAATCTTATCGTTGTTGTTTGTTTTATGCAGCAGTGGATTTGTGGTATTGAAAGATGAGCTTATCTCAGAATGCACCGACAAGTAAGGCTAAGAAAAGAGAGGAGCTCAAGAAACAGTACAAAGATGTTGAAGATGGGGAAGAGATTGGGTCCGATGATGATCTCACTAGGGGAAAGAGAAGAAAGACAGATAAGGAGAAGGAGAAGGAGAAGCTAGAAGAATCGGAAGTGGTTGAAATGAAAAAGCTTGAGAATTTGATATTCGGGTCACTCTACTCACCTGTTACGTTTGGTAAGGAAGAAGAAGAAGATGGTTCGGCTTTGTTTCATGTAGACCGTTCTGCTGTGAGGCAGATTCCGGATTACGAGGATGATGATGATGAAGAGCTTTCTGGTGAAGAGAATGGTCAAGTTGTGGGGATTAGAAAGGGAGAAGCTGCCTGGGAGGATGAAGAAGAGAAACAGATAAACGTTGATATAGCTAGTGTAAACCGTCTGAGGAAGCTAAGGAAAGAGGAGAATGAGGGCTTGATCTCTGGGTCTGAGTATATTGCAAGGCTGAGGGCTCATCATGCTAAGCTAAACCCGGGGACTGATTGGGCTCGGCCAGATTCTCAAATGATTGATGGAGAGTCTTTAGATGATGATGATACCCAGGTTGGAGGAGTTGATGATATCCTCCGGACGAATGAAGATCTTGTAGTGAAGTCCCGTGGTAACAAGCTGTGTGCTGGTCGTCTTGAATACTCAAAGCTAGTTGATGCCAATGCAGCGGATCCTTCAAATGGCCGGATAAACTCTGTCCACTTCCATCAAAACGCTCAGCTGCTTCTCACTGCTGGATTGGATCGACGGTTAAGGTTTTTCCAGATTGATGGAAAGAGGAACACCAAGATCCAGAGCATTTTTCTTGAGGACTGTCCCATTCATAAGGCGGCTTTCTTGCCCAATGGCTCTCAGGTCATTGTCTCCGGAAGAAGAAAGTTCTTTTACAGCTTTGATTTGGAGAAGGCACAGTTTGACAAAATTGGCCCTTTGGTTGGTAGAGAGGAGGAAAGCTTGGAACAGTTTGAGGTGTCACAAGACTCTAACACCATAGCTTTTATTGGCAACGAAGGTTATATCTTACTTGTGTCGACAAAAACAAAAGAGCTGATAGGAACCCTAAAGATGAACGGTTCAGTTAGGTCCTTAGCATTTAGTGACAATGGGAAGCATTTGCTGAGCTCAGGAGGTGATGGGCAAGTCTACGTCTGGGATCTGAGAACAATGAAATGCTTATACAAAGGTGTGGATGAAGGCAGCACTTGTGGCACTTCTCTTTGCAGTTCGCTAAACGGAGCATTGTTTGCCTCTGGAACCGATAGAGGAATCGTAAACATTTACAAGAAATCTGAGTTTGTGGGAGGCAAGAGAAAGCCGATAAAGACAGTGGACAATCTCACTTCCAAGATAGATTTCATGAAGTTCAACCATGATGCTCAGATTCTAGCTATAGTCTCTACAAAGAACAAAAACAGCGTAAAGCTAGTCCATGTTCCATCCCTAACGGTCTTCTCAAACTGGCCGCCACCAAACAGCACGCCACCAAACAGCACAATGCATTACCCTCGCTGCCTAGACTTCAGCCCCGGAAGTGGCTTCATGGCTATGGGAAACGCCGCCGGAAAAGTTTTGCTGTATAAACTGCATCATTACCAGAATGCTTGAAGTGGTCTTAGCAAGGGCAGTTTTGGGATTGTTGTGTTTTATCCTTTATTTTGTCGCAAGTACTCTTATGTTATCAATTTTCGATCAATGAAAAAATTTCTTTCTGATTCTTGGGATTGAGTGGGCCAAGTGTTCTCTTCTCACGTTTTTGTCAACATCAAACACTTGTGTTTGGTACCATTCTCAAATAAATATGCAGGAGAAAAAGAAAGATGTCGACATTATTTCATGATTAACACAAAGTACAATTTAGTAGAGTGGCTTACTAATAGCTGAAAGGGTATCTCGATCCAGAGATTGAATCTGAACCGTCCATTCTTGGAAGGGCAAACAGAGCAGTGTTTGTGTCTCACGTTCTCTGCCTTCTCTAATAATGGTCTTAAGCCGCTTTTTCACTCCTTAAACTCAAAAACAAAACAAAAAAATTAGTATTTCCTTCGGAGCCTGGCCGGCGAATCCGACCGGTCGTTTCAGCTGTGTCCGAAGGAAAGTTCCAATTTTTACTGTTTTTATTCACGGAAATCCAGTTAAGGTAATTGTCTACATTTGTCGATTTACTTTGGCTTCTCTGGGATTGCTAAATTTCTTCTAATTTCTCGAATGATTCATCATATCTTGCATTTGGGTGATGAAGAAGCACTAGATTACACATTTTCTGGTTTGATTACACATTATATAAGCTTCACAAGTGTTCCTCTTATATAATGTTGTATTAGGAGTGGTTGTTTGATTTTACTGAAAATTAGGCAGTCATTTGTCTCCCCTAGTCAACTTACAGTGATGAATTGGTTCAATAAATTTTTCATAATTCATTTCTTAACTCGGTTTAACCTCATTCAGTATATTTTTATATTTAGATCGCTTGAGAAAGATCTGATATTCTTTCTGTGAATTTGAATGTTGCAGGTTTCCACATTGAACAATCACAACTGTACCATTTGTCGAGATCACAACACTCAAGTGTCTTAGATTTAGCAAGCCTAACTATTGACTAATGACGGCTTCATTGCAGTTGTATGGAGTTAAAGCTCCAGGCCTTGCTTTAAGTTCAAAGAGGCTTGAGTTTGGCTCAAAGGGGTCTAGTTTTTCAGTTACATTGCCATCAAGTAGTGCAGTCTTTAGAGCCGTAGAGCATTCTTGTAGGAATATAGCTTTGAGAGTTAGTTGTGAAGATGTAAGAGTCGATTTGCTTGAAAGAAAAGAGCCCGAGACCTGCAATTCAAGCGCAAATGGCAAAGAGTTGACATGTGTAATGAAATTCGGCGGTTCATCAGTGGAATCAGCAGAGAGGATGAAAGAAGTTGCCAATCTTATACTCAGCTTTCCAGATGAGAGGCCCGTCATTGTGCTATCAGCAATGGGGAAGACAACTAATAAGCTTTTGAAGGTAATACAACAATGTTAATCTTTTCTACTTCTTTCTTATGACGTTTTTGTTATCGGTAGATTGAAAGATTTTCTTGGCTTTTCGCTTTCGTTAGGCTGGAGAGAAGGCTGTTACTTGCGGTGTCACTAACGTAGAAAGTATTGAAGAATTGAGCTTTATAAAGGAACTCCATTTAAGGTTAAATAAAACAATGTTTTCTCATGTGTATTTGATTGTTATCTAGTGTTTACAGTCCAATTTAGCCTTATTCTCATGGAAAACAAAATTGTCTATGTTCAGAGCTGCTCATGAGCTTGGAGTGGAAACAACGGTTATTGAAAGTAAGTATTTTGGTTCTCTTTCTCGATGCTAGAATTGTTGACCTTTTCTCCTATTGTAGTTTCAGCATTTTGCACTGCTCATTCAGTTGAAGTTTTTCGTTTCTAAATCCATTTTTCTGGTTAATCCATTTGTAGAACACCTAGAAGGACTACACCAGCTTCTCAAAGGCATATCAATGATGAAAGAGTTAACCTTACGTACAAGGGACTACTTGGTTTCATTTGGAGAGTGCATGTCCACAAGGCTTTTCTCTGCGTATCTCAATAAAATTGGCCACAAAGCGCGTCAAGTATGTTGCTTTATAACACCCTGGTCTTAGCATAACGTTGACACTATATAATTGCAGCGTTCGACAGACAGATTAAAGAAACTTGAGAGTGTGTCAATGCTCACAATTTTGTAGTCAAACATGAGTTTAGTTCATGACTTGATGAGTTGTTCACTTGTTGTTGGCTTGGCAGTATGATGCATTTGAGATCGGGTTTATTACCACTGACGACTTTACAAATGCTGATATACTTGAAGCAACGTACCCTGCCGTCTCAAAAACACTAGTTGGCGACTGGAGCAAGGAAAATGCAGTCCCTGTTGTTACTGGCTTCCTCGGAAAGGTTTATATTTTTCTGACTGTTTATGTTATTCTCGTGTGTCAAGAAATATGTAGTCCATAACTCTGATTCCCATCTATTCTATATACTGGAATGGGTTTTGCACAAGAGTTGTTTTGCTTATTATGAAAACAAAACTTCAATCTCGCATATGTATGTGTTTCTGCAGGGATGGAGGTCTTGTGCTATAACTACGTTGGGTAGGGGTGGCAGCGACTTGACGGCTACAACGATTGGGAAAGCGTTAGGACTGCGGGAAATTCAGGTAATTGATGGGTTTAGCCAAGATTGCAGCATGGAGATGGAATTTTGTTAAGCAAAGATTTCTTTTCTATTTTAAATCTGGTGCAGGTTTGGAAAGATGTAGATGGAGTTTTGACTTGTGATCCTAACATATATCCTGGAGCTCAATCTGTTCCATACTTAACTTTCGATGAGGCAGCTGAGCTTGCTTACTTTGGTGCCCAGGTAATCTCGTTGGTTATCTAGGTAATGAGTTCTTCTCTCTCTGATGGCTGAGCATATTCCTCTTCCATTGCAGGTGCTGCATCCACTGTCTATGAGGCCAGCAAGAGATGGCGACATTCCTGTAAGGGTGAAGAACTCGTACAACCCCACTGCTCCAGGAACTGTCATCACGAGATCAAGAGACATGAGTAAGGTTCGTGAAACAAATGTGTTTTTACACTCGTTATATCAAAATATCAATGACCCCTTCTCCCTCCTTTAATTTCTTGCAGGCCGTGCTGACAAGCATTGTTCTGAAACGTAATGTGACCATGTTGGACATAGCAAGCACCCGTATGCTTGGCCAGTATGGTTTCCTTGCCAAGGTAATGTAATTGGATAATGAAATCTTTATTCGAGAAGTTGTTTAATATCTCACTGCAAGCATACACACTGTCTCATGTGCAGGTATTTACCACATTTGAAGATTTAGGCATATCGGTCGATGTTGTGGCAACAAGTGAAGTTAGTATATCATTGACATTGGATCCAGCAAAGCTCTGGGGTAGAGAGTTAATTCAACGGGTAAATGTAAGACTCTTTTTACTTTGATATATTGTTTCTTTTGTGAGGGTCATATGTAGTATTGGTTAAAGTGATTGGGGTGTGAACAGGAACTGGATAATTTGGTGGAAGAGCTAGAAAAGATTGCTGTTGTGAAACTGCTGCAGCGCAGATCAATCATCTCTCTCATAGGAAATGTTCAGAAATCTTCACTCATATTAGAGAAGGTGTGTGAGAGTAACATGTCTTGTGTTCTCTTTTGAATTTTGAAGTTTTAAGTTAATGGGAATGGAATGGATGAATGAAAAAACAGGTGTTCCAAGTACTTAGAAGCAATGGAGTGAATGTGCAGATGATCTCTCAGGGTGCATCTAAGGTTAAAATCTGTCTGCTGCTACATTATAGTGAATGAATATGGTATTCTTATGTTATAATGACTGGAGATGTGTGTGTGTGTGTTTGTCAGGTAAACATCTCGTTGATAGTGAATGATGAAGAGGCAGAGCAATGTGTGAGGGCTCTCCACTCCGCATTCTTTGAGACCGATTCTTAGTGCAGCAGAGAGCACCCATCTCTCTCCTTCAAGTCTGCTTATGTGCGTAGTTCAATGCTAAGAATGTGTCAAGACTTGGAACAACTTCACATTCTTGTTCTTATTGTTTCTGTTGTTGTGTTGATACAATAACATAATCTGAGCCAAATCCTATAAAACATAGGTTAGTTCTTTTAAACTTAAAGAAATAAACAAGCTCAAAAAAAAATTAAAGACAAACAAGCTCTAACAAATTTTAAAGAAACTTAGTTTTAGGATTTAAGGTTTACAATTTTTTTTTAGTATGGTTAAAAATTGTACTGTTTTCTTAATTTTCTATAAAAAAAATATAAGCTAGTTTCTTAATTTTGACATCAGCGGATCAGCCGATCAGCCTATTTTCATAACTTTCTTCTTGCAATAATAGTTTGTAACAAAATACATTTCAATCAATAAAAGTAAATTGAATTCGGTATAAGAGAAAAGTGGACACTGAAGGTGCAGGCTTAGAAAGCAAAGAAACACTTTTGATGATACCGAAAATACCCTTCCTGAAAAGCCTAAGCAACAGTTACTTCACCAGGGTCATATCCGACCGACCAGCTGGTCAACGAGAAATACACATCAGATGATATCTGTTACGTAAGGCTTCTGTAACGGCCTTCCATTTTTCATATAATATGATAAAGTGGTCCGACAAACGCAATCCCTCAAAGATTGTTATTTTATTTATCTTAAGGACAAAGATTTAGTCCAAATCATATAAATCAGCTTTAGTTTATACACCAAATCTTAAACCAATGAAGGGACATTTAACTCTTCGGACTCACTTAAACTATACCCATATCTTAAGCCTCCTTTCTTTTCTTTTCTTATTTACACAAATAGATGTAGAATATGAATAATTTAGGGCAGAAAAAATTAATAATTTAGGAGTTTTATTCATATATAATCGCTGAGAGGTGACTCTATATTGCAGATATGGTACCTACAAATTTCATAACAAATTGTTTATGCTGACAACGATAAATGCTTTAATTTTAGTGTTTTTTTTTTTTTTTTTTGGGAGGGGTTGGTCAAACATGAGAAACAAGAAGGCAAATTTGCAGATAAAAAAGGAAGGCAGAAGCATGCATGAAAGCCAAAAAAGCATGTGACCAACTTTGTAACATTCAACTTTTTTTTTCAGCCTTTTGGTAAAACTTATCTACAAATCTAAACTATATGAATTATACATTTTTATCTAACGGACTTCACAACGTTTAATAATCATATACAAAGAAAAAGATGCTAGCTAAGTAGCTAGCAAGAACACATGCCAACTTGTAATTCCATACATCAAGAACACTGACATTCTGATGGTAAGCAACTTAACTCTGGTGGCAACTATATCTCTTTTAAAAGTTCATTCTCAAGAATATTGATGAGTCCTTTATTTCTTTTTATAAAACATTAACTAGCCAATTTTATATGGGCTAAGCATAATAAAATGGTTACGAAATTCGATCTTGATTACCAAAAAATATGCCAACTTGTATTTATGTTTAGCGCTACATTTGTGAGATGCTAATTGGATTACAAATCCAAAAAAAAAAATTCCACTCCTTTTTGTGATCATCTTGATAATGGTATTATATGTAGCTTGTTTATAGAGATTAATTAGAGGATTTGAGCATAAAGTGAATACGGAATATAATGGAAAACCACCGGCCATATATCCAAACATTCGACCTCATCTCTGCGTTACGACTTGCTCAAATAATGTTGGCAGCATCAAATTTATTATTCGGCGCGTCTCCATAATATATATATATATATATATATATATATATATATATATAAAACCATTCATATTTACATATATGCATATTGGACCATTTGTATTTGATTATATTGACCAATTTCGCAGACAAAACTAGCTAGCTAGTGTAACTGTGTAAGATGATATTACAGAAAAAGCCGACAAGAAGGATAGAGATATCCATTACCAACAATTCCCTTATTCTACTAACCTATTTAACTGAAAAATATATATTCTACTTTTATATTGTTGTAAAATCTTGAAGAAATAATAAATATCCTTAAATATCTCTTAAAAATATCATCCTATCATAACAAAAGCTAAAAACCATGACTATCACATCACATCAATCACTTTGTTATCATTATATGGCATATCCTCTCTATATATATGCCATTTAAAATAAAATAAAAACTTATCAGTTAAATTTAGAACTCCACCTTGTATAAATACTCTGCATGCCTCTATCACTCTCTTCCCAACCAACTCACACCCACATTTTCTCGCTCTCTCTAGCTTCTTCTCTTTCTCTTTCTCTAAAAATACAAAACAAAAAAATGCAATACAAAACAGAAACTCGAGGGTCGTTGTCCTACAACAACAACAACAGTAAGGTAATGAACAACATGAATGTGTTTCCGTCGGAGACACTGGCGAAGATAGAGTCGATGGCGGCAGAGAATGCGGTGGTTATATTCAGCGTGAGCACATGCTGCATGTGCCACGCCATCAAGCGTCTCTTCCGTGGAATGGGGGTCAGCCCCGCCGTCCACGAGCTCGACCTCCTCCCTTACGGCGTTGAAATTCACCGAGCTCTCCTCCGTCTCCTGGGCTGTTCCAGCGGTGGCGCTACTTCTCCGGGGGCACTTCCGGTGGTGTTCATAGGAGGGAAGATGGTAGGAGCAATGGAGAGAGTGATGGCTTCACATATTAATGGCTCACTCGTTCCTCTTCTCAAAGATGCTGGCGCTCTTTGGCTCTGATTGATGATCTCATCCTCCAAACCAACCTTTCGTTTTTCTTTACTTTCTTTGACTTCTAAGGACAAAAAAAGATTAGGTTAATTATAGTGTTGAATTAGGGACAGTGAGAGAGAAGAGTTGTGCGTTTGTTTTAAGCTTAGCTCTTTTCTCTATCTTAATCACACTAATATATAAATGTTTACTAATCGGTATGTCTCTTGTTAGCTTTCTTATCTCTAATTTTACAATCTTTGACAGTTGCTTCACAAAATTTAATGGTCATTTTTTAACAAAAATAAAATTTAATGGTCAAATTAAGACAAGAACAATGGGGCTTTTTTCATGACCTAAAATCTTAACCGTTATAACTGTTAACTTGTGGGGTAAATAATCACCTCATGAGGGTCCCCACTCCAGATTACGTGGACACCCACCAACAATAATCCGTGATTTTGACCCGACCATTGCGTCAAGAAGAGCCAGTACATGCTGATTCAATAACGTCACTGATTTTACACAGCTATCAATTCTTTGCTAATTCAATTTTGCTTTAAGTAAAAAATAATAGAGAACACTACTTCTTCAATCATTCATACAATTCACTTGTCACCCCTCTATTTGTTTTTTGTTCTTCTCAAATTAAGAAAACTACAAGGTCACATTTTCTGAGTTTGGAGAACATTTTACTTCCATCATCATGATGAGAAAAAGAAGGAACTAAATGGCATATATACCTTAAGATAAATTATATTCATTAGAATAATTCTTACGTAGACAATAAACGACTTGTAACGTATAAGTCACCCAGAGATCTCGATTACAGCAGTATAGGAATCTACACAGAATAAAGGGAAATACAATTTGGGGAATCTAATTTGCCTATTGGTGTAATTATGCGTGCTCAATTGCTCGAATAAATGGAAGAATGGAATCAGGATCAGATGATGAACAGAAAGACGCCAACAGGTCAGAAGATATTGTGTGAACAAGAGACGGCGATACCTCTTTGATCCATTTCATATGTCTGATTCCAATCTCAACCTCTTTCGCATCCGCCACACATTTCAGCAACACGACATGTGCCATTGTGTGTTCTAAGTGTTCTTCCTCACGCAGTAGCTGTGATGCCTCACTAAAATGGCCTACACACACACACCAAATGAATCAGTCAGAAACTTGACTTAAGGCAATTAAAAAAGACTAGAAGACATATTTGTTCTCTCACCGTTGCTGCATAGATTTAATACAAACGCGCTTAATACTCTTCTTGCTACTGTTTTATCCCTCTCCATGCACTTTCTGCAGACTTCCAAAGCAGCTTCAAGTTTTGTCTCCTTGCATAGGCCTTCCATGAGTGACGTGTAGATTGTTTCATCTGGTTCTATCCCATTCTCAAGCATCTTGTGAAACAGCCTCAAAGACTCTTCTGCCTCACCTTCCTCTGACAGTTTCCTAATAAGTACATGATATGTCGTGAGATTCATTTTGCAGCCCTGCACAAACATCTCGTCCCACAGTTTCTTTGCTGGACGGATCATTTCCGCTCTGCAGCAAGCATCAATGAGAGCGTTATAGAGTGACACGTCTGGATCAAGCCCTTTCTTCTTCATTTCGTGTAGAGCAGTGTAACCTTCTCTGACTCTCCCGGCCTTGCACAAGGACGATATCATCAGACTGTAACTCTCAAGATCTGAGAAATAACCTTTGCTTGACAAAAGCTCATAAGCCTTTATCAGATGGTCCCTCTTCTCGTGCCTGCAAAGATTCTTACTTAATTTGCTCAGAGTCCGAATAGCAGGCAATTTCCCTGTGCTGACCATGTAAACTAAGAATTCAACAGCAGAATCTGCATCAACTGCAGAGACCGACCCAATTAACGCGTCTAAGATATCATTATCCATGGGGAAATTTCCACTCACAATCACCTCAGCTACTTCCTTAGCCTCCATTAATCTTTTAGCGGAAATCAAATCCAGTATGAAAGCTCGGTAATCGCTGCTCCTAGGTGCTACTCCGAGCTTTCTCTTCTTCTTTAGAACGACCTGCCTCTCATACAAATTCCCAGTAACTACGAACGCTTCAGCTATGATTCTATAAGCCATAAAATCCGGTTTGCAATCTATGTTTCTCAGCTCTTCCAAAATATAAAAAGCATCCATTTCTCGAGAAGACTTACAAAGACCATGGAGAATCAACAGTGCAATAATGGAGCCATTGATGTTCGAATTAGCCTTCTTAACCTCATCCACCAATCTCAAGAGCTGATCCGTTTCAGAACTTCTACAAAAACTTCCTATATAAACGCCGAAGCCAAGAGTATTCAACGAAACACCTCTTTGGCGCATTTTAACAAACAGTTTCTGTGCATAATCAAAACACCCATCAGAAGTTAAAGCAGCTAAAAGACGATTGCAAACATCGGGATGAATCTCCCTACCCGTCGAAAGAGCTTCTTCTAAAACCCAAAACGCGCTCTGAGATTTCCTACCCAACACAAGTGCATCAATGAGGGAGCGATACACGGAAGAATCGAGAAGGATTCTGTTCGATTTGACCTGTTTGAAGAGAGCGTCCATGGCGGAGAACTGACGAGAAAGCGAAAGAGACTTGAAGATAGAATGGTAAGAGACGGATTCGTGAGAGTAACCTGGTTGTTGAGCAGCCCAATTGAAGAAACCGAGAGCGAGGGAATGGTGGTTCAGGAGAAACGGGTCAATGACTCGAGCCACAAGCGAAGGGCTTATTGAGTGACGAAAACCGAGACCGTGAAGGCTCTGTTCAACCGATGGACTCCATATCCGAGCTGATCGAGAGCTTCCGGAAACTTTTAGAAGCTCACGGCCGATCCTCACCGCAAGCTCAGCCGCAGGTCTCATGGTCGGTTAATGAAGCTGACGTCAACATTTTCAGGTCGCTGACAAGTTGGAGAAATCCAATCAGTCCATTAGTTAGAAGTCAAACTCATACTGGCCCAGTTCAAAAAAGTGATTTTTAGTGACCCAAAAAATCATAACTTTGCATACGAGATTAATCCAGCCTTAATCTTTATTACTTAGGTCCTGTTTGTTTCTCCATCCAAATGATCCATCTAGATGGAGATGAAAAATGATGTTTGTTTTTGACAATTTAACAAGCATTTGGATGGATCATCTAGGTGATCCATCTGAATGAGTTTTTAAATTTAGGCAAATTTATGAAACTCATTTGGATGAACTTGATTGAACCATTTGGATGGAGATGGTTCATTCAAAAAGAACAAAAGACAGATATACCCTCTTATACAATCATATTTTAAATAACATTATTTTCTATAGATTTCTTATTTAATATTTTTAAAATTACATATTGGAACCAAAAAATAATCTAAAAATCATGAAATTACGGATTATTATTTTACGTCAAAATCGTAAAATCGTGAAATTGCGTTTTTCTGCCAAAAACTGTAAAATCATAATTTTCGATGTAAAATTATAGAAAGCGCTATTCCACCAAAACTGTAAAATTACATTTTTTTTGCCAAAATCGCAAAATTATTTTCCCCGTCAAAACCGTAAAATCATGTTTTTCCGCCAAAACCGCAAAATCATGTTTTCCCGCCAAAACTGCAAAATCATGTTATCCCGCCAAAACCGCAAAATCATATTTTTCCGCCAAAACTGCAAAATCATGTTTTCCCGCCAAAACCGCAAAATCATGTTTTCCCGCCAAAAGTGCAAAATCATGTTTTCCCGCCAAAACTGCAAAATCATGTTTTCCCGCCAAAACCGCAAAATCATGTTTTCCCGCCAAAATTGCAAAATCATATTTTTCCGCCAAAACCGCAAAATCATGTTTTTCCGCCAAAACCGCAAAATCATCTTTTCCCGCCAAAACCGCAAAATCATGTTTTCCCGCCAAAACTGCAAAATCATATTTTCCCGCCAAAACTGCAAAGTTATATTTTCCGCTAACGGCAAATCATATTTTTTATCATATTAATTTTTTCGTTAAAAACCGCAAAATCCTGTTTTCCGGCCAAACTTGTATAATTATTTTTTATATATTTTAATAACTATAAATAAAATTAATTTTTATATGTTAAAATAATAATTTATTTAGTTTTTATATGTGATTATTTGTCAAAATGAAAGCATGGGTATTTTAGTCATTTTGGTCTATACGAGATTTAGGATGAATTACAAAATGATCAAACAAAAAAAGATCCATTTGAATGAAATAACAAGTATTAAAACAAACATCATTCAAATGCATCATCCAAATGAATCATCTAAATGGACCATTTGAATGCAAATGTAAAATGATGAAACAAACAGGGCCTTAACCTATTTTTGGCCCATCAAAATATCTGCAAAAACACAGTAAATGTCGTTCAATTATTTACATGAGAATTGAGAATCCTGGAGGAAAATGACAACTTAACAAGAAGACACATGACAACCACCGCCACTTTTTTCCATATAAAAACTATAAAAAGCAAAAGGAAACCAATATTTTTAGGCTCGCTTAGATACAATTTTGCTTCTTCTTCTTTTTGTAAAACATTTTAATTGAAAAAACTTTCTAATGAAATTGAAGTTTAATTTATTTGGTGATTCGGAATTTGTTATTTTGGCTCGGTCAAGATCAGTTAAAACGATTAGAGGAAATCACTTTTTGGTAATCTTGCAGCTGGGGACTATTGGAGTGACCCACTAAAAGAAGAAGACGAAAAAGAAATCATGACATATTATGGTTTCAGTAATTAAAATTTTTTTTAAGAAAAAGAGAGAATAGATCATCTAGTTGGGAATAATGTCGACTGGAGATACAAGAAGGAAAGTGAAAATATTGGAAAATATACCAAAAGAAGATATGATTGAGGAACAGGGAAGGAAGATATGTCGACTTATCGAGTGTCCACGTGAATTTGACATAAGTCGATCACATTCTTAAGAAAAAATAAAAGATAATGGAGTGGGAACAATGGAAGTGACTCCAGATTGCAAAATTTAGCATTTGTAAGTTTGTTTAAATCAGGCACAAAAGTGTACTGCTTCCCTTCTTGGCCCATACCTATACCACCTACTTCTGTTTGTTCCTTTGTCCCTTGTTCCTTTCTTTCATCCCAAAAGATGCTTCCCTGTTATCCCAAATTAAACCATTCGCTTTATCATTATCTTTTCATACCTGTTCAAACTCATCTAATCTGCATTCTCTATGGTGTTTCACACAGACGCCTAGGTTCAAGATTCACCATCCAATCCTTACCGCTAACAAGTTCCTACTTGATCTACCAAAACATAAGTATGCGCTTCTACCGCTAAGGAAATGAGTGTAGGATAATTAATAAAGGAAAACAAACCCATAGCATTACGAGTTTGTAATATTAAAAACACTGAAGCAAAAAACAGTACCTGATGTCGTGGACAGCTTCACTTGTCTGAATCAACTAGCCCCAAAGTCTTCGTTGTTTTGTCACGGAGCTCCCATATGCTTCCTGGAAAAAGTACTCTTTCTTTACTTTTCTGCAGGATGGTCATCAATCTAAATACATTTTCTTCTTGTCGGAGACAGCCAGATCAACAAACCAGTACTCTTTATATAAGAACATTATTACAACATAATGCAGCCTCAATCACTCAACAACATAATGCAGCCTCAATCACTCTAAGTGAGCAAGGAGCCAGCGTTGTTTCAAATAAAATTGAACTAATCTCTAGGCAAAGCAGCATCAGTGTAAAAAGCAGTTTACATTGTTACTATAATCAAACACAGAAAGAGTTTGTACCTATGGAACTAGATTTCAAACAGAATGAATACTCCCTTCTAGTGTACAAATTACGGATGGAACATTTCATAGCAATTTGCAGGAAAGAATGTCTAAAAATCAAGGTCTACACAACACAAAGCAATAGCAAAAATTGATTTTGCAGCCACTATTTATGTATGCTTTATTTGCGAATGACTTGTAAATGTAATATTAGTGGCTCATGAACGCCACATAAAATCTACAGTTTTATAATATAGAAACTCAAATCAAGATCAGATAGTAATACCTGAGATGATTGATGATTGTATTACGGATAGCTACTCCATCAATGAATTTGCGCGTCATGTAATCACAACAGTAGGGGCTCATGTACGTAATGGCCCTCCAACTTGTTCTTGATGTGATCTTGAAAGAGAATGGCCAACCAAAATTTTGTAGCTTTCTTGGTGTTGGTCTCCACTGTCATCAACCTAAAAGACTTGAGATACAGTTGCAACCAATTCACTGCCACATTAAGACTTTACCAATCATTGTTCTCTATAAAAGTCACTTTCTCCTCTAGTATTGTGTAGCAACTGAATCACGAAAATGAAGGTATGGTCTATATCTTAAAAAAAAAAAATTAACTATGTTGTAGCTAACACTAACCAAAGCTTATTTTCTGGCAGTTTTGGGGCTGGATGCACCATAAGTTCCGGGAGAATAGCAAAGAGCCATTGAAAGATGCTTCAACTGGTAATTTGACTGTACTTCTCTGGAACTTCTTTTCTTGTCAAATATGTAGAACAAGAATAGGAAGTGTGTTTGAATCTTAGGAGAATAGCAATAGAACTTAGCAAGCATTTCAGGGATGAGTAATAATTATCTCACTACTTTTAACATCCATTTCTAGAAAATTAAACTGCTGACCTGATAAAAGACTAGGATCATGAATGCACTCCTGTGCAAAGCATTGTGATGGGTGTCAGCTAGCTGAATAAAAAGCTCACATACTCAATATGCGTGACACCAACTTTGTCTTGCGCTTCGATTTTGTGAGTGATAGCAGCTAAACCAGATCTCTCCCTAGCGAGTATTATCCAGTCAATATCATGCCTGCAATAACTTGACATCTTCCCTAGTTCCTGCACAAATGCATCTTTTCCAAATCTAACTGGCTGTTCTTACTTATTTCAGGTAACAGCTATTCCATCCTTTCAGCTCATCCATCCCTTGATAGCCAAGAGGTTTACCCCACAGCATGTGCTGGCTCCAGATACAATACTGGATTCAGAAAACAGGTCAACCTGTTCCAGGAAAGCTCCTTCGCAGGACCCAAGGGATACACAGAAGAAAACTTCAAGGATGAGAGAAACAGTGATTTTTTTGATGGATTTCTTGCAATTGGAACCCTTGGTGGAGAAACACTTCTTGATGAACAACCAGCAACGCCAACATTTGGCATGTCATTTGAGGACCCGGCAATAGATGATGCAGATGTGACAGAGAATGATTTGAAGCTCATAAGCAATGAATTGGAGAAGTTCCTTGAGGCTGAAGCTAAAGAAGGACACCACCAACCATCAGGAAGAAACAGTGACACTAACACTATTGCATCTACCATTGAGGCCATTGAGGGTCTAGATGATGAAAAAGATAATCAGCCAATGAAGTTCCCACTCCAAGAGTATCTTTTTGGTTCTCTAAACGAATTCCCAGAAACAAAGATTGCAGGGAAGAAAGAAAGGGCATCACTTGGCGAACTGTTTCAAATAACAGAAGTGCTAGATGAAAATTCAGAAAACATATATGGGAAGAAAAAGAAGCAAACCAGTTCAACTCACAAGTCCGCAAAGCATCTTGTGAAGAAGGTACTCAAAAAGATACACCCATCCTCAAGGAGCTCTGTCAGTGGTAAAACTGAAGTGGATTCCACAAAGAAGAAGTTCCAAAAGGTGTGGCTTTTTCTGCTCTGCTTTTTCAAAACTTACAATCTAAAAAAATGCATGTGTGATACATGCTACATCTTGAATTATACACCAAACTTTAGATGATTTATCCCTTACTTTGATAGCATTTTCTGGAGCTATCATATACTCCAATGAAAAGCTTGCTCCTAACAACCTTGAATTTCATGTGAGGAGTGCAGATGGTACAAGTTTTCCATAGGAAAGTACATCCAGAAGAATCCATAATGGAAACCGAAATATACAGCAGTGTGGCAAATCCAAAAAGCAGCAAAGCAAATTCTATTGACTTAACATTCGAGAAGGTGAACCCCTGTCACGAGGCAAGTAAAAGATGTATCCAGTATGAGCTGAGAAGTTCTCGCTCAGCCAAAAACGGAGAACACTGGATCAAGACAGACGAAGACTGTAAGTCCACCATCATATGCAATTAATAGAATTGTTTGCATAATCCCATTTAACTCAAAGGAAGAATATGATTCTACGAATATGTAGGATATTTATTCGAAAAACAAATTTTTTGATACATTGACATTTAGGCATGCACAAGTGTTCTGCTTGTGGCCCAACCAGCTAATAATCCATAATTGATTTGCAGACTTCGTGTTGGAGCTGTAGCAAAGGGATCAGAAGAAATATGTAAACTAAGAAGTGTGAGTGTATTATGTCACTTCATGCATGTGTGAATTTGTGTGGTATAATTAAGGAAAATGTGTTCAAACTTACTGGGAATGCTTATTACGCCCTCTATGTAATAATAAGTGTTACAGGGTGTTATAATTGCAGCAAGATATCTCATATACATTGTTTGGAGTAATATAATTAAGAGAATGCAAGCATAAATTCAAATCCAGTTATATGCTTTAATCTCAGATGAGAGGCACACTATTTCTCTCTCAACTGATATGGCATAACATATCATTATCTCCTACACAAAAGAACTTCCATAGAAAATCCACCATAAAGGAAGAGCGGCTATCTATCTAAAATTTCATGCAATAAAAACCTATGCCAGGGTAATAGCCTGTATCACTTTTTTGCAACAATACTCGAAAAAATCAATAACATCCGAGCCAAACCTGGTATGGACCTTCCGCAATAGTGAACATTGAACTAAAGTGGTGGACATTCTGCAAGAAGAACACCCCCTGTTTCCATCCTCCATGACTGGTCGACCAAGGCCGCTAACTCTCTGCAGAAAGGTTCATACAAAAAATGAGAGAAGAAAATGCACTAGCAGTTAGTGGTAAAGGGAGATATTGGATACATGGCTTTTGTGAGAGATTTAAATTGAGACAGGCCATGATGAATACATGGGAAAAAAAAAGATTCCCGGAAAGGTTTGTACTTTGTATAGCAAAATTCTTAACAGCTATTTGCGCAGGGAAAGCGCTGATTCAATGTCCATACCTTAGGTCATGACTTACAACAAGTAAAGTCAGTTCCTTCTTAAGGTGCTTCAAGAGCTTTGCAACATCTGCACGTGCTTTCCAATCTGTTTGCAGAACAAAATCAATGATGAAATAGTACGAGAAAACTTTCATGATTTTCATGCAAAAGAAAAGAAACGCAGAGCATATGCAGAGAGAACGCTAAAGAAAAAAAACATCTTCTGTAAAGAATAAGAAGCAGAAAACCCTGGGAGAGAAGGACATCAAGCAACTGTTTCTCCAACAGGATAGGAAAACTCAAGAATTAGAAGACGCAGGATGCAAAATCATACCAAGACCAGCGAGGGGCTCATCCAGTATCAGTAAATCTGGAGTTTGCACCTACAAAAGGCAAGATTATTTAGAACAGGTCAGACTTTGGAATACGTCAGAAATCTTTGTTCTCACCAATTGAATAGCTAGTGCAAGCCGACGTTTGTAGCCTCCACTTAGTAACTGAGGATCTTTATCAAGTGGGATGCTGTCTAATCCAACCTAACGTTTCAAGAAGAAAGCTACTATAAGATAGATCGGTGGACATAATATAACCACTGTCCGAACCAGGAGGAGTAGGATACCCAATTAAATGCTCTCTGGAGATTTGAAGTCAGTTGCTCCTTGAGCTGCAGACAACCTTTTTGCCTTGGCCAACCAAAAGTAATTTCATCAAGCACATTATCTGCAACAAAGAATCTTGCCACAACCAAAAAAAACACATCAGCAGTTTCTTGTCACTTAAAAAGCAGCACCAAACCTGAAAAGATATATATAAAAAAAAAAAAAAAAGGAAGAAGATAATAATGACTATTACCTCTCTGGAAATTGGAAAACAATGCCCACTTTTTCAGTGGGCAGTAACTCAGGAACCGCCTTAGGCTGGCCATCATCCCCATATCTTTGGATACAAATGGAACCTGATGTTGGTTTGTTTAGCCCAGCAAGAAGCTGCAGAAGAGAAGAACATAAACCAAAAAACTCAAAGAACAATGCCGGAGAGCTGTGTATGATATAAAAGAGCTAATGAAACAACGAACCTGCAAAAGGGTAGTTTTACCACTCCCACTCTTGCCAAAAATCAAGCCAAAGCTGCAAAAAGGATTTAACTCTTTAGTAGACATGATTATGCCTCAATAAAACGTTTCATAGAATGAACTTAAAATGCTTGCAAAAAAAGGACTACCTTTTCTCACGCAGGGAAAAATTAACACCATTTAAGATATTCAATTGTGTTCCCGGAGGACGGTAGCAGACATCCCTAACCTTGAAAATAAATGTAAGGCACCAATCATTTAGAAAGTTGTATCGACGACATTCACTCAAATTGGAAACCTACCTCGATGCAAGAATAATCGCAAGAGATTCCTCGACGCTTCTTCATCCTCCGAAATCTCAACCTGTCACCGAAACAAACAAACAAAAAACGTGAGCAATCAAGTAATGAAGAATACAAGGAGAGAGAAAGATTACGGAGCTCGTGAGGAAGTAGAGTACGGTTGCTTCCAGCCAATTGCGGCGGAGGAGAATGATGCTGGTGGTTCAGCGATGCCGGAGACAGGCGTGGGGCTCGAAAACGTCGACACTGCCATTTTCAATTGTATGAGCTTCTTCGCCAATTTCTCGAACAAGGAAGTTAAAAATCGGAATCTCTGGAAAGAATTCCCCGGAATTTTTCAAATTCCTAGTGAAAAGTGATATAATGTAAAAAGATAAAAATGCCTATCGGAAAATCAGAATCTCCGGTGAGTTTATTAAATCGTTAGGGATGAATAGATTGGGCCTTAATTGGGCTTTTTCTTTTTACAACAATTTTCCTTAACGATTTGGAATGTTTGGTTTAGTTCAAGAGCTGAAAATTACTGTTTGGTTTAGTTCAAGAGCTGAATATTACTATGTCAAATTGTCAATTAAAATTGATATAAAAGAACAATACCTTGTGAAAACTATGTAATTGCAAAAGAAGATCGAGATTATATTATTGTGCTTTCACTTCCAAGAATGCTTAAACGTTAAGAGGTGAGATTGAGACCAAAAAAAACCCTTTAAACATAAAACCAAAACTCTCTCAGCTAAAAATAGTTAAGTAAGACAATGGTGTTGAAACCAAAGTCATAAATCCGACTCTAACAAAGACCTTTCGTGTATATTTAGAGGCACACTAATCCTTCTCTTTTGGAATGTCCTTCTTCGGAACCTTTGTCTCTATTTCCTTTGGTTTTATGGACTCCGCTGCCCTGAAAAAACCGCACCAAACTCATCAGTCACACACACACAAAAAAAACTTGCTTTGTGCTGCTACAGATCTATCACCAACATTGATCACTCGCAGAGTTATACCCACCCAAACCACATAATCGATCTTTTCTGTTCTCTCTAAGCTACCAAATCTCAGTGATCCTTGAATAAAACTGATGACCACAATAGAAACTACAACAAAATCGTTTCAACTATCTCTAAAATCTCCACAAATAACATTGTATCTTTGGTTCGATACTAGGATACCAATTCAATCAAAAAAGAATTAGAGAATCAAATTTTCTTATATAAGTGGTTAACTCTCTATAATTCCAATTACTTTGAACCTAGCAGCTGCAGATAATTGACATATGATCAAAATATCACAAGTGGAAGAGAAAAAATCGGTAAATAGAAGACTAAACCAGTTTACGAAATCAAATCACCTAACCAAACACCTTCGTGAAAGGGGAAATCAAAAGGAATCATGAGAGAGAGAGAAGACTAACTTGGAGGAGGCGGCGGAGGATTCTTCTTCGAGCCAGTGGCGGATGTGCTTGACGTTACGCCTTAAGACGGTGACAGATTGCTTCACGTCGCTCCTCAATAGCATCACCACGGCGCCTACTCCGGCTACCGTCAATATGAAATTCGTCAAACCCATTGCTCCGATTAAAGATCCGCTAAATCAGATTTTTCCCAGATTGAAATACTTCTCGGTGGAAGCTAGGGATTTAAAGAGGGCTTATGTTTTTTTACTTGGAGAAGCAGCTAAGGCTGATGATTCGTTTATCGTGCGTGATTCACTGTCTCATTACCCCTTCTTTATGGGCCGTCGTTATCCATATTATATGGGCTCTTTAAGATTCTTTAAAGCCCACTCACCTCCACAATTTGATCCCAAGGTAACATGACATGGCCACGCAGAGTTTTTTCATGTTGACACAATTTTTTCTTATTTTTTTCTTTTTTTTATTACAAATTTAATGTACAGTGTAGTAAACTTACATATCTTTGACCAAGCAAGGTCGAATTTTAGACTGATCATCAAGATCAGTGAAATAGACGGGTATTTGTTTTTATACGTTTTATGCAAGCGTAGATGAGATCAACCATCATTGGTTTAATAAACCTGATGAAGTCTTTGACCACAAAATAAAACTGGTGAAGTTGTAGTACACTTTAACGTGACGATAGCTAGTTCTGATTGAGTGCAAGTTTGAGTCGAGAGATACTAAATTGATTAAATTATATCCTTGAAGATATATCAACGTATATCTTCACATGTAGTTTTCATTAGCAACTCTATCAATTGATTATATTCACATGTTGTTTTCATTAGCAACTCTATCATCGATATTAAAGTCAATCCCATATCCGTTAATATTATTTAACTTTATCTAATTAGAGTCTTCAATGATTTTACTATATGTCCGTATTAATATTCTTACATTGCAGTCTACAAATAGGAATAGTCGATCTCATCTGCTTTATATATCAATGATGGTTCATATATATAAGAAATGATATAATTAGAAGCAGCAAAACAATAAAGAAAAAGGATTCATTGTACGTAACAAGTACTTAAATGGTAATCATAAATCAAAGCTTATCAAAAACAATAACAAAAAAAAAAAAAAAGGTTAAGGGATACAAGCAGCTCGCGAGAGGGACAAAACAAAACAATTAAATGTTAAATTAATTAGGCAACGTAGATGTGGATATGAAGAGCGATAAGAGAGATTGTAATGCACGCAAAGAAGACAAGGGTGTGGATGACAATGGCTGCGCCGCTTGTCTGAAAACCGCCAAACTCAACCACTTTGGTCTTCCCCGGAAGCTGAAACAATACTCCCGGCGTCAACACGATGAACAGAACCACCGACATTAAGACTGTCCCCAATTCAACGCCATTTCAATATAAAGAATCAATCGTATATAATGTAAAATCGACGAGAGTTTATTATAGGAGCTAGGTAGTGTGTACGTTTTTATGCATCCATGTATGTACTTTTATAGAATGCTTGAATTGATATGGAGGATCTTAATGAAATAGTGGCTTGAACCGGACGAAAATAGGAAGTTTGCAAGGTGAAGGAAAGAAAGATTCCCCTGCAGCTAATCGATTGTATCAAAACTATATATTATAATATTGTCACACTATGTATTGATTGTTGGGTATGCTAAGAATCTGATTCTTTTCTCGAAAACATTTGTTCTCCCTCAGCCCCTCTTGTCTTTTTTTTTGCTATAAGAGACATTTGCCTTTTTCTAGTTTTTGTTAGGAGAGACATTTGGCCTTTGAGAGTCTGTCTCTTTATTCAATAAATCCATAATAAGTAGATATATGTCTAGTAAGTTATTTTCAATAAAAGTAGCGGTTACTCCCGACTTATTTGAATACAATATCAAATGGATAAGTTGATCGAATGATTAGGAAACGACATCATGTGCCAAAAACAAAGATGATAAAATCATTTGCTGTCCATATATATAAATCTAAAACTTATCCATATCCGAGTCAAGCCGCTCACATCTTTATTTTATTATTTAAGTTAAACGCATGTTTTATTTGATTTGTTGATACGAACATTGTCTTTAATAGCATGTTGGTCTACTATATAAAATCTTTACATATAATTCTCGCATATAAAGATACGGGAAAACGACTCTTCACCCAATTCTTGCTTGATTTTCCAAATGCAAATCCTTGATGATAAGAAAACGTATAACCAAGCAAACCAATCATATTCATCAATTGATTTAATGCCAAAAAGTAAAACAGTGTCTTATGCTATGTTGCAAAGAACACATGCATGCAAGTTGCGTTCATAGTGGCAAACAAATATATATATATATATATATATATATATATGTTTGCAAGTTGTGTATTATTTTTAAATTATATATATACACTATTTTTTCTACAAACTAAGTTTTTTATATTTTCTAACATTCATAACCCCACTGCAAGAGGTTGGATTGAGCCTTAACGACAGGTCACGGTGGAACCAACCAACACAGTAGTAACAGCTCTCGTCGATTATAAAGTAAATTTTCTCGACTATAAACTCAACATTTTATATAGAACACGCAATAAAAAACCTTTTTGGTTATAGAAAATAAACTTAGAACGGAACATTTTATAGATCGACTTCATCATCTCTGTATTCTTTTGATTGGATTCTTCTTTTAGTGAAAAGATGTGTCCCTTTATTAAATATAGCAAATAAATACAGCTAATTGTATATTATAAAATTGTATTGGAAGTGATTTATTAGACATTTTCCTTCAATCCCATTTTATAATTATTTTTTGTTTCTTTTTATTATATGTTTTGCAAATTTATATATAAAATCTAAATACATTAAATATTTTGTGATATATATTATGCAATATTTTCTATGATTGGTTGAATTGTTTAAAATATTAAAAAATATTTTGTAAATTTTAATATATGTTATTTAGCTTAAAAATATTATAAATGAAATCGATAAATAATTGTGATAAGATTAAATGATATTTTTTTATCTCGTTTAATTTCTTACGTCATCCAATTTCCGTCAGAACTGTGATAAGATTCCATTCAACTAGTTGGTACCAACAATCATGACATGAAGTATTGCTTTCGAGGATATTCACTAATGTTAGCTTTCGTGTATAATAACTCTTTAACCAATTCAACGTGCATGTATTATACATGATGTATATATTAGTTGGTAAGAAAATTAGCAGACTATTCCACGTACTACCAAGATTAGTATGTGTTTTAGCCGGCTTATATAAAATAAAAGCAGACTATTCCACGTACTATACCAATGTATAGTATGATAAATATACATTGCATTGTTGTTTATATTTTCCTTAGAAAAAATACGAAGATATTATATAATTTGCTAGTATTGATATTGTTGGTCCAGCAAAGACAAATTTAAATCTAGTTAACGATAATGTTGAGTAGCTCGTATGGGATAATCAACCTTAATTAATTAAAAGACTGAAAGTAGACCAATGCAAGATGACAGGCACGCCATTTAAAAAGATGGCAGGCACGCACAGGGCTTTGAAGAACAGTGACCAATCTCACAACGATCCTATGTTGACTACTCATAATTATCATCGAGCCTTTTGTTCTACAATTTGTACACGTCTACCTTACTAAAATCCACGTTTTTCTTTCTTCTTCTTTTTTTTCTTTCTTCCTTACTAAAATCCACTTATAAGTTATAACTAAATTTTGATCATATTAAATTTACTGTAAATTAACAAACTAAACAGTAACCAGTAATCACATTTCTATAATAGTAACTATTCACAGATTGGTTTAATCTTTTCTATGTCTTGTCCTTTTTTGTCCAATTTAAAACCATAAAGAGGATAAAATCGTGTCAAAGACAGACACACGGATATTCAAAAAGGGAAAAAAAAAAACTTTCTTTCTTTTTCAAGACCACAAATTTCGCCGATCGTGTTTTGATCCGATTCCTCCCAGATTCTCCCGGTGGCGGAGAGAAGAAATAAAGGAAACCCAGAAAGCATTATTCTCAATGGCGTCGACTACACGAGAAAAGTTTGTGTCTTTCATAAACAACAGATGGCTCGTCTTCGTGGCTGCCATGTGGATACAGTCTTGTGCTGGCATCGGTTATTTGTTCGGAAGCATTTCTCCGGTTATCAAAAGCTCCTTAAACTATAACCAGAAGGAGCTTGCCAGACTTGGAGTCGCTAAGGATCTCGGTGATAGTGTCGGATTCATCGCCGGGACTCTCTCGGAGATCTTGCCTCTTTGGGCCGCTCTTCTTGTTGGCGCCGTTCAAAACCTCATCGGTTACGGATGGGTTTGGCTTATCGTCACCGGCCGTGCCCCGATTCTGCCTCTATGGGCTGTGAGTATTTAAATCATCTGTCTTTTTGATTTCTCGGTTGGAAAAATCTGCATGTGGTCCTTCAGATTCATCTCTTTATATTTTATTAGGCCAATGTTTTTGGGTACTGAGAAAAATTTGGAGACTTTCTATTTCAATCTGCTTTCAAAGAATCTCTGAGAAAGTTTACTTTTAAGGTTGTTTGTTTACTAATACGTCGCTGTCAATTCTATGACAAATCCCACTTTTTTTTCCTCTTAATCTCTTGTTCTGCTTTTGTTGAAATCGTTCTGTTTCTGAGGAAATTGTTGGCATTTCTTATGATAATGTAGTAGATTGGCTTGTTTACTGGGAAAAGTGTTAAGAATTAGTATATTGTATGCTGACAGAGCCTCTTTTTGTATGTTTAATTCTCTCTTTTGTTTTCAGATGTGTGTTCTCATATTCGTTGGGAACAATGGAGAAACCTACTTCAATACTGGAGCATTAGTCTCTGGTGTTCAAAACTTTCCCAAGAGCCGTGGTCCAGTGGTGGGTATTCTCAAGGGGTTTGCTGGGCTAGGTGGCGCGATCATCTCTCAGATATATACAATGATCCACTCATCTAACCCGGCTTCTCTCATTCTCATGGTCGCTGTTACGCCTGCAGTTGTCGTTGTTTGCCTCATGTTCTTCATCAGACCCGTTGGTGGTCACAAGCAGATCCGTCCCTCCGATGGAGCCAGCTTTACTTTCATCTACGGTATCTGCCTTCTACTCGCTGCCTATCTCATGGCCGTTATGCTTATTCAAGATTTGGTCGTCGTTAGCCACAACGTCATCACCGTGTTCACCATTGTGTTGTTTGTCATTCTTGTTGTTCCAATCTTGGTTCCAATCATGACAGTTTCTTCACGGAGACAAACGAGCCTGATGACACAATAGAAGAGCCTCTTGTCCCAAAAAGGGAAGGCCAAGAACCAGGAATGCAGACCCCTGACCTAATCTTGAGTGAAGTGGAAGATGAGAAGCCAAAGATGTAGATTTGCTTCCTGCATCAGAGAGACATAAGAGAATTGCGCATTTGCAAGCACAGCTAATGCAGCAGCTGCAGAAGGGGCGGTTCGGGTGAAGAGACGGAGAGGTCCGCACAGAGGGGGAAGATTTCACTCTAACGCAGGCAATGGTGAAAGCCGACTTCTGGCTCATATTCTTCTCCTTGCTGCTCGGTTCTGGTTCGGGTTTGACAGTAATTGACAATCTTGGTCAGATGAGTCAGTCTCTTGGTTTTGATAACACTCACGTGCTTGTGTCTATGATTAGCATTTGGAACTTTCTTGGACGCATTGCGGCGGTTATTTCTCCGAGCTCGTTGTCAGGTTTTGATATCGCGGAAAGCCAAAAAATATAGTCATATGATTTGTGAATTTCATCTCTGCTTTTGTGCTCTGTTCTTATCTTGATTTGAATGATGTGCAGGGACTATGCGTATCCAAGACCGTAGCAATGGCTGTGGCTCAGCTAATAAGTCTGTGGGACACATTTTCTGTGCGTACGATGGCCCGGAGCGATGTACATTGGCACGCTGTTGATTGGACTCGGATACGGTGCCCCACTGGGCTATTGTCCCAGCTACTGCCTCTGAGCTCTTTGGTCTGAAGAAGTTTGGAGCTTTATACAATTTCCTGACACTGGCAAACCCGGCTGGATCCCTCGTGTTCTCGGGTATGATTGCGAGTAGCATCTATGCCGAGAAGCAGAACGGCAAGCTCACGGCTCCGTGTTTGATCCAGATGACGCCCTTAGATGCAACGGTTCTATCTGTTTTCTTCTTGACATCACTCATAATGTCCTGGATTCTGCATCATCGCTTGCATCTTGAGTATGATTCTTGTGCGTCGTACCAAGTCCGTTTACACTCCTCTATGGCAAGACCCGCACCTAAGATCTCTGTTTCCCTTATAAATGATCGTGCTCAGCTCTTATTCTTTGGTTTTTGTCTTCGATTATCCGATCCAGATGTTTTCGTCTCTGTATCGATTTTTTTGTTTGTTTCAGTATCGATTTTGTTGTTGTTATTGTCAATTTTGTATTGATTTGTACGTTTTTTGTATTCATATCCGCGGCAAAAATCTTACACAAAGATCTTTAGATACTCCATATATAAAATAAATTTCAGTGAGCTTGATTTTGAAATAATGTTTTGGAATCTGAGTATCCTGAATTATAGCTTAAAACACTACAATTCGAGAAGTTCCATTGTGGATTATGAAATATAGCAAAAGCTTAAATCAAAAGCTCAGAATTTATATGTTTTATGTTTTAAAAATCTCTTCAATAAAGCTAATTAAAAGCAGAGCAATCCCTTCGTATCTCTCCTTCGTTCCCAACCTTAACCCCAACGCGGCCAAGATTCCTCATAGCAGAGCTAAAAGCGCCATAGAATTCTTCGGCGTTGGTAGCAAACCTAACCACCGTAGCCTGAGACGAGAGATCGTTAAACAGAGCTTGATCGGAGGTGAGAAGGCCTCTTCGAGCCACAAGGTTCTGGAAGTAGCTATTGTCGAAGGTATCTCTGGTGGTTGGGTCCAGGGGTACGACGAAGTCAGGATCGGGGTTAGAGCAGTCTTTTGTCAGCTGCTGTGCGTAGGCCGGGTCGATCGTAGGGTCCACGGGCATGAACGTCGAGAAGTTGTGGAGACGGTTGGCGAAACGGTTGCAGTGAGAGGATCCAATGGTATGTGCGCCTGAGAGAGCAATCATGTCGGTCAATGAAAGCCCGTTACTAGCAAAGATCTGGACTAGACCTCTCACGTCAAGCCCTGGTTCAGGTAACTTCCCGGTCACTCTAGATGCTTTCGACACGAGCCCGTCTCGTCTACCTAGTTCCACCTTAAACTCTGGCCCTCCAACCTGTTATCATCACAGAGTAAATGGTTTTTACTTGGGGAAATCAAATGAAACGTCAGTAACGGGATGCGTGGCGTGGACTTACGCTGACGACAACGTCTCTGGCGGCGAGAGCTCTATCGGCACATGACACAACGCCGGGACATTGAGATTCTACAGCGGTTTTAGCTTTAATCACAGTGTCAAATCCGTCTCGGGGAGAGATTTATTGTCCGGCGCGTCTTTCTCTGCGTCTTCATTGTCAGATGCTATAAACCAGACGCATCACATCCCTGTAAAATCCAACCAAGATTATTCACAAATACCAAAAGGACTCCATAAACGTAAAAAAATCTACACAAACCTCCGTTGTTTGCACTACCTCGACGAAGCAGTCGTGAAAGAACATCCGTAACGTTGCCGGAGCCGTAGTGAGAGTTTGTTGGAATTTGTAGTAACCGCCTGCTTAACGATGAGCTCGACGTTAGGACATGTCGAGGCGTAGTATTCTCCGACAGTTGGGCATTTGACTCGGCCACCATGGAAAACAACCCAGCATCCCCAAAAACCACATCATCATGGGTTTTGTTGCATCATCCCTACGAGTATTCATCTTGGTATATATATTTTCTCCTTTTTCTTTGTGTTCTTTAGACTCTTCTCTTGATACAGTCCACTCTTGCAATATATAGGACCCACCAATCTTTTTTGACCCTCCGATATGCACCGCATTTATCTATAGCCGCTGGATCTAATCTATAGTATCTTTGGTTTTTTTTTTTGTTAAGAAAAAAGTATTTGATGATTAAAATCTAATCACATTCACGGTGAATGCCAGACTTTTACAACTAGGATTTCTCAATTTTACTTAAGGGGCTACACATTTCTTGAGTTAGGGGGTTTAACTGATAATGACATTTTAACAAACCTCATTAAGTCAGTCATCTGCATGGAAATTTTTTTCAAGATTTTAAAATATTTTTGTGTTGATGAAACGTATAAAATATAATAATAGATTGTCGTTAAACACAAAATAGATAAATTAAATTCAAAAGATGAGTTTGAAAATTAGTCTTTGTCCATCCTAATATGATAATGAATTTGACTGATCCATGAATTCAGCGGATACCTGTTCTAATTTAGTTCATCAACTTTAGCTCAACGGTTCTTCTATTGTAGCCGAAATTCAAATTTAACATTTAATATTACCCAATTTGGTTATTTGCTAACACAGATTCTTTTGGTATAATAGTATAACTTTATCATATCACAGGACTAGTTCTCCTTTGATGATAATAGAAACTAATAAGCAAATATTCAAATTGCTGATGGTTAAAGTGTTATTTTCTACAAAAGAATCAAATAATGTAGTGAGAAGATTTCTAGATCATTTCAATTTCAACCACAAATTAGAAAATATTTATAAGCTCATTGCAGGTGACCGATATTAATACAATTAGCACGTGTACAAACTACAAACTGACAAACACATTAGAGCTTAACCAAATACTTTGATATATAGAAAGGTTTTTAATTTAACTATCACCACCAGAAAGTTGATACAAAAAAAAAAAAATATATCACTACCAGAAGATTGTTGCATTGGACAATTCAATCTGCATGATTTAGAAAATGTTTGGATCCTATTATATGACAATAATACATGTTGATGAAGGAAAAAAAGCTATATAGTATATCTATCTAGTAATAAGAAATGATTACTTATTATTCATATTCGAGATGGAAAACTAATAAATTCAACATAAAAACATTTTGATATCTGATTAAAGAAAAAAAAATCGCTTTTTTTTTCTCATTTTTTTAATCAACGTACTGATAGAAACGTTGATTAACTCTTATTTATTTTTTTTTTGATCAAAGACTTATTTATTTTAAAAAAATGAACTTCGTTTCGTAGCCGTGGGCCTGATATGGGCCGAATCTAAGTGGATACGATATAGTCCGGGAAGATCCAGTTAACAAACCGGAGCGGAGGAAGTGTTCAGTTGGATGCTCATTTCATGTTGTGAGAGAGACAAACGAAAATTTGAATTTCTTCTTGCTTTGTTCAGCTCCGGAGGCGATGGCTATGGGTATGGCGGTAGACACGGTAGGCGAGTTAGGCTTTCCGTATTGGAATCCAATCCGACGAGATTTTTCCCGATTCGCCTTTCTTTGCATCTGGAAATGTCGAGCGAGAGCTACTTGCTAAACAGGTACTTCTTCTGGAATCTGAATCGGTCGAATCTGATGTAATGTTGTTCTTAGGGAGTAAATAATATGCATGATCAATTTTACAATCAAAGAGTCTTTCGGTTTCTACTCTAGGACACTCGTTAATGGCCCGCTTGATGCTTTATGATGATGATGTTCGTATTATTAGCTCAAATAGTTCTGAGACTTTTAAGGTCGAATTGTTACTTTCGATCTGTTTGGTTAGCGGATTTTTTCAATTGGAAGAAGTCTTGTAATTAGGTTTTGGATAAAACGATGTTTCAGTCTCATTCTCCATGAAGTTATATGATGTTTTGACTAATCGTTTGTAAGTATTAATGTATTATGCTGTAGATTGTTTATCATCTACAAATATTTATGCAAGCAAGAGTTGAGTTCTAACGGAGGATTTTAATATACAGGTGGCATGGACTTAACAGAAGATGAAATCAACCCATCTGCAGAAATTTCGTGGAAAACTGAAAGCAGGTTATATATACTTTGTCACTTATGAGCTATTGGCTGTGATTTTTTTCCGTTAGCAATGTAAAAAAATAATCAAACTATGGCAATGGATATAATTTGCAGATTAGATTATTCTTAACGGAGAGTTAGTGTTTGTTTCTTGGTTTTCATTGTGTTATTCTCGTGATTGGTGGACTGAAGCTAATAATGAACCTTTTTTTTCCTTGGTGAATCTGGTTTGGTGTCATTTATCCTATCTCTGATTGTTTACTGTGCAGTTCACATATGTGTTGGTAGTGCGTGTAAGATATCTAGCAAATAGCAACCAAATGGCCATGAATTGAAATCACTGTTATGTTAGTTTTCTTTCAATATCCACCTTTAAGTGGCAACCAGTAACATGGCATTGTGTCACTGATCAAATTTATGTAGACTAGTTTCAATTCCAACTTTGGTTCACAATTTCTATGAAATTTGATGATCATGAGCTTGACTATTTTGAGCAGAAGAATCTCGTGTCCCATTGTTGGCTGCCCTGAGCGCCTGAAATCTTTGGACCATTTTGAAGATCACTATAATGCCGGCACACTGCGTCTTGTTCAGTATGCTCAAGGGTCTACCCTACTTCTCGCTTACTAAGTATTCATATATCCGAAGCACAGACTCTTTCTTTCAAGCTAAAGTTGCTCGGGGTTATGACATGGTATGCACTATTTACTCTTTATCTCTTTGTGCAACTATTAAGTGCGTTTTGATGCAGAGCTCTACTGTTAGGCTAACAGTGTTAGCTAGTGACTGTGATACCGCTCCTGTCATTGTTTTACATGGATTTCTTTAAAGTTCACCTGCGATCATGCTGATTCTTCCTTCTTTCTGCTCTCGTGAACATACTTATGCAGTACGAGTGCCTCGTGGAAGGGTGTGGATTGAAGTTCAAGAGCTACAAAGCCCGGCATCGACACTAATTGACAAACACAAGTTCCCATCGACATTTGAGTTCTTCAAGAAGACCCACTCTCAAAGAAACGAAGAGAGAAACTTCAAAGGCAACATGTACCAAGGCTTAAACATGAAGATGACAAAGAAGCTGCTTCGTCAGATGCCATGGAAGTGGAAGACAAATCCAGCGTAGACGGTCTTGTTTCAGCACTGTCCACGCTAACTACCTCAGACACAACTCCTTCGAATGTCAGCTTCGGTCGACGCCATGGTCGTGGGCTGACCTTTGTTCCACGGTCTGTTCATAAGGAGAAACGGACCGAATCTTCGTCTGCACCAGGGCCAACGAATTAGTCATGGTCTTATATAGTTCCTCCTAGTCTGCGGTAAGATAATGAAGAAGAAAATTATGTACCAACACTGTTAGCTGCCGAGTCCTTTTGACGAATGCACTTGAGTAACAAACGATCAAACGTTATTGGTTTTAGTAATAAGTAAAATTCGAGCAACCGATTATTTTGCGTGGAATCAAAAGTTCAGAACATCAAAAAAAAAAAAAAAAAAACTCACGCGAGCCTATATGTTAGGCCTAACATAAATCAGTTTATTATTTAAAAAGGCCTAGAAGATTTTCTTAAACAATTAACAATACATCATCAATATTAATACTAAAATACTTATTACGATCGGAATAATAAGAATGCCCTATTTTAAATATAGATAAAATAAATTAAATAAAGATATTGATCATTATTTAAAAATAATCATTTCTAATGTTAGGCGTAAAGCGTTGTGGATTCAATCGACGACGACTTTCCGGTCTTCTGGTTTGGAGCTATGCAACATCGGAGAATGATGTTAATTTATAGAGGTTTTATTGTACTGATATACATATGTTCGACTTTTTCGTTTATTCAAATTAAAAAAAATTGGAGCGAAGGGCCTCTGCTTTTCACAGTCCAGGTTAGGCCCAGTTTCGACATTTAATAGCCCAGCGTGTAGTATCTCTTATAAAACCCGACCCGGTCATTGACCCGCCCGTCTCCAGCAATCCCGCACTCTAAACCGCCGTTTATAATGTTTGTGGTTAAACCGAAACCGCTGGTCCGGTTAGCCACCAAATCCGCCTCCGAAGGTCTGTATTTATCGATCATAACGTCATGGGATGACGAGGCAGAGTCCCAAACCATCTTATGGTTAATCTTGAAATACATGCATGAGAAGAGGAATTAATTCATGGAAGCAGAGTGTCAAAAGTCTTATACACATGAAAGCCTCTATGCACTTTACTTTACTTAACGACCTTTTTTATTTGCCAAGTCCAAGATGAGTTTTATCTAATGACGATTATGGATTAATATTAGATTAATCTAAATAAAATTTATTATTCTGAAAAAAAAACATGGTGGCAGCCAGTGGCGGATCCAGAAAAATAGTCTACCTGGGGCACAAATAATATATAGATAATATTAAAATTTTTGAAAATATTATATCTATTAGTTTCTAAATATAGTTAATTATATATTAAATATATTTTTTAAAACATCATTTTAATATTAACTAAAGTAAATTTAAATTTACGTATCTTACATTAACAATATTACATGGATTTAGACTCTAAATATTAAATAAACTACAAAAAATTAATAATCTTCATTCATTTACTAATTTTACTGAAAATAATAATAAAAATGTAGGTATTAGTTTTTTTTTTACTAGACAAACATGTCTTAAAATTTGTTAGGTAAATTGAAATTAGAAAGATAACAATGGAATTGAAAGAACATACATAGTTTTATTTAAAAGGAATAAAGAAAATGCAGTGAATCAATTAAAAAAAAATGCAGGAAGATGCTAAAAAAGAACGTGGGATGTGGCAAAGAAATGAGAAATAGTTAAAAAAACAAACCAAAAATTTGAAAAGAGGAGAATCGAAATCTATTCCTGAAGAGAAGCATGGGGCACTCAAAGCCAACTGAGCTAGGAAATTATTACATGTAATGAACAATTGATAACTCTTAATAATTAGTATGGGGCACGTGCCCCACCTTATGATGCTGTAGATCCGCCCCTGGTGGCAGCTTCGCTAAACATGCTGAAACCTGCCATTTTCGCTTATTCCATAAACACCACTTTTAGTAACTTTTACTTGTTTTTGTAGAAAATAGTGGATCTAATTATCGAACGTGTTTGATTCTCATATAACGAGCTAGATAGTGATTTTGAGCTTTAGCTGATCATAGTCTAGATTTTGTCCTCGTTCTCTAAAACCAATGAGACCAGAGATGAAGTGATTTCATAATCACTTATTGTAAGTAGCTAGTAACCTTGAACTGAATCCCGTTAAAACTGTTTTCGACGTTTGATTTGTTTGTTACGCTGCCATATATGGATATGTCAATTTGGTTGATTCCCTTTCATTGTCTGGTTTTAGATGCTTGAGTTGCACGCTAACATGGATAATGAAACTATATCTGAAATCTGTATCATATCTTCAATTTTGTTTATTAGCACGATGACATACGATAAATCGTATATAATTCGAAATTAAAATAAATAATCTAATTATACGACAATTAAGTTTTAAAAATAGAAAATTATAAACACAATGATATTTTTTTTTTGATAAGTCGATGATGAGAAGAGAAATTAAAATAAAAAAATTGAAGCGATTTCTGTTTGTAAAATGTGAGCGATTTCTCTTTGTAATTTGTTTTTCTATTGTTGATTTCATAATTATATATGTATAACTGAACTAGATTAGGACCTTAATACACTAATTTACATTTGTATTAAATTTTGTTGTAAGTAAAATCTATCATTAATAAGTAAATAGTGGAATTTTTAGTTAGAGAAAAAGTTGTTTATATATTCGTTTTTACCTTAATATACTAATTTACATCTGTTTACAAATCTACTATTTACTTTACCACTAAAAATGTGTTTGTACACCCAAATATATTTGACCGTTAAAGTATGCTATTTACCACCACCTACAAATTGTCTCTATAAACACATAAACTAACTATATGTTTCTTTACTTTCACTTTTGCATTATTGTTTTTTGAATCACTAAAATTGTTGAGTAAAAAAAATAAGTAAATTTTCGATAATTCAATGATGAAAAGAGAAATTAAAATAAACAATTTAAAATACTACATGAACAATTGACGACAAAAATACACAATTAAGTAAAAAATTATTACAAAAAGGCATAAACATATTGATCTCACATATTTCTAACAAAAAAATAAAAATAAAGTAAAAAATGACAAAGAGGCAAAAACATTTATTGATCTCACATATTCGTAACTGATAAAGAAATTCAAATTGATAGAGTTGACACGTGTCGCGATCATATGAATTGGTGATATTGAAAATCAACCTTTATAGTTATTGTAATTGTACTTGTAATTCTTTTCATTTTACGATTAGTAATTTACTATATTATTTTATGAATCAATTATGAATTTGCATATTTTTTGGAGTGACATTTAAAGATTTGCCATTTTTGCTAAAATCTTATGGATATATTATTTTTCAGGCTATAAAAATATAATTTAACATGTGATTTGTTTTTGATCAATTTCCGGTGAATGAAAAAGACGGGAAAAACTGAAAAGATGAAGAGAAATCAGGTTTGTTTTTGATCATTTTCCGGTTCTCTTTGTTTTTGATCGTCTGAGAGTGCAGAGGAAGAGAAAGTTGTTGTGTCTGAGACTCCCCTTGTCCCCTATGGATCGTCTAAGAGTGAAGAGGAAGAGATAGTTATTGTGTCACTTCTCTTGTCCCCTATGGTCTTATAATTCTTTCTACTCTGTGGTAAAAAAATGATGATAAAAATTATCTTTATTTGTACAAACTTTGTTAGCTGCTAGTCTTTTGACGAATGCACTTGAGTAACAAACGATCTAAATTTGGTACTTTTAGTAATTAAGTAAAATCCGAGCAACAGTTTTACGCTGAATTAAAAGTTCAAAACATCCAAAAAAAAAAAAATATCTCACGTGATGTGACTTATTAAAACTGCGTCCCGTTTCTCATTTTCGTAGCTAAACGTCGCACCGTTTTATGGTACGTTAGACGGCAAGCTTTTTGCTGGACCAAGCTTGCTGCGTCAGGCATTAAGGACACTGCCATGAGTTACAGCATTGTCGGGGAAAAAGAAGCTCCAAAAATTGAAAACGCAATTAAAGTCCAACAGCTTCCATTCAGGGATCCTGCAATCTAGGGTTCGTCTTTCTGGTAAGTGGTAAGAATTACTTAGCTAATTTTCTTAAACCTAGTTTTCAATTTTAGTTCGTTACCTTCCTTGTACAGATTGCTTGTGTGGACTCTGTTTTTCTTTTGGTTTTAGATCTTAGTGCTTTTGCTCTGAACTGTAGTGTTGTTCACATTGGTAATCCTGAAATTGTTTGTAGTGTTGTTCACATTGATTATAAAATGTATGAATCAGTAACTCGTGGAACTTGTTATTATGGAAAAATCCAAAATCTTTAGGATTGGTTGGTGAAGTGTTTTTTTTTTACTGTATGGTAGGTGTCTCTGTCAAACCAAAGCTTTAGGAGATGGAAAGCATGCGCAGCTTTTGGCAGCTAGGAGATGAGCTTCGAGGACAATCGAAAGCTTCAGAGGATCAGAAGTGGTTCATGGCTGCATCTAAACTAGCTGACCAGACTAGATCCAAGGGTGAACGTTCGAATAATCTTGATCTATCAAAGGGTCTAGTTGAAACAAGGCCAAGGGAGAAATTTGGGTTTCAAGAGGAGAACAAGTTTGAGACTTTTAACTTCAACATGATGAACTCGGAGCTCAAGTTCAATGCTGTCTATGATTTTAATGTTATTGGCCAGAAACACCTTAGTGGGGGCAAATTTAGCTACAATCAGTTCACCAACAGAGAAGGCAACAACTTTAGCAGCACTCATAACAATGACTCTATGAATGTTGCTGCAGACAAAAGGTTTAAGACCTTACCTGCCTCGGAGTGCCTCCCAAAGAGTGAAGTGCTCGGAGGTTATATCTTTGTTTGTAACAATGACACAATGCTAGAAGATCTGAAGCACCAGCTCTTTGGTATTCATTTTATCTTCGAGTTTGCCCATTTAATGGTTAAATTTTCTTTTTTCTCATATGTATTTATGTCTATTACTGTCACTTTTGTGCTTTTCAGGTTTGCCACCGAGATACAGGGACTCGGTTAGGACGATAACACCTGGCCTGCCTCTGTTTCTCTACAACTACACAACTCATCAGTTGCATGGAATTTTCGAGGTTTTTTCTTCAGTACTATGATTTTCAATGGTGTTCATGTCTTACTCTATGACTCCATGATTGTTGTATCTCTGTGTTTTGCACAGGCAACAACCTTTGGAGGTTCAAACATTGACCCTACTGCTTGGGAGGACAAGAAATGCAGAGGAGAATCCAGATTTCCTGCACAGGTTCCTTTTATCTTCTCCCATGTGGATTCTGTCTTTCATCTTTTTTTCAAGAATTGATTCACTCACCCCAAATGGTGATTAACTACATAATAGGTGAGAATTCGTGTAAGGAAACTGTACAAAGCTTTGGAAGAGGATGCTTTCAGGCCGGTTTTGCACCACTATGATGGTCCCAAGTTTCGACTCGAGCTCACCATCCCTGAGGTATGCAAATCACTCGATACAGGCCGTTATTGTCCCGCTCACTTTAGCTTGTACTAATCAAGTTGTTGATGACACAGACACTGGCTCTGCTGGATCTCTGTGAACAAGCAGGTTCTCCCTAAGCTCAAAGCCCCTGCGGATCCCATTTACATCGGGGACTTAGTGTCTGATTATTCCAAGGCTTCAAGTGTGTATTTGTATGTGTGCTTTCTACATAAAAGTAGAATATAAAAGTCTCACAACAAAATAAAAGATTCATGTGTAACGAATGTGTTCATATATATAATCATGAAACTAGAATGATGATCACATCTCCTTGCAAAAATATCTTCTTTATGACCTCTCTCCCAAACAGTTTCAATCAGAGAACTGCAACATACAACAAAGCAAAAATAAGTAGCAGCCATGTGGGTTTTACTGAGGCTGTTCCACCAAGAGGATGTACCATCACTTCATCAATCACAGGACCACAAACAACATCCTCTTTTGTCATTGTAACCGAGTAGCTGGTGAAACTTATCTGTGTTGCATCTCTGTCTGCTTCAAACACTAACCCAAACTTCTCACCAGAGCCAGTCCCATTACTTTCCAATGTGAAGTTTTGAGTTGCGGAGCCAGCTTGAGCACCCACCACGAAATGACCTCTGCAAGCATCGTTAGCATCTCCTAAGGTAAATGTGAGGTTGTATTTTGAACCTTCACTTGTGCCTTTTGTTGCTGTCTGTATGCCAGATGGAGCTGTATCAGACAGAATTTCTATTGCAGCTTTGCCTTCTGGGACATGGAAGTGCTCCGAGTCTATGTATCTGACTGTTCCTATAACAGACCACTGCTTTAATGGTGATTGAATCAGGCTTGGCACCGCGTCAATTAGAACTCCATCGGTTGAGTTGGGCAAGAAACCCGGTCCAGATTCAAATCCACCATTGATTAAGAGGTTACCTACACCAACAAAATCAGAATTATGAGCCTAAGCAGCTAGATTCACAAGATATCAACTTATGTAAACCAGATCTGCTTTCATCATGTTCCATACTGAGCTATGAGTTCAGCATTAGCACTCTCGGAAGCAGAAAAGAAGCAGAAGGGATAAGAAGAAGTAACTTACCACTGTCTTGGACCAATGTTACACCAACAGTCTTGATAAGCAATGTGTCAATGATAGGCCAACAGGTGGAGTTTGTATCAGAATCAGAATCAGAATCAGAATCAGAATCTATTGCCTGGCTTTCAAGAACTAAGTTAATAGGCTGACCATTCCCCCAACTACCCAAGTTATGACTGTAGCTCTGCCATGAAACCTTACTGTAGTTTTGTCGATAAGAAAAAACCGCATTACTGTCTGGCCCCGAGACACTGAGACCAGCAGAGCTTGAACAGTTCTGGCCTGCACTGCTCAACGCGAATGTGAGGATGTAGTTCAAATCATCACCTTTGGCAATGAATGTTTGATTGATCTTGCCATCTTCACCGAGCTGAACCGCATGTCCGGTATCAGGCAGTTCAACATAAAGCACTGTCCCTTGGAATGTCCATCCAGGGAGTGTACTGTTCTGATCCAGCGACACAGAGCTAGCATTTGAGTTTGTAGTTACGTTTAATGGTGGAGATTCAAAGTCTGGATTTTCCAGAAAATCTGCATATCAAAATGTACAAACTTTAGTTAACCAATGTCAATGATCAAGATTTGAGTTCTGAAGATGAAAAGAAGGAATATATTAATAAGCATTTGAGATTCCAATGTACCTGAAGAGGCGCAACAGGAAACGAGAAGCAACAGGAAAACTCTCTGAAACCATATCGCCATTTTGCTTCAGACTAGAAAGAAAACTTTGAACGTCAACGCTTCTTGGATCCAGTGATTGTGTCTTAATTAGTAAATTGTTTAACAAGAAGAATGATGCTGTAACATGTTAGCATAAAGTTGACCATTTATTGAATATACTAATAATTCTCTTTCGCCTTTGTGGACTTGTCTTTTAGTTGTGCACAAATGACAAGACTAAACACACAGAGGGTTTGAAGCCAAGGCCATCATCCCACTTAAGATAAGCAAGGAGCCAAGGACGTAGGGTGCTTCTTCCTTAAAGTAGAACTGTGTCGTTTTGGATCTGGTTCTAGTGTTAGTACATTTCAGGAAACAAAAGGTAGTTGAACCTAACTCTTAACTCAGTCTTAGTGGTGTACTGACCAAAATTTTGCTTTTAACCAGTCTTGAAGATATATATATATATATATATATATATACATTGCATAATCGCAAAAATCAAGCTAAGTCACGAAATGAAATAACCTACTAAATACTTGTGGAAATACCAAAAGAATTTTGCCATATATATTACTTTGTCCAACGTATATACCGTATTTTTTTTTTTCGTCACCAACGTATATACCGTATATGATTACTACGTATCAAAAACAAATCCTGATTGAATTTGGAATTTGATTTGGTTTAGTTTGCCTCGTCATAAGTGCCTTTAGAAAACAAAAGACTGCAGTTTGTGACGACTTTTAGATATGGCTTTGGTTCATAAACGTCAATCCCTCAATTCTAGGGGTAGGGATTGGTCGGAGCTTCCTGAGGATGTGATCAGATTGGTTCTGGGACGGCTGAGGCTCTCAGATTTTCATCGAGCTAGGGCTGTTTGTTCCGCTTGGTATAGGGTTTGGGGAGAATGTGTTCCCAAACCTAATCAGGTTCCGTGGCTGATTCTGTTCCCTGATCCAGCACAATGCAGACGCAGTTGCATGTTGTACAATCCACAGGAAGAAGAAAACGTTTACACAATTCAAGACCTTGGTGTGGATCCTTGCCTTGCAAGTTGCGGCACCTGGCTCCTAATGTCGGACCCTCGGTTAAATCTATACCTTGTGAATGTGCTAAATTTGGAGAGGATTAACCTAGTAGCTATCGAGTCTCAACGTGACCAGCTCTTTTCAGCACTCGTACTCGACAGAAAAGGTCATTTTGCAAGCAAAGCCGAGATGATGGGGTACCCTAGTACTGATAAGGCAGTTGTGTGGATAGACGAGAAAACTAAAGACTACGTAGTTGCTTGCAGCTGGGGTGGAGACAAGCATGCAGCCTTTTGCAAGAAAGGCGATTGTGAATGGCGCCCGATTCCTCCTTTGTTGGGGTGTAGTGATATTGCCCTCAAGGACCACAAACTTTACATTTACTATGAGGATGGTAGCATCGGAATCTCGGATTTGAAGTTTGTAACAAAAACTGCTCATGTTCAGCTCTATCCCTTTCGCTTCCGCTTGGGATCATTAAGCCCTTATGAAACAATTTGGGCAGACTATCTTGACTGGAAGACCAACATAGTAATCACCATCTCTGGAGATTTTTTGATGGTTGGCAGCTTTCTTAAACGTCGTGACCTTTCCTGGCTTTTTCGCGTCTACAAGTTCAACTCAGCCAACAACGAGTGGGAAGAAACTGTTTCACTCGGCGACCAGGCCGTGATCTTGGATCTAGGTATCACCGTGCAAGCATCCTCCGATATCCAAGGTATTACCAGAAACTCCATCTATTTCAGCGGCCTTCCATCTAGCCAAAAGGATGTCTTCGTCTTCAATCTCTCCTCCCAGAAGGTTCAACGCCTTTCATCTTCTTCTGTCTCCTCCAGACCATTCTCTAATGCTCGCTGGCTCTTCCCCACTTCTTAGTTCACAATGATACTATTTCCAAACATTTTCGTTTTTGTTCAATAAGTGTGTTTTTTTTTTTAATAATCCCAATGTTATTTTCCTTTTGCTAATAAAAACACAACTTAACCATTAAAGCAAAGGCTACAAAACAAAGCTAATTATATAAAGTAGTCATGTTTCAACATACACAAGATTACAGATACACTAGTTCACTTTTAAACCAGACTGATCTCAACAATATCTTCTACTAAAAATGCTCAAACAGATGAAGAGACTTGTATCGTCAAGAAACTCACCAACTCCCTGGCCCATCGTTCCCAGCTGCTGGCCTCCGGTTCAAGTAACGTATAACTGCATCTTCGACCCTGCAAACATTTTACCCCAAATTATGATTCAGAAACATTTTACAACTCTAATACATATCATCTGTGCGAATAAAGGCCAGAGTAGCAGAGTCTAGATGATTAGCTTACCAAGGTTGGTTGAAGAAGTCTGATCGACGTTCTCTCTCAGCATTTCGACTGGCTTCTCCCGCAACGACCTTTAGATCCTTGCTCTGAGATTCAATCAGGGCGTTTATGAATTCAACTGGCGATTGGCTGAACCCCAAGAAAAATGCCCGCCTCCTCCTATGCTCATGGATTTTCCTTATGGCTGCACATATTGCTTCATCACAAGCCTCAATCTCTTTGTTCTTCTCTGCGTTGGCTAGCAAATTGTTCAGATCCCTTTGGATCGGGAAAGGTACGTCCACTAGCACATCATAACATGCCGATACGGCCGGATTATTTCCTGAGAGCTTGATTTTGTGTTCCAAGTGTATCGGTGGTGGAGGCGACAAGTGATGAGATATTTTCTGAGAGACCATAGTGAATTTCAACTTTTCTTCCCCAAAAACTTTCTGAAGTGCAGCATCACAGTTGAAGAAAGAGGGGTCATTTGGGTTCTGCAGTTTCCTCGCCTTAACGTAATGCCAAATTGCAGCGATGATTCTTGGGCGGGTTTCAACCTCAATCCCGAGAACATCCATCAATGCAGTAGAAAGCTTGAACTTTTCAGGGACGTAGTTCATCTCCAACCGTATACTAGCTGCAAACTCCTGATTCCCTTTCCTCTTTATCTCAAACCCTTCCTGAGGAGCAGGTGACCGAGCATTCTCCCAGATGATCAATGGGTTCTCAGGATACAGCCTCTGATCCAGGGAAACTGTAACCCTTTTGAAGAAAGACGAGAATTTGGGATGCAATGGGTTTGCTTTCTGAACAAACCCTGGCTGGTCGGGATCCACCCCATCTTCCAGTATCCTACCAATAATTTTAAGAGTCCATGTTGGCGGGTCAGCATTAGGATTCCCAGGGATCGTGTTGTTTTGGTTAGCAAACGAGTTGAAAACGTAGATCCTAAGAGTCTTCTGTATGCAGGGAGGGTTTTTAAGGGCTTCCTGGATGTCAACTTTCTTTCTAGTTAACGCAGCATCGACCCGAGACTCAAACTCCAGAAGTTGTGTGTATAAGGCAGACTCTGGCAAGATTGCTGCCACCCGCTCCTGCAATGACTTCTCTGGAAGCTTCTGTTTCTTTTTCCGAGCAGCAGGAGTTAACTCCATTGTTCTCATGGGGGAGATAGTGTTATTACTCGCAGGAGCACCAGGAGGTCGCATAGGCGGTTTCTGCTGGAACCTCTTCATGTTTAAACTTCCAGGAGTTGTCAAAGAAGGCGAAGAAGGACCCAACCCACCAATCCCAGGGGAACCTTGTGCTTGATTCATAGTCATGCCTTGAGCTTGTAACTGAGCTTGCAGTTGTGCTTGAACTTTAGACTGTGCTTGAGCATGAGCTAGGGCCTGAGCTTGTGAGAACTGAAACTGAGCTTGAAAGTTAGCTGCCATTTGAGACTGAGCAAAGCCTTGGTTTCCAGGAACAGATGCAGAGGCCATCCCCGGATTCCCAAAAGGCGAAGGTGCAGAGCCTTGAGGCTTTTGTGGATTGTTGTTGTTACCCGACATTGCTATATAAACCTATCAGCCTGAAAAATTCAGAAAAATAAAAAAAGAACACTCTTGAAAAATAAACTTCCATTACACCTAAGGTATCATAAGATATCTAAGAAATATGAAGAAATTCAGATGAATGCAGATCGGTTAGCTAGAGAAATCGAAGCCTCAAAACCCTAATTTTCTAAGATTGCTACACAGTTCAATTGAATAGGATAAAAATACTCCAAAGAGAAAGAAAGACTGCAAATGCGAACGAAGAACTCGATTGGAGAACTTTTGAAAAATACTAGTAAGTGGCCATTAAAAGATCTGGAATTCATAAAATCCTAAGAGATATAAAAACAGAGAACCCAGAGCCTATACACCATAAAGATCGAGAGTTTCTTACAAAAAGACGAAGATTCGTAGCCACGTATCCTTCTTCTGAATCTCCTTCTCTCAGGATTTCACCGGTGTTCAGCTGCTTCTCAGTTGTCGAGACTCGAGAGAGAAAACAAATGCCCACCGGAGCTCTCTCTTTTACTGACCGGGTTAAGACCCGACCCGTATTTTTTAAAGCCCACACTTAGTTATATGAAACTGGCCCAACTTTTTAATCCACGTTTTTCTTGTCAACTTTGAGTTTTTTTTCTTTCCATATTTGAGTATTTGACAACAAAATTAGAAAGAAATTCTGTTTTACTATAGTTTTCGGGTTTTTTTTCAAATACTAATTTATAGTTTAAATTTATCTGCAATTTCATATCTTTTTTAGATATGCTTTTCTTGGGATGATCGAATTTATTACCGCATACTCTTTACAATATCATCCGTTTTTCTTAAAATATTTGTTTGACATCTAGTTTATAATTTGTTTATAACTAAAACTAGGGTAAATAAGATACTGGTTGCCCCATTTTTTTAGACAAAAAATGAACAAAGTAAATTAAATAAAGGGATTATTAGACTAGTAGTAGTAGCATCAATAACTTTTTTTGTTAATTTTATTTTGCCCATTTTGTTTGGGGGAAAACAATTGAAGAAGATGGGCACATGCAATTACATAAACTAATGATATGGTAATATAATCAAGCTTGTCGTTTGAAAAAGGTAGCAACTTGGTTATAAACAACGTCTTTGGCAGTAACACCCATGATGAAATCAGCATGAGCATAATCTTTCACAAACTGCACATTTATCTTATCGATGTCGTGATACTTAAACTGGTCAAGGAGAAACTCGACGTCTTTCACATCGGCCAGGCTATCTAAACCACCGTAGCTGAAGAAAAGCGGAAGGTCGTGTGGGATCGCCGATATGTTGTAAGCCGGTGGTATCGCTTGACCGTAGTATTTTATGTTGTGATCACTACTTCCATAGTTGTATTTTCTCAACTCCTTGTCTCTTACCGCTATAAAGAAATATATTGAACAATATAAGATTTGTAAAATATCAAAAAAAAAAAAGAAGGGAATTTGTTTCACTTACTTTGAGCAAGGTGGATCATGTTCTTGGTGGAAGTAGATTGAGGTTCGTTCGCAAGGAACAGATCAATGGTTGATGCGTTAAGGCAACAATTCTTTCCTATATTTTTGTAAAATTGCGTTAATTAATATATATATATATGTGTAATTTAATTATCAATGGTAGATTTTGTGAACTTTTATTAGTTGTAGCATTACCGGTGATAACAGAGAGTAAATCATAACAGTCGATCCCCGCTTTAAGGCATATGGCCTTTATAAAACCCCCTACTAATCCACTGCCAATGTCGTTTAATTATTTTAGGTAATGAAATAAACCAATTTATTTTTAGAAAAAAAGGGTAAAGATTTACCTTTTGGGGTTAAACTCTGCCCATCCAAGAATGGACGTGGCCTATTTTTGAAAGACGATAAACAAGTTATTTTCATAAACATAGGCACATATTTGTATAAAAATAAAAAGGGATTAAAAGGAAGAAGCTAGGGACCTCGGCGAGGAATGATTTGGCGGCGATATTGCCGATGACGGTGGTCATGTGGCTGAGATAAGCAACGGGACTCAACATCGCCGCCGATCTCACTTTATCCACCAACCCTTTTTCCGAGAACGACGCAAATCCTATTAACGTCCCCTGATATTTTCCATTTCATTTTTCATTCTATTATGGGAAGTTTACTATATGAAAAGAACAGAGAAAAAGTATGTTGATAAGGTTGGACCTACCAAAGAGTGTCCGAGGTAGTGAATCTTTTGGCCTGTTAGGCCGTGGATATGGTCAAACATAGCAGGCAGATCGTAACTCACAAGCTCGTCCCACGACCAGTTCCAGAAAGCCTACGTCCACAACGTGCCAACGATGGTAAATATCAGTTTATTTTGTAAAGATTGCGTAATCTACTGGTTAAAACAGTGGTTAACTGAACCAGACCCGTTGAGATGGGTCAAGGTACTTGTGTCTTCTGCTGAATCTAGTCCCTCTTGTGTTCCCCATCCACACATCGAATCCTTGATCCGCCAAAATCAACGGCAGATTTTGATCCGCTGGATTCAACAGCCATGACATCCCATCCTGCACATTTAACTCATGATTTGATTATCGTAGCTAATGACTAATGAGTAAGTATAATATATAGTTTAAGCTATATATGTTTGAGTAAAGTAAACCATAAGAAATAAAAGACTATTTGTCTATTTTGTCAAAATGTTCAGAAGAGACAGTGTACGATTCTGCATACGTACGACTGTCGTCTCTTTCCACATGAAACTTAAAACATAAGGTAAGTCATAAAGTAATTTCTTTCTTGCAGGCTGATGAAAATAGTACTGATCTCATCAAGTTTTGTACGTATGCACTTTATCGATAATTTTTAAGAATTCGATGAGTACTAGAGTCGACACGGTTACCATATAATATCACTAACGTACGGTACAACAATTCTCCCATACCAGAAAAGCTGTTTATGAATTGAGTTTATTTTAATTAACTTTCTAGTAACGCTCAATTTATCACTTTATTTGTTGTTGGACACACATGTTTAACACTCATGCTGTCTCTTTATTTAATGTTTTAATTTTACCCACCACTAAGATACACACCTATTCTTTATAATATCAAAAAAAGATACACAATTATTAATCTAATCTTACTTCTAAGTTCAAACTCGCACCTACGATATAAAGATAAATATACCATATACATGTACATACTTTTTTTTTTTTTTACATGTACATACTTTTTTTTTTTTTTTTTTTGGTAAAAGGTTAAATTACATGTACATACTTGTTGATGAGGCATGCACTGGAATTAAGTATACACGTTTGATTTTGGCCCACGTATATATGTCTATATATAGATGTAAATCATCTTGAAATAAACGTATGCACATATACTCCATTTGTATAACTTGTGAAAACGGGTATAAAGTTTTCACCTAATAATAATGTCCCTTTCCACTTTTCTCTTACTTTCAAAAGTATATATAATGGAAAACAGCTTCAATGTAGTAATCATATTTTGAGTGCGTTGCAGTTTAATTACATCTATATATACATTAGTAATATAAATTTTGTAGTTTGGATGTATTACATGTTGAAACAAAGTTTGATATTGTCACAGTAATTATCAGCACATAAAAGTAGCGTGTGTGTGTACATACATACACAAGTTAATTGACGGGTAATGCGATGCAAAAGGGTAAAGAAGAGTAAAACTTACGACAAGAATTCCATGTTGTATTAGGACAGGTTGTCTCTTTCCACCATCTCCGGCGCCGGTGCCGGTTCGTCCTTCCGGTATCCTTTGCATATTCAATATGTACCCATCTTGAGTCACCACCTTCATAATATATCAATTCAAGTAACACCTTTACCAGTTAATATATCAATGAGTAATCATCACTAATAGCTATATATTAAAAAAAAATGTCGTACATCATGTTCTTCGCACTTGTAGCCATATATGTGAACAGAAGAAGCACATATGCCGCCGGAAGCAGTCCTCTGCGGTGGCTTTCCGGCAAGCCTGCCGAAGGTTCCACGAGCTTCGAGGGGCTTGAGGGAAAGAGCAAAGAAGATTAAGACACATAAGGCTAAACCGATTGAAACGGACGGAACCATAACCGAACCGGCCATTGAGACGGGGTGACACGTCCTCGGAAAGTGAAAGGGTTTTTATATAGAGAGGGGGTGACGGATAAGATAATAGAAATCGAGTTAGCTATTTATAAAAATAAAAAACCACGTTATCTATGGATAGACAGATTTTTTTTTTTAAAACAATTGATGGTGTGTAAACATAAATCAAAGATTTGAATCATGCACAGAAAAAAGATAATACATTTATGAATAGTTTCTACAAGTGGTGAATCATGTACTGACCATCGATACTACATTTATTATATATAGTTTCTATAAGTGGTGAATCACTGATCATGCCATGATTTCTAATTTTTTTTCAGAGAGCAAGGCTATGATAAACATTTAGAATAATATGTGGAACTGAAATGAATTGAAAATAATCTTCAAAAGTACTTCCATATTTATATATATATATATATATATATCTCATGATAAGAAAAGTACTTCCATATTTTAAATGTTTTTAAAAATACTAAAGGAAATATACATCCCATTGCCTTACTCTAGAAAAGCTGACTATTATGTATTAAAAAAACAATATCTATGATTGTATATTTGTATTGATTACAGCCTAGATATATAAACACACAAAAATTAATGGAGAGAATTACATATCCTACTACATCCACTTATTAATTTAATGAGTGAATAATAATAAAAAAGCAATCTAAACAAAATTAAAGAAAAGATACAGAAATGTTAAATCTCTGAGATCTCTAATACTCATAAGCAAGGAAAACATATCACATAAATGTTGTAATAATATTAGTTTTGTCTTAGTTGTGAATGATAAAAAATAAAAAGATAGGACGAAAGAAGAAACTGTTAAAGGCGATTGAAGATGCTGTAGGGACTGATAAATGGACTATGACATCAGTTTCCGTTACTTTGTTTTTTTCTCAAACTCATACCAAAAAAATACATTACTTTCTACATCGGTTTGCTTTCGTTTCACACCCTGCATGCACAGTGTACGGTAGTCAAAAATACAAAACAAAATATACCTCGAGACATGCTAAATCTGGATAATATTAATAATTTCGGGTACACAATGTTCCAAATATAGTTTCTAGACAAAAGTCTTGCTTTCATATTTTGTATCCACATTTCAACACTAACATCCCTATCCCCTATGAAGTATGAACACACCTTTTATGATACGTATCATATTCAGAAAACATCAAAATTTGGTCATAACTCTCGCGTGGTGGTGGACTTCACTTGCCTCGTCTTTCGATTCTATCGTTTGCAAATATTTAAGATATATACTATTTGGGCTTAATTTAGGTACTTTAGTAAATTGTTTTTGTGTTAAAAACAGTGCGTGTTCATCCCTGGACGAACAAGATTACATAGGAGAATTGCCAGCCTCGTGGGATTAGTCCTTGGGCCTAGGAAGCCTTTGGGAGACCCGCGGTTATTCAAAAAAAAAAAAAAAGAATATCCGATCATAGTCAGCCATTGTTCTACTACGTATTAACTTTCAAGAAAACAACCGTTATCTACTTGTAATTCTATGGGCTATAAGAGTGGCCCAATAATGTTGCGACTTTAATTGGGCCAAGGTTTGGTAAACGCCCAATTGCAGTGGCTCTTCTTCAGTTCGTAGTAGTATTCTAAACAAGCAAAGCAATGGCATGTATTCGTAATAATCGTTGAAGAGAAAGGGACCTTGCTATAATAATACTTCAACACTTAAGCTGGTGAGCCATTTTTTAGGTAAAAAGGATTTGTTTAAGCCATTTTTAAAAAGAAAACTTTGAGGGCTTAATTTTGCAAATTAAAAAAAACGTGCACACCTACCTATCGAAGTACCAAAAACTTTATGTTATATAACAAGTGTGACACTCACTCGTCATAATTTCAAAATTCCTAACTCCAAAAAAAATGGCGGCGTTTTTGCAAATGAACATCCGTCTGAATTCGATCAAGATCGTCCCGGGAAGATACAGTTCTCTCACCGATCATCAGTTTCGTGCGCCGTATCGAATAAGGTGCGCCGCGGCTTCACCCGGGAAAAAACGGTATAATATCGCTCTGCTTCCCGGCGACGGTATAGGTCCAGAAGTTATCTCTGTTGCTAAGAATGTGCTGCAGAAAGCTGGATCTCTCGAAGGTTCTTTCTCTTTCTCAATGTTATCTTATTGTCGTCTTTGATTTTGTTTTTGCTGCTTGGAACTTGTTTGCAAATATTTGAGTTCTTGCTTTTGTACCACAGGACTGGAGTTTGATTTCCAGGAGATGCCTGTCGGAGGAGCAGCCTTGGATTTGGTCGGAGTTCCAATGCCTGAGGAAACTTTCACGGCTGCAAAACAATCTGATGCCATTCTTCTTGGAGCTATTGGAGGGTATGTGTGTGTCTTGTTACTTCAGCAATCTGCTTCCAAATTTGTTCTCTTTTTGAGTGTTTGGATGATTCTTGTTCAGGTACAAATGGGACAAGAATGAGAAACACCTGAGACCTGAGATGGCTCTGTTTTACCTTCGAAGAGATCTCAAAGTCTTTGCTAATTTGAGACCTGCTACAGTTTTGCCACAGGTATATATCTTCGGTTTTCATCTGCTTAGCATTTGGATTTTGCTTGTAGTTGTAAATAAACTCAAATTTTCTGTTTTGCTTGTTCAGCTAATTGATGCTTCCACGTTGAAGAAAGAAGTAGCAGAAGGTGTTGATATGATGATTGTAAGGGAGCTCACAGGAGGTATTTACTTTGGAGAGCCAAGAGGTATTAAGATCAATGAAAATGGCGAAGAAGTCGGCATTAGTACAGAGATCTATGCTGCTCACGAGGTACTAAATCTTCACAATCTGCTCTATGACAATATTAGCTAGATATGTATCATGTATGTGTATTAATGCATTGCTTATGTTCTTCAGATCGACAGAATTGCTCGTGTTGCATTCGAGACTGCTAGGAAAAGGCGTGGCAAGCTGTGTTCTGTCGACAAAGCCAATGTGTTGGATGTACGTTTGATCAGTTCTTGAAATCTTTTTCTAGTATTTGTGGGTTTCTCGTAATGCAAATTTGTTATCATGTAGGCATCAATATTGTGGAGGAAAAGAGTAACAGCTTTAGCCTCTGAATATCCTGATGTTGAACTATCACATATGTATGTCGATAATGCTGCAATGCAGCTTATCCGTGACCCAAAACAGGTGCTCTTCGCGCTTATGTAAAACTTAGCCGTTGATTAAACTAACACAGAAGTGGAAGTAGTACTCATGGCGTTTTTAAAACATTGCAGTTTGACACAATCGTCACCAATAACATTTTCGGTGATATATTGTCTGATGAAGCTTCAATGATCACTGGGAGCATTGGAATGCTTCCATCTGCTAGTCTCGGTGAATCGGTAAACAAAATTAGTCAACATCTTTCAAGGTTCCTCCTGTTTATTAACTCATGTGGATTGTTAAACTTGTGATGAAATCAGGGACCTGGACTCTTTGAACCTATTCATGGTTCAGCACCAGATATAGCTGGACAAGACAAAGCAAACCCATTGGCCACCATTCTCAGCGCGGCGATGCTTCTGAAGTATGGACTTGGAGAAGAAAAGGCTGCAAAGAGGATTGAAGACGCGGTCGTGGATGCTCTTAACAAAGGGTTCAGAACCGGAGACATCTACTCCCCCGGAAATGTATGTCTATGATTATTTCTGTGATTTGTTTTGTAGAAGTTAGTAACCATATACTTAAAAGTCTTGTGTTTTGAAAATGCAGAAACTGGTGGGCTGCAAGGAAATGGGTGAGGAGGTTCTCAAATCAGTGGAATCCAAAGTTCCAGCTACTGTCTAAGTTTATTGATGATTTGAAGCACTGAAAAAAGTGTGTAGCCCTTGGTTCTACGGTTACTTATATGCTAACCATGTACTCGAAACCGTAGTATTCTAGCTTTTATAATAAATAAAACTTGGTATGGATTCTGCAATTCAAAGACAAGATTCTCCAAGAACATTTGACATGTCTCCTGCCTCACTTACCTTGTTCTTGAAGATTAGAAGTTCTCTCCAACTACAAACTATCAATTTTTGTTTAGCGAAATAAGTTTCAAGAGAAGACAAGAAACTATGATTTTTAGTCGCAAGAGTCTTACATTTTTATACTGAAAAACCAAACTTATAAAACTTTACATTTAAAAAACCCGAAAAAACTATCAATCATTAGGTTAGCCTTTGGACTCACGACGACGTATCAGATTTGCGTTCAGCGTCTGCAGCAGACTGCATTTGAGCTGCATACTGTAAGTTCCAGAGAACATCTTCAAAGGAAGGTCTTGCTGACGGTTCAAGCAAAACGCATTTGTTGGCGATTGAGATCGCAATCGATAAAGATTCCTGCGAGCTTGTTGTTAGGACTGTTGGACTTACAATTTTCTGCCGACCGTCTTGGCTCCCAAATGATGTCTGCAAACACAACATTGCAGCAACAGCCATTAACCAACTTTGTTTCAATCAAATGACAATAGTGATGCTTTTTTTGTTCTTTTTATTACCATTTCATTGAGAAGAAAAGCCTCTCCTTTTGTAGTGGGCACTGGTCCTATCAGAGATTCCAGAAGTATGAATCCGAAGTTGTACACATCGTCCTCTCTTTTAGCCATTTTCCTGCACAAACCCAAAGTTTGAATTAGATTCTCATAAATGCCATGGAGTTTTGCAATAGAAGGGCAAAAGATAAATACTTTGACTTGTGGGTTTCTGACTTTGTCTGCAAAATGTAGAAGCAGAAGCATATTAGAGTCTTGACTTACTATCAAAGAAGCGAAAACAAAAAATTGGAGATAAACAAAGAGTGAAAGAGAGCAAAAAGAGCAAACCTCGAGCTTTTCGTTCTCTTCAATGATGGCAGAGACTCCGTAGTCACTGAGCTTTGCAATCTTATGTTCGTCAAGCAAAATGTTGTTCGTCTTCAGATGATTGTTGAATGAACCAGGCATTACACCAGTGTGAAGAAAATGAACTGCCTTTGCTATCTCAATCAGAATTGCTAGCCGATCTGGCCATGTCAGGATCTTCTCCGAGAAAGATTCTACAAATAAACAATATTCCAACAACATTGAGTTTTCAAATACAGAGGACTCGGTATAACATTTAGTTTACTACACATGCTAATCTGACCTGATAGATGTGTGCGATAGCTCCCGTTGGGCATATACTCGTATACAAGGTAGAGTATGGTTGCAACAGGATCGTGTTCTCCGCTGGTTTGAGTGCAATGGCCCAAGAAGCTAAGGAGATGAGGATGGTTGAGCTTTGACATCCAATCCAAGTGACCTCTGATACTCTGGCTGGAGAATTTCCTTGATAAAACCAGACATCTGATAGCTATGGAACTTCCATTTTCCAGTGTTCCTCTGTATAGCTGCGAAGAATCAAAACTAGCAGAGTAAAGCAAATGACTGATGGCAGATCACAAAAATTAATATTGCGTAAGGCATACCATACCTTTCCAAGGGAGCCTTCACCTAAGAAACGTGATGAATCAAAATCGTCTGTGGCTTCCTTTAACTCTTCAAAAGAAAATGACCGGCATGAGGGCACACCTTGTGCTCCTAGCTTTGCTGTTTGAGAGATTAACCCTGCAAGACGAAATCGTACAAGGATATTAAATTCCTGAAAGACAATTGCTAGCAAGCAGGAGTCTACAATTTCAGTCAAAATTACTCACTTGCACTAGCAAGAACTTCAGAGGAGAGACTGGTGTGTGAATTATCTGTCACAACCTTAAGCCGAGTTTGCGGCACTGACTTTTCTCTTGAACAACAGCAAGAGCAGCGGTTTGTGCATAACAGGAGTATTACTAATACAAAAAACACAAGAACGAGAACACCTCCACCAATTACAGCAATCAAAATCCCAACCTTTCTTCCTTGGAACTGTTTTCCCTCATTTTCAGCCTCTTCACATAAGAACTCTTGATGCTGATCATGACTGCCAATTATGGACAAGCAGTTTCCACCGAGTTTAACAACTCGCTCGCCGGAAGCTCCTGCCAAGCAACGGGGAGGAGTCCCAATTAATCTGTTATTCGACAAATCCACAAATCCAAGTTTGCCTCCACAGGTCAGATTAAGTGGTAGCTTCCCACTGAGCTTGTTAGATGCCAAGTCTAAGTAACTAATGTTTGGCAAAGAGAACAAGAACCGAGATGGAGTTCCAGTGAGATGATTGAACGACAAATCAAGATGCTGAAGCTGAGACAAAGCGCCAAAACGTCTGGGAATTTCGCCAGAGAAGGAGTTCTTACTCAGTAGAACAGTAACTAATCTTATAGGCATCACAGGTAGTTCAGAATCCAAGTGGTTTTCTCTCAGATCCAGCATATGCAGATGACTTAACTTGCTAAGATCAGGCAATTTACCAGAAATCTCATTGTGTGATAGAGCAAGATTTGTTAGTCTTCCAATTCTGCAAATTGAAGAAGGAAATGGACCTTTGAACCGATTGTTCTTTAAACTAAGAACAGTAAGATTGGTCAAGGAATCCAACGTGTCAGGAACACTGCCGTTGAAGTAATTTCCATCAAGCATCAGACTTTGAAGCATAACCAATCTTGAAATATCAGGAGGGACAGAACCAAACAGATAATTCGAACTCAAATCCAAGTACTCAAGAGAATTCAACCGATGGATTTTCCCTGGGAACTCACCATAGATACCTAGAGACACTAAGCTAAGAACCCTCAAGCTTGTAAGCCTTGTCAATGTGGTAACAAAAGAATCAATTAAGAATGCTTCAGACAGAGTGTGATTTGGAAGTGAAGACCCATCAAACATACCAAATGGTTTAAAAAGCTTGTCCCCCATAACTTTAAGCTCCGTGATGGAATTACCTTGACAGGTGATGCTCATATGAGCAGTTGCAGGGATTTGACATAAGTCTCCATAGTAATTTCCCCAAGATTCCAGAGCTTTAGGGAATTCCAGATGCTTCCTGAGCTGATACAGGACCTGAGTCTGAGAGTTTTGAAGTTGATGGGTGCTTTGTAAGAACATCATAACCCATGAAAGAAAGAGCAAAGGTAAGACCTTTGAATGTTCCATTGCAAGAGAAACGAATATAAAACAGCAGAATTAAAACAGAACCCTAGAATTAGAAGCAGACTTGAATTCTGAGAGGAAACTGAAAGAGACCCATCTAGATTTTTTTCTAGTCAACTCAAGTCAAACCAAGCTCGTGATCCCAGACGCTCCGTTGGAGCAAACTCCAAGGAAATGAATTGGTTTATAATCAAAACTCTGAAAAGAGGTCAGGAAGCAAAAAAAAGCAAAAGAAGAAGAGAGTGAGGACAAATGCAGAAATCGTGGAGGAGAATGTCGGTATTCTTTTGTGTGTGTGTCGGATTCAACACATAGACGAGAAAGAAACTGGGGAAGCTAGAGAAGAAGATGATAAGAGCATTAATGACAAAAGAGTTGAGCAGCATTAATGGCGGGTTCTGTAATTATGTGAGTAAAATTGAGAAAAAGAAGAGATTTCAAAGAATCTTTTTTCTTCTTCTTCTTCTTCTTCTTCTTCTTCTTCTCTTTATGATAGAAACAGTAAATTTAGAATGTGGGTCACCAAAAACAATCATAAAGCAAAAAATGTGCACTCAATTTGATGAATGGTTGTTCCTTTTTATGACCAATTGTCTGGAAAATCTCTTTTTCCTGTAAAATAATGAAAGTTGAATTGGTAATGGATAAAGTATATGATTATTGATTTGTTTATTAGTGTATGCAAAATGCAATTTGTGACTTTTGTTGACTCATAGAAGATGCCGTTAACACATGTCTCTTCTTCTTCTTTTCTTCCTCACTTTGTTTATAAGATTTAAACATTGGTTTATGTGTGTGATTAGATTCCATGTCTTGTTAATTCACCAAACTGCCCTTCTACGATACCAAAAGGAAGCTTTTGCTCTACGAATACGAAACATTGTCCGGTACAAGTAGCTTTCGTTGAAGGACAAAATATGGCAATCCCAACCATACATTATAAATTTATAATACATATAGTTTCATCAACCTAAAACACAAATCCACAATGTTTAGATTGTAGCATATATTTTTCTGAGACACAAATGTCTATCAGACTATAGTCTAGACTTGTGGCATATGAGGGCAAGTATGTCTTTTCCTCGCAGGCAAAGGTGGTGATTATGCTTTGTTAAAGTTTTAAGGCCCGCATTACATGTCCCACAGGTCTGGTCTACTGTCAAAGACCGGACCATCGTATTAATTAACTTCTTTTTTTGGTCTCACATGCGTCAATTTTTTTAATATATCAAGTACGAACATTACGATGTTTCTTCACTGTTGTTTAACAAAATTGTTAACAACATTCTTCTTTTTTTATAAATTGACAATCGTGAGTGTAATCACAATTGATGCGTTAAAATCTGGCTACTACTTTCCTTAGCATTTTCATGATGTTACTACTTACTATATTCAAAAAACCTAGTCTGTATATTTCATAAGCCAATATGATGTTTCAATACTGTTATAACTTACCAACTAAACTAATCTAAACGTAAAGATATGTAACCATCATTTCTTTTTCTACTAGTTATTTATTCAATTAAGCACACCACAAAAGGAACAAAAGGACTAGAACAATGCAAGCTCTATTACTGATTCTGCTTTAGTATCAAAAAGAGACTAACGAAGACAAAATGGGTTAAGACAGATAACGCTTTATAGAAGAATGATAAGACAAAACATAAGACTCCATGAAATGGGAACGGGGGGAGCATGTGGGACGAACAGACATGGCCATTCAGATACTAACATCTGACATTAGGACAACCTTTTTGGGACCATCGTATGGTTGTGGCTTTGGCGAAGAAACAAGCAAAATATCAACATCCCCTTCTCACCAGAAACCAAACAAGTTTCTCTCCAACTTGTCTAGAGAGCAGAAATGAGATCTTCAAGATAAGACAATATCAGCAATTTGTTTTTAAAGATTCTTCAATCCTAAAATCTCTCACTATCATGTTCTTCTACCGAGGACAGACCAGTGATGCAACAAGAAAACAAACCAAACAATACATGGATAGTTAATGCTGGAATTAGTGACTCTTATGAGAATCTGGTTTTGCTGAGTTTGTTGGCTAATCGCAATTACATTTTACAAATTAAGTGATAAAAAGGGACGAACCTTGACAATGTTCATAAGCTCTCATCTGGTTTCTTGTCATTTGAGTAAGACTCCAGGTATGAGATCACAAGATCAGCTGCTTTGCAACCTGATGCTATTGATTTCCCAACAGAGAGCCCACCTCGATGATTACCTGTTAATTTTGGTCCGTGCACAATAGATAAATAACTGCAATGAATTGTCTCAAGGCCATATACTGGCTACATTCATCATCATGGATCATATATCTAATGCTTTCTATCTACAAGACTAAGACTTTGGTTGAAGTTACCTGCGTAGAAGAACCCGGGTAGATCTTTCTCCATCTTGTCAATTGCTTCCATGACTGAGCCATAGCTGCTGTCATACAACGGGAATGCTCTCCTCCAATAGTAATGGCTGCGATTAACATATATTGTTTAGCTATAAGGGTAATTTCCTGTTTCGTACACTAAATCGATCAAATAAAAAAAAATCTCCAAACTTCACATACTTGACAGACACGGGTTCACCTTCAACCCCCAACAGTCGCTGAAGGTCAGAAGTCACAACTTGTTTTAATTCGTCTCTACAAAGATAAAACCGAAAAAAAAAAATTAGTCAGAATTGGGTAAAGTATGAAACTAGAAAAATGGTAATGATCCTGCATCACATTTATTAGTGAGTAAGTAGCTTTTATTTAACATGATTGTGTTTGTGTTGGACTGCTCTACAAACTTTAAAGCAGTCAAATTTCTCTTACGTGGAAGCTTTGGCTAGTTCCTGGTTCCTACTCCCACCAATAAAAGTTGTATATAGATGAAGGTCATTAGGGCAACGATCGGGAAACATCATTGATGAGAAGAGTGTACCTGCGTATAGGGAGTATGAAGTGTTGATAATTATAGAAGGAAAAATTTAGGGCTATTTGATTGAGTTATGCCTACACCAACAAGTTACCTAGAGTTTTGAAACCATGCTTTTGCTCCTTAGATGGAATGAGTACCCCAAAGCCTTCAAGAGGTCTCTTTACTTTCTCCTTTGTGAATGTGGTGATTAAAACCGAGAGGGGCATGTAATTAATCTGAGAAAAGAACAAGATCAACATAGATATCCAATTAACTTGGGATAAATAGTACATAACTAATCACGGCATCATGCAATGAAGTTCTTTGATGTCATATTAAGGTTCATTATCAGTATTTGGAGTAGAAAAATCTAAAACACTGGACTACATCTACATAAAGGCCTAATACTCACAAACATAAACTTCTGAGTTGTAAAAGACACAATTACCTCGGGGAGAAAGTTTAGCAGAAAGGGTTGCCCTCCTTTCATAACCTTCATTTCCTTCACATTGCACAGAGGAGCCTATGGTGCATAAATTTCTTGTTAGTTGAGAGATTCTGTAATTTGCATCTCACATCCGACAAAAAACACACTAACCGTCATAACTACAGCATCATAATGGAGGTTTTGCCTCCGCGTTTCATTATGTGAAACACAAGATAGTGACCAGTTCTCCTCTCTTGATCCAGAATTGTAAGACAAAGAGAGAACCTTGGAGTCTAAATTGATCTCATCATGTGAGAGACTTTTGCACAACATATCAGGAAGAATCTGCAATATCCCAAAATGGAAACATATCAACGACAAGTGGTACAGAGCAAGAAAAACATGATAAATACGGCGGAAAACACTTGTTTAAATGGTAAAAAATCTGGCTTTCATTGACAAAGCATTACCTGCATTCCCCCCTTAAAAGAGAATGACCCGCGCGAACCCCTTTTTGTGCCAGGAGAACTCTTTGTTTCTCCACTTTTACCACCTTTAGCAGCCAACTTTGTTCTGATTGCACCGACTATAATAGAGCCAAAACTGAAAATGAAAATAATTTATTTAGCAACTGACCGGAGAACGGTTAAACAGCTCATCGCCATAAAATCATCATAGAGAAGTACAAAACCAGGTAAAACTAAGGCAAATTCCAAAATAAGGAAGCTAATGTTATTTACAAGGCTGTCTTTGTCAGTAAAACTTTTCTGTCTATCATATTACACATCAAGGGACCAAAAAATTGGTTGATAATACCAACCATACAATGACACGAGTAAAGGAATGACCAATTCAAAACCTGACTGCATAACCCTATCAATACGAAGAGAATCTTGGAAGTACTCTTCGAGCGGAACTCATTGAATATAGTATAGGTACATGAGAAAGTACCTTTTCTCTACATTCCAGAGATCTGGAAAAGAATGCTTCATCTGATCATAAATCGTAGGGAGGGATATAGAATTGAGGAATATCGAACGATAATTTTAAAAACAAAGACAATTATGTTAAGTGAAAAGTTGCTCACTGAAAGGGAATCAGGGTCCGCAGCACTTGTTCCACCAACAAAAGGGTCGATGAGATAGTCCACAACCTTGCAAATCAGATACATAAGAAGGGACACATGAAAGGAAGATCACAGTCGTCTGAAATTAATAGCGATAGTCCACAAGTGATGTTTACACATGCAGAGAAAAATATGAAACAACATAAAACAATGAGATTAGGATGTTTCAATCAAAACATAGGATTAGGTAGCAACAAACCTCTTGTCCAAAATGGCGTTGAAAGAACCCGCTTACACTACAGCAGAGAAAATGGGAAATGAAGTTGAAGTTATAACGTCTGTGACTGAGATTGCTGATGGTTTGGAAGACAAATTTATACTCACCTTTCTTCAGCAGATGCATCTGAGACTTTTGAGGACGAGTCATTTTTCTTCCATAAAAATGGTTCCAACAAGATATGAATCTGCAAGTGAGACCTAATACTATTAGAGATCTTTGATATACTGGTAAGATAAAAGCACTTTGGTAGAAGAGAGCTTCTAGTTTCTGGTGGTAGTGCACAGAAACTTATACACCGTTGATATAATATGTCTCAAATAACTATCAAGACAAGTAATTTCAACGTAATAAATAAGCAATTG